TATCCGCGCCTTCTATACCATAACTAGCTACGACCTCGAAGGCCGAAAGGCGGCCTTCGAAGTAAACCCGTATTAAACGATAAGTTATCGATCGGTAGGATCGTTTAACTTCCTAACCCGCTAGTACCTCCTCGATAACCCTACCTTTATTTTAGTCTTTACGATTTATACGGATTTAATAAACCCCGAACGAATTATTACTAACCCCTTAAAGTTCTTTTAAACTTACTTCGCCGTAATATTATACCTTTCTAAGCCCCGGAAACTATTTAGCTTTAATATAGTTAGAAACGGCGCCCTCGATCGGGCGGCGTACGCGCTCGATTAATTACGGCGAATATAGGAAGACGGTAATCTCGAGCTTAATATAACCCCTTAGTTTACTTATTACGTCGCGCTAGTAAACTAATAAAATAACTTTAGCTACGGGTTTTAAAGCGGTATTCTACCGTATCTTATCTTTAAACGACCGATTAAGATCGCCCGCTAAGCCTAAGAAAATAAGGGGCTTAACCTTCTTAATACCATAAGAGAATACGCCGAGGTAGTAGAGTAATTTTATAACGTTCGAGTTTTAAAGGAAGGGGTAGGTATCGTTAAACGTCTTCGGTAAACCGTAAACTACTAAAAGCGAATTAACCTTATTAACGCTATAGCATCCGCCTAGAGTACGTTAATCGGCGAGCCCCTTAGCCGTAAATCCTCCGTTCGGTTTATCGCATAAGCCGAAGTCCGCCGCTCCCCTACTATCCCCCTAACTAAGAGGGCTAGGACGAAACCAAGAAGAAGATAGCCGAAATAAAGAAGGAGAACGCCGATCGGGTTAAATCGGCGAAGGTAAACCGGGCTAAGTTAGCCGTAAAGTAATAAAAAGGCCCCCTTATAATATTAAACGAGAAACTAAAGGCACGACGGTAATAATTAAATAGTAACCGGTGGAATAAAGTTTCGCGATAGCTTTTAAGGGGAGATATTAATCGGGATATACCGTACTACCCTTTTTAGTTTAATTATCCCTTACGGTATAATTAAACTAAGGAGGCTATAGTAATACGGTAAGACATACCCTTTTAATATATCACGTAATACGTTACGATAGGCCTTATGCCTATATAAAATAACCATAGCTCCCGTAAGTACGGAACATACCATACTTATCATTTAAATCATTACCTAATTAAATTACTATCTTTACTATTTTTACTTTAATTAAAGATTCGTTTTTACCATTAGATTCGTCGTTCTCCGATTAGTATATCTATCTTAGTTATAGGCGCTTAAGTTACTTCGTCGTACCGCTATAGCCGAATAAGTAACTTTTACGTTTTACCCCTTTTCTCCCTTTACCTCTTATGCCTTCGGGCTAGCGACTATTACATCTCTACGACTAAGAGGCATAGCTAAGATACGATAACTACATTAAATTCCTTACCTCTCGATTAATATAGCGATACTAGTTTTATTTATCCTAAACTATCGTACGTACTATAGTCTTCGATAGAGTATACTTTCGAAAGAACCTATCCGGGTCTCCAGCATCGCGTACGCTCTACTCCTCCTTAATACCTATAGATCGCTTTATATTCTCTAGTAGCTTTCCTTCTTTTTTAGTTAGTTAATATATACCTTCTTACTCGTATTCCATTACTCCCTTTGCGAATAACCTATTAACCTAAGCTTAGCTCTCGCCAGCTACGTAATAATATCATTATCATTTAACGAGCTAATTGCCTTAATATGTAAGTAATATGTCCCATAGCAGTACCTATCGGCTACCTGTCATTGCGCCCTGCCCCTCGTCGCTAGGTACGCGATCCCTTACGCTTTCAGTTACCTATAAGCAGGGTTGTAAAAAAAAGTTTTTAAGTTAAGTTTTAATGAAACTTAACTTAACTTAACTTAAAAAAACTTAAAAAAACTTAAAAAAACTTAAATTTTTTTCAAGTTTCTAAATTACGTATTAATAGGTTAAAAATTTTTTTTTTACATAATATTTATTAAATATTTAATTACGTAATTTAATTTTAAATTTAATATGAATAAAAAAATTTTTTTTTTTACATATTTTACGATAAAGTTTTATAAATATACATTAAAAGTATAGAATTTTTAAAAGAAAAAAACTTAGAAAAACTTAAAAAAACTTAAAAAAAACTTAAAACTTAACTTAAACTTAACTTAACTTAAATAATTAAAAACTTAACTTAACTTAAAAAAATTTTTCAAAAACTTAACTTAACTTAACTTAACTTAAGTTTTTGAAAATGGAAACTTAACTTAACTTAACTTAAAAAAACTTAACTTAACTTAAAAACTTAAACTTTTTTTTTCAACCCTGCCTATAAGTACTGACGAGAGAGTTAATTTCCCCTACTAACACCACAGCCGGCCCCCCCCCCCTCCCAACGAGGTGGCCCATTCTCTGTTTTCTGAACGATATTAATCGGTAAAGCGGTGGAGTATCATAATCGAAGGTAACCATCGCGATCCCATTAGTAGCAACTCTATGGATTGTAACATGTGGTTGGTATGATTACATCGGTAGGCATGCGGCTCTATATAGGTACCTAAACGCACGGTTCTGTTCGCCTTTTATTGAGAGAGCTCTCGGGAACCATGATGCGAGTGATCGATGTGGTTGCGCAACGGCTGTTATCTCCTCAATCTCTTTTTGCCCATTTCCCTTGCTACCTGTTCCACCGATTCGTATTGTCCGCTGCTGCTCCGCCCGGTCCCTCTGCCCGGCCCCTCTTCTGCGATATATCTCTCTAACCCATCTGGCGTCGAGCTCCGGCTATATATTACCTATGTCATACGTCCATCCTACTTCACCACGTGGTAGATTCCCGCCCTGGGTAACGGGGTGAGTAGTAGTCTTCTTGGCATCGCCTTAAAATAAACGCGGGTAGCTTTGATGAACTCGATAAAGGGGTCCGGACGGGAGTGCTAGGGACATTCTGACATGCTGCGAAAACCGGCGATTTCCAAACAGAAACGATTGGAAGATAGTTATAAATATATCATTTGCTGCTCGCAAGGAGTGCCGCATCGCGATGAGACTCAAACTGCCAAGTCAGTCTGCTGTGGGGGAGGAGGGGGCGGGAGCGGTTTGCTCCTTGCTGCTACCCTACTGTGTACCTCACGTAAGGTAGTAGGTCCCTATGCTTACCTACCAGGTACCTAAGGTAAGAGCTACGTAGGTAGGTAGGTACTGATGTCGGTGCGCCAGCAAGATGCTACACAATTTGGGAATAATCCATATACCTGATAGATGGGAGGGAGGGCCTCGTGCGGCAGAGGAAAATGCTTGAAACTGCGCTAGGCTTGACCGTTAGGGACGTCAGCTGCTGCGCCTTCTTGGCACTTCGTTCAGCCCAGCTGCGCAAATGCGTAGGCTGCTGGCGACTTAACCTCAGAGTCGCGATAACATAAGGTTAAAGCAAGAATGGCCAATGAGGGATTCCGGTAAGGGCGGCACGACAGTCGTCTACACGGGTAGAGGTACTGAAATAAGGCAGGCCGGTAACTGGGAGGGTCGAGTTAAGGATGGACAGCATGGGGGTACATCGCAATCGCAGCCTACTACCTATAGGTACCTGCCTACCTGTATGCTGAGTAGGTACCTAACTTAGGTAAGATAGGGTAGGTCTCGTAGATGCAGGGCCGGGCTCAGTGCGTAATACCTACCTGCTCGTTCAGCGATTCAAGCGCGCCGGGGGACCTGAGGAAAAGCGGTAATGCGAGAATGGTGTCGGTGCAGGTGTGATACGTATCCCCCCCTCCCGGCTTGATGGATTAAGCGAGGTCCGTTTTTAGGCAGGGGCTGGCGATGGAGGGAGGGGGATTTGAATGCGGAGAGGTGTGTAATTTTAGGACCCAGGGGGTGTACTTACCTCCTGAGGCTGAGGTGTGCTGCCAAGGGGGGGAAGAGATACCGTCCATAACGCACTTTTATGATATGTATCTAGCAGAACATGCCTACGACCCCGGGTACGGTTTAATCGTTGCCTCATATGAACATCACCTAGATGTTGGGTGGAAGCTTCGATGTCCGGACTGGACAGTTTTAGGTACCTACCCACCTAGGGTACTTCGGTACGTAGGCAAACACAACGACTAGAACAAAGACATACAGGTACCTAGGTACCTATATAGGTGCCCGGTAGGTACCTTAGGTACATGTGTCTACATACCTAGGCAGGTACCTAGGTAGGTATGTATAGACTTGGCTTTGTTGAAAAGCAGTAGACCAGGAGCGAGTGGATGAGATTCCGTTATGCTTACCTTGAGTACCCAAGGCACCTCACAAGCGTTATTATATTAGGCTCCTAATATAGGACATTTAAACCTAGAGGAACACTTCACATGTACCTACACCTATTGGTTCGATGCGTAGGTACCTTCTATAGCGGTACTCTTGCGTGGATCTTTTCGCCCCAGGCCCGAGGCCGATGTCATTGTCCCTTTAGCCACCACCCTACATAGGTAGGTAGATACCTACCCATGTTACCCACCTCTGCCTACCTCCTGATACCTGGACCACCTACCTGGGAGCAGAACCCGTCAAAGACAACAATCACAGCCATTCCCTATCACAGCGCCCGCTTTCTTGCCAAGAAGATGGGAGCACGTCGATCTTTAGGCTTTGCCACACAGACGAGCTTGGCATGCATCTTGCCAAGAAGGACGGAAGAAACGGCATCATGTTGAAGGAAGCATCTTCGCGCAGGTATCCAGATAAAAATAGGGGTCTCCTCCTCTACGATAAACGTTTGATGTTTTTTTTTTCTTCCGTCCTACCTTAACCCTGGCTGTCCCTGTCCGCGCCGACTAATCAACCAGCCAACTCACCAGTTCAACTGCCCACCTCTCTCCGAGGGTGCCTCTAGTGGTCATCCTCCTGTTCTCCATTCCTGAGCACGATAATAAAACGATGGGCCTTTGTTGTGGCGCCTGGGTGTGATATCGCGACGACTATTTTCTTTCCTTCCGCTCATTATCATTCATTCCCTCGTTTGGACCTCGTGTTTTTTCTGGCCTTTTTTCTTTTCCTGCTTCCATTGCTTCGGACGGCGGCTTACGCATACACATAATTACGAGTTCGGTGCGAATTCCCTCGTGGGGTGGCTTTCCAGCGATTGAGTTGACCCATTTCTCGTGTATTGTACGCACTACGCTCTACCCTTGCGGCGGCGATGCCTGTTTCGATTATGGACAAACTCCCCCGTCAGCTTGCATCGAGCCCGTACGTTTCGATGGTTTTGGCACGACGGCGCTTGCTCATATTGTTGGGCTTGCCACTGTTTCTCATAAGTATGTGCTTGGAGTCGATGGCCCCCAATGGTCTCTCCTCTTTCAGCCGATGGCTGCATCGTGACTGTCCAACTAACCGGCGACTCTCTTAGTTCTTTTCTTTTCCGGCACCGTCGGTGTTGACAACGAATGGGGCCATAGATTGGATAGCATAGGTGATAACTTCAAGGCCGGCGTCAGTTATGTGACGGGCAACGGCACTGTCCGAGTTTCGTACCCCTCGACCGACGCCCCCGCCAACAGCTCATCCTACAACCCCTTCCCCGACGACTTGTCTAGCGGCGCAACCCTCACAACTACCCGGACGAAGCCGTACGCGCGGCCAGGCTACGAACTACCTCTTGCTAATGGAATCCCGCTTCGCATCATGGCGCTCGGTGCCTCGACTACCCGCGGCGACAGCCCCGAGGAAGGGATCGATAACAACGGCTTTCGTCGCCCTCTTCGTGAGAAACTGATGACCGTCGGCAATAAGGTCAATTTCGTGGGCACACAGCGACTCGGAAACATGACGGATAACGATATCGAGGCCTATCCCGGTGTCGTTACGGCCACTATCCATGGCAACGCCAGGAAAGCAGTCCCAAAGTCGAAACCCAACTTGTTCCTCGTCAATGCCGGCTCCAATGATTGTTTCCAGCATGTCGACGTCGACAACTTCTACAAACGGTATGACGCTCTGGTCCGCTATCTCCTAGAGGCCTCACCTCGGTCTACTGTTGTCATCTGCACCATCCTGCCTACTTGGGACAAGCGGTTCAACGGCAGGGAGGAAGTCTGGCGCGTCAATCCTCAGATCCGGAGGCTAGCAAAAATTTACAAGTCTGAGGAGCTTCCCGTCGTGCTCGCCGAGCTCCAGGGCCCGGATGGGATCCAAGATGGCAACCTGGCTTCGGACGGCATGCATCCCGGCACTGCCGGCTACGAGATGATGGCCACCAAGATGTATCAGGCGATCGTGGAAGCCGATGCACGTGGTTTCTTGCAGCCGCCGGAGCCGGTCGCGGGCATCCTGGACGACGGTGACGAGGAACGGAAGAACGAAGACTACAAAAAGTGGGTAGAGGAGAAGCGGAAGATGGATAACGCGACAGCGGCAGCCGAGCAAGCCGAAATCAAGAGAATGTTGGCGGAACTAGCAAAGATGAAGGAGCAGAAGGAGAAGGCGAAGCACGAGAAACCAAAAGATACCCGATTGCGGCGACATCCCAAGATGCTCTTTTAATAAGAGGATAAGCGGGTTCTTGGTCTGGGATGGGTTGGGCAGTAACTCGGTGATCATGCCCATATGATGTCACGACCGCTGCATTATCATTATACATAGGCGCGATGTAGACGATGTATTTACTTAGCAACAATTATCGTCCGCAAGGGCAAAGTTTTGTCAAGTCCCTCTTCTTCGTGTCGCCTTGACGGTGGGCACTCTTCGCGCGGTTTGAGCTTAAGCCGTTCAGATGTTTTGGTGCCGAAGCAACTGGGAGGTCCTAATCGACAGTGAGCTCCTAAAGGGGAATCAGCGAAATCCATCAGGCACTAATGCACGTATCAATTAGCAATGGCACAGTGGTGTTTAGGTGCTCCGAGATACCACATTGTATGCATGCTGTACCTACTATACCTACTTGTAGGAGGTATGCATGCATGATCTAGTAGGTACCTACCTGTTGAAATAAGTTGATAATTACAGAAAATAAGCATGCGAAATGCGATTCATACCTGGCATCGACAGGGGCTGTCCCATGCATGTACTTACTATATCACCAACCTCACCAACCTGGGGCTGGTTTGATTCTCCCCTCGTGGCCCCCTCCCTTCGTGTACCGAGAAAGATAGGCTCGAAGGTTGACTCGCTACCTAGATGCGCACGTTTACCGAACATCGGGCCTATCTGTCATTGTTGTCGCTGTTAGGGTCAACGGGAAACAAGATGTAGGTAGGTTAAGTCGGTAGATGAAGATAGTCCAAACACATGCGAGTATATTGCTATGTACGTGTAGCAAAAATACCAAGGTGGCATCGTGGATGGACGACCAGGTTGCCAGGCTCCCGCCAATCTTCTAATATAAGCATCCCCACCTAGGTTCCGACCTATCCCATGTTAGCCTCCAATTCCCTGACCAAAAGCAGCTGGGGGATGGCGGTACCCATGTTCATAGGTACCACAATGTAGATTCGGCGATATGCGTGTTATCTTATATATGCATGTGCATACCTAGTATGAACTCCATAGGAGGTGATATCTTATGCGTATGCGCATATGCCTGTAGGTGTGAAGTTGTAGGGGGTCAGCCTGTGTGGGAGGCTTCGCGACCACCTGGTGGCTGTCGGTCGCGACAGTATGGGGTCTCCACCCATTTTCAATCGTTTCTACATCAACCCTTCTTCAAGCCACCGTGATGTTCGCGTGTTGTTATTTTTCCCCTCCGCGATATTAACCCTCCTCTCCCTTCTCCACAACCTTGGGATACAGGACGATTGATTGGATTCCGTGGGAGGGGAGAACACGAGAGAAAACCGAATAACAAATCAACGGCATCACCAACTATATGGAAGTACCTAGATCCTGCGTACACCAAAGGCCTCGAATTATAACCGCCACCTACCATTTATAATTGTTTCCAGTTTCACCCCGGTTCCGTTTTAGTAATGGGTAGCCAAGCTAGCGTAGCGAGCAGCCAGCCCGACCAGCGACATCTGAGGCTCATTGCCGCCTCGGCTCAAGCTAACGAAGCCCGCGTTCGCGACATACTTGCCGAGGAGCCGCCTTGGACATCTGTTGCGGACCATGATGCCCTCCGTTTGTCTCTGCAGAAGGTTTCGGCACGCGGAAAACTTGCTATTGTTCGTCTCCTCCTTGACCACGGCGCCGAGTTAAACTCTAAGCGAGAAAGCGAAGTTCCCGCCTTGGTAAAGGCCGCAGAGGGAGGACATGTTGATGTTGTCATCGAACTGCTCAAGCACAATGCGGACCTGAATGGACGGAATCGCAATGGCCAGACGGCTCTATTCGGTGCCTGCATCAAAGGGTATGACAAAGTGGTCGAAACCCTACTTGCGGCACATGCGAATGTTGAGGCGCAAGACAACGAGGGAAGATCTCCTCTGCTATTCTTGGCTTCCGAGAAGCCGGGGAAGGGGAGAGGGACCATCGAGACTGTGAAGCTGCTGATAGCTAACGGAGCCGTCGTCGATGTGAAGGATCAAATCGGGCGGACGCCGTTGCTCTGGGCTGCGACAAACGGCAATGTCGACCTCGCCCGTATCCTCATAGAAGGGCGTGCCAACGTTGCTGCCACGAACAATCGCGGACGGACTGCCTTGCATTTAGCAGCCGAGAGCAATCACGGACAGCAGCAAGAGGACATGGTCAAGCTTCTCCTCCACTGCGGAGCCAACCCGGGCGCTGTCAGCGACGGTGGCTGGACCCCCCTTCATAATGCCACACAGGGCGGCTACGCTCCTGTCGTCTCGCTGCTTCTGCAAGCTAATGCGAATGTCAATGCCGAGCTTTCTAATGGGATGACACCGCTGCACTGGGCTGCCTTCAACGGCTTCAAGGAGATAGTACAACTCCTATTAGCTCAACCCGACATCAACCTTACTATCAAGGATAGCTTCAATCGAACACCCATGATATGTGCCGCCGAGAAGAATCACCCCGAGATCGTCCAGCTACTATCACCCACCCAAGCCGCCGACCGCTTATCCCCAAGTGCGCGGCAAGCGTGCCTAGCATTCGAAGCCACTATCGTGGATTTCGGCCAGTTTGAAAAGAAACAGCTCGTCTCTAAGTGTTCTGTGTACGAACTGCTGTATGGATGGGACAACGAGAACGACAAGCCGAAGATTCCTACCCTTACGAAGAATATCAAGTATAAACCGGACTTCAGGTGGATCCACCTGCCAGCCAACAATGTATATCATATGATCAAGTCCGTTCGCTACAAAATAAGGGCTAACGCTTGTCTATAGATAGCATGGGTTGAGGTATTGGATGACCCCCGGATCTCAGATGGAAGCGTCCTGGTTAGCTTACCCTGCACTAGGCTCTTCTTGCCAAGTCCTTTATTGAGGCCGGACACCGTGACATCGAAGCTTTCAAAGCCCTGGAGAAATGTTTCGACCAAGAACATCGTGGGAAACTTCCGCACGCTAACTTTATGAGGACGTTTTCCCAACGCATCACTGCGCCTCGGATAGGTCTGTCGGGTAAGGGCGAGGACAAACCCCTAGCCCCGTTATCTGAAGAACCGTCGGATGCGAGTGTCAGGTCGAGTCAAAGTGCCTCGGACGTGACCCCTCAGAAACAGACTGACTATGTGAAGGATGATAATTACACTAAGAAGAGAAGCAAGTCCGAGCAGCTCGCCGAGCGACACCCCAAAAAACACAAGCGCGGAAAAGGCCCTCCCGGAAATCCGCACGAGAGGCAAGATAGTGCGATGAACGACTTCGATAATAAATTCGCCCTCTCCTCAGCTTGGGGAGCGTCGAAATTTGGTGTTTCTAATGGAAAGATAGTCCTATTCGTAAGGATGTCTACGTTTATCGGACGAAGCCGTGGCTAACGTGTAGAAGATGCCATTTTTGCACTATGAGACAGATATGCGACGGCGCAAGATGGGTAGCGCTATCAAAAGTGTTTACAAGGAACTGTCTCCACCAGAGAACTTAACCCGGGACGCTCTACTTGTCAACGCCTATTTGAAAAGCACGCCGCCCCTACACCCACGCAGAACGCTCGACCAGTTCTTTTACCACGGTATCGACACGTCAGCTAGAGACGAAGATCAGGTCGTATACCGCTATTGCAAGAGGCATGACGTGGAGCCCAAGGTGTTTATGGTCGACCAGCTATGGCTCTGGATCATCGGGAAAGGTAACCGATCTGCCTCACAATTGAAACTGTCCCGCAACTCACTCGTTTTAGATCTGGTGATTACTTGTTTCTCGCAGCGCTGGGAGCAGCCCAAACAAGACCCGTTGAATGTTCTGGACGGAATTATCGAGGAGACGAATGCTAAGACCCGTCCCCCAATTGGGTCCGTATGGTGAGTTCGAATATTTTCTCTGTGTAGTTGTGCCATTGGGCTTAATGACTGGTGGGCTAACGCTAGCTGTAGTATGTAATACGATATTCCCTTCACCTTTGCAGTCGTTCCCCTTTACGAGATAATAACCCGTCTCTGCACGACGCCTTTTTAGGCACAAGACGGGGGTATTAACACATCTCAGATGACCTCGCGATGCTCATCGCTAGCCGCTGTGCCGGCACATTCGACCGCCACCGCCTCGACGACCAAGATCTCCAGTTCTTCGACATGTTCGATAGCTCCATTGGTCTGGTTACGGACCGCGAGAGCAAACTATTCAGGCGCTTCAATCAGGCGTCGGCGCAGTCGGCGCAGTGGCTGCAACGCCATCGAGGCAGGCGTATGGGCCGTAGACCTTCGCGGATGTCTGCTTTCGGAACCTCAGATGAGCCCGAAAACGCGATTGACGGGGCAAGCCGCGGTAATAGCCGTAGCGGTGACCAATTTCCGGATGCGCTACTCGATATCGACGTCGAAACATCTCTGCTCGCTGAGATCAAAGATATTCGCGACGAGCTAAATATCATTGCGGTTATGCTAGACACGCAGCTTGCCACGTTGGCTGACTTCGAGGCACACGTAACGGAGGAGTTGCGCGCCTCGCCGGAAGGGCTGGCACGACGGGCGGCGGACACGGTGATGGCCGAGGTGCGCAAGCGTGCGAAGGAGCAAGCACGAAGCTTAGAGATCAGGCATAAGGACGTGTGGCGTATGGACCAGCAAGCAGAAAGCCTGTATCACAACGTGACGGACTTGCTGGACCTCAAACAGAAGCACTCCAATGCCTTGGAGGCAAGGTTTGCCGGTGATCAAGCCGTTATCGCGGCCAGACAGGGCCAGACAATTATGGTGTTCACAATCGTGACAATCGTTTTCCTGCCCATGTCGTTTATAGCATCGTTTTTTGCGATCAATCTAGAGGACTGGGAGGGCGGCGTCTTAACCATCCCGTACGTGAGCAAGTACATGTTTGGAATTGGGTTAGGCATTTCCATCCCGTTGATCGCCATGGCATTTACGGTCGCAGATATCGCAGACGCTACTGAGGGGATACTTCGCGCATCTAAGAGATCGCTGGCGTCCCTGGGGAAAAGACTATCCAAGGGTGGCACAGACGAGACTAACTTGGCAAAAGAGCGCGCCCATGCCATTCAATCGAAAGCACCGCCATCTTCTCAACGATATAGAGCAATGAGCAAGGAGAGAGATGTATCTCAGCAAGTGGCGATTGACGACCTGCCGGTGTCTCGGATGCGGCATAGTCGCGAATGGGGAGACGATCATTACTACGCCACCTCGAGGCTGTCGCCCGTCTCGGGACGAAGGCTTTCCGTCGGCGGACCGCGGACAATCAGCTTCGGGAGCGCGACGGCGACTCCTTGGCCTATGAGGCCCAGTTTGGACAGAAGTCGTGGCCGGAGGCTCAGCGAAGACCTAGAGAGGGGCCGGGACCAAGCTCCCTTTGGTCGATAATGTCAGGGGTGGCGACACGAGACTATTTTGTGGATGAGGGAACGACATCTCTCGCATTTACCATAGGCCAGTCATAAGTGGTGTGTTGTTTTACGTACCCGACGACGCTGGAATCATATCCAGTAGGGCTTTCCATTTGGTGGGCATGTTGAACACCTGGTTACGGACAAGGTATATTAACGGCCACCTTAGTGGGCATATGAAGCGTTTCGGCGAAAGAACAAGATGTTGAATATAGAGCTCTCAAGTCCGAACATGGTGGGGATGGGGCATGAGTAAAAAAGTATGGAGTTGAGCAAAAAGGAAGATGAAAAAGAAACGGGGCACCGATAGAACAGAACCTTCAGTATTAGATGCATTAGCCGCGAATCGAACGCGGGGCCCATCGATGGCAACGATGGATTTTACCACTAAACCACTAATGCTTCCTCATTGGACGTTCGATTTCATTCCTATCGTTCTCTATAGATTTAGACCTGGCAGCGCATATACGCTAAGCAATCCAACCAGAAGTTGCGCTCGGCGTTAGCGTACGCGACGATAACTCCGGGTCTACATTCCGACGAAAACCTAATATTTAAGTATACGGATACATAAACATATGGCATATAAGCATATTTCCGCTCCGGCGGTACCTAAACGTTACCTACCAAAAGCAGGGGTCGATTCGCGGTAGGTATGCCACTACTCGTCGACAACTCACGTCGTTCACCACCCCCTTGATGCTTCGCAAAAAGTTGAGGACGTTGGTTTAGGCGATGCTTAGAGCGGCCTACATATTAATAACCTTTCTTCCCCAGTAATTCTGAACGCATCGGGACTTCGGCACCTAGGGTAGGTACCGACCCATAAAGAGGTGTTGTTCGTAGGCATCCCCAAGAACCCATGGCTAGTACTCCTCCTCCACGGCGTGCCCCGGTCCTGTCTCGATCGTCGTCGCCGTCGTCGCCGCCGCCGCCGTTGTCGTCATCGCCTACCGCAGCATATGTGCACCCCCGGCCGCGGCCGCCCAAGTCGCCGGCGCACTCAGCCCAGATCCGTGTCCAGAACCGGCGACGCGAGTACCTTGAGCGTAACCCCGGATACTTTGACTCGCTTGAGCACGAACTGACTGGCAAGTTCATTGTTTCTATTCTTCCTCTCCTACGTATTCACGCCATTCTCTCCTTGTTTGCGGCCTTTTACTTGCGGATTTAATTAACACTTCGGGTGAGAAAGGGGTTGGAGGCACGGCAGGATTGCTAGCTTGTTACATTTTGCCACCCCTTTTTCGGCCCTGATACATTCCCATCGCTCAATACTCTATATACCATTCTACCCTTATTTCGTGCATTCTAGTTCACTGTCTTCTACCTAACCTCGTTGTTAATCGGCCTACATGGCTAACCCACCCTCAAGATCCTGTTCTCTACGACGCGCTCATACGGCGCTTCCAATCGCCGGCCGAGCGCGAGAAGGAAGGGCGTGAGAAGGGTTATTCTCGTATGCTGGAAGTGGACCTAATTCGGGGCGAAGCCAAGCTGGCTCAACTCACTTCCTCCGTCACGTACGCTTCAGTTTCCACTTCCTCCTCTCAGGAACGGCAAAGTGAGATCCGGGCGGTAACGGGGGACACTTCTTGGATTCCGCTACCTGCATCCACGGATGCGGACGTCTTCATAAGGGAGTACGCCAACGGCGACGATGATTACGGCAGGGTGAGAGGCCGGGGGGGAAGAGAAGGGCAAGAAGACATGCACTCGCGGGAGGAAAATGGGAACGCGGCGCCCCGGACGCCCAAAACTAAGGAAGAAGGACACGGGCGGTGGGTCAAATTCCTGCGCCGGCGGTTCGTGCTGGGTCGCGACGACGACTTCGACTACCGCGTCGTGGACGAAGATGATGCGCTCGATATCATGGAACAGCGTGAGCAAGAGGATGCATGGTTCGACGACGAGGATCCCGGCTGGGCTAGTGGTGGTGATGACGGTGATGTCGGTGGTAGCGACAAAAGGGGGGCGAGGAGACTTGAGGGCGAGACGGGGGTCCAGGATTTCTGAGTAGAGGAGGCCCTCGGGGTGGTAAGCTCGACAACCACGCCCACATCCCTATGCCACAGAGTGACAAACCCGGCCGACAGAATAATGCCGGAGACTACAACCTGGAATACCTCATCCCGGCATGCATGAAGATCCCGATAAACCGGATCACGGCATCCGGGGAAGCAAATGGGTAACTCTTCCAGTAGCCTTCAATTGTAGCGTATGCTTGCGCTTCAAACCGCAATATACAGATGGACAAGCGAAGGCAGGATAACCCGCGAACATCGTTTCATATCAGGCCAACTTCTCCGCCCTGCGTTGGTATCATCCATGCTATCCCTAAGAAGCTGGTCTAAATTTGGCGCTACATGGCTATTGTCCCCATTCTCTTGAGCGTCAGCTCAACCACCCAAGGAATACTGCGATGGAATTCCATCTCACCTGCGAGCCTAACTATTGAGTATATCGAAATTTTCCGATAACAGCTGTTGTGTATTAGGCTCAATATGTTTGATCAAAATGACGATCTCTTCTCGGTATGCCGATGTCGTGCGTCTACTCAATCTAAGTCTGGTACAGGTAGGTGGTCAACAAGCTTCATCCGCAGTCCCAGCTGCGCGAGAGCCTTCACTGCATTTTCGTCCCTCAGCTTCTCCGTCTCCTCTTTAGTCGTCAGCACGAAGTCGTGCTTGAGTAGCAGGCCCCCTTCCGGGAAGTCGTACTCCTTTGCCGTCGCCGCGTCGGCCTCCTCGAGATCTACTATTAGGCTCTGCTTGACGCCAAATACGGCATCAGACGTCTCGTACGGGTCGCCACGCATGTAAAGCGCTCTACATAGTACGGGACTTTAGTTCAGACCATAACCTCGAATACATCATAAAACAGCCGAAATCGAGCCACAGGAAGAGGGGAAAGGGGAAGTTAAGAAAAGGGTTACTCACGTAATTAAGTGATCCCAGCCCTCCTTCTCCAACATGAAATGCAGATGCGCAGGTCTCCAGCAGTGTCTACCTAGCCTGTCCAGGAGCTTACCCACCGGCCCGTCATGTGGAATAGGATAGCTCACGGGCCGAATCCCCTTGAACCAGAAGCGCCCCTCGCTGTCGCTCACCATGACGCACCGCTCACTGGGCTCTTGACGGTCGGAGTGCTGCACGTCGTAGTGCCCACTACTGTCCGTCTCCCAGATGTCAATTTTCACGCCCTCTACCGGTCGACCTGCGGTGTCTTTGACTGTGCATATGCAGAGCATAGGCTGTCCCTCGGGATCCGAGGACATGGTCGACCCATTAGGCAGCGTCGGAGCGTCATGTGTGTGGAAGGGGCCTAGGACCGAGCCCTCGGTGGAAGATGGGGGCTTCGGGTGGTTGATACTATCTACTAGTAAGGAGAGGCCGAGGATATCAGATAGGAGGATGAATTCCTAGAGCCGTGGTGGGTAACCGCAACGGTCAGCTTGTTTTTCATCACGACGGAAATGCAGGACCCGGTGAGGCAGGGAGTGGGTGCCCTTCCCTCTCTCTCTCTCTCTCTACCGACCGCGACCGCAAAACGGTTCGGGGAGAGACAAGCCAACCATCCACGGGGTGTCACATACATGGCGCACATCGCTGCTTATCTGCCCGCAGCCCACGAGGAAGTTGAGAGCCGCCATCCACTCGTCAGTGCTAAGTCGCGTCTCACGAGCGAAGTCGTGCAGATGCGTCACGAGCCGCGCCATCAGGTACTTGAGGCGCTGGTCTGGGCATTGCGAGTTGATCCGGACGGTATTCGGCGTGATGTTGTCAATTGTCAAGTCCAGAAGAGCTGGTATCTTCGCCGTAGCAGCCATGGTGGGCAGATAGTGCGTAGGTATGTACCTAGGTGGGAGGGAAATGGATTGGCTTCAGATTGAGAGGAGAGTCGGGTAGAATAAACACGCCCACACACGTACACGGACACGGACACGCGGACGAGGGCCGAACGGGATGTAGATAAAGAGGGACAAGAAGCAAGTATTACTATCGTTATTATAAAAAAGAAAGTGACCTGTCCCCTCTCTCTCTCTTCTCAAAACCCCAAATCTGGTAGCGCAACAAGGGCTCGAACGCGTCCATCTAAGACCTTATGTAATTCTCTGTAATTCTCGTCCCTCGTTTCCACTCTGTCCCATCCGAGGCGTCTCGGACCCCGGCAGTTGGCGAACGGGATGTCCAGAGTTGAGCGGCAACCCCATTGGGAGAAAGATTGACCCTAAACAAGAAGACGGCACGTTGCTAGCCTGCTTGCGGGGAGGAATGGAGAGAAGCAGCGCATGATATGGCCAGTTTGCCGGGTTCGGCAGCGGGTTCTCTTCGAGCCGTCACCAACCCTGCTGGAGCGGGCCAGCATACGGCATTGTCGCACTTAGAATGACCAAGACATGGCCGTCAACTCCTATTAAGTCCGGTAGATTTTGGGAGTCCTCTCATCAGCGCTACAGGCCAGTTGCTGTGCGCGTGGGGTGAGCGAGGTAGGGATGGTGAAAGAGGAAAGAGGGGCAAAGGAGGGGGGGGGGCGTGTTCTACTACTAGAAAGAGATGGGTAAAGGAGGAAAAATGCGGAGAACAATACCCCTCCCCTTCCCTCCCCTCCCCTTTTCCTGTTTAATACTAGGCCTGCGAGTCTCTCTTTGCGCTTCGAGGCGTGGCCCGCCAATCCGCCCCTAGACATTTGCAATGAACATCCGCGGCGGAACCTAGGTGCCGTACAATTGATACCCAACAGAAATAAACATAATCAAATAAATATAGGTACCTGGATATAAATAAGTCCGTAAGTCCAAGAGTGAGTGAGAATGAGTGAGGGGCAGAGTATGCCTACCTATCGGCGCCCATGACCCTCCTCCTCCTCCCTACAACATACGTCACGTCAGTAGTATCGAACAGGCGCGTGTACTAGATAGGTAGTACGTAGGTACTTACGTGCCTAGGATGTCGATTCGTGCGAATGGCTCGGGTTTCCATCGAACTTGGCCGGTGATAGATTCGTGTCGCAGAATCCCTCCCGCACCCCCCGAGGGACTATAACACTGTCGAGCCTAGGGAAGGCAACGGAGATGAGGAGACATTCGCCCGCCTCTGATCGTCTACTAATGATTTTCTAGTAGCGGTTTACGCCCCAGCGGCCAGTCACTACGCCTAGGACTCGACCCGCCCTAGCGTCGGCGTAAACTCAACGAAGATCTCGGTTGTCCTCTTAGCTTCTAGGATATCTGAACCTACATGCCCTGTCGCCAGGGGCTGTGCCCTGTCCTCATCTCGTCACCGCTTCTCTTCCCTTTTTTCCCTTTGAACAGCGCTTCTATTATCATGGAATTATCCCTACTCACCTAAGTAATCTGCCTTGGTGCCTATTCACGAAGAGGTGAAGGGGTGAGAGAGATGACACCGCCGGTTTGCTTCGGCTTCAATTATTACCCAATCGTCTACAATGGAAGTTCGTACCCTTCGAGGACAACAACAGCGAGGCGCCGCTGCTTCTATCCTACTAGTGCATATTTACTGAGGGCTTTTATATAGAGACGGGCGAGGGGTCAACCAATGCGGCAGTGCAAACTCATCAATCACGGGGCGAGATAAATCAATCAGGTTGACGTATCGCGATGTCCCAACACCAAAACCAAAACCAAAAAAAAAAGACACGGGAAACGCATCACGAAAGTGGATTAATTAGCCCTGTGACTGTCACACCAGTTTACGACGTACTGTGTCAGCCCAACGATATTTCATAATAATAACGAGACCATAGATGCCCACATAGTAGGACTGTACTTCGGGCGATGTAAATTGGTTATGAAGTCGTTCTCAAGGGATTATGTTGCTTGTATTTTTGATTTGATGTCTAGAAAGCGGCATATGGTGATTAAGACCTTTGGTTATTAATTATTAAATCTCTATAGAAGACCATTGGACCCTTGTTCGGTTTGGGTAGCACGTTAGGTTAATAACCACGTCTCAGGGCATGTCGTTGTGCACTCCTGAATGAATGCCTCGCCAGACACGGCCACCCCGTTTCAGTGGCTCAATTATCAAGACTAGAGGGTGCGGTTATAAGACTAGAGCACACACTAAGTATAGCTGTAGTCAGAAACAGGAATTAGAGAAGGTATGGTCTATTTAGACTTTAATAAATGAATAAAGTTAAACCGATTTCTATATAGAATAACTACTTGATTCGATCACAGATCGAGGTCAGGACGGAAAACGCGTAGAAATGCATATGAGCCAGGGTAAAGACAAGGGGGAGGCGGTTGTGAAACCTAGAAGGCACGAATCCTGCGTGAGCTTCTCTAGACGTCTAATCTGCCGTATCCTAAGAGCCATCGATTTCTTCTGTAGCCGTTTTCTATATGCCCAATCGCAGAGTTAAGAAAGTCCCCACGCTAGAACGGAGGCTCGTGCAAGACGTTGAGAGTTGCTATAGAGAAAAGGTTAATAGTGATCCAACCAGAATAAGAGACTTCGATGTACCTTGAAAACGCCAGAGACCTCATTTTGGATTCTCAACTATGCAGTTGGAACACCTTTTGTGTTGGCAGCTAGGGCATTGGGGATTTGTAGTGACGAGGTAGCCACCTTCACCACAGTTGCACTAGATTCCGTGATTAGTCTTCACTTATATCATAAGGAATACCATAGGTACACATACGCATAGCCAGACAGGAGAAGACATCGTGATAGCGATGGGGAGTTTCGAAAAAAGATAGAGTGTTGTGTATGTGTAGATTTCAGGGCGAGGTGCTCCAGAGGCTGAATATATATGTATACAGTTTTAACTCTACTAAAATCGAAGAAAGCAGGTAAAGAGCGAACCCTATATACTAAAATATGCCCCCATTCCCAGTAGTGAAGCAATAAGCGTGGCACTGCTACGGCTTTCATCGATACACGTATGCCATTTGACAATGTCCTGACATAGGTATTAGGACAACAACCTCGATTCCCTAGACACAACCAGTGGATCTCGGATAGGCACGTAGCCGGTGAATCACAAGAATGCCTAGCCTCAAGAGCTCTGTCGTCCTGTGATGGTATTGATGTTTTCCTACGCATCTATATTGGCCAGTATGCGAAGGTCGCCGTTTTCCTTGGTCGTATATCCACCACACGGGCCATTGCAGTGCGTATTCTGGTAGGAAAAATTTGCCATGGCTCGAGGCGGTGAGTTGTACGATGAGTAACTGTGTTAGGTATTCATATGACTGTCTAAGAGACTGCTCCCATCTGCGCAGGAAAAGGACAAGTGGAGTCCACTGTTGTAAATTGATTTAGGTGGCGGTGACCGTTGTTCGAGGCGGATGTTCAAGCTTATAGGATAATAAGTGGCTCGTCGTTATTCGCATGAGGCCGTGTAGTAAGAAGTCTTGTTCCCGCACCATTCCAAGCCGACACTTACCTCAAGGCCCTGTATCCTCTGTATAACCTATCGGTCGAGGTCTAGCCACTCGTCCTATACTCCTCCTCATCAAGTGACTATAGCATTGCCACCAGGGCATCGGCAAGGCCGCACTGGCGATGCTTCTTCGAGTCCGACGTGGTCATCGAGTCCGTAAGGCTTTGCCGATTCTTATCTCCTTGGACAGGGCCGATTTCCAAGGCAACCCGATCCTAGGTAGCTCAAATCCCCACTATATCATAGGTATAGTGGGCTGATAACGGGAGTGAGTGCATCGCCCTCACTTTTCTGGGGTTCTCATCCAGTAAGCGGTAACTGCAATCAAAATACCACGGCGACCCACATCTATAAATCAGCGTTGACGTGAGGAATGCTCTAAAAGCCTCGAGTCTCAAGTGCTACGTACCGATAGCACTGCTAACCCTAGGTACCTAGGCAGGCAGTGCAGAGTCTCGTGCCTAATGCATTTCGCCTGGGCGATGCACACTGAGTGATAAGTGTAAAATCGTCCTACTACCAATCCGCACCTCGTATTTCGGTAGGCTTAGTAGTAGGGTCTCGCGTCTTCGCTATGAAGGTATGGGGCGGTCTTCCCAAGACAGGCCCTAAGGACACTACGTCGTAGATGATGATGCCATCTGTCACAGTAGTTAGAATGCGGAATTTAGACGCGCAGAGACGGGATAGAACCAACTATCCACTTACTGGTGTAGTTCCTCTCATACTCCTCAAATAACAGTAGCGCCCTGACTTTCTCTAAAGTACTATTCATTGGTATTGAGCGGAGTCTTCACGGATAACGCAAGAAGGTAGTGGAGCAAGGAAATATATGGTGTCTTGAGTAAGTTATGGGAAGTTTGGGAATTGGTGGAAACCCAAATTCAGACCGACTCGACGAAGGAAAGAAGAGAGCCATCAGAAAAGCAGAAGCGGTGGGTCCCTTTCCGCAGGGGGCAACCTACGATCTTATAGAATCATTAGGGTTTGGAGGCCTCTGGTCCAGTCGTAAAGTAATCAGCTGAGATTGTTGCACGCTCGTAAAGAGTCTGCGTGATGGTTGGAAGAGCCGCAGTGCTCAGCCGACATATCGGCGATGCTCCGCAAGACCATCGTGAACTGCACGCTTCGCGTAGGTTCCAAGGCTATTTTAATGATACAAATGGAATTCTGGCATACTAGCATGGCAGATTTTCTGATTATATCAACCGAGTCGTAGCTCTCCCTTTGTCGAGGAGTCTACTTGGTAACCCCAAATCCCTGCGCATCCTCGGCGGCCCAAGGAAGAGGGATGGATCCCTGCCCAGGTTAATGTCGATGGGCAGTTCCGAGTGACGAGTTTTCGGTGACGGTAATGGGAATTTACTAGTATTCTGCCGTGTGCTGACACTTGGTTAGGCCGCCTTCTACCATCGTTTGAAGCAAACGAGGGCGAGGAAAATGCACAGGCCGTTTAACTCTCTAGATAGGCCTGCATTTGGGAATCATAGGTTATTAGACATTTCAGCATTTTGACAGAGATGCAGTTTGGCAGTTTTGCCACTTGGCAAGGGATCGATCCTAGATGTTTCAGCCTAATATATTAAACATAGCGTAGTATTTCCACTTTAGTACTCCGTAGAGGGAGGACAGTCTTCGTTATGCTGGGGGGATCGCCGCAGCCGTAAGAGCCGCAATGGGCCACCTCTTGATAGGAGGATTTCATACATGGGGAATAACTTAAATTGCACTTCTCCTTACTCACCACCCATCCCTAACCTGTGGAGCTAGGGAAGAAGAAAGAGTATAATAGGCGAATACATAATTATTCTAGTCCGATGTAAGAAAGGTATACTTATCCCGGAGGGTTGGCGGCTAGCCGCTCATGTGCGGATATTTGCTGGTCCATATGAGTATAGTGAAGTTGTGGTATCGACATCTAGTTTATTTAATAGTGGATGGATAGGGAATAGGCACCTATGGGGCGTCTATGTGATAAGGAAGTGGGTCAATTCGAGTTTGTAACAAGGGGTCCGTTTCCATGAGTGAACGGACGCCTAGTCGGCCCGTCCGCGCTGTCGATCGAAGGGTACCATGGTCCATACATAGGTATGTATGTAGTTCCACACCCCCGTCTTACACAAAACTGATTCCTTCGACAAGATCGTACCAAGTACGACGAGTGTAGATAATAGGAAGTAGCTTACTGCGGGCCGGTACACGGTAATCCGCACTTGGGTGCCCGCACTTCATCCCACGGCAAAGATAGGACTGGCCAGCAGCATCTACAAAATTCCTACTCGCCGTATCGGCGGACACGTTTTACTTCATGTATTGTAGGAGCATTAACCAATAGACTCCTTGCTCGTGGCCTTTGTTGGATACAATATCCGGCTTATGGGAATCGTTATGGCTATGATAATGTCCGTGGTCATCGTGTGTTTATTCTGTTCCTTTAAGAATGCCATATTACTTTGCTTCGTTTGGTGCATATCGATCTTGCGGCTTGGACGCTGCGAGATCTCCAAGTTCAATCTACCCAGATTTGCCCCTGGAGGGTTTGCAATGTTAAGGCACAGAAACGCTAGTTAATCTCATTGTTCGAGGGAATTTCGTGAGCTCGCACGAGATCGCGCGTGGTTACGGTAGCATCCTGTAAGAGGTCGAGGCACTCTAGAGAGGGACCTCAGAAGCTCGCGACTCCATCCATCGCTGTAGGTAGGTATATAACAGGTACCTAGGTAGGTACGTGGTATGTGGTATGTGCTTAACTGAATAACCGAATAGCTGCATACATGACTGGGTGCCCGATTATGGATGGTAAATGTGGGTTATGCAGGAAGCAGGGGCATCCGCAAGGCCTCACCGCACCACAATCTACCTATATAGTACGGTACTTATGTTTGTATGTACTTGTACACGTGAATTACAAGAACAGGTGCTTGTCCCTACCAGTACTAATGTTGGATCTGCGTTGTTGGGATTCTCCTCGTGCCGCTTCTTCCTCCCCCTCCTTGGACGACCTAGTCATTGTTTCTCTAGCTTCAGCCTCAGCTTCAGGGAGTGATTGACATGCCTACGCACAAAAAAACGCCTATAACCCGTCTGAGGCCTAATCAACCAGCCGGCTGCAACGGCTCGATTTCCCATTGTCCCCACGGCCATTGGCCGAACGCCCTCGCTACGTAATCCTTATTCATCGATCCGTTCCTATCAATCCTAAGCAAGCAGGTTGGGTCACTCGGAATCCTTTGGACTGGGCGGCCTCGAAGATTCCGGTGCAGCAGTTGTTCGCCCCTACTCGACCCATCAGCCGCTCCCGTCGCCGACCGCGATCTCTTCGCACGCTCGTATCGATATATCGGCCTCAAATAAGCGGGTTGGCGGGATCGTCGACGGCCGTGAACGTCTGGTCTGGCATCCAGATTGCCGGGACGGGCTTGTTGACTGACCTCTTGGGGGGGTGGCGTTGAGGTGCAACGACAGCGCCAGGTCCCGCCCTGTTTTTTATCTCTTCCTTTTTTCCCTCTCTTTTTCTTTCGGATTTTCTGGCCACGGGGCAGCTTTCCAAGCCGGTCCAGGCTAAAAGTCAGGCGAGACGTTCTAGACTGGGCAAGAGGTGAGCAGGAGGTGGCCAGGAGGTGGCCAGGACGGGGGCAAGACCGGGGATTCGGCCGCCAAGGGTGGGTCGCCCATGATATCATTGCCCTCCCATTGCATCCGTCGCAAGCGACCTGAGGAAAGCTGCAGGTCGAGCTCTTATACGGGCCGGTTACCACAGATCCAAGCCGCCTCTGCGTTATTATTACTCGCCAATTGAGTCCCAATCGCCACAGGTCGGCCGTTCTGCGAGGGAAGCCCCTGGCATCCTGGTCGATAGCTCGCCAGGCAACCTGCAACCCCGGGTAGGATGCACGTCTGATGACGATTCCATCTCTCCCCGAGTCTCCAGACCATCACCCTCCTTCGGCCCCAACCCCACCAAAGCCCCGCGAAAGTCGCCGTGGCGCCCACATTAGCGGCTTTTCTTCAACCCTGGCGCATCGGCGCCAGGGCTGGTGCTCGTGCTCGTGCTCGTGCTCCTCTCGCTGTTGGTGCCGATGCGGGTGCTGACGGTAATGATAATGGTCGTGTCCCGCCGTCCGTCTCTTCCACACCCCCCTCCGCCATCGAAGACGCCGACACAAACAACGACAGCAACAATAGCAAGAGTGGCAGCAACAGCGACAGCGACAGCCGCCACAACGACAGCCACAACCTCAGCGAGGACGATATCGACGACGACAGCCCCGAGGTTAACCGTGAGGAGAAGAAAGAGGCCCACGCCCTACGAAGGAAACGGATTCCGCGAAACGGCAAGGCGGTAGTCCGGTCCTCGCTCGTCTCCATCCACATTTTCTCCCTTGTCTTTCTGGTCGTCGTACTGGTAAGTTCTCAGTACGCCCCAAGTGGCTGTTTCCCACCGCGCCGCGGCCTGGCATGATGCCTACCCAGCTAGGTACTGCTACTACTACTGTACTTGTGTAGCATATTATGCCAACAGGCCGGCCACCTACCTACATCTTGCCCATATATATCCCTTGGCCATCCCACCTAACATCTGGGGTGTCCCCGCGCTGTCGAATCCTGGACGCAATCTGGCTCCTCTTGGCTAATAAGCACTCCTCCAACGTAGGTCGCGCAGCTATTTCTGACGAACGCAAAGCCACAACACTCGCGTATCCTCGCCTCTTACCCTTTCTCACGCATAATTGCGTCGCCTCCTGCTGTCGTGGCCCGCGAGCCCATCTGCGAGAGCCCCCAGCCTTTTCCCACAACCCCGCCGGTATCCCGTGCACGCACCATGGCGCTCGCCGAAGAGACGAAGCGCATCGCCGCGCAGTTCGACTATTCCGATCAAGATGTGAACGTTGGCGTTCGAGAGTTCTTGAAGCAAATGCGTATGCTTGTGACTTTTTCCCCGCTACGGTCGACTGCCGAGCTAATCTGCGCGTAGATGAAGGATTGGAACGAGACGGCACCAGCCTGAGCCAGATCCCGACTTACGTGACCGGCGTGCCCAACGGCACCGAGAAGGTATGCTTACGACCTAGGGGGTTCTTTCCGACTAACTTACACGCAAAAAGGGGCTGTACCTAGCCGTCGACCTAGGGGGCACAAACTTCCGGGTCTGTTCAATCCATCTAAACGGCGACACCACCTTCAACCTGACTTACAGCAAAGTTGCGATCCCGAAGGAGTTGATGGTGGCAAAAAAGGCCAGCGACCTGTTCAGCTTTTTAGCGAAACAGATCGAGCTATTCCTCAGAACCCACCACGGAGCCCATTTCGACGCTAGCATCCGCCGGCGGCAGACTGTGAGCACCCCGGAGGGCTTCCGCGACGAACACATCTTTCGGCTTGGATTCACCTTCAGTTTCCCCGTCCAACAATTTGGTATCAATAAGGGCACTTTAATGAGGTGGACCAAAGGGTTCGACATCCCGGACGCAATTGGCAAGGACGTCTGTGCCTTACTGCAACAGGAGATCGATAACCTTCACCTCCCAGTCAAGGTGGCTGCTCTGGTGAACGACACCGTTGGCACGCTAATGGCCCGCTCGTATACATCGCCGGGCAAGACGTCGACCCTCGTGGGCGCCATCTTCGGAACGGGCACCAATGGAGCCTATGTGGAGAAGGCCTCCAACATAAAGAAACCTATCAAGGGCGATTACGATAGATCGACGGGTCGCATGATCATAAACACTGAGTGGGGTTCCTTCGACAACCAACTGAACGTATTACCCAACACCTCGTACGACATCGCGCTAGATCAGGAGAGCGTCAATCCTGGCATTCAGATCTTCGAGAAGCGGGTATCCGGCATGTTCCTGGGCGAGATCGTTCGTCTAGTCATCGTCGACATGCTTAAGAACGCGGAAATCTCGCTGTTTCGCGACGATCACTCTGGCCAGAACGATTGGAAGTCTACGACAACAATCGCCCCCGAGTCGGGACTGTTCAAGCAATGGGGCCTCGACAGCTCACTCATGTCCGTCGCCGCGGCTGACAGCACACCGGATCATTCATCCCTGCGCCAGGAGCTCGAGAAACAGTTACATATCTACGCCGCCTCGCTCGAGGATGCCCGGGCCTTCAAGGACATCGCGTATGCCGTTGGCCGCCGTGCGGCAAGGTTATCCGCCGTCGCCCTCGGCGCCATTGTGCTGCAGAGCGGGCAGCTCCAGGAGCCGGGCGACGAGCCGATCGACATCGGAGTTGACGGCAGCCTCGTAGAGCATTATCCCTTCTTCCGGGACATGATCTACGAGGCTCTAGCGGCGGTCGAGGGCATCGGCCCGGAGGGCGCAAAGCGCATCCGCATTGGCATCGCCAAGGACGGCAGTGGCGTTGGCGCCGCCCTGATCGCGCTTGTTGCGGCAGGTATGGAGAAGAAAGCGAACGTGGACTACCTCCACGGCGTCCGGAATGGTATCGTGCACAAATTCACGGACTCGGCCCGCCAGCTGACAGCAACGGTAGGTTGATTACCGCTATGGCATGTCTCCAGATACACCTGGCTCTATTTTTTTTTTTTTACTCCTAGGTGTATCTAGTTAATCACCATAGAGGTGGTGGGATTGGGTGGGAAGGAAAGGGGAACGGAGGTGGGGAGGTAAAGAACGGGAAATGTCGAAATGTGTACAGATGGGTCAGTGTATGGATTATGCTACCTGCCACCTCGGCCTGCGATCATGACGGAAGGTGGGAATTAAACGAAGGTTTTGATGATGAGTTTACTGTTAGATCCACTACTAGCGCAAATGGTGGATCATGAAGCCTATTCATTCAATCGTACCCAGGCAGCTAACCTACCTACCTAAGCACCCGCGTCTGCTAGGGTTTGAATCTACCCCTCCCCTCCCTCCTGCTGTTTATCATCATATGAGGCTGTAAGATGCAGCCTCGTAGGAAATCGTAGGGAGTTCGGTCTGCCTAATATCTGTGCCCATCTCGAATCAGCTGGTAGTTGTCGAAAGAGAATCAATTCCATGAAACAGTCGTTGATAACTCCCAGCCCACAACTCAGTCTAATCTATAAACCCAAAATTCCAATTCAAGATATTACGGACTAATGAACACACTATATGTATAATTCACCGAGTGCTTCTCATCTTATCTTTCCTTTGCCTAAGTCTTCTTGTCTTCTTATTCTTTACAACTATTTTCTTTTTTTTTTTAAACAAGAAAAGGGGTTCCCGACACATCGAAACTTAGTAGGGGCTTCTGGAACATGCGCTACGCATCCCTTGCTTCCTGGTGTGCCATTGGCAAACCGCCCACCCAAATCGCGACTCTTCCCTTCTAGAATCCAACCAAAGCCAAAAGGTTATCTAGCCCCTTTACGTACTGACCCTCGGAAAGATCAGGTCGAGCCAGAGTGGAAGGTGATTTGAAGACTGGCGAGATGGAACGACCTCCCTCAACCACGGATCGAATGCCTGGTGCGAGGGACAAGTATAGCATCGTATACACGTATCGCTGGCGCTCCACACTATGCCTACATCGCCAAGTTGGTATGCAGGGAAATGATGAGCAGATACTTGCGCAGTTCCTGCTCTTGCGCCGCCGCCAGACTCGCCGGATGGCCGGGCAGGCGAATCTATTTGCCGAAAGCGGCGGCGGGATACGATCGATCTCGCTTCTTGCGCGCGGTAGAGCTACTCCGTGAGCTCGAACGCGAGCTTGCAGCCGTGTGCATTTCGGCTGGCAAGTCGTTCCACTCTGTGTCCGGCCGTGTGTTCTGGTAGGACATACCACCTAATCCCGGGCTACGGTTTGGCGAGGGTCCGGTGCTCCTCGACGCCGGCGGGGGGAGTATCGACGGCGATGTAATGGCCAGGACTGGAGGTGCTGGTGTCTGAGTTAGATTCGCCGCCGCGGCCGTGGCGCTGGGCGGTATAATTGATGTTGTTGTCGTCGTCACTGCTGTCCCGGCCTTTGTTCCACCCAGTGCTCCCAGTCCAAGGGCAGCAGTTGCCCTACCCCTGCCCCGGATCTCCCGCCGCACGATCCATGCACTGTCGGGCAGTAGCTTGAAGTAGTATCCCTGGACCTCGTCCGTCTTGATAAACCCACGCGCCAGGTACCAGCGCAGGCCTTCCTCATTGTTGGTCCAAACGTGGGCGTACACAGTCTCGCAGGAGAAGGCGCTGCACACGGCCAGGTTCACAACCTCGTCCAGCAGGGCAGCAGCCAGACCAAGGTGCCGGTACGGCGAGAGCAGGACGAGCGACTGGATGTAGAGAGCGTTGGGCTGGGCGCCTGGGACCGTGTGCGACTTCGCAGAAAAGATGGATTGCTGGGGTGCTGAAGCGGAAGCGGGGTTGAAGGGTGAAGGTTCGGGCCGGCACACGAGGCCTCCGATCACCTTTTTGGCGGCGACGGGTGAGTTGGGGTCGGCATTGGGGAAGTCGTCCCACAAGATAACGCGGCTGAAAGCTCCGGAGGACAAGGGATCGGAGAGACGCGCGTAGAAGGAGTCTGGGTAGTTGACGGGTAAGAGTAGAGAGGTTATGCGCCGAAGGGCGGGGATGTACTCGGGGAGGATTGGAGAGATGGTCGCTTGCGGGTGGAGGGGTGGTGACCTCAAAGTCGACGCGTTGACGGGGTCTGGAGACGTCGCTGGTAACGGCAGGACAGCGACTGGTGCCGCTCCGGGCGCTTGCGGCGGTGGTGGTAAGGAGGGAGGTGGAACTGCTGGCTGCGCAGGAGGTGTTGCGGTGGGTGGTGAAGCATACGACGGCGGTTTCGGGTGGAAGAAACTTCGGATGGAAGACTGGCCATTCGAGTTAGTCGTAGGAAGAGACATACCTATGTGTAATGAAAATAAGGGTTGCTATAGTGGCTAGAGATGTGTTGCCATTACAGGATGCAGCCAAAGAGAGAATTTGAGAGGTACCTAGTCATAATAATCGAGAGCGTTTGCATTCATTTTGGCATGATGGCGTTGCCAGGTGGGCCTTTCTCCGTAGCCTCCATAGGCGTTTCTCGGGAGTTAATGGATAAGAGATAAGATGGGCCCTTCTGCACTATAAAGATAGAGGTGTGGTAAACTGAAGGGTATTGGGAGAGTCGCATAGGTACCTACAGGTAGGTACCTCCTAATCCTATCCCGGGGATAGTTGTAACACGTTAAACCCCTGTCCTGTAAACCTTCCCCTCCCTCTCTCTGTAAATACCCTCTATAAATACTCTTTATAAATACTTTTTATAATTCTAATAACTTAATTTCGATTTGCTAAAAGTTTATATATAGAGAATATTTTATTTTAATTAATTAAAAGTTTATATAATTTATATAAAAGAATTATATTTAATAAAATTATAGTATATATATATAATAGGCTGCACTTAATAGCAGATCTCTGATTTGTATTAGAGCTTAGTACTGAATAGGAGCAGCGTGGGCACGCTGACGGAGGCATGAAAAGGACTGCTCAACTGCCAACAACTAGCCCAGTGCCGATTAACCTAAGATCACAGCTATAAACAGCTGTAATCGGTTGATCGGCCAGCTGAAAACGGCAGCTGGGAAAGGGAACTAGAAAAGAGCAACGAGGATAGCGAGAAAAGGCATGGCAAGAAACGAGTAAATAGCTATAAGGCCGTAATGGCTACAAGTCTAAGTCTAACTGATGAAAGTATAAGTGCGCGACCCATATAAATAGACATCGAAAAGGCTACGTGGCCTAGATCTAGTACATGATTACCCTCTTAGTACTTATAAAGGTTATATTAGCTATTATAAGTATGACCTTATAAAGATATACTTTTTTTTCTTTTATATAATTTTAAAATCAGTAATATAGAGCTTTTATATAGTAAATAACTTTCGAAACTATAATAATATAATATAATTTATAAATTACTATTCATTTACTAATATATTTAATCTTAATTTTTTTTTAAATATTTATAGTTTTTATTTATTTTATTTTATTTTATATATAAATTAATTAAAGTTACTTGCTTATTATTTAATAAAGCGCTGATTATTAATATTTTTTACTAGTTTAATTTTAGTATATTAATAAAGTCTATGTGGCTCTACTATAGCATGAGGCGAAGCCTCGGGCTTTACTTCGGATAGGATTCTATTTTATCCATGTTGATTGACATCATTTGATGTACCTAGGTACCTGTGTCTTTGAATTGAGACCTCGGGCCTCCGGTAGTCGAGTCCCGCTACCTACTTCATTGGAACTTACATGAGATTTACTCAGGTACCACCATAATACGCATAGGTAGGAGGTACCTAATGTACACATCATTCCATTTGTATATCCTGCTTTAAACACATTTAAGGCAGCCTGCCTCCCGCGGTACCTACCTACCTACCTCCTAGGTTCCGTAATACCTTGGGCACCTGTATGTCATACAGGTACGATGAAGAGTGGAGGCTAAGTAAGTAGGTATGTACCTGCCTACGATACCTCAGGTACTTGACGTACCTCCATGTGAAGGTTGTCTTAGGAGGTAGATGAGTAAGAGGGCTAAGGTAGAGATCATAGACCCTGCCAACCACTGAACCCACTAATGCATGTTGCTTCCGACAAGCTGATTTGCTGGCTTCCACTCAAGAGGCAGGCAGGTTAGGTACATAGGTAGGCACATATTCAGTACAGTAAAGAGAGGCTGGGCACCTGCTAATATGGGAGGTAGGAGTGAGTACCTACTATATGTGTATGGATGTAAGTGCGCAAGTATACAGGCTTGTGCGACAGCATCAGGCTCAGGCTGTTTCGGCCAAAAATTCAGCCTCCAGCACGGATTTTGTTGGCTCCTTAAACTTGCACAGCGTATCACCATTAAGCCTGTCTATTATTTTGCCCCCTTAGGGGAATTTTGTCGCTCTAGCTGAATGGCACTTCTCTTGGACCATATTTCAGTAGTTGCAGCCTGCTAACCAGCCAAGTTAGTGGCACCTACCTGCATCCCTATTTCCTTACGACCTCAGAAGGGAAGTTGTCAAAGGTAGCTAGGTCCGAACCGGGATTGCCAGCATTGCCTACATACGAATCTGGGAAGGGGTAACCTGACCATCCTCATCTCAAAACCTCAAAACTTCTGGAATTTACCTCTTGCTAACATAAGCAATCTCCGCTGCGTTTTAACACCGATACACGGGGATTTAGCAATTGGCGGGATTCCATTCTCCTTCTTCAACTTGTCTCCCCAATCCCGCGAACCCAGGTATCCGAGTGCTACTGGGACTGGAGTCGTCTAACTGCCAGCTAAAGGGGCTGTACATTCGCAGCCCATCTTTCGAGGCGTGGGTACGGTGACATCTTTTCGCCTCGCTTCTCTATTTACCTGGAATTTCCAGTCCGACACAGACGCGCATACGTACACACCCAGCCAAATAACAAGTCATTCCCGCCATCACCTCTAGAGATCTGTTGGCCTCGCATTGCTTGTCAACCTTGGGCCTCCCTCGACGTTTTTCCGGTCCTACAGCAGTCCTCCCCGACTCTTGACGTCGCAGCCGGCCGTGCGGAACATTCACCATGGCCGCCTCAAACACTGGCAAGGCTGGAGTCATCAAAGCCCCCGATGGTGCTGGGAGCATGGACCGTCTCGTAAGTTGGTACCATACTACGCGTGCCGTTCTACGTCCCGACCCAACCAACCCATATACCCGTAGGGCGTTTTATCTAGCTTACCATGTGATCCCTAACAGGCTCACGCCGTGCTCGATGACCTCCTTTATAACATCGTACACGACCTGTTAATGAAGACCCACCGAGATGAGAAGATCGCCCGTGCCGCCACCGCTGCTATTCGCGTCGAGAAACTGGCTGCCGATACATCTGATTCATCCACTCCCGACGCTCGACTGGATGTGAAAGTCGAGACGGATGCCGCGATCTATGACGAGGGAAAAGTCCTGCTGAAGGGCAATCCGCTCCAGACAACCAAAGACATCGTTTGCCCGAGATGCCATCTTCCGAGATTGCTCTACCCGACGGACGGCAAAGGGGCGAGGAAACCCGATCCAAGCATAATCTACTGCAAGAAACATCCGTACATAGACAAGCCCGGCTACGATATCTACGGGCAGACATGGGTTGCGCAGGGTCCTGGAAGGGGCAAGAAGAAGAAGGATATCGAGAAGAAGCTAGAGCAAAGCTCGGATGCACACACACCCACGCCCGAAGGAGCAGCCGGCGGAAGTGCTGCCTCGCGCCCCCCGAATATGCTCTCGTTTCCATCGGCAACCTGCAGTAAATGCAAGCGATGCATCTTGGTCACTCGGCTCAATAATCATATGGGTTCCTGTATCGGGAACAGCGGGCGAAACGCCAGTCGCGCCGCTGCGCAGAAGATTAGTAACGCAAACGGCAGCGTAGACGGAACCCCGCCTTCTAGCCAGAAAGGCACACCACATCCGAGCTCGAGAGCTAGCAGCCCCAAGAAGAGAGATGGGGACGAGATGGACGATGACGACGAAACCGACAATGACACCCACAAGAAGAAGAAACTAAAGCCTACTGCGGCGAACGCAGCCAATAAGAAGCTGATTCTGAAACACAAGGGCGGCGCGGGCCCCAAGAAGGAGAAGGTGAAGACAGGTTCCTCGCTGAGCGTCGAACAGAAAGTGGACGACCGTGATGCTGAAGGCTCCACGGTAGAAGTAGCACCCAAGAAGAAAATCACTAAAATCCCAAGCCCAGCAAAGAAGTTGAAGCTAGGTATTTCTAAGCCCTTATTGTCGTCCCCCATATCCAAAAGTAACGGAAAACCCTCACATGGGAGTGGTGGTGGGCGAGAGGACGATCGCGAGTCTGAGAGTTCGGGAACACTGTCCTCTCCTCCAGTTGTATAGTTGAGACACCGAAAATAGTCCAGCCTGCTATTTCTCGCAGCAGAGCAATGATACCCCGCGACAAAAGGCCACAATCGTGAATCCGACAGAAAGAGAGCAGAGAGAAACCTCGCGCCCTCACAGCATATTGTACAACATCCACCGCTTTGCATTCAACCGGGGTTCTGGGCGGGCATCTTCTACATCTCATGAGGAGGGGCAGAGACCGGAGTCTGCCCCCATTACTAAACCTTGTATCTTTAGAGCGACCTGCACATACATATCATAATAGAGAACCCTAGATATCGGCCCCGACTCGGGGGTTGATTTATATAGTGGACGCGTTACGAAATGAATTCTGTCCTGTTTGTTATTTCTGCGTATCTCCTTGAGAAATCGCGAGTTTGGGTTTTGAGTTCGAGAACGCCCACCAATGCATGTCCCATCCTCATGCGATGTTAGATTTCCTACCTAACCCTTCCCTACACAACCGCGTCACGCTCCCCGTTTGCGACGACCCTAGGCGGCCTCATCGCCATCGTCGATCACCTTGGCATGTATGATCTTGACCTCCTCGACAGGTCGATCATCGGAGCCAGTCTTAACAAGGCCGAGACGCTTAAGAACGGCAAGGCCGGTCTTGACGCGACCGAAGATGGTGTGCTTACCGTCAAGCCAAGGGGTGGGTGCCAGGGTTAGAAAGAACTGGGAACCATTGGTGTTGGGTCCAGCGTTGGCCATACTGAGAATGCCGGCGCCGGTGTGGCGAAGGTCCGGAGCGAACTCGTCCTCGAAGGTATCGCCATAGATGCTGGACCCGCCGCGCCCCGTACCCGTGGGGTCGCCTGTCTGAACCATGAAGTTGGGGATGACGCGGTGGAAGACAACGCCGTCATAATAGCCTCGACGGGCGAGGGAAGTAAAGTTAGAGCAAGTGCGTGGAGCGTGTAAGCTATACAGCTCAACAGTGATGGTGCCCTGTGAGGAAAAGAGTGAGAGTTAGATATACGAGGTGCTGGTAGGTAGATGAGGCGCCAATTAACTGGCTGGTGGTAGTTGTCAAGTAAGATAACAAAGAAGAATGCAAACGGGAGGGCGCCACGTACCATGGAGGTCTCGAGAGCTACGTTAGTTGTCATGTTGACTTATCCAGAGTTGCAACACAGATACACAGAGCTAAGGCGTTGCCCGGATTTGACCAAGTGACAGGTAGGTGGGCAAGGTATGTGTATCACCACTCGCCTCACATCCGCGAACCTGGAAGCCACAAGATTGCTGGGTCTGTACCTTGCATTAAGAGGATGGAACTTGTCGCCTCGATCTCCAGCCGAATCTAGGATCCGCCTAAGCAATATGCAAGTATTGGGTGTCTCCTTTTAAAGGAGTCCCGTTGGAAACCAACTCATTCTGTCAACAAGGACATTCATTAGCTTAAGTAATCAATAGGTAGGAGATACCCAGGTACCTAAGGTTAAGTACCCGGTACCTAGTGCCCACCGAACTGTGGGTACAAGGTTAGGTAATCTCAAGGCTTAGATACCTGCATTGTTGTCCGTCCCATGTGTCGACAATACGTCAACATCTCACATCTCAGTCATTGCTCCTAGGTGTGCTTCAACTGGGCGAAAATAAAACAATTCACTCAGCTCTCCTAGTCGAAAGGATCCGGGGCATTAACACACAAGGTTTTTGCATAGATCCGGATGATGGCCTTCCTGTCTGACTTTATGGATATTCAATCCCTAGACTAGTGAAGTCACCGCTTGCCTGCCCCCCAGCCCGATTCCACATATAAGGCATTCCTCACCACTTCTGGTATCGGCGCTATACCAGCCCTTGACACGACCAGGGGAGTCGGCAGCCAGGCAAATCTTTTCAGAAAAACACGCCAGCACAGCACACTTATCTCTTGTCTTCCTTTTGCAAGCCTGGCCCAGACACTGCCGAATCTTGTCATCTTCCCGCCACCAGCGGCAGACACCTTTGACGGCTAGTATCAAAACTCGGCACATCCTCAACCTGGAGGTCGTTGATATTGCCCCCTCTATTCTAGGCCATCAGAAAGGTTGGGGATATGGCTACCAACAGTTCATCACTTGTTACAGAAGCAGTAGCCAGCAAGATCTTGCCGACAAATGTCGCTGGAACCCCCCAAGCCAATCAAGCCTTCATGGATCAACTCGTCCAGCTACCTGCTACTCTGTGGGAAAATAGCGACGTTCTTGTACTCGAGTGCCGAATCGTCTTCACAGCTCTAGCTTGTATTTATCTGGGGTCCCATGCCTCTCTTCGCCGCCCCCCATCAGCCAATCCTCCCAAGAAGGATGGGAAAGAGAATAAACATGGAGGACGGGATCGAGATGATCAATTCGTGCAGGGTCTACTCCCATCTGACGCCATTATATTCCCCATATTGGCTGGCGCATCACTTGTAGGACTCTACTACTTGATTAAATGGCTCGAGGATCCAGACATCCTTAACAAGATACTTCGGGTCTATTTCTCCATCATGTCACTCGCCAGCCTGGGAAAGCTCTCTGCGGACTGTCTGCATTTCTTGGTGGGATTTATCTTTCCGAGCGTGTGGACCGCCAAGGACGGTAAGCTTTTCCATATCGACGCTTCCAGAAGGGGCCAGTGGTATACGGCTGAAGAGTCCCCAGATCGAGTATGGGATGACAAGAAGAAGACTCCTCTTGCGGGTTGCTGGTCCGAGATGAATATTTTTGACTCTAAGAAATCTTTTCTCTGGGGAATCCGCCATTCACTTCTGGACCAGTGGACTATCCGTATATCGCTTCACGGTATCGTCAACGAGACCTTTAAGGTCAAGTTGGTCGATATTCTGGGCGTCGTCCTCGCCGTCGGAGCAAACGTGTTGTACTACGCGACGGAATCGACCGCTTTATCGAACATTATGGGCTACGCATTCTCATATACTGGCATATTAGTGTTGTCGCCCACCACATTCACTACCGGCACTGCCGTCCTTTTCGGATTATTCTTCTACGACATTTACATGGTCTTCTACACGTGAGTTTTATACCATTGCGCATCTCTCGGTCCCCTATTAACGGCGAGGTACAGCCCATACATGGTGACAGTCGCCACTAAACTTGATGTCCCTATTAAACTCGTGTTTGGGGGACCGAAGAAGGTTAGCATGCTTGGGTTGGGCGATATTGTCCTTCCTGGAATATTCATCGGACTAGCCCTGCGGTTCGACCACTACATGTATTACCACCGACAGCGAAAGCTCGTCCCCATCGAGTTAAAGATCAAGGACGAATCATCAGGTGAACTCGTCACTAGTACCCAGACGCAGCGGATGATAGTGAAGCCTGACTATATAAACCCGCAAGGACAGTGGGGAGACCGATTCTGGAGCACTAAAGTCAGCAATATGTTTTCACCTGATGCTACGCCTGCACTTAAGGCATCGGCATTTCCTAAGCCTTATTTCCACGCAACCATGTTCGGATATTTCCTTGCGATGCTGATGACGCTAGCGATGTTATTAACTTACCGTCACGCCCAACCCGCGCTGTTATACCTTGTCCCAGGCGTCGTTCTTGCTGCTTGGATTACCGGTACGTTGCGGGGCGAAATTCGCGAGATGTTAACGTATACCGAGGATGGCTGGCTAGATACAGCAGACACTATTGTGGAGGTTGACGGAAATGGAAACGTCATTCAGGAGGGCCGCCGTGATGCGGCCGGCGAGAAAGAGAACATGGGAACCAAGAAGAAGACGCCCTCCGACGCCAATCCAACCAAGATTACGGAAAAACAACCCAATGGGTTAAGGCACAATGATTCGGAACCCGCCGAGGTGGAGAATAAGCCGGCTAGCTATCCCGTTTTCCTTTTCTCTATTGAGGCACCAGCTCCCTGATCCGGCTTTGACACGAATGGGAAGAGTTTGGTTGCCTCTTAGTGTAGTGGCACCTATATGTGAGAGTCCAAAAAGACAACGCCTTACCCTGACTTGTAGATTCGCGATGTTTCTTCAATGAATCCAGGCACTCGCCTGTACCAACGTACTAGGTCAGTTGGTGTGCATGTATTGCTTTTTATGTACCCATTTTAGTGTGGTAGGGTGTCTCCATTGGACTACTACAGTGATATCGCTTCTAATGTGGTACCATTGCCTAAAAAGCAGCGTACCGACTTGAAACATAGGTATCTCTCTCCGTACTTCTGGCGTTGGACACATTCTGTCCGTGTGGCCGGGTTCTTACACGACACATTTAAGACAGCGACATAGGTCGAGTGGAGATAACCTGCTTCTTAGGGATTACTTCGGGACACGATGGACCTTTTCGTGCTGAAAAAAACAAAACCAAGGGTTATAGGACGGAGAATATCATATGCCCTCCTTCCGCTAAAATACGTCGCTAGAATAAAATGTTAGGCGGCTCGGTAGACATAACTAGCTTAACCAATAAGCCTCGACCTAGATTATTGCTTAGAGTGAAGTTCAAGTTACTCCCTGTGTCATAGAAGAAATCCAACCTAGGTAGCTCACAATCAAATTTGTAAGTGTCAATGTTTTCGCGCAACGATATATTTGCGTCGTCTTCTACAGCATGCAATATTAGTAACAAAATGAAATCGAGGCACCTACATATTGGCAACCCAACAGTGCATAGGTAGGTACCGAAAGTAACATGTTGCCTTATATGAGCGGATATTAATATAAAGTTACGTTAGTACTATTAAGGTTGAAGGTGCTCGGGGGACCTGCCCACTAAATAGCACAGGTACATACTACCTAATAAGTAAGATGTCTTTTATTAAGATACTATAAGTAAGAAAGTAGGTATGTACCTAGGTACCTTAAAAGATAGGTACCTACACTTACCTATATATACTTTAAGTACCTCTTGCCTACCTTTTATATAGATAGGTACCTAGGTAGATATACTTTAAGTATCTATCTACTTTCTATATAGCTTAGTAGATATTATTATAAATAATATATATTTATATATTCAATAATATATATCTTATACTTTACTTACCTTATATTAAAAAAGTAAAAAAGTAAATTTTAATAATATATTTCTAGTAATTAAATAGAAAATAGAAAATATTTTAAATTTAATTTATTTATTATTAAATTAATTTTATTAATAAGTATTAATTAATTTTAAAGATAAAAACAATTCTAAATGTAATATCTATAGACTCTTATTTTGTATAGGTTTTAATTAATTTAGTTCACTATAAGGCACCTGCAGGAGGTAACCTTCATATCTGAATACATCAGTGTTGTACCTTTAATAAATTGTTCAGTCACCAGTGAAGTTGTCGGGGATTTCACCCAGCCTCAGAAGTGTAGGTGAGACAACCTCCATCCTACCTATTTCTAGCATGTTCTCTTGTTTTTGAGGCATTAGGTTCCTACAAACGATATCTCCTCTTGGAGCGAAACTGATATCTGACCTGCACAAATTTCTAGCATATCTTCGACTCCTAACCAGATATACAGCACCATGGGGTCATCAACAGGCAGGGTCGAGATCATTCAGTATTTGGTTGACACTCGGCGTTTATGGCCCCAGGCGGCCAAGACAAAGGATCTCGAGAATGAAGTGAGTACGAGCGACTCTTCATTAATCTTCTTAGTGCGGTGCGCAAGTGTATAGGCGGCCTTACAACAATTGGGAGAAGAAAAAAAAGCCAGGATGGAAGGAAGCGTGACAGAGAACGAAGCGAAGGAAACTCCAAAGAGATGTGAGGAAATAAGAGACTGACGTCGATCCGCTCCTATCTGGCAGGCTTCGCAGGCTCTCGCACTCCTTAGCCGCGAGGAGCGGGATGCGGTGCTGCGATACTACTTCGTAGCCGACGCCAAAATGTCGCTGGTGTCTGCACTACTGAAGCACTGGGTCGTGAGCCGATACGCGGGTGTGCCTTGGCGGGCGACACAGTTGACGCGCGACGCCAACAAGAAGCCCATATTCGTCTTGGGTAGCGAGGGTAGCAACAAGCAGCCTGTTGCCTTCAATGTCAGCCACCAGGCCGGGCTCGTAGCACTAGTCGCCGTAGCCGGGTACGCGGACGGGGAGGGGGTGGTGGATGTTGGTGTGGATATTGTGTGCACGAGCGAGCGCCGCGCCCGCGATCACAAAATCATCGCCAGTCAGGGCTGGCCAAACTTTGTTGACATGCACTCCGACGTGTTCGGGCGGTCGGAGGCAGGGTACCTGAAGCGGCAGCAGCAGGATAGGGCAGGCCCCCGAGAGGATGAGCTGCTGCGCCAATTCTACACGCTGTGGTGCCTGCGCGAAGCGTACGTCAAGATGACGGGGGAGGCGTTGCTCGCGCCGTGGCTCAAGGACCTCGAATTCCGTGGGTTTCGGGCCCCGGAGCCTGGTGAAGGGTTCGTACAACGACCTGACGGCTTCGACGATGGCGGCAGCGACGAGCTCGTGGCAAGCCTCGAGGTGATTAGGGAGCACAATGTTGTGTTCAAGGAGGAAAAGGTGGAAGACGCGAACATCTGTCTGCGGTCCCTGGGCCCGGACTACATGACGTGCACAGCTGTGCGGACACCGGCCCGCAGGGAGGATGCGCTAGGTTGGAAGCTAGGGCCCTTCCAATTCCTCACGCTGGACGAGATTATTGCGCATGCGGAAGCGCATCTGAGGGATTAATTTCTATACCATACTTGCATATTCATTGCCTGCTAGGTATGATCACGGTGAAGCCTTTTCTACCCTTGGTTGCAAGGAAGGATTTTGCGTTAGAGTGATGGGTACGTAGGTATGTATGTACAGCCTGTTGAGGTGTGGAGACAGGTGAGTGATACCTTTATGCTCTCTCTCTCTCTCTCTCTCGCGTAAGGGATGCTATGAATATGGTTCTGGTCATTGGGTTATGGAGGTCTGGTTTCCTATTTGATATGGTACGACAGACTATCATCATGGATTCAACATCAACCCGAGCCACGGAGATGCGTGGTTATTTAATGATACCAGTACACACTTATTACCTACGCCCCTGAGGGGGGATCACAGTGTGGCATTGAATAGTGTCTGTCGTTTGCAAGTAGTGGGGGAGGGGTCTACTTCACACATGCATGTTGATGTATCTAGAATCTAGAACGTTTCCTATTATTGGAATTACTAACGACAGTAGAGCCACCCTTTGCTTTGTGGTAATGGTTTAATGTACCATCGCTCTGAAGGTGTCTAAGTGTGAGGTATGCTGACATGCGGATCAGCCATTTGCCTGTCTTCTCAGTTATTTCTAGGAGCTGGCCTCTGATCTTACTATGAGGTAGGGATAGATGCTAGTTGATATACGTTGAAGCACCTCAGTACGCTTCTGTTGCCCTTTTGCTGCAAGGTACCTACGGGTAGAAACATAGGTACCTCCCCGAAGGCTGAGGAAAGAGAGGTAGGCATAGATAATTTTAAATAACCAATCACGTTGGCTCTATTTTTTGAGAATTTTACTTTACGTTATATGCTTATAAAAGTAGCAAGCTCTAGCTATAAATATACTATAGTATATAATGCATATACTTTATTTACTTATACTTTTATCCCTTTATAAATGTACTTTATTAAGTATCTATTTGTAGTCAAGTGCCTATGTTAGGTACCTCTCAATGTGCGACCAGGTACCCACCTACCTCTTGTGGTGTATGGGCTGGCGGGATCTCATTGGCCAGGACAGGTGATTTCTTCCAACCCTCTGGAGCGTTCGATGGAGGTAGCCATGACCTGGTGTGCTACTACCGTTCCTGCTCCAGCCGGCCTTTATCAAGCCCACCACCGCCTCTTTTGGCACTAAATAGAGACTCGTACCGAAAAACGTCATTTTTTTGGGGAAGTCGGAGGGGGAAAGAGAAAATGCCAGTGCCGATGTTGTCTTTTGTCAGAAACGACCATCAACATTCCTAACCAACATAGGGACGGCATCAAAACATCCCCTAAACAATCTCCTCCTGCAGATATACCACCAAGATTCAGCAGTCCAACCCAGCCTAAGGACGGTTTTTTTTCCCCCCCTCCTACCCCTGTGGATTTCAGACGTGCTCTTTTAGGCCATTCGAACCATTCGGCCCTCGTGTCACTCATCAGTTATCGTCTCGAATGAGTCCTCCACCTCAACCTAATGGTTTCTGATCAATACGCTGCCATCGACTCCAAAAAAGATGTCTGACACTGGAGAAAGGTAGGTGTTCCATTCGCAAGGGAAGCAACGTTAGGGGCTGTCCGGTGCTGCGTCAGTGCGATGAGATACGGCACCCTAGAGATCCCCTACTAACTTGCCTCCCTAGCAGTCAGCACAAGAGGTCAAAGTCAACGGCCCTATCGTTACTCCGGCGCAAAGACAGGGAAAGTCGAAATGACGATGATGCCACCTCCGAAGACGGATCACAAGCTTCTGGCCTTGCTTCGCTCCCGACAAATGTCTCGGCCCCTTCCGCTACCCCTGGATCGCGCAACCCCCCAGCCAAGAGCTACAGCCAGAGAATGTCGCTTGGCGGAACCCCATTGCGAGACCCCAACTCTCTAACGTCGGTTCGATCCAATGCATCAGAAAAGGGCTCTTCCCTCGAGCAATCCGTGCGCAAGTTTCGAATCGTCGAGGCCCTACGAAGCGGCAACACGGCCGCCATCTCTAAGGCAATCCGGGAGACTTCGGAGGGTGGACCTCGTGCGAGCACTTCGTCTATGAATGGTGCAAATCCTACGCCTCTCGAAGATACAACGGTTCTACACCTTGCTGTACAGTGCGCGGAGTATGAGGTGGTGGAATATGTCCTGTCTGATGGTGCCGGATATATCGACATAAATGCCCGAGATAAGGATGGGAATGTGCCCTTACATATCGCTGCTTCCCAGGGGCGCGGACCGGTGGTCCGCCTGCTGTTGGAGCAGAAAGACATCAACGATGCCATTACAAACAATCAAGGAAAGCTCCCATTGGATGTAGCGCGAAACCCCGATATCTTTCAACAACTCCAACTCGCCAGGACTCTGTTCGTTCAGGACAAAGTGAAGGAGGTCCAGGACCTGGTGCGGCAGGGCGCCTATGAGACCTTAGGGAATATTCTCGAAGAGCCCCGCGTCAAGACGATACTAGATATCAACAGCATCGAATTGCCCTGTGATCCCGTTACCGTCCAGGCCGGGGGGACACTGCTACACGAAGCCGCTCGTAAGCGGGACACGAAACTAATTCAGGCCCTCCTGCTTCACGGGGCCGACCCATTCCAACGGGATCGTAAGGGGAAGCTGCCTCAGCAGGTTACTAACGACGATCTTACCCGTGCGATGCTCAAGCGCTCGCCTGCTGCCGTCGCTGCTCAGCGTGGCATTCAAGAGAAAGCCGTGCTCGGTCATGTGGCCTCCCAAGGGGGATCCGGGCCATCTGTCGCCGGAGACCCGCTGGCTGGTCGCGAGCCACAGATGAAGGGCTACCTCAAAAAGTGGACGAATTACCGAAAAGGCTACCAGCTACGTTGGTTCGTTCTTGAGAACGGCGTTCTCAGTTACTACAAGCACCAGGACGATGCGGAAAACGCTTGTCGGGGAGCCATTAGCATGCGCATCGCCAGACTACATATGAGTCCGGAAGAAAAGACCAAGTTTGAGATTATTGGGAAATCATCCGTGAAGTATACCCTGAGGGCCAACCACGAGGTCGAGGCAAAACGATGGTTCTGGGCCTTGAACAATGCGATTCAGTGGATGAAAGACCAGGCAAAACAGGACGAGCGCCAGAAGGCACAAAGCGCCGAGATTCTACGACAGGCCCGAGATAGCCTGGTAAGGCCGGCAGAACCATCCGTGAACGATTCACACAGTGATATTGCAAGCTCTGTCGAGCCAAGGAATAGCACCCAACTGTCTCGCCTTCCTTCGACCAGAACGTCTGCTCCTCGTGTAGGGATATCCCGCGCTAGTACCGCCGGAAGCCAGGACGACGAGTTTGTCGATGCGGGGACGCCAGAAACGAAGGCGCAAAGCAACGGAGCCCTAACAATACCCGGCGAAGCGGACGATGACGACGACGACGACGACTACCCAGATCAGTCGAGCCGGGGTGATGCCCCAACAGCGACGAAGGACGCATTCAATATTACAGCTCAGTCCGCGAGACTCCAACTCGACACCTTGGCATCCGTGAGTGCGGCATTGCAGGTGGAGGCCCATCGGAATCCGTCTATGTCACTTGTAGACCCTAAAGCATCGCAAGCGCTTGCTACGTACGACGCGGCTATCCGAAGTCTGAAGGGGCTTATGGGGGACCTTCTTCGGATTGCCAAGGACCGCGATTCACATTGGCAATATCGCCTAGAGCAAGAAGTCGAAATGCGACGGATGTGGGAGGATAGCATGGCCAAGGTAGCTGCGGAACAGGAGATTCTAGAGGCGAGGGTCGGAGAGGCCGAGAAGAGGCGTAAGATGGCCAAGCGTGCTCTCCGGGAAGTCATCGGAAGCACTGCCGAAGGTCGTCCGCCAAGCCGTGATAGCGCTCACGTTGTACATCCTCAGACGGGAGGTGTAAACGAAGACGAGCCGGCCGAGACGATGCCCTCGCCGAAGAGCGTACTCCGCCGATCGGGCACACGCCCACACGCCGTGGAGATATCAGAAGATTCCGAATCCGAACAGGAGGAGTTCTTCGACGCGGTAGACGCAGGCGAAGTGAATGCCGAGCCAATGCCGCCGTCTGACGTCGCGCCGTCCGCCGGCGCTGCGCAAAATGTCGTAATATCCGGTGTAGACATCAGCAGTGCTTTCAGAGGTTATGAGAACGGATTTCGGCAGCGGCTCAAGTTGGACGAAGATAACCGACCTAAGATCGGCCTATGGGTAAGTCTGGAGAGGTTACCCGATTGCAATGTATTCCTAACATCTGTTATAGGGGATCCTAAAGTCGATGATCGGCAAGGATATGACAAAGATGACACTTCCTGTATCTTTCAATGAGCCGACGTCCCTGCTATATCGGACTGGCGAAGACATGGAATACGCCAACCTATTGGACATGGCGGCAGATCGGTCAGACTCGATTGAGCGTCTGCTATACGTGGCTGCATTTGCGGCGAGCGAGTTTGCTTCGACTATTGGTCGTGTCGCTAAACCTTTCAACCCGCTTCTAGGTGAGACGTTTGAGTACGCGAGACCGGACAAGGGTTATCGTTTCTTTATCGAGCAAGTTAGCCATCACCCTCCCATCGGGGCTGCGTACGCCGAGTCGGCGAAATGGACCTACTGGGGCGAGGCCAAGATCGATTCCAGGTTCCTGGGCAAGTCCTTTGATATCTATCACTTAGGCACCTGGTTCCTAAGGCTCCGTCCCACTGCCGGAGGCAGGGAGGACTTCATCACGTGGAAAAAGCCGAAATCACAAGTTGTCGGTATTATTACAGGTAATCCCACCGTGGACAACTATGGACTGGTCGAAATCAAGAACTGGACGACTGGGGAGGTCTGCATGCTGGATTTCAAGCAGCGAGGTTGGAAGGCATCGAGCGCCTACCAGCTCTCCGGAAAGATCCTCGACGCAGATGGACGGCCACGCGTGAGCTTGGGGGGGCGGTGGAATTCCAAGATATATGCTCGCCTTACGCCTGGCTTCGAAGCAACCGTCGAGGAGCCGCAGGACACGCGGGGAAGCATTAGCGACCCCAGCAGGGCCTTCATCGTCTGGGAGGCAAACGTTCGGCCCCAGGGCATCCCATTTAATCTCACGCCATTCGTGCTCACGTTTAACCACATCGACGATAATCTCAAGCAATGGATCGCTCCTACTGACTCGAGATATCGCCCGGACCAGAGGGCGATGGAAGACGGCGAATACGACTTCGCAGCCTCCGAGAAGAACCGGCTCGAAGAGGCACAACGAGCTAGGCGGAAAGCGCGGCAGCAAACAGGCGAGGAATTCATACCTGCGTGGTTTGAAAGGGCGACATGTGAGATCACCGGCGTAGAGTACTGGAAATTTAACGGCAAGTACTGGACGCAGCGAGAGAAGTTTGGCAACGGGGATGCCTACGCGTGGGATGGTCTAGAACCGATTTTCTTCTCGGAGGAATCGAATTAATGGGATCCTTGATGGATAGAAAAATTCTGTATTTAGGTGAGTAAATATTGCCTTGTAGGTTGCAGAGGGAGGAGGGAGGGGGGGGGATACAGTTCCTCTATACGGTGGTATGACACGAGTTTGTACGTATGGAATTCGGCAAGGCTATGCGAATAGAGAGCCTACTCTGCTATGGGATACTGATATTGTTAGGTAGTAAGTACATGGCCGTGGACGCCCTGGTTCTGTCCCGTATCGGGCGAACCAATGAATCAATGGTCACCATCTCTATCTTTTTATTGTTACGGTGGCCGTATGTGGTTGTGGTTGACAGACCGGGACACCCAGGACAAATAGCACAGCACGCCGTGATCTGCACTAGAGGACGAGAACCACTTAGTTGCGAGGGTGTGTTTTTGCTGCATGTCCAACATGATACACAGTGGTGCTGCCCTACCCGCTCGCTACCTGTATAGTGCTACGTATTTTTGGAAATGCCCAGGGAAGGGCAGACAAAGACAGGGGCGTGGTGGAGCTTAATAAGCCGGTGCTGGATCCTATTCTGATTAGATGAGATGATGCGTGGGCCGCGGCCCACTCACTTGCCTATCGAGGCCGAGCCTCGGTAAAATGGCAAGATGGTGTCGTGGTGTCGTGACGGGCCAATCGACAACCTCGCGCTCTATCTCAACACCAGACGCGGCAGACGAACTGAGCCCTCGTCCGCATCGTCGAATATATATGCGTATTCCTCTGGACATACACAGCGGACGCACACCCAAGATCGGTCCTTTTCCGACGCCTTTTGCAAGTTTCTTTCAGCGACCGCAACAGCATACCACGGCGTACCGCGGCATCGAGCAGGGATCTCCAGGCCTAGGCACGTACTGCAGGATTGGCAGTCCTGAACCTTGGGTTGGCGAGACATACCTACACAGGCTGGTGTCGGCCAAACACCTTTTTGCATCTGCGTTGGACAGTCACATCGTTACATACGAGCACCCTTCTGGTCCGCTTGTTGCGGTCCAGGCGAGGCCGGGGGAGAGACGACTGAGGACGAAGACGGGAGAAGGCGACGACAAGCCGGAAAGAAAGATCCGCCAACGGTCGGACAAGCAGCCTCCGCCTAGCTCCGACGAGATGGGTGAGCATCGGCCGACGCTGGTCAGGCCGCCGCCGCTGGACGAGTCCAAGGCCCCCATCGAGAATGCCCTGGAGCTAACCGAGCTGAGCATCATCGGACCCGTAAGCATTCCCGCACATCCTTACCCGTCTTTCTCTATCCTCTGTTGCGTGGCATTGCGTACCTATCATCCCCCGTGCCTCCTCCCTCCGCCGCAGGCCTGAAGCCCACACGGCAGGAAGAGGGTAGGCAGGCGATGGGTTACGGCCACTGGCAACGAATCAACGATGCTGACTCGGCGCTCTCTGCTCGTCTGACGTGCAGGACCTCTTCACCAATACGCGCGAGCTCTGGCATCCTCCCGGCGCGCGGGGAATCTATGGAGGTGCCGTGATCGCGCAGACATTGGCTGTAAGTGGTAATCTACGTAATCGAGTACTAACTTGGACTTCTGAACCCCCCGGCATATCTGCTTCGTTCTCGTTCTGCCTCGTACCCCCTTACAGGCGTCCCCCCTTCCTCTCTCTCTCCTATGTACATATTTTTTCCGGTGTGACTCCTCTACTCTATGGCTATAGCCTCGTCTATATCTCCCTGGGTTTGGGTCCGGATCCTCAAGTAAGGGCCTACAAGTCGGGATTTCCCCGTGACCCCCCAATTCTCTCTCTATGCCCTACGCCCCCCCCCATACGACTTATCGAGCCGCGGCAAGCGCTCCATATTGGTGTCCGCGGCGCCTCTATTTCCATCTCGCCCGGTCCATCTCGCCCGGCCTTATATCCGCTCCGACGTAGGGCAGATGCCGAGGTGCGGATAAGTTGATGGAGCGTTGTGACCGAAGGGTCAGCTTCCCCCACCCCTTCTCAGTCTTCGTCGTCACGCTGCCTACGTATACGTCTCGCGGCTATGCAGTAGATTAGAAGCGGACTTGGTGGTAGTTTCACCCGTCCTAGCCCCTATCCAGAATCCAGGAATCCGTCTCACTCGCATACACAAAGGCGGTAGGAAGTCGACGCGCTAGGGCGCAGCGGATTCTGATTCATATCAGATCGTCGGATGACTGCTTCGCCCTCTGATCCAACGCCTGCCTACCCTACTACGTACTTGCCTACCTATTTTCTCCTATCTTACTCGCCTCGCCTTACCGCATGCATGGTACTACCTTCGGTCAACTAACGGACGAGTTACGCGCCCAAACAGGCAGCACAGCGCACAGTACCCCATGACTTCGTCGTACATTCATACCACTGCTTCTTCGTGCTCGCGGGAGACTCGAGCGTGCCGATCCTGTACCATGTCGAGCGCGTGCGTGAGGGTCGGTCATTCTGCACGCGGACGGTGCAGGCACGACAGCGCGGGCACGCCATCTTCACGGTGACGTGCTCGTTCGTGCGCGAAGGGAGCGGCGGCGCCGAGGCTGTAACGCACGCGGCGTCGCCGTCGTTAGCGGTTGCCGCCCGGCTACTGCGCGACCCGCCGCCCGACGACTACGAGGATCCGCGGTTCCTGCGCGACGGCCACGCCGCCGACGACCCCTTCCAGACGTGCCGGCGGCGACCTAACGATGGCGAAGAGGCGGAGGAGGAGGCCCGCCGCCCACCGGAGCAGAAGCGCGTGTGGCAGTGGGTGCGCGCGCGGGGTCGGATCAGCGATGAGGGGGGCCTCGCAGCACACCTGAGCGCGCTCGCCTACGTTAGCGACTCGTACTTCATCGGCACGGTCAGTCGCATCCACCGGCTCTGGCGCTACCCAGTACCCCTCGAGGACGTCACACGCCTTGACCCGGAGGTGCGGGAGCACCTGCGAGAACTGAACGACTGGGAGGGGTACGGCAAGCTCGAGGAGTACAAGGATCGGCCGGAAGTGGGGATGATGGTTTCTCTAGATCAGTGAGTCCTTTCTCCATTTCATCTTTCTCGCTTCCTCCTATCCTCCTCCCAAGACGTCCGGCCTCTACGTATACAATAAACCATCCCTGTCCCTGTTGCTAACGCCAGCGTCGCCAGCTCAATTTACTTCCACAACCCGAGGAAGGTGCGGGCGGACGAGTGGATGTTCACCGAGATGGAGAGCCCGTGGGCGGGCGACGGCCGCGGCGTTGTCACGCAGAAGATATACAGCAAGGACGGCACTCTGCTGGCCACTGCTTTCCAAGAGGTGAGTCCCGGTGGGCCTGTTCGGGCCGCTGGCTTCGATGCCTCTTCCCTCTCTTACCCTGTCCCGTCCAGCTAGCCGTCCATCTAGCTGGAGGTGAGCACGACAGCAGCTGACGGTTTACTGCGAGCAGGGCGTCGTACGATTAAAACAGAAGGGAGAGAAGAAGGGCGAGGATGGTAAGAAGGGGGGGAGGCCGAAGAAGGAGGAGGAGCAGGAAGAAAAAGTAAAGGCCAAGTTATAAGAGCGACTTTTAAGCTAGCAGCTACCTTGTAAGTTGGAAGGGGGCGGATAAAGCTGGAACTGGGGCAGGTGAAGATTCGACGCGCTAATTCTTTCTTTATTGGTTTGCTTTGGCGTAGGTATGCATTTGGAGACTTACCCGTCCTTCGTGGTTCGCGGCCGAGCCGCATAGAGTGTGAGACGTAATAACACGTACATAGATAGATAGAATGAAGAATACCCGCACAATTATCTGCCCACCCAAGCACGGCCGCCAGGCGCTCTCCGAAGCCGGCGCTTGTCCCGTTGCGGTCGCCCTCGCCACGAAGGGGCGCTAGCAGGAGCGACAAGGCCGGGTTGCTTTGGGGGCCGGGGTGGCACATGGATGTGTACATGCCGAAGCGGATTAGGTACGTGGATCGACCTGGAACGGGTTCCACTGTGGGTTATTATTCATCATTATTAACAGACGCACAACCTGACTTGCCTCACGCTACGTAGCAGTCAGAAGCATTACCTCGGGCGCGAACTGCTTAGCACCGCACGAGCGGGCGGTGCGATGGATCAACCATGTACGCAGGTAGGTATGTCTATGTGCCAGCTCCGTACATCAGGCACCCATCTATGAGAGGTAGTACGTATGTGCGCGGCTGATGTTGGTAGTGGCAGCAATCGAGCCGGCACTCGCAGCAACTCGTCTCTCCTCTGAAATGGACTCGGGACCGACTTCCCTATTTCGGAAAGCATGGCGCCCTCCGTCGGCGTGTCGAGTCGTCTCCTCTCCGTCTCGGAGGGATCCCTTTCGATTTCGCCGCCATGCGCAATGTGTGGGAGGTATACATAGGTATGTATATGCGCAACGTAGTTGGCGGAAGAGACCCGCCAATACTCCGTTGCTGCTCTCCCCTGTTAGCTGAGGTGGTATGTGCCGTGTAACATGGCTAGATTATGCCGCGGCCTCCCTAAAGACCTAGGTTATGTGGGAATGTGACATATTATCAGAGCCGCCCAGATGTGTGAGTACCAGTATGTTTCGCCACGTACCTAATCTCTACGTCTTAATTAAGCACGATGTTGCATCGGGTGGCGGAAGGGGAGGAGAGGCTTATGAAATGTCTCTACCGCAGGCTTTGCCGTTTATGTACCTAGGCATATATACTAGGTACCTAAGGTATGTTCTGATAGGTAAGAGGAACCTGACCTTTGCTAGGTACTGTATATATACCTTAAACGCGTTCTACAGAGGTAGGTACCTAGATAGAGGTAGATATTCACTTTAATATGTGTATATCAATCCCATATTGCACGCCTGCCTACCTACCTACCTAGGTACATGAATGATTCCCCCTCCTCCCCTCCCCAAATCCCGGTCTCTTGGATACACGTGCGTGTACGGAGATACCCCTCCCACTCCCAGACGTGAACGGAAGTGCATAGCGTCATGTCATGTAGCGGGCGTGTACCCGCGCGTAATGGGACACAAAGTGGACCTCGGACTAAGACGACTGAAAACCTTGATGATTCATTAAGCAGCTCGAACCTTGGAAGGCAGCGTTCATGTCATGCAGTACGTGCTACGCAATGCCCAGTTGAGGCAATAAAAGCGCTCCTAACTGCGCGATAGACAGGGTTACCTAACGAGGCACCTGCGAGCTTCCCCCCCAACTTGCCTTCATGCCTTAGGTACCTGTATATGAGTCAACCGGAGTAGTTGAGGGTTGGCGAGCCGGCCGGCTTATGGTTAGGCTTAGCTGGGTTGGGTTGAGCGTAATATCAAAGCGCGGAATGATTCGAAAGCTCTGGTCCATCTAACCTTGCCATCCACCTACGCCATAGATCCACTCTCGTGGCTACAAGTTTCCCATTGGATGCTAAGCGGGGGAGAGCAGGCGCCCATGCTGCCGGCAACCTCAGGTGCGTGGCACACGTAAATGAGGTCGATGTGGCCATTGTGAGGTGGGAATTCCATGTAGGCCCTTTAGCATGCACGCAGAATTAGGACGGGTAGATCCCCCAGGCGTACCTATAGAATAAGTGCGTCTCTCTCACAGCACATAATGTACCTATCTAGCGTAGATGTAGGTAATACTCTATAGGCATAAGCAGGTACCTATAAATACTAGTAGGCACCCGAGGTATCTCTAGGTACCAATTTGTAGGCGTTGTATCGATGGAGATAGCTGGGTGAGGCAGTTAACTCCGATGGTGATGCACCGCGACCACCCCCTACATGGCTAGGAGGCCAGCTGGGGATACAACCCACCTCCTGCTTTGCTAACGAGTACAGAAACACAGCAGAAGAGCGCCGGAGAAAGATCCGCTAGATTCCTTTCCTACTAGCGGCTCGCGTCGAGCCCATGTAAGGGGGTCAAGAGGTGACAAACCCTCCAAGAAGGCAAAGGCATGTCGGCACTGCTCCTCGCAACCCACCCTAACTAGGGCACCGCACATGGTGTTAACCCCTCGCGCGCATATAGCAGCCCGAGAGCGAGGTTGGGGGCTCCATAATTAAAGCAGCGTCAGGTGCCGAAGAGTGTTCGTGCCTACGCATCTGCGCGCGCATTGTCAGCGCTGTTTTGGGGAGCCGGTGCGTCTTGTGACGATGACGGGCGGGTGTGTTCGCACGTACAACGCCACGCCGAAACTGGTAGTTTTCTAGATGTAAGTCGGAGGCAAGGGGTGGCGAGGTCTCAGGTGAGAACTCACTGGGACTAGTGTTCGAGATGACGAGGCGTGGCGTGGTGCCTGGATCGCGCGAGATAACAGATTAGATCTTTTTTTTTTTCTTCGTCGGCGTTTGGGGAAGGCCGACTGTGGAGGGAGGTTGTCGCATATGATCATCTAGGGGCCAGGTAGGTGTCCGGAACGGAGTTGTTCTCGGCGCTCCATGATTACTACGGATTGTGCTTAGTCGGTGAGTCCCCTTCTGGACGCCTAGAACGGTGGCGATGGCCGCCCGCCCAGATAGGTAATCGATACAGACACCTGCTAGCATAACTAGTTATGAACATGCCATCGCGAACCATCCCGCCCGTCTTAGCCTCGAATTGTGAGGTAACACGTTCCTAGCCCAGGTAAATTGATGATGGAGACGCTCGGGGAGCGGGGAGGGGGGAGTGGGCCTGCTTGGCCGCCCACGCACATCAGGTCAGTTCGTTCTAGCCATTCTCTTGGGACTTCTTGGCCGCCCGTGGCAATGGGGAACATGGGAATTCAGCTATGGGCAAATGAAAAGTCTCGTCGGGATCGGGCTGTTGCTATATCCCGTTTCCCGAATCCGAAGGGGGCCAAACGCAGCAGAATCGTATCTCATCGTATCGCATCGTATTCTGCACCTCGGTGCGTTTCGTGCTCCATCCCATATACCCTACCCGATGCCTCGGGGCCCGCGAACTGGCCGACTCGCACCCATCTCGAGCGCACTATGCACCGACTCGTCCATGGAAGGTTTGGATGATTTTGCATCCCCTTCCCCCCTTCCGACCCCCCTTCACCCCTCTTTGCTCTGGCACAGACGCTAGGGAGGCGTAGGTAGTTCTCGAGCCACGACGGATAGCGAGAGGGGAGATGGAGTCAGGATCGCGATTACGATGACGAATTCGATAACCGCTACGACTGTGACAATTTTCGGTAGCCTGCCCACGGCTCGTCCAACCTCCGCAGCATGTGCACGTACCTACCTACCGACCTCAGGTACCTCTTTTGTAAAGCAAGTTGGTGCGTGTATATGCATACACAGAATACATTAGGGGGACGAGCAAGTTAAGCTGGTGAACGGATAAATAAGGCATTTCGCTATGGTTAGATAAACGTATACCGTCACTATTGTGGCGGAGCGAGCCAAGTACACGTCGCGTTGCAGCGCCATGGTGGGCGTAGGTATTAGCCAGGCACCAGGAAAAACACACAATTCTGCTTCACTACCTCCTGGGGAAGTGTCAAGGATCACCTCTGGCATCAGTCACGTCAGTTTAACCACGGAGATTAAAGAATAGGAGATTACACACATCACACCGCCGGGCACTACTATGTAACAATACACGCATACACATATATGCCTGCTTTTAGCAGGCAAGGCGACGGCAGCAGGTGGCCCCTCACGAGCAAGGCAAGGGAAAGAAAACAATAGGGCAAGGCGATCCGGGGAACTCAGGTGAGCGAGATGGGGAGGGAGAAGATGACGCTGTCACACCGAGAACATGGGAGTAAGGTCCAGGTGGAGGGATGCGGGAGGGCTGGCTTAATAATGATACCCATCCAAACCCCTTGCTGACACTAGCGTTATCTCCAAATGATTCAATGCTGATTCCACTCTCGTTTGGTGAGAGGGGCGTGCAGGACCTGATCCTTGCTTCCACATATGCACAACCCGCACAAAGCGAGGGCTTGGATATTGTCCTCCCTTCTCCCAAACGCCCTAAGAAACGCGGCCTGTTTACGGTCGTTGTTATTCCTATTCCTTTCTAGCAGGTGTATACGAGTATGCGACGGCAAGATCCGCGGGGCAACATGCCATTCTATCATTCGTGATTACAGATCCAACATGATATGTTTGGTCGATCCTTGGGGGGTAACAGAAGGTTGCACGCCCAGAGAGGGCACGGTGGTCGCGACAGCAAATGGTATGGTGCCATTGTTATACATCGTATTGTTCTGTTTCGCAACTCGCCGTGGCCTATAACAATGGCTCAGGACACGAAAGAAGCCGAGTTGCCCCTCCCCTTCCCCCCCTCACTAATCAGAGAGGTAAGTACGAGTATGCAAGGTAAAGCAAAGATAGGTATGTAGTTGAGCAGCATCGAGAGAGGGGCATTGGGGCTAAACCGTATAGGTATCGGCATAAACGCTACAGATGAAGAAATCCACCCTCCCTCCCCTCCAAAAAAAAACGCCACAGATGCACTCCTTCTACCACAATTGGTAATACAACGGTGGGCATGATGGCTCTGATCGCCCAGGTTCTTCTATAGCATGGAATTCAACCGCTGATGCCCCCAACCTTTTGTGCTCCTTCAGGAACTTGGGGGCGCATGTTTCCCCATCCCAGCCAAAAAAGAAATATCACCTGTGAACGCCGTGCAGTTATGCATGTCGAAGAGAACTAGTCAACAAGGCCCCCCCCCCTCCCCTCGTCATCCCACCTCTCCTCCCTAGACTGGGAGGCGAACGCGGCCTAGACAGACACCTCCGGGCCCCGGAGCTTGGTCATGACCGTAATGATTCCATATTGCTATATCCGGAGTAGATCATAGGATCCCCGACGCCTAACATGACTTCGGGGTTTGCACATTGGATCATATGAGGCTTGATAGTGCCGAATTCGGATTCGACCAATCCTTGGCTCAGCATCATATCGGCCATGTCCATATCCATCCCCGGTATGAATTGCGGCGACAGGTCCATCGAGTTCGGCCTGCTCATACTCCAGGTCGGGAATGTTGTGGGAGCCGAAGGCGATTGGACGGCGAATAAACCTCTGGAAGGGTCCATCTCGGATTGCATGGTCTTTGCTTCTATATCGTAGGACGCGAAGCTTTGCGGCGACAGGGTCTGCAAGTTTTGCCCGCTCATCATCACCTTCCTATAGTCTTGCTCAAAGTCCGAATGGTCTAGCTCCGAAGAGCTTGCGCGGTCGGTTCTGGTACAGTTTGATTCGGTCTCGGATCGATGCTCCGTCGTATGTGCTTCCTTCTCTCTTTCCCGCTGCTGGACATCCAACTCAGCCGCCAATTTCGCCAATCCTGCTTCATCCTCAGGGAAGACCGAGTGAGGCGGGAGATCGGCGTCGGCATTAGGTCGTATGCACCCTAGTTTTGTCGCGATGTTATGGATCACTGGCTGGCCTCTATCGTTGAGCTCCGGCTCTCCTAGGTCCCATGTTTGCCCATTCCTCACCATGGCATATAACTTATGTACCGTGGCAATTAACGCGAATTGGGTGTTCTCGAGAACTTCGGCATATCTGATATCCGATCAGCGACATGGTAAGTCACTCGGAGAGAAAGAAGGGGGAGAGATAGCCCTACCCTCTGGGTAATTGTTTGTATTCTGTCTTTTTGCGTGTGCCTGCAGTGCATACCAGGCCATCGTCTTTACACCTCTTACATGGGAATTCCCCGTCACACTAGAGAGTTGGGTCAGTAAAGACGGGGGGTACCAGCCGAACACGCACTCTACTCACCTTGGTCTTTTTCATTCGACATCTCTCGCATGCTTTCCAGACCCGCTTGTGCCTGTTGTCGATAGCATGTGGCGAGAGGGGAGGAGGATGATCGTGAGCAGGGGAGTGGGAAGCGTGATTAGCTGCTCGTTTCCCGCCTCGATTATGTATTGGCTTGACTGGCTTAGTACTAGACGCCGTGTTCCTCCTCGCCGCCGCGGCCGGCTTCGTACTGTCCTCGACGGGGGGCGTGGGCATCCCGCTTTCCATTTTGGGAGGCCAAACTAATACGGGGGTGGGAATTAGGTAAGACCGGGGCAGGATATGGAATGGGTCGAGTGGTAGACAAGCTCTGTCTAGGCGTGCGGGAGAGGGTGAGAACGTGTATGTGTGTGGGTGTGCTTAAATAAGTGAATTGGAATCCCGTTGAAATTGGAGGGGCAGGCCTCTGAATTATGGAACTCGAAGGCAGAATCCGAGTAGGAGAGGGGGATAGGCCTCCAATAATAAGGAAGGGAAGGGAGGAAAGGAGGGAAACAGAGAAAGGATGGGTTGGTTATTCAAGGAAATGTAGAGAAAATGTGACTTTCAACTGGGATTAATAATGCACCAAGTGAACCGAGCTTTTTAAGGGCGTGACGATTATGTGATGTTGCAGTTTAGACCCGGCAACTTTATTCTGGAAACCAGCGGTCGAAACTAAACCGGAGACCAGGGATTAAGGCCTACAGATCGGCCGCGCTTTATGTCCGAGAGTGCGGGTTTGGCAACTTGCTGACTGGTCGATTTTGGTAGTTCGAAGTCTTTCTTTGACGGAACCCGAGACCCCATTCAATATGTTACCGTCCAAGGCAGGGAATCGCAGACTGGTATTGTGTCCAGGCGACGTGCAAAACCTCTCCGTGACCCGGGCAGGTACCGCTATCGAAAGCGCAAGGAATCGTGGGCGTCTTTGTGTGTTCCGAGCGAGTTCAGGCGGGATGTTTGCTGTTGCTGAGGTATGTATGCTGATCGAGGACAAAGGGCTAATTGTGGGTTTCTGTATAATACCTCGAGGCTTCTGACCTCATCATTTCCTGTTGGCGATCCGACGGGGTCCTTATCCTCGATAAGTTATGTGGAGGACATCCAACGTAGACCGGTGGCACGAGTCAGGGCGAGAAGTGAAGGGTACCTCGACGTCTTATATTCGGATTAAGCTTGCTCCTCCTCCCTACACACAAGGGATGAAGTAGTTGTGCAATGCCCTTTGGGCGATCTCGGCTTGACGCCGTTCCATCACGGCCAGCAGCTGTCGACGAGAGAAACGGGCTAAGCAGAGTGACTTGCAGGTACATGTGTCTACATCGTCGGCCTCCAAAAGTCGCGAGAAGCGACCAACCGCAGAGGTGGCTCAGTAAGCCCGTGCCTAGAGGTGTGGAATGCTATGCCTGGAGGTGCTAGCAGCCAGTTGACAGGCCTCGCACGTAACCGTGAGAGAGAAGCCCACTAAGTTGCGCCAAGCAGGCCCTCTATGTATTATTTGTGCATCGTAAGCACAACTCAGCTTACCCCTGCCACCGGTTTTGGACAAATCGGGCACATGCACTCTAATGCTTGCACAAACTTGCAGGCGGAATGTAACCACTCCGTCTCTAATGCGCGAACGGTATTGAACTGACGAAGAACCCCGCCGTACTGTTGTTGAGCCCTTAATAGGAGGAGGACCGGCCGAACTGTTAACGCCGAATTCCCGTAGTCGCCAGAGGTTGTCCTAAATTTGTATCTTGCTCACCAGCAGAACGGACGTGGTTTCTGAGGCCGGAAATTTGAAAGAAAAAAACATCGAGCCTCGGCTTCGCTGAGGCTGTGTCTGTACATGTGTATGTGCATATATGGTGCTGTCGCCGTTCTGAATCTGAGCCGGCTATTGGCCACGTTTGTGGTCTTCGATTAGATCGACCACAACCTCGCACGCACGCCACTCATCCTAGGCGGTAACAAGACGTGTTCTTATTCGCATCCCACATTTGATACTATTTCCAGGTTCATAATTTCCCCGCCCCAAACTTCCCAAGTGCCATCGATATGACATTTAGGGATTGCCGTATCCTAGGGAATGGGAGATACTTCTCCCGCGCCTATGTGCGAGCATGCTTGCATGGATACTACCGTACCACATACACACGCTGCGTGCATATATATACATACCTATCTTAATTCTGCCCATGTATGGGATGCTGATGATAGCTAAAGCTCTCCATGATCCCACGTTTCTCGTAGAGAAGTAGGATTCAGCATCATCGTGACGCACGTCTACATACGCTCATATCAAGCTCGGAATGTGGCACTTTTTTTTTCTTCTCTCTGGTTTTTCAGCTTGGTGGAGCAACCCTGTCAGCATCAATACTGTGGAGTATATACCCATCTAGCTAGAACTGAGTCTGCGAGTCCTCGGCTCGTTACGGCGATCGTTGATGCACATAGACAAGCGGCGGCATTTTCTAATACCTGCCCAAGTTAGATCCCAGGTGGAACGCCGCCAAGCGCCTACCCCTGTCGCGTTTCCAGGGGATTTGCAGACTTCAGCATTCCCACACACCTGTACGTGTATATCCATATTTACTATACATGCAGCTTCTCTCTACTTATACATATGAGGGTTGCGTATCCCGGGGGGTTGTTATCAATGATCGTTTTTCGACTGGGAACCAAACATGGGAAAAGGAAAATTAGCAGCCTTACCAGCGCCGATGCTCTCACAATTTCCAAGAGTTATAAAATGCTACAAAATTTCCCACGCAGCCCAGGTTGCAATTGTGTCGCGAAATAGTCGTCAGGCCCGCTATAGGTTGTCCCCACCATTACTACATTGTGTGAAGCGCGATGATAGCTGATGCCGGGCTTCAACAGACCCCGAAGCCCGCACCACAATAAAAAAAAATTTTAAAATAAAATAGCAATTGGTACGATCTCACCGCTCTATACAGATATCGGTTCTAGTTAGAAAATACGGGTACATCTCTCGGCGCACGTGCAACGTGCACAAGCGCATGAAAGAGTTCTGCGGGTACCGCTTGATGATAGCTTCAGTTTACAAGTTGGAAGAAAAAAAGAGGGCGAAGTGGGGTAGATGGAAACGACTGCCCGTGACCTGAGCCACTCGATGGCTTTCTGTAACACACACTGCCGGTAGCACAGACATACATAGATTATTGGCCAAAAAAGAAAAGGGTGATCCGTAAGGAGAACGACCGTCTCCAGGACCCACAACACCGTTTTCCTATTACGGTGCAGCCACATTGGGAAAGGGGGCGTGTCGGTGCGGATGGTGATGTGCATGAGCCGAGCCCAGGGGCTGAGAATGCATTTCGTATATGTGCACACAGATGCAAATACATCATGTGTAATGCGTGCGTTACAGTTGTGAGCAGAATTGGACATAGCCCGAGAACCTGGGGGAGACGGGAGAGACATGACCCTCCGACGCGGCGCCGTTGTGTAGGTTAGGTACCCAGAGATACCTAGGTAGGTAGACACCCGATGTAGGCGCCTTACGGTGATACACGGCGGATCCTGACGATCGGAGCTCGGCTGCGGCTTGGCAAGGTCGAGCTGGCTCGCTCTCCGAGCTCCCCTTGCCGAGATTCTCAAGGCCCAGGTACCGCCTACGTACCTATCTGTACTCAGAAACCGTCTGGGACAAGTTCCGTCTTTTTACTGGTGTACATGCGTAACACACGTATGATGTGTGCGCATAATATGTAGCAGAGGCTCTGTGACTGGCCCTCCTCTTGTCGCTATGTTTTGGAGGAGGGGAAATCCGCAATCGTCTCGAGATTCGGCTTTATCATGGTAAGTCCACGGGCAAATCTTCTTCGCTCCCCATTTCACCAACTAGAAGAGAAGGGATGCAGGCCAACAAGCGTCCGGCAGACAGCCCTACACGCAGCTCTGCAGCCCTGCCTAGCCCTGCCCGGTGTGACGAGGGAGGTAGCTAGCTGTTCTCGAACTAACAAGACGGTCGCTAGAGCAGGGAAACTGGCTGTTACGTGATGCTCGACGAGCTACCTACCTACCTACCTAGGTAGTATATATGCACGTATGTACCTACAGCATGTGCGCACGATAGTGTGCATTGTATGATTCTCTCCGCATACAGGGGACAGCAAGTGGTGAGCATGGACTTAAGACGGGAATGGAGATCAGTGCTGGACCTCGGTGATTGCACAGTACATGTATTATCACCGCCGAGGGTGACACAGATTGGCGAGTTGCGGGAGTGACAGCTTACAGCATCGGTACCTGGTAGTACCTACCTACAACACACCCCCTCTTGAGCTGCCTCTTATCCCGGCGCGTCGCAGGCTATGTACGTGGGTACACTCAGACAAACCCGGCCACGAGCCAAACCCGGTCGCCGTTCCATGCGCCAAACTGGCGCCCCCGAGCTCCGATCTCTTGCACCTACATACAATACATAGGTACATCCAACGAGACCAGTGAGCGATGGTCGCACAAGGTTGTTGGCTCATCGACGCTGTGCGCGGGCGCAACGTGCATATATAAATATGCGTGTTATGTAAGTATGTAGGTATCACTCCCGTTCTATCAGACGAACGGTCGGCCGGACAGTCTAGTCCGTCCGTCGTCTCCTCGACGTCCGGGTAATAGACAAAATAATTTACGCACCGCCTTTCCCGAGGTTTTTAGTCGTAGGCCAAACCGGAGCTGTATTCTTTATCGAGGTCGCCAGCACCTACTTAGTGCGTTGTCGGCGGTGGTCATGCCGATTCCATACAGCTTTAGCTCGGACAACGGGTCCTGACAAAGGCAAGGGAGGGCGCATCGCATCCAGTCGACGGAAGGGGAAATTTTTCGATTCACGCGGTAACCGTCTTAGCCGCTACGCAACTAGTCCGTGGTTAATGTCGCCGGCACCGGAGACTTTCCGGCATGGTGGTGAAGATCCCCCATCTCAAGCGCATGCTGCCGGGTAGTACCCAGGTAGCTAGGAGAAGCTGAGAGGGAGTAAGGCGATGGCAAGACCACTCAGGCCCCACAAGAGAGGAATAAGAATGGGCTCTGCGACTCCACTAGAGCTTGTTTCAATAGCGTCAAGCAGGTAAGATTTCTACAGCTTCGCCGGAGTCTTCCCGCGCCCCTTTTCTACTTGCCACGACTTCGCCGAATCATTGCCGAACTACGGGACGAATCGCTACCGTGCACGGCGCGGCGAGCGAAACCCCGCCAGCACGTAGGGCCCGCCTCCCAGCGTCGCCTCTTTCTCGGCTCCCGAGGTCCTCAGGCGTAGCTTTCTCGCGGACTCTTTTAACTTCGGGCTTACCTCGACCAACCTTCGGGAGCAGGGATGGAGAGGGGCATCGTGAACAATTCTTGGGTCCGCAACACCTCTTATCAATAATAGGGGCTGACAGGGGAGGGGGGGGGGGGCAACCCGAATATTTTACGTTATAGACATGCTAGTTAAGCTCCTGTCTCTACCGATCATCGTCCCGCCGCATCTCAGATCATAGATAACACACGATGCCGTCGAACCATGGCAGACGAACGGCCAGGCGCCCATGCTTCCTCCTTATGCAGGTCGTCTCCTTCTTTGTCTAAATATGGTCCTGTTCCTATGCCCCTCTCAATGCAAGAAGCCCACACCTCTTTTTCTGTAATTTCCAGGGCCATGGTCGGGCTAACCAAGAATAGATGCCCGCCCTATCTCACTAGGTGCGTACGCTTGTCCTGTCACTGCTTTCTGTCGTCGATATTCCGCTGCTAATATATCCGGCACTCAACCTTCTACTGGAGTAGGACCATGTAGCAATCGTGCCAAGTTCTACAGAGGAGGTATGCCGAATCGCCTCTATCGTAATTTTATGTTGTATACCTGCCTCGAAGCTCCCGGGACAGGGTCAACTCCATTACCTAGGAGACTCGCTGGGACTGAAAGGCGTAGAGGCATCAGTAGGTGTTATAGCGCATTGATGGGAAAAGCCTCGAAATCTAAGAACGGTGCCCAAATGACCGGTACTGGGTAAGGCGCCTGGTAGAGGCTATCGGAAATCATCGAGACCATGCGGAAATACCATATCCGGACCGATGAGTCTCAGGAGGTAGGTGAATGAGCCTTGTTTTTTTTTTTTTTTTGATAATATACAGCTTCACACCAGTCAGAGTTCCCTTATATCATAGAAATGCCATACGAGGCAGCGATGGTTAAATGCAATATTACGGCCGCAAATAATCATACGTGTGATCAACGCCGATGACAGAGACTCCGTAGCCAAGGGAACTAGATTCCGTGCGTATTCTGACCTCGTTAGAGGGCACGCCTCAGCGCAACTTATTATATAGTTAAACCCCGCCGAAACAGGTAGGCCGTTACTTTCTAGAATGGTGTGCGTGCCAGTGCCCTGGTGATATGCTTTATATAATATCCTAGACCCTTCCTATTGACCTCAAACAGTATATACCAAGTGCGTCAGCATACCGCCTAGGTAAGCCGGCAAAGCGTTCGTCTCCCAAGAGTTAATTAAACGGTGGCCACCTAGTGATATTGGTGACTTCACAGTGGTAGCTGGCCTCATTAGTTATCCCTGGTATAGTAAACATATCTGATCTTGATTTTCATTATATAACGGGTTCATTGCTAGAATTTAGGAAGAAAGTCTCATATGTTTATTCCTTAAAACCTGTCATCCTGGAAGAAAGTGCTCTAGATTAGATTGTATCGTAGCCCTAGCCTGTCGATTTTCTATAAGTGGCAATATGTGTCTTTACGGTCGAGCTGCAATAAGATAAGTGTCACAAGCAGTTTGGAAGTAAGCCTCCGATTGTCGTGACTGAGCTAGTAATATCGTTTGACTTGAGTTACAAATATCTAAGTATATATTAACAATCAGCTTGTGGGACATGGAATCCCCGAAACGCAGTCGAGGTGGAGCTACCGGCAACGAATATCTCCTACGAAATCTAAGGACTGGAAGAAGTCACAGCATAAGCATAAAGAACTTGAAGAATTAATACAACAATGTATTAAGTCATGGCTACGATGCAAACGTAAGGATTCATTTTTGCCTCCTTGGGTGTAAGTTTCGGGCTCCCTAAGTTGCAGTTGAGATTATTTACACACGACAGTGGCGCAGCCAGCGCAGGCCTGTGCTGTCCTGTGCAGAGGTGTTTAGCGCCTGTGTCGGCGTGTTTAGCGCCTGTGCTCGCCCCGAAATATGACATCGGATTGGCAGGGGCAAAAATGACAGGATTCGTCTTTTATAACAAAACGTTGATCCCTAGCTATGGGGTAGAATACACTCTATATTAATCCCTTGATATTGTGCAAGCAGCTGCTCTATTCTATGTCATCTTTCTGCATAGAATCTCTGCTCTTCACATCGAAGATGCTAACTACCTAACGAATAGGTTAATCGAGCGAGTCTGTTGGGCCGTATACCTATTCTCTATTATCATGTAGCTAAGCTGTATCCACGACAAGTATGTTTTCAATAGATCTGATATGCTACAATGCCCCTTTCCCCCAACCCTCCTGTAGTCCTCAGGTACCTATTGTTCAACGATCTAGGCATAGGCCACGACCAACTACTCGGCGATAGAAGCACCGGGTTTATTTTGCTATTTGTCATACGTGACTTGCAAGCTGGGGCATATTCTGGGATACCTACTCACAGGGTATGGCCCTTGATCTAATGGAGTCTCAAGCCCTCCCGGGAACGTCTTGACATCTCTTAGTGTGCCATCAATGACAGGTTACCTTGATACCCCTTACCTCACGCGTGTATTGTCCCTTATCATTCTCGATTCTCTTCTCTATGTACCCACTTCTTCGACTTCAGTCACATATGAAATGCTGGTTTTGTGTATTACTCTGCGGTCGACCGGCCCTCGCATCTGCGACATTCGATCCGGCAGCGTTTGGCACTTTAGACGCTAGACCTACTGCCTTCAGCTTGCCATATTCGTCAATACCTGTGGTAGGTGGGACTGCTCAGCTCCAGCGTCTCCTTCTACGGATGAGCGTAAGCCGGTCGATATCCGAAAGTAATTAGTTCTTTTCCAACAGGGTGTGCACGTTGAACACGTTCTAGACGCTGCCGAGCACCAGTATAGGACCAACATACACCCCGGGCACAAAGACCATCGAGAACAGGGGGATCTGCCACCGTGGGGTATTTTCGACGGCTATTCTATCTTACCTGTTCCTTCATAGTTGCTTCGACTTGATGTATGCGGACGTTAACGAGCCGTAGAACGCCTATTCTATGCATTTGATGTACATTAAGCAAGCCCCTTGATTCCGTGATAGATGGTGCGCTTAGGAGAGATAGGTGCCTCATATATTACGTCCTAGGTGCCTAAAGTACCTACATAACTTATGTTAAAATTTAACTTAAACAACTCAATTCATATTAGATAGAGGCAGGTAGGTACCTTCCTACTACGGTCCCTACGTTCAATGGTGGTTAGGAGATAGATAGGTACCTCTCTAGCCTAGGTACCTCGTACTTAACCTAACCCACTATGCATATAGGGAGTTTATTACTTATACGGCTTAATGGGCACCTATCCACCCAACGTTATGTACTCTCTTTCTCTGTCCACTCGCATCGTGCTTATTACCTAAGGTGACTCTCCATTCCTTCCTAGGTAAGGTCCGCATATGTAAGCCGAGTACCTACCTCATACCTAAGGTACCTGAGGAGGTACGTAATATACCTAGGTAGGTACCTTGTATGTATGTGAGGTATACATATATATAGGTACCATACAGGGAGGGGGGGGTCTATGGACAGTATGTCAGCCATAGAGTCGGGGTACCGACACGGTAACAAAATCTAGTAAGGGTTACCTTAGCTAGTTATTCTTTCGGAAGGGCTAAAAGAATTACAGCAAGGGTCGCGGTACCGACCTTATTACCTTTCCTTCTTATAATTTCAGGATGGTTTTTATAACTGCGTAAGAACCAATGTCCAGACGGATATAATGTCTATATATTCCATAGGTACCTACCTATCTACCTACCTACCTACCTACCTACCTACCTAAACCACCTACCTACCTAGACCTATTGTCTTCATCTTTTTTCTACAAAACACCATGATCTACTATAGATATCTTCGAACCTATCTGCGAACCTATCTACGAACCTATCTACGAACCTATCTGCGAACCTATCTACGAACCTATCTGCGAACCTATGGGAGCTAGTTCGCGCGCGTGGAATCTATCTATCTTCGAACCTATCTTCGAACCTATGGGAGCTAGTTCGCACATGGAATCTATCTATCTTCGAACCTATCTACGAACCTATCTACGAACTTATGAACCTATCTACGAACCTATGAACCTATCTACGAACCTATGAACCTATCTACGAACCTATCTACGAACCTATAAGAGCTAGTTCAGGCGTATGGAATCTATCTATCTTCGAACCTATGGGAGCTAGTTCGCGTATAGAATCTATCTATCTTCGAACCTATTTACGAACCTATCTACGAACCTATCTACGAATCTATAGGAGCTAGTTCGCGTACATGGAATCTATCTATCTATCTTCGAACCTATAAGAGCTAGTTTAGGCGTATGGAATCTATCTATCTTCGAACCTATAGGAGCTAGTTCGCGCGTAGAATCTATCTATCTATCTTCAAACCTATCTTCGAACCTATAAGAGCTAGTTCGCGCGTGGAATCTATCTATCTTCGAACCTATCTACGAACCTATCTTCGAACCTATCTATGAACCTATCTACGAACCTGTGAGAGCCAGTTCGCGCGTAGAATCTATCTATCTTCGAACCTATCTACGAACCTATAGGAGCTAGTTCGCGTACGTAGAATCTATCTATCTATCTTCGAACCTATCTTCGAACCTATAGGAGCCAGTTCGCGCGCGTAGAATCTATCTATCTTCGAACCTATGGGAGCTAGTTCGCGCGTGGAATCTATCTATCTTCGAACCTATGGGAGCTAGTTCGCGCGTGGAATCTATCTATCTTCGAACCTATGGAAGAGGTAGGTAGGTAGGAGGTTAGAGAGGTAGGTAACAGACGTAAAAGATACAAAGGTACAAAGGTACGTACTTAGTAACATAGAGGTAACCGGGTAATCCTATAGAATGTACCTTTTTTTAAAATAAAGACATTATATCCGGATGGTAACTATGTCGGGAAATGATAATAATATCAGCCTAAAGTTTAACTCACTCTTATTACGAGGCAGACACTATGTCCAGTCATAGAAAGGGTTGCTAACATAGTATCAATAGACCCCCCCCTCCCTATATGGTAGGTACCTTCTAGATACCTCCAGATGGGTATGAGATTGGCTTCCATCATACATAGGTACCTACACGTACATCCCTACCCACAACCTACCTACCTCGATCAAGCGAGCTTCCATTTGGTAGAGAAATACCTACCTCTTACTTAGCCAACCTAAGTCCCGTCTCCATCCTCTTCCTCCTCATCCTCCTCCTCTTTTTCCCTCTCTCCCTCTCTATATCTTGGGATCCCATACCTGTGGGCCAATTGCGACGTCTAAAATTCATATGGACGGCGTTGCTTGAGAGACTGGGCGGGGCATTCACGGTTGGACCAAATACTCACAATCGATTCTCTGCTGCCAGCTATCATCGCGATCGGCAAAGGCAATGTAAGCCTGCTGGTGCCCGTAGCCCAACGCATGGCCCGCACTATCTTGGGAACTCTACGTGAGCACGGCTTGTAGGAGGAGTCCGGGTCGAGATTTGCCTTTGTCTGCCCGTCCTCTCCAGGCCAAGCACACAAGCCCACGAACCCCACCACTTAAGTATTGCTTGCATCGGCTAGCCTACCAAAAACAATATGATGTCGGCACAGCTCCAGCAGCCTTCTAAGGCGGGAGGACAGCTCTCTGGACCCCGTTGCGACTCAGATGACGTGCCCGTACCGACCCCGGTGGTGCCGGACCAATTGGCTTCCGCCGCCGGCCCTATGAGGAACCGTGCTGGAGCCAGCCCGAGTCCTTTCGTGAGGGCACATTCCGACACCTTGGTAACCTGGCAGCCGCTCGACCATGATACTGTTAGCCGAGCCAATAGAGAGAACAAGCTGATATTCCTCAGCATCGGATTCCTCGCCTCCCACTGTAGGTCTACGAAGGCTGCCCTGTCCTCGAGCTTAACATTAACACCGTTTTCCTAGACTGCCATCTCACGAGGCAAGAATCTTTTTCTCACCCTAAAGTCGCTTCCTTAATAAACGAAAATTTTGTGCCTATTCTAATCGATCGGGAGGAGAGGCCTGACCTCGACAACATATATATGAGCTACAACCAGTCCCTGAGCGGCAGTGGGGGCTGGCCGTTAAATGTCTTCCTCACCCCAGACTTGGAACCAGTCTTCAGCGGAACATATTGGGCAGCGCCTGGTGTTCAGGATAATGTTGTAGCGGGGAACGAAGGGGGCGAGAAGCCTCTCGACTGGCTAGTTGTGATTCAGAAAGTCCTCGATTCATGGTTGAACGAAGAGTCCCGAGTCCGTGAAGAAGCCAAGAAGATGGTGGTTGAGTTGGGCCATATCTCAGCGGAGGGAACCTTGAACCACGAACCAAATGGACTTTTGCCGCCGCCTCTGGCGCCTACCCAAGTAGAAACAAGTACTTCACCGCCGAGCTGTTCCCGTGAAGTTCAGGGTGAAGTCGACTTGGACCAGATCGAGGAAGCCTACGAACGCATCACGAGGAATTTCGATCCTATGTTCGGTGGTTTCGGTCGCGAGGACAAGTTCTTGACTCCAGCAAAGCTCTCCCTGCTGTTAAGGATCGTTAAATTCCCGAAAGTCGTCCAAGATATAGTTGGGCCAAATGATTGCGCCTACATTAGTGGTATGGGCTTACACACTCTTCGGCGCATTGCAAGCGGCGCGATCCACGACCATATAGGGGGTGGCTTTCACCGGTATTCTATCACGAGGGACTGGTCGTTGCCGGCTTTTGAGAAGATGCTCATAGACAATGCTCTACTGCTTGGGCTTTTCCTGGATGCCTGGCTGACTGCCGGGCCCACCCCTAATGGCGAATTTGCCGACGTGGTTACCGAGATCGCCGACTACATCATCAGCGATAGGTTACTATCGCCACAGGGCGGCTTTTTCACTAGTGAAGCCGCGGATTCATCTCACCGAAAGGGAGATAAAGTCGCACGGAACGGGGCGTATTACTTATGGACTAGAAGGGAGTTCGACGCCGTCGTAGGCGACGAACAAGAGAGTATGATTGCTGCCGCATACTGGAACGTGCAGGAACACGGCAATGTGGACCGTGAATACGACCCCCACGACGAATTTCTCAACCAGAATGTCCTTCATATCGTAAAGAACTCCACCCGATTGAGCAAGCATCTTGCGGTCTCCGAAGATGAGGTCAAACGTTGCATTAACGCGGCAAGGGAGAAGCTCCGCTCACATCGACAGAAGGAACGGGTTCAGCCAGACGTTGATACGAAAATTGTGGCATCGTACAACGGCATGGCAATCGCGGCTCTGGCGCGAGCGGCGTTAGCTATCCGCCATACCCAAGATACGGTGTCTGAGCGAGTGCAGAAGTACTTGAGGGCAGCCAAAAATGCGGCTTCGTTTATTCGAAGGGAGCTTTGGGATGACAAGAAGAGAATTCTCTACCGAGTTTATTCCGACGGCCGCTGCAATATTGAAGCCCTAGCCGAGGACTACGCGTATCTGATCGAAGGGCTCATAGAGCTATATCAAAGCACAGCTGAGGAGCTATGGCTAGAATGGGCCGACGAGTTACAAGCTCTGCAAATCAAACTTTTCTACGACAACCCTACTCCCCAGCCCACGACGGCCAACGCGAGATGCGGAGCCTTCTACTCGACTGCGCTGGGAGCACCATTTACACTGCTCCGAATCAAAGATGCTATGGATACCTCGCAGCCATCCGTTAACGCCGTATCCGTGTCAAATCTGTTTAGGCTAGGCGGGTTGTTGGGCGACGAGAAGTATACTTATCTAGCGAAGGAAAGCTTGAACGCGTTTGGTGTTGAGATGCTTGAGCACCCTAACCTCTTCCCGGGCCTGTTATGCGGGGTCGTCCCTTGGAGGTTAGGTGGACGCCATTGGATCTCAGTCGGAGACAATCCCGCACAGCTGGCTGCATTCTACAGAGCGCCCCGCGCCGCCCTGTTCACGATTCGCTTCCACGATCCGCAGAATACGGATACTTGGCTGAACAAGCGAGACCCAAGGTCGATCGGCTTTCCCCAACAACGAAATGTCTATGCTCCGCGTTTGGACGGCACGTATCGGGAGATAAACAGCTCCGACGTTGCCCAGGTCTAGCTATCTTCCGTGGATACTCTCGGTGGCGGGGAAGTAGTTGCTGGCATCTTGTCACACACACGAAGATAACGATGGTGACGGCTTATTATCTGCTCATTCAAATTCTTATGTGGGCCGGGGCAGCGGCGGTGTACGTCCTCATATATGTATGCATATTGTAGATAGGCGTGTGTACGCAGGCATGCGTGTATGGGTAGGGTGGGAGTTCTGCAGCTTTCAGCATCGGTAGGCGATTTGCATCCCCCCTCCCCCTCCTAAAAGTCAGGGGTAACATGAAATCCGGCGCCTATGAGTTTGCTAGTTCGTCTTAGTGCCGCTGCTTCTGTCAGAAAGATTAATATCAGTGCGGGAAGAACATAATATAAGACTCTTGTTGCAGTGTACCTCTAAGACATATTTATACGCTTAAATGTCCGAAGTAGAGAAGTAATATTCGCGATGGTAAGGAATATCTTTTAAATGTGGCGCTAGACTCGCCTGGCTGGCTAGCCCCTGCTGCTCCATCATTCTTTGGGGTCGCCTGCGCGCCTTGGGTAGCTAGATATACTCGAATATTGGTAGGGGCATCGTGGCGGACTGTTGGCGCCTCTCTAAGTATCCTTCTTCACGCGGGGAAGCCGATCGCGACCGGCAGCGTTGGCAAGAGCGCGGCGCAGTTTGGCTTGTCTTCTCCTGTATCATTTCGGGGGTATCTATTCTACACCTTAGTCTCGAACCAGGGACGCAGTTCGCCTTCTCGAATATCAAAAGACAACGACAACGACGGTCGATAGCTCCAAGTGCGAACCCGAACTTTGGGCGCTAACGCGAGCCTCGGAAACCTCTCTTGGCGGAACCCCCCCCTGGCAATCCTGATTCTGCGATTCCATCGTCTACCCGAATCCTCTGCCCCTCGACCAAAGATGATGGACGTGACATCCACTAGAATTTTATAGATGACATTAGGATTTCTGCGGCTAATCGGATGGTCGTGATTGTGGCCCTCGCCGCAATCAAGCTTGGGATTAAACTGCTGCCGCCGTCGGCATCAATCGAAATGGGCGAACTGTCTGCTGATACGCGAGGACGAAACGGACGGGGCCTCGATGGATGCTTCACTATGTGAATACCATCGTTATCTCTTTCATGTCTTGTTGACGTTACCCCCAATTGTGGGTTTTCGGTTCATCAAGTTGCCGAAGAATTTAGCTAGTGTATCCGTGTCCACTTGCGGGCCGGCTTCTTCGAGTTGAGACTCGTCGTCGACACCGTGGAGCTCCGGAGATTGACCGTAAGCCTGGCGGTCCTGGTAATATGTTAGTACCCATTTAAGAAACTGCCATGAAAGAGTGGTATGTATACCTTAAGCCGCTGAACCATGTCGTCAGCGTCCACCTGAATACCGCCCATGTTGAACTGTACTGGCCCAATGTGGTCGCTAATCATGTCATCGGTTGCACCCTGGGCAAACGTAGTGTCCTTGCCGGCTTTCTCGTCCGCCTTCTTTTGTTGCTCGAGCCGCTCTAGTTGGTTTACGAGGAACGCTTGGGTATCGACTGATGGAACCTCTAATTTGCTAGTATCACTGTTTCCTTGTGCCAGCTGCAATGCGTCTAGGCTGGTGTCTTGAACCTGTCCCTCATACTGTACCACTGATGATCCTTCAGGCTCGGCCGATCTGTTTGCTTCACCTTGCATCTGGTGGTCAGTGGCGTTCGGGTCGTCACTTTTTATCGTCGGGAAAGACTGATCGAGATCTATTGACCAGCCGTCGCTGACGCTCTCCACGTCAAAACCATCACGCAGTACTCGGATCTTACCCCAAGAGTCCCAGTTGGGGGGCACCACAATTTTGTCGCGGTCGATGACGTTGGCCTTCAAGGGAGAGCGCTTTAGTAAAGAGTGAATCCCGAGACTAGCGTGGATGAGGCTTTGTAGGGGCGATATCATCGACGGTGTTGTGTAAATAAGAGACGCTCCGTCTAGTCGAGTGTTAGCGAGGGACGAAATTAAAAGTTGAACATCGGGGACGTACGCCTCAACAGAACTGTTCTTAGATATTGCAGAACGAGGTCGAACTTCTCTTCCTTCCACCCTTGATTTTTTTCCAAGTAATCTATCCTCTCGGACTTGGGCGAAGGTGTTAGCGTCGCAAACAGGCATGGAGCTAGGCGAACTCACGTTCTGGCAGACGACGCAGAGTGGAAAGCCCAGTGCGTCTTCCCACTCCCCCGGCCCCAAGGGAAGGGCAACATCTCCCTCTGCAGCGACGACACCGGAACCGTCCAAGTTCACTGACCCGCCCGTTCGGCCGCGATCTCTCCAGCCGATCATGACCTCTTTCATCGTTTCTATGCATTCGGGGCCGAGTGACATGATGACGGTTCGCAACAGTAGCAGCCATTCACGCAACTGACGCATCCATAGCCAAGGTTGTGACCAGTCGAGTAGTATTACTATTAGCGTATTCGGAATGGATTGTGGAGTCAGGAGCGGCCTTATGAGGGAAGTAAAGGTAGGCGCCGGGCTGGTGAGAAGGTACAGGGATATGCGTGCTAGGATGTCTGCGACCTCGGTCAGCGCTGGGCGGAATATTCGCCATCGTGAGTGGCGATGGACAAACCCTCTTGATCTGCGTCTAGGACGTTGTAGTACGTGTATCCGAGAGCGAAGCTATTAGCGATCGGGGGAATCTTGTGGTTGTTGTGGTCCAGATTCCTCCGTCCATCGTTGCTCGATAGGCCTTCAAGGAAATCTCGCTGCGACTCGACGGTGCCCCCTGAATACTTGGTCAGCCGGGTCAAATCTCGAGGAGGAATTGTCGAGGAAGTGATCCCGTACCGAGGACTAGCAGATTCTTTTCTGGTAGTCTCTTGCCGCTGGCGACAGAGTCGAGCATAGAGCTCCACATGTCCTTCTTTTGGTCATCCTTCTTTCCCTCCGAGCCGGTACCGACCGAGGTGCTCGTATACGTGGAGAACCTATTTGAATTGACTATCATGTTTGACTCTCGTGGATCGGGAGCATTGGGAAAGGGCGGGATGCGCTCGGAAGACACCAGGTAACCAAGCTGCGATGGATGGTCAGAGCCTTAAAACGCGTGTTAAGGCTGGCCCCCTGGCCCGAACGCGTTGGGAATGGCGAACGTCGACCAGATGAATGATGCTAGATGAATTGTGCCACCGAGACTTTCTTCTTTTGTGGTTTTGTAAAACGATGCAACGAAATATTAACGAAGAAGCATAGAGGCGGGGGCGTCGTGGGGAACTAGTAAAAATTCGAGCTCGAAATAGGTGTCTGAATTCCTTCCAGCACGAAACAAAAAGACGTCGCCCATCACTACGCATCCAATCTCCCTTGATGCTTCAAGCATGACACAGACCCGGAGATTTGGCGGCTTCAGTATTTCGGCTTAATTAGGCCACCATCACGGTCCGACGTTTCCCCAGGTAGGGAGTTCCTGCGTCGGGTCGCCGTTGTTTGCCCAATGGGGGGCCACTCCAGCGGTGGATACAGATGGAACACTGCAGGTATAGTTGTTGCATTATGTATGCACCGTTAGCCCCACTAGATCCCCGATACATACATATGCATACACCGGGACGTACGGTGACAACATCCAGGAAGGGATGCCCCACCACCACCCTACCTATAGCACTACGAGGTACCTCCTTGTAGCAAAGCCGCCAATATCTCTGTTATCGTTCAGCCTCGCCGCTATTTAGGTACAATGGAATGTTGGTTGTCTTCTCTGAGCCCGCTCTATCTAGGCCGAGTAGCTTCGTGTTGCAACCCGATATTCGCGACGAGTATATGCATTTCTTTCTTTTTTGCGCCCGTTACCCCATAGGCCGACGATTAGACGCGACGCGATGAATCAAATACGGGCCATCCAGGCGCTCAATAAGCGCGAGATCGAGAACGGCGTGTAAGTCACTCGTCTGCCTACGCTACACGACACCCTCTATGAGTGTATTTCTCAACGCTAACAAGGGGTAATTAACTAGATCACCGGAAGCCTCGTGGCATACCGATTATCGCGACACCGCATTCGTAAACTTTGGCGGCCTACCCTACGAGCTGTCTGAGGGCGATATTATCACCATTTTCTCACAATATGGCGAGCCCGTTTTTCTGAAGTTGGTACGGGATAAGGAGACGGGTAAAAGCAAGGGTTTCGGCTGGCTCAAGTATGAGGACCAGCGCAGCACAGACCTTGCCGTTGACAACCTCGGCGGTGCTGAGATCAACGGCCGCCTCCTCCGCGTCGATCACGCCCGCTACAAACCTCGTGACGATGAGGACCCCGGTGATTTCCACGTTGGTTGGAAAGACATCTCACGCCTCGAAAGAGTTGCTTCTAGGGGCGGGGAGCATGCGGATATATATAAGAGTAGCGATGATGAAGATGAGGAGGTGGATGAGGCTAGACGACCCCTGATCAAAGAGGAGCAGGAGCTGGCTAAGCTGATCGCAGAGCACGATGAAGACGACCCCATGAAAGGTTTCTTGATCGAGGAGAAGAAGAAAGAAGTCGAGCGGGCCCTGAGGGCAGAAGAGCAGAGAGTAGAAAAGAAGGACAGGAGAGAAAAGCACCGGCATCATCACCATAGTCATCGCCCTAGGCGGGATGATGGGAACGGCGAAGGGCATAATCGGCATAAGAGGTCGAGACGGGACGAAACCACTGATGCGAGTGGCCGAGTGAGCGCAGAGCGAACCGAACGCCCCTCGAGACCAAGGAGGCAAGATACTTCTGCAGACCGCGAGTGGAAGAGGTCTAGCGACGATCATGACCGGCGTCACGAGAAGGAGCGGGTCAGGGATCTAGACGGCAACTATGAGCACGAAAAGCGTTCGCGCCGTTACGACAGTGAAGATGGAGACAGGCGTCGAAGTAGTAGGCGGAGGAGGAGCGGGGGCAGATCACCGGGATCAAGTAGGTGTTGACGACGTTGCCTAGTCACTCCACGAAAATATCATGGAGTCAATGCTATTTAAAAATACATAACATCGCTATCATATATTCTCATGCGGAAAGCGACTCAATACTCCCCCAAACCAAAAGAACGCCAGACCCATAAGCCATAAACCCCTATACTCCATATTGACCCCGTGCTAGCCCATACGGCCATCATCCAATAACTCCCTAGTTCCACCACCCGAGGCAATATCTGGGTGGTTCTAGTAAGTCCTGAAGCTCGCCTTAATTCCCTAGGTATCTTTTCCATCCTTCCCTAAATATCACCGTGCGGCCGTCCTCCTCCCTAAGTACAAATTTTTCCCATCGTGCATCTTGTCCAGCACCGACAACTAGTAGGCTGGCCTCGTCTATCCAGCCGATCACGCCTTTGATCGGCCTACTAGTGCCCAACACAGGGCAATCCGCGAGGGCTCGTGAGTTGCCGGGAAGAAGAGGTTCCTCGCCTGTTTCGAAAGGGGTGGAAGCGAAAGAGTACACATCCGAGAAGGGACCAAATGGGATGTTGCTCAAGATACCCCATTTGTTTTTTCCCTCGGTGATAGCGCTGCCCCCACCACTTGATCCTGATAAGCCAGGCGGGTGAAGAGACGCTAGCCTGGTCCTACGAGGATTCGGAACGTCAAAAATGTGAAGGTTGCCTTTGTCCGAGGTGCAAGCGAGCATGTCCCCAGATGGGCTGAAGCGTAAGGAGTAGATGCTAGCCGATTCGCTACCGCGCCGTCGTTCAGCAAGCTTCGCACAGCTACTTGTAGCGAAGATGCGAACGATGGTCCCCTGCGCGTCATTAGAATATAAATGATCGAAACCCGTAAATCAAGATTCGATAATACATACCTTCTCGCTTGCCGTAGCGAGCAAATCCCCATCCAAACTAAGTTGTAGCGCTCTTAGACTCGAAGAATGCGCGGGGATGATGCTGACGCTGTCTGTTTCCAGCTGCACAACCTGAACTTGACCGGGCGTCCTTCCAGGGAAGACGAGATACTTGTCTGATAGACAACAGAGTCCAAGATGGTTATCCGCAGTCTCATACTTGGCGAGCGGGGTTGGGGGCTTCTGGAACGCATACACGCGCACACTATTCTGAAGGACGACAGCAATTCTTGTCTTAGAGATCTGTACCCCGCGGACGGCGGTCAGGGTCGCTATCTCCAACGCGATCTTGCCTTTGCTATCGTCCCATATGATGACCTTGTTCTGGGGGAACTTGGGCGAGCGACCGCCACCAACGAGAGCAAGGTAATTGGCGTTGCCCATCATCTGGACTAGGCCTAGACCCGCATTGAAAACTAGCGGTCTATTAGAGTCAGGCTTTGGAGCTGGGCAGATCTATGCATACCTCTTGAAGTCTGTATTTGACATGAATTTGAGAGGAAGACTGCGAGACGCGTGAGCTTAGTTCAGATAGCGAGTGGGCAAAGGAACCATACTGCAGAACCCCGAGTCGAGCCCAACAACAAATCGACTTGCGTCGCTATTGAAGGTGACAGAAAGTGCGGCATGCTCATTGGGAGTCTCAATAAGCGGACGCGTATTCATGGTTACCGCTTGATGAGCCCCGTTTGCGGTGATGTCCGAAGGTGGAAGAAGGCTTAGGTAGCGAGGAATGCAACTAGTCCGCTAAATGAAGTGAATCGAATAGGAATGCTTAGCACCAAAAGGAACGGGATAGTTCGTATGATGCCTCAGTATCCCAGACCATTGCTGTGTCGCGTATTCATAGAGCCTTTTCTGTCCAGGCTACCCGGTACGGACCTTGTATGCTTGGGCTGAATATGGGAGAACACTGGCAAGCTTGAGCCTGGACGGAAGCCTTATAGTAGATATGGTGACGAGTAAACCAGAATCGCCTGAATACCGGTGGGGTAAGGAAGAAATGGGAGTGAGAGAGCGGATCGACGCTGAATATCAGATAGGCATTCTAACGAACTTCTGAAAGGATGAGGATGGTGATAAAAGTAGAACCTTACGAAACCCCAGAGCTTGCTTGAGCTTCCACAGGTTGGCTCGGATGCGTAATATGGATGTTGCGCAGGTACAGTCGCAGGTGCAGTATATACGGTTAGTGGTACACGTGAGAGTGCCCACTGACGCCCCCAGCGGACTGGGTGGATACGGGACCTGCCTCCTATACACCATACCATATGAAGGTAGGAGGTAGGTAGGTTAGGTACCTCTACCTATGGCAGGGGATGTACCTTAGGTACATAGGTACCTAAGGTAGGTAGGTGGGTACCTGCCGATACACTAAAGGTGATGTGAAGACTACCCCCTAGGCTGAGGTACCTAAGGTTCGGCCTTGGAAACAGGTACCTTAGCCATGACAGCCCCCTTATTGCTGATACATGTCTATCTATATAATAACTACCATAGCTAGAGGGGGGGGTCTATCGATAGTATATCTACAATACTAACACGGTATAGATATAACCTTTATATGATATAATATTAATAAACGCTTTCCGTAAGTATAAAATACTTATAGCAAAAGTCGTAGTACGGATTTTATTATAATATAATATAAGTATTATAATATAATTATTTTAATAAGGTAGGTATTTATTACCTTTTCGATATTATATTAATTCGGATATACATTCTAGCTTAACATTATATAAAATAGTTATTCTATCCTTAAAAAGAGCTACTAAATTAATATAGCGTTCATATTATACCTATATCGTATCTTAAGTTTAATTTGCTTTAGTATCGTGATGGAAATACTTTTAGCTGTAGTAATCCTTTCTAGGGAGGGTAATAGTACGTAACATAGTGTCGACAGACCCCATCCCCCCGTATGGTACCTAATCTACCTACCTACACATTAGGTACCTACCTACCTGGTAGCTTCTAAGTAGCTCTATCCCCTGTCTGGTACTACCCCTGCTAACAGCATTTCGTGCCATTCAAATTGCACTTTTTTTTTTGGAGCGAGGTAGGAGAGATGTAGAAGACACGGACAGAACCATCAACAACCGTGGACCAAGCGAAGCCCAAACACTTTTCGCATCTTAAATCTCGGATTTTCTTTAACAAAATCCAGCCGTGATCCCCTCCCCCCTTTCGTATCGCCGTTTTGAGATACCTCCTTTTGTGAAGATCCATTTGGCTTGACGACGAAGATCTTTCGTGGTCAATTATTTGCAATTTCAATTCTTGTTGACCGACCTCGTCACCCCCATTTCCGTTGCGAAAATCCAAGCCTTAGCCTAATACTATGTCGTCCCCAGCCGTGAGTTGCCCCTATCACATTGCTAACACGTACCCCGTGTCCAATTGCTTCACTCACATTGCCTTCTATACCGCCACTGCTATTCCCTTCCATCAGTTCAACTGGTTGACCCCTTCCCGTCTCTTCACTTGCTCATTTATCATACCCTCTTCGCCGGGTGTAGCCACTGACCTACCATGCGTTCGCAGAAGATGATGCGCCGAAAGAAGAATGTGAAGAAGGGAATTCAGTTTTGTTTGATGGTCTGTGGTGCCTCGGGAACAGGTATGCTTTTCTCGTCATCCCCAACGAGTCCGAAATGCCAGAGCCGACACAGCATGCAATATCCCCGCCTGCGAGTCCTCCCAAACGACACGCTAACCTCTCTATTACTTCCATGTAGGCAGAACGACCTTCGTCAACACTCTCTGCAGCAAGAGTGTGCTAGCACACAAGGAGTCCGATGATGCATCTGCTGCCCACATCGAAGATGGCGTCAAGATTAAACCCATCACCGTTGGTTAGTTGATCAATCCGTCTGCCTTGGAGGGTGGGGGATTGATTGAATCTGACCGCTTATCTTAGAGCTCGAGTTGGACGAGGAGGGTACTCGTATCTCCTTGACCATTGTCGACACCCCCGGTTTTGGTGATCAAATTGACAATGAGGCAAGGTACGGATGGACTAATGCTTCAAGGACATATCTTGGATGGCGGCTTACCTCTGGATAGCTTCTCAGAGATTGTCGGATACCTCGAGAGACAATATGACGATATCTTGGCAGAGGAGTCGCGTATCAAGCGAAACCCCAGATTCAGGGACAACCGGGTACACGCTATGCTGTACTTCATTACTCCCACCGGTCATGGGTTCGTGCTATCTCCCCACCTGCTAGCGTGTATGCATTGCTAACGACCGCAACAGTCTCCGCGAACTCGACATCGAACTGATGAAGCGTCTTGCTCCCCGCGTCAACGTCATTCCAGTCATCGGTCGAGCCGATTCACTGACACCTGCCGAGCTCGCCGAGTCCAAGAAACTGGTTATGGAGGACATTGAGCATTACCGAATCCCCGTCTACAATTTCCCTTATGATATTGAAGAGGATGATGAAGACACTGTCGAAGAAAATGCCGAGCTTAGGGGTCTCATGCCCTTCGCCATTGTTGGCTCCGAGGATGTTATCGAGATCGGCGGTCGTCAAGTTCGAGCCCGGCAGTATCCGTGGGGTGTCGTCGAAGTTGACAACCCTCGCCATTCCGACTTCCTGGCTATCCGGTCTGCTTTACTTCACAGCCATCTTGCCGATCTCAAGGAAATCACTCATGACTTCTTGTACGAAAATTACCGTACCGAGAAGCTTAGCAAGAGCGTTGAAGGTGGTGCTGGAGTGTACGTTGTCCTTAGAGATTCCACTTGACTTGCTTGCTAACGGTTCCGCAGTGATTCTTCCATGAACCCCGAGGACCTGGCATCTCAGTCCGTCCGCCTAAAGGAGGAGCAGCTTCGCCGTGAAGAGGAGAAGCTCCGTGAGATAGAGGTCAAGGTCCAGCGCGAGATCAACGAGAAGCGACAGGAGCTTTTGGCTCGCGAATCCCAACTTCGCGAGATCGAGGCAAGAATGCAACGTGAGGCTGCCGCCGTTGCCACTTCAGGAACACCAGAGGCAAATGGCGACCACGATGGAAATTAAATGGCCTAGCACCTACGTCTTTTCTACCCACGTCCGTTATTGTGGACTGTCGGATAGAAGTACGGATTGTGGCGTTGGGTGTTTAATATGCCTCAGTTCCCGGTTCTCACCCCGAAGCTTTACTTTCCGAGGTGGCATGTTGTATGGGAAATGCGACAGATATTATGGTTGCACGCAGAGGGTTTGGTGAGCTTGTCGGAAATAAAGAACGGTGTGGAGTGGAGTTGATAAATCCCCGAAGTATGATATGCCCGAGTTCGGTGCATGGGGCGATGGAATCCCGGGGAGACGGCCTTGATTTCACAGTCTCTTTGTACGAGGCGATGCGCAGTCCCATGGAAAGGCCCAAGACCTTTAAAGATGGCTCGCCTACCTACCCCGTTGCCTCTTTCTGTGAGAGCCCGTTCCTCTTTTTACAACTTACCAGCTATTTAACCTATTTCTACTTTTATACCTCTTTCTCATCCTAGTGTTAGTGCCTTCTAATGCAGATATCGATACGAGTTGTCTGATCTTTGATGATGCTTAGGCGTCCTAGAGTGCTCCTGGACATTCATATACGCCACTATTCATCGTTTCTAATCAATCTAGCTTGTAGGCTATAAAAACAATCTCCACGGATGGGTGGTAAGAGTGTAGCCAGCGTCGGCGTGAAATTTACAAGTTCTCAATCTTGTATACTGCCTCTCAGGTAATCAGTGAAGGCAATCGAGTTAATCTAGACAACCACTATACTCATACTGATGGTAATTATGTGTTCGGTGGCCAGTTATTGGATCTAGAGGCGATCGAAAACCTATGAATACTTCCGTTGGGAAGTGGATTCGATATCCATAATTCGGTTCGGATGGTATTGCTATGAAGCCGAGCCGGTAGTAATGAAAACACCTAAAAAACAGGATCAAGCAATCCCCCCTTGTTAAGACGCCATTCCCAAATTAATAACACAAGCAAATCAGAGAAAGTGTGCAAATTGTAAAGGGAAAATAAAGAATACAATGGCATGTGGATTTTTTTCACACCGAGGAATCTCTGATTGTCAGGTTTATTCTTCGGTTACGAAGGTACCCCCATGTCCTAGTAACTAGAACTTCGTCCATCCGCCTAAAGCGAATTCTATCAACACCGTGCCCCTCTCCGCTCAGTCTAGTTGCTACTCTGGCTGTTGAGAATGCGTAGGATGGCCAGAAACAGGTTGATGATGTCGAGATACAGGCTGATGGCGGCCGCGATCTCCTCTTCAACGTGGTGCTTGCGGATGACAAGCTGGGTGTCGACGAGGATGTAGGCAGAGAAGATGAGGGCAGAGAGACCACCGTAGATGAGTTCGCCGGTACTGCTATTCTGGAAGAAGATCATCATGAAGCCAAAAAGGAGTAGACCCCAAAGGGCGCCAAAGAGGTAGGGCATCCACGAGGTGAAGTCATACTTCGTCTGACAAGCGAAGAGAGTCAAGAAGACGAAGATTCCACCTGTAAGAATGACAGCATTGAGGACAATCCGTGTCTCAAAGAAAGAGACAACGACAGATATGGCATAGGCCTCGAAAAGCGTGAATCCAGAGAGAAAAAGTAGGTTCGTCGGGTAACTCTTGCGCTTCCAGTAGGTGAGGAGCAAGAAACCGAGTGAGCCAATAAGCTAGTAATGTCAACTCCTCTCTTCATTGCCTATCCATCTCCCATCGGGGGAGATGAAGGAGGAATGTATAACATACCGAAAGCCAAACTAGAGCAGGGTGCGATTGAATCCAGATCTTGTAATCCAGGCTCCAGAAGCTAAGACCACTGACCACAGCGGTGACCAGTAGTTGTGCGGTAAGGATAGTATAGACCTTTCGAATGAACTGATTACGGATATCGACGGTGGCCTCGGCGACAGAGCCGCCGAACTTGAAGTCGTCGGGGATGTTGTCCTCGCTGCTTCGCGGGGCGGCAAATAGACCGGCGGAAGATGAACCGGCATCGGTGGCTTGGTATGACGGCGGAGCCTGGGACCAGGTGCCGGCGTCGGGATCTTGCGTCGGGGCAGGGCTATATTTCGTGTTGGCCGCCATCTTCGGTTCGCGGTGAGATGGTCAGTGGGAGAGAAGACGGGTGAGTCTGTATCTGGGTGTTTATGTTGTCGCGGATTGATAGGACGGTAGATGGAAACGCTTCGGTATGGCTATTCGCTCGACGCCTATTAGATACCGATGACGACAGACGCGATGAAGCAACGATCCGCTTGAGGTTTGCGATCGAGAAGTGGGTTGGGGTGTAGTGGTTGATAGGCGGTAGAATGAATCGATCAATTCATGTACGTAGTAAGCCTAACTAGGCAGCAGGCGGGGTGTGATGAAGGGTCAGATGGTTTAGTTAGGTATCACGTGCAGATTACGCCACATACTATAAGAGCACTACGTAGTACATAGGTACCTTAAGTGGTGGCTAAGTTATGGCTGGGTAGGTAGGTAGTCCACCCCGCTCCCAATCCCAGTAGGTATGTAGGTGCGAAATGCCCACATATGTGTACATACACAGGGGGGCAAAACGCCGTCTGTTAAATTATCGTCTTTACCTGAGTGCTTTCCATATAACTACGTGAGCAGGGATTCTGGCAACTCCCAACAGTTTATATACTAGAAATGAAGTCGGCATTTTGCAGGTTACTAAGTACCTAAGGTAGGGGTTCTCTACGTTAGGCGCTTTTTTCAAATACGCGCATAAGAACCTACCAGCGTAGACACGTTCGTGCCGAGGCAAACCACAAGATCATCTTCTAGCAGCTCTACATGGGTTCCCCGCTCATAAGGATCATCGGAGAATAAGCCCAAGCCCAGTAGAGCACTGGATAAGAGATGGTGCAAAATCTGCGAAGGCCTATTCGCTGCGATACTTCGGGAGGTGGGTGAAAGGGGCTACGGAGCAAGCCGTCGCTTTAGGGGTTGGCCGTCCCCATTGGATCAGAGGTAAGGATTGCATTACATACCTATTACAAGTCTAGGAACCACTTCAAGCAAGAGCTTGGTCCATTGTTATGGGTACAAAGGCATCTAAGATGTCTGCTGTACCGGTCTGGAGAGAGGCATGTAAGTTTGGTGCTTAGCGGCGGGGAAAGGTCTCGAGAGCAGTAACGAGACGCATCCCCAGCAACGACAGAGGCGGGAAATCCACACTCACCGTTAGGCCCTTGTGTTTTCCTAGGCATGCTATATGCCAACCAATCAAATGGTTAGGAAGGTTTTACCCATGAGTCCTATTACATATAATTAACCATATAATCCATAATACGTAGGGAGGCATGCGAGGATATCAGGACTTACAGTCGGTTGATTTGGTGAGGTAAGCAGGGGAAGAGATCTAGCCAGGTTACCTAGCGGCTTTGCCTGGATGTCGCTCGTTTCCCCACTTAGTCACGGTTAAAGGTTAGGGGTGGGTGGGAGGCACCTAAGGGGGAATCGATCTCCTGAAGACGTCGTACTGAGTAAGTGCGAAGCGCTCAGGCTACGCACATGCATACCTTGGGTATGTACACGAAGGCACTTTACTGCCTCCTGGAAATCTCAACAAATTGATATGGAACATTCGGCACGGATGACTAGATAGCAGAGATTGGATGTAATCGGTAGGATATAATCGGTATCTCCTTAATATACCACATAGGTAGGTGTCTGGGTAGGTAATAGGTAGCTCATTTTTGTGGTCGTGGTGAAGTGAGGAGCTACCGAACCTATGCATGATGCATGTGCTTCAAATTGATCTAATTGATACCTCACACCCACATGGAGAGGTCCAATGATCACCAGAGTGGTCCAACCCCACCAAACTACGCCCACCCTTTAGTCTATGTACTACTCCCTTAATACACCCGGCGTCTACCTCTACCTCTAATATTCACAGGCCTCTAAGGCTCCACATCCTACCTAACCTCTGTAGGCCGGAGAACCTACCTGCCTACTACAGCACATACATGGCCTATAAGCACGGTACCGACTACGTAGAACATATCCCTGCTCGATCAGGTAAGTACCTTTGACGAGGTTTAAGCCCTCTTCGACCCAACCACCCACCCCTCCTTCCCATTTCCCCGTTCACCGCTCTGACCGCCCGTCCACGAAAAAGAGGTCCATCCTAACATACCATACTAGGCCTCTCCACACCTCCATCCATGCCTACCTGCCTGTGGGCGGGCGTACATACATACATACCTACATACATATCTGGCCATACCTAAGTTTATTATAAAAAAAAAAGACAAAAAAAACCCTCCCCTGTACAGGCGGGGGGGCCGACCTGGAGTTCGACGTCTTCTAAATTCTGTTTAATTCTCAACCTATCCTGCTCTGCTTCGTCCGTCTGTCCATCCCTCTGTCCGTCTATCCCAGCGGTGCCGACGAACCAATGCCCCCCAGATACCAGCTGGGCATTCATCGTTCGACACATTCGTTTCAGAGAAGAAAGGTGAAGATTTGTCCGTTCGCTGTGTCGGCTATCTCTATACTCTGACGCTCGCACCCTTGGTCGCCAATCATCGAGCTGCGAATTGAGCACCCGTCACTGCGAATCACGGATTGTGCGAAAAAAAAAATTACCCCGGCCCATTTACTCCTCCAACAACCACCGACATATCCGCTCCTAGTTCGTAGCCGGGCTCCTCAACCTCCGTGGCCGAGCGCCTACTTAAATTCATCGAGCCGAACATGAGCGATCTCGCCCCCGATGCCGTCAACGTAGGCTTTAGGGATTCTACGAAACCCGCCACCACCACCATGAAAGCACAAGTCGAGAGGCCCCAGGCCTCCAAAGGAAGGCCGTTACCGCAGTCTCGCAACTCTATGAACGGTCCCTTGTACATGCAGACTAGTAACAACAAGGTTCTGATACGGAGACTCAAGAGGAGAGATGACGGCCCCATGAGGGGCCTGGCTCGCTGGTTCCTGGACAACCAATCCGGTACGTCGCGATGTTTGCTCGAGTCTAGGTAGCTGTCCCAAGTCCGCACTTCTTGTGACGATGGATCTAGGTCTCGCTGAGCAGTTTTCGTTCCACGACAGGGGCGCCGCGGCGTTACTTAGAAGTCCTGCATGCTTCCAACCGCCGCTGACTGTTTCCGAACCTTGCAGGCCTCTCGTTTAACCTTATTGCCTTGATCTTTCTCGCTCACCTATGTCTGCCCAAAGCACGCCAGCACACATTGAAATTCTTCACGCTCTCATACTACAACCCGGCATCGGGCCAGTACGCGATTGGGCCAAACGACTACCACTTCGTCTCTTTCTGCATTATCCTCTTCACTGGACTCCGTGCCGGTCTCATGGAGCATGTATTAGCTCCATTGGCCAGGCTTTGGGGAATCTCTAAGAGAAAGGAGATAACTCGTTTCTCTGAGCAAGCTTGGATGCTTATATACTATACAGTGTTCTGGACTCTCGGTTTGGTAAGAATTACCCCGGCTACCTGACCTATCGGCGCAGGGGCAGCATAACTCTCTCCGTGGTGTATCAATCCTATGTGGTTCTTAGAGCTAGCGGTTTAGCTAACAGCGAAGTAGTACATTTATGCCACCTCCGCGTACTACCTGAACATGAGGGAGCTTTGGACCAACTGGCCAAATAGAGAATTAGATGGCCTTATGAAAGGGTACATGTTAGCGCAGTGGGCCTTCTGGATACAACAAGTTCTTGTTATTCACATTGAAGAGCGCCGTAAAGATCACTGGCAAATGCTCACTCACCACTTCATCACTATTACCCTTATCTCATCCTCTTACTGTTATCATCATACCCGGGTTGGCAATCTGATCCTCGTTCTCATGGATGTAGTCGACCTATTTCTACCAGTGAGTAAAAATCAACTTCCCGGGACGTATTTTGTCTGCCTGTGTATTGGCTAACACTCTGAATAGCTCGCTAAATGCCTCAAATACCTTGGGTTTTCGAAGCTCTGCGACATCACCTTCGTCGTTTTCATGGTTTCGTGGTTCATCGCTCGACATGTGTTCTACCTCATGGCGTGCTATAGCGTCTATAAAGACCTGCCTCAATTAGTCCCTACGGGCTGCTTCCGAGGTACTAATGCCAATCTCACAGGACCCTTCCCCATCCCTGATGGGTGGGGCCATTACCTCGAGCCATTCAGCGATTTCGAGGGAACGATCTGCTTCTCCAGCTCTGTGCAATGGGGTTTCCTCTATTGCTTGCTCGGTCTCCAGGTGCTCACCATATTCTGGTTTTGCATGATTGTCAACGTCGCCATTCGTGTGATCAGGGGCGATGGGGCCGACGATACTAGGAGTGACGATGAAGGGGAGGATGACGAATTCGAGTACGAGGAGGCGCAGCCACTAGAAGAGGAGGTGGGCGTCGAGTCTATCGATTTAAAGGGATGGGAACGTCGGACAGGCGTCAAAAGGGGGGCAAGTTCATCTGGCGTCAGTCTACCCGGGCACAGCGATCGCAAGGAGTTGCTTGGTCGCATTGGCTGCGAGAAGCAGGTTGACTGACGTATCAGCACAACAAGTCCATCGTGGCACCAACATCGCCATTGTAGTCGGCAGGTTCTCTCCCCCTCCCCTTCCCCGACGCTGGACATCCTGCTTGTGGATTTCGCAGATATTGATTTCACGGACTCCTTAGAGAGCTACACTGACGGTGTCGCGGGGATGAGAGAAACCCTCCATTCTTACGAGCCCCTCAGGGCAAAGGGGGCATTGGCGTGGTTACCTTTTCTATTTTACTTACATGGGCCGATATAGGCGCGGTAGTCGTGAAAGGTGTCCCGCGTCGAGGAGTGCAGATGTATTGAATTATCTGCTCTGAATCGGTATATATAGAGTTGAAATTTAGTACAAATACCCCCTCGTTGTTTTATTGGATTGCATCATGTTCAAGTTTTGCATACATTCGCCGATGCGCGACGAGCTTCGTGTCATCTGGCGATATTTCAAACCTTTTCATCTTGATTATTTGCCTAGAAGGTCCTATAGGTGAGGTCGCCCGCTGAGGGGGGGGGGGGGGGGGGGGGGCGCGCGCGAGGGATGTATGTAACTGAAAAGATGTCCTGGTCACCTACCTGGTCTCTATGGATGTCTACGTCCCTCTGCCCCCCTCCTCTTCTACTTTCATCAGGCTTTTTTGCTCGACTAGAAGTGTCAAGGGTCGCAGCCGAACTCTAATTCCACGTTCTGCTTGAAGTTTCTTCGTGTCTGTTCGCTGGGGTAAGGATCCCAGTTGTGCACCGGGTGAGCAAAGTCGCCCCCTCGAACCCTGAGTGACGATGCTTCGACAGCCTCGGACAGTTTCCAGTGATCTGGGCTGCTCATCTTCAACTCTAAATGGACGAGAGGGGGCATCTAGATAGGGACCGAGCAAGGAACGAAACTCAGACCGACTCCCTTATTCTTCAATTGCAACCACCCTCTCTCCCACACGCTCACGGCGTCCCCATTCACTCGACATCCTTCCCTCTATTAGGACGGAACCGCCACGGTTTACTACAGGTGACTTATTAGGTGGCAGGGGGAAAAGCATGACAGATATGCCAGGTCGAACCTCCCCTGACGGCGTGCCCTTACGCTCGTCTAGGAGTTGGCCAGCTCCCCACGCCGTGACGAACTCGGCATCAAGACCACCCTCAGAGCCTACAGAAGCAACCGAAACACACAGCGTTGGAGGAACCGAGATGTGCGCAACGCAGACCGAGGAGACTAATGCTGGTGTGATCTCGGCTTTACGCGACGAAGTTCGGAAGGCCCAGGCCCAATTCTACAATGAGCGTATATTCACCAAGATACTCTCGCAACAGGCACGCGAGATGAGCGACCTCACGCAGACGCAGCATAGCGAGATCAGGAGACAAGAAGAAACTATCAAGAATTTACGACAGTGCCTAGATATCCTGCAAGGAGGTACCGAACACATACAGAACGGATACTACAACATTCAGAAGACGCACCCGAATCGAGTAATAAACGGCAACAAATCTGGAGAGGCGACGAGGGTTAGGATAAATCCACTCGAGGAGAGGTTTTCCGAGTTAGTCAGGGAGAAGGAGGAATTGCAAGTTCAACTAGACCGCGAGCGAGAGGTGACGCGAATTCAGGCTTCCCGAATTGCCAAACTCGAGAGCGAAGCAGCTGCCGTGCCAGTCGACGTCCCACCTAAGCTCTGGGCCGTGCAACTCCAAACGGCCCAGACCAGGCGGCAGAAGGAGGAGTCGGAGGAGATGCGGGAGAGCCTGAGCAAGTTCGATCAGGATGGATCTGTCAGCCGGGACAACGAAGTCCCATCGGACCTCGACGTGAAGGCCAGCTGCCGCCATGTCGGAAAGGCTGCTGCCGATGGTCAGAGTGACGGCAAGGTGGCCTGTCCCGAGGTTGCGTCGAGAGATCCTCTCGCGGTGCCCGGGGAAAAGAAACAAGAACAGAGAGAAGGCGAGGACGGCTGCTTGGATGCCGGCGCGGAGCTTGCCGGCTGCTATCCACCCCAGCGGGTGCACGCCAGGGTGGCGGCTCCGTCGTCACCACCACTTCCGCCTGCGCGTGCCGTCTCGCAGCTCCCGTCGTCCGTCTCGCCCATCGAGGGGAACCCTAGCCCCCATCATCGCCCCGAGTCTCTCGTTACTCAGTCGCGTCCGCACCTAGACCTGGGTATAGGGTCCCTGGCCTCTGGCCTCGGGCCACGCAGTTGGGTCGGGACCCCAGACCCGGGCCGCGTAAGACGCGAGGGAGACGAAGAAGAGGAGCGGACGCGATCGGATTCCGGCGGCGACGCTGAGCCCGCTTCCCGGCGAGGTCTATGGCTCGGTTGTCTGGCGGCAGGTCGAAGATACCTCCCGCCGGCATGGCCGCTGGTATTGCTGGGGGGCTTCCTCGCTGCGCTGCGTTTTGCCTTACCTTACCCTACCTCCCCTTTCTTGCTCATCTATGGTCGAGGATTAAAGAGATAGTGGGGGCGGGGGGGAAGCTATCCTGAAAGATATGATTAAATAAAATCAGCCGCTCTTTTTTGGTTTTCTATTTTATTTTTTTCATCGTCCCCCTTTTCATATACCTACATACCCAGTCGTACGCCGTGTTCGATAGGATACGGATTTGGGGGGGGGGGGGGGGGGGGGGCTTAGCGCGTATGACTGGCGGTTATGTGAAGCGTGGTTCTCGCGTGTTGCTATACGTACACGTCTTCTAGTAATGTAATGGAATTAGGCAGCGCAGTTTCCTAAGGCCTTCGCTCCTGAGAGTCGAACGTCATCGATAAGTGACCGTGTGACCAAACAGACACCGCCTACGTGCACAAGGTGAAGCAGGGGAGGGGAGGTAAGCGAAGGGATAGATGGCCTCGCTAAGGGCGGCGGCGAAGGTTGAATGCTAATTCTGCCTGTTCGACGTACCTAGAGAGGGAGCGAGAGAAGGGATCTCGCATCTCGCATGTGCGTGTCGGCGCATCGTAGAGCTTCTGGCCTCGTGTTCTCCGTACCACGTCCGGTCAGAGGCAGATATACGAGGCGAACTGACAGGGAGAATGAGAGCGGTGATGACCAGCCACATCGCAACACGAGCGGATATTACGTCGCATGAAGCGAGGGCGGTTCCTGTCACCCTCGGCCGTTACCGTAGCTGTTATGATTGGTGTTACAGACGCATACAAGCTGCTCGAGTAAACATGAGCCCCACGGGTGGACGAACGGATGGATGGCGTATCATCCTCGACCCAGAGTCTGTCTTATGTCCCCACGTTATGAACCCTTGCGTACGGGAGTCCCGGCCGTCAAGTTTCCGAGGCTTCTCAGCAAGGGGGCAAGGGTTAAGACGGCACCGATATGTAGCGATCGGAGACGTAGACGGAGACCCTACTGCCGTTGTCGCTGGGATTGCAGACAGGTAGGACTAAGCAGCGAAACGAGCGTGGCGAGGCGGCGGCTTACACGGCCCCCTCCCCCATCGTCGAGATCGGCGAACGGAGCTCCGGGCCTCTGCGAAGCTATACAGACCATACCTACTGGGGACTGCGAGTATCCCTGCAGCCTAGGAGCCAGCCATGCCGGTTCTCGGCGTGATCGGCCGAAACAGGGGGGGGGGGGTGAGGTGGGGGAGGTCAGTGGCCGTGAGAACCGGTTTCGCGGTGTCCCATGTGCTCCATACCGTGGGCTACAAGGCATATCTAAGAGGGGAGGTAGGTGGTGGGTATGCATGCGTGTACCTACCTACCTACCTATACCTATGTGGTGTATGGCGGCAAAAGCCCTGCGGCAGTGAATACCTACCTACCTACCTACCTGTCCACTCGCAGTGTTACTCGTGTTCAGCTCGAGGATGAGGGGCTCGGTATTACAGTACCTAGATCACGTTGAACGTGGTTGTGTGCTGAACCCGGCATTCCTTCTCTACGCCGGTGCTGGGGTGAGAGCGGCGTGCCTGCTCATACTACGAGGGCCTCGGGTACCTCGCTGATCACACCTAACTGTATGCACGTTACGGATGGTGGTTGTGTGCTTCCACGTTGCATGTTGGAGGTACCTAGATATTATGTACATACCCATACAGGTATGTGTGGCGCGATGGATGGAAGCGTGTACCTACATACATACCTAGGTAGGTACCTATGTAGGCACGCGTTCCATTTTTAGAAGGGCCAGAGGGGACGCTCCCGAGGGGTCAACTGCCGGTGCCAATCCCTTCGCGTTGGGTAGGGTGGTGGTGTCCGAGAGTTACCCGAACGCTGAACGTCAGGCAGGACGCAGGTGAGCCGCTCTAGAATCGGAGACGTTTCCGGCTGGCAAAATGCGGCGAGTAAATTCTTCACGAAGCGGATCACAGTATGGCGCTGCTTTACGCGCATAGAATTGGATGCTAACATCAAAACGCTTGATTTTAATCTGATGTTTTCTAACTTGACCCGGTCGAGAGGATGGAATGGGTGAGCGAAGCTGATCTTAAGGCTCGGTACTTGACGCAATACCTACATGCTGCCCCGGGTAGATCCTTAACTGCCGCCTATTTAATCGTTAGTTGTACCTAGGATAAAACTATGGACCTTAGGTATGTTGTACCAACTCAGGTATTACATTATCATTACCTGCCTTAGGTAGGCATGCATTCATAGCTGCGATGGCGTGGTACATCATTTCTTTCCTCCTTCGTCTCTTAACCAATCCTACGACGATCTGCATCGTGTTAGACGGGCTGGGGCGCGTCGTGTTTGCTTAGCTGACAAGGAATATCTACAAATCCCTAAAAACGGGGAATCGCCACGACACGAAGCCCTCATGCATGAACAGTACAGCGTGGAGTTCGAAACAGAGAGGGAGATACTCGCGAGGGGCGAGGGAGGAGGAGGAGCCGCATGGCTCGTATAAAAGGCAAGGGCGCCACCGCGAAGTCGAGAACCGAAGCGAGTAGTCTTAAACAGCAAGAAAGTCTTCTCCTTCTTCTCCTTCTTCTAACCGGCCATACCGGCCATACCATCGTACCGTCGTTGCAACTCCATCCCACTGGTTCAACTGCTCCTCGTCCTTATCTAGACCTCTTCTTTTCCTCCTCCTTTCCCCCAACCACTCGTAACGATGCGATTCGCCAGCATCGCCGTTGGTGCCGCTGCCCTCCTGGCTGCCGGTACCGATGCAGCCGTCCTCCGGCGTGACGGTCCGCGGCTCGCCCAAATCCGCGCCTTCGGCGCTGAAGGTTGCCATAACCTGAACTATGGCTTTTACACCATCGACCAGTCTGATGCCAACACCTGTCACACTTTCGTCGGCCTCCCCGAGGGCGCCGTCGCTAATTCCGTCAAACTCGAAGCCGTTTACTCGCCCGCCGCCAACGGATGCACCTGTAAGCCTGCCCCTCCATTCCCACTGCCTCTGCCTCTCCCACTACGGGGGATGAAGAAGGCATTGTAAGAAGACCAGGACTAACTACATGAGTGCGAAGTCTATCTTTATAGCGGTGCTACCTGCGGGGGCATAGGGGAGCCCGTATCCGTCAATACCTGCGCTAGTGCAACTCATGCTTGGGCTTCTTGGAAGATCTCTTGTCCAAACTAAGCTCCTACCTTTCTGCCTGCATCACTATCGCCATTCGAAATACTCCGTCTTTCATGATTAGGCTTTTTAATAGCATCTGCGGAGGTAATGCGTTCTTAACTAGGAGCATATCCACCTCGCTTTCTTGTCGAATTAGCAGTTTATCGTTTGAACAAAAGTAGAACTGGACTATCCACGAAGTCAAGTAATGGGATGGAAAGAAGGAGTGGTTGAAAAAAAAACCCCCCTTAGTTCCATGCTGCAAACGTGGGGGGGGGGGAACCGTGGTGGTCCCATGAGTGTGTTAGGTCAACCGTCGAGGTTGACAACATCTGAAGGCAAAATCGGGGATTTCTATTCTCAACTAGGGCGCTATCTGATAACTATGGGTGTAAACCTACCTAGCTTATAGAAGCCCCTCGATTAAATACGAACAACAGCGGCTAGATAGAGCTTCTTAGGCAACATACCCAACCTACTACACAAAAACTTCAACATGATTATCGTTCGTATCTTGTAAGATTGACAAACAAGTACACATCTATCTACGTACTAGATACCTGAAAACAGAAACTTCCAACCTCCCTCTACCCCTATAGTACCCCAACCAGAATGCTGGGTTATCGTCGAAGACTACGTTCCGTAGCGTATGTTCGGTTTGACATCAAGCTGACTGGGCTCCGCCATTTCCGCGACTACTCTCCCCGAGTTGCTTAAACTTCCTGAGAACCTTGAGTGTGGCGTAATAGCTGAACGGGAGGGCAATGAACCAGAGGGCGAAATTTATGGCCGCAGTCGCAATAAGGGCTGTTGGGATCGCCTGGATTCCAAATCCCAGGGCAACCCCGGCGGTCTCGATACCTCTCAATAAAGAGCTGTATCTAATCTGATCCCCCGGCGAGTCGGATAGGTTACCAATGCACCAGTAGATATAATTCTCGACCATCCCGTGGCTGATTCGATCGAACAGATATATCCCAAAACCGCGACCAAATGCAGTTTGGTCCCCCCAGTCTAGGACCGGCCGTGTAAAGCGATATTCGTTCTGGATAATGACCGCCCATATCCAGGTGGCACTGTTGAGCATCGTGATAAGGATGTAGGTGAAAACGGCGCGAGTGGTCCTACTTTTAGTCCACTCCAGATCAACTAGGCTGCCGGTTAGCCAGGTGGCAAGAGTGCCAACGACGGCAGACAGAAAGCTGCCGAGCGCCCTCGACCGCACGGTGAAATAAGTAGCTAGGTAGGTCCCCGGGTACGCTTGAGACCAACCGTAGTACCAGAAAAGGGGTGTCAACAGCAAGATGGACTTGCTCTTCCCCAGGCGCCACATCTCGCGTAACTCGGTACGCCAGTCAATGCCCCTCGGCGCTGCGATGCGAGTTCCGTCGTCCCGCTGAACCTTCTCGGGGTTGGAGAGAAGAAGAGCGAATAGACACCCGAGACATTGAATAGCGATGAATCCGAGATACGTTTGGTATCCCACTTGACCACGGCGATTCACGCTGTGGTTGAGAGCGAGGGAGATGGCGCCCCCGATGATGTTCCCGAAGTTACGGAAGGTGAACCAGGTGGCTATGTAGCGGCCTCGCTTATGCTGCTCGGGGTATCCTGTCGCGATGGCGCCCTCGACGCTCCAGAAGAAGCCGGCGCTAATGCCACAGGTAACGGAGCCGACATACACTAACCACGTAGAGCCGAAGCGGTTATTGACGTAAAGGCCGGCCGCGTACAGCGGGTAGCCAAGCGTGCCGAGGGACAGGGTCGCGCGAAACCCGACCACGTTCGTCAGCCACGGCCCGGCAAAACAGGTCACCGTCATGAAGGCATATAGCAGAGCGTTGGCGGCGTTCACGAGCTCGGGGCTCTGCGATCCGCCCACGCCCAGGCCATTCATCGCACTCCATATCCCAGGCGCCGAGAAAGCACAGAGGCCAACCACGAGAATCTGGAAGAGTGTGCTTCGGAAAAAGGGAATGCGGTTGGGCTCGACAAGAGGAGGGCTAGCCGTGCCGGAAATAACAATAGAGGCACCGGCCGCTTCGTCAAGCTCCTCTTTCGTGATAGTCTTTTCGGCTCCGGACATTGTAGAGAACGATGGAGAATTACGGGTAGAACGTAGTCAGTGATCTAGAGAAATAGATGTCCCTCGCTAAGGGGGCGACCGGGCACTTTTCGTCAGGCAACAATGATAAATATGTCCATATATTGCTTGCGAATATTCTGGGGACAATGGCAATGACAATTGCTCTAGATATGTTCTTGGATATGTATGGTGTTACCGTAAGCTAGATGGCATCTTATAGATTATATATATGTTAATGCCTACGTATCTATACTAAGCCTGCGAGATAACGACTCCTCATGCCAGCCATGCATTCAATGCGTCGTACATGCGGTAGAAACGGTGATGGGGGTATCAGCCAGGCTAGGTTCCGATACACAGAAATTCTTTCCGCGGTCACATTCACGCAAGAATCTGTATATCTGACGTGCTATTCGATAGATCGACGACTGCGGTACATCATTAGCCCTGAAACGGAACCACCTGTACCCTCATATGAGGTCGAGTTGTAGGAAGAGGAATTCCGAGAACCTGGGCAACGCGGGGCTCTCTATGCTAACAACCCCAAATACGACGTCGGCTCAGCAGTTCCAAGGAATTAGGTGATTTCAACGTAGAACAAGGGACCGGGGTAGCATGACGTGACAGGATGACGGCGTTATCAATGGCGACGATGTCCAGTAACATTCATACGCAGACGGGCGTAGATGATGGGGTACCTATAATAAATACACAAAGGATAGCCGAGGGGGCTGCCCTCGTCGCTCATCTACGTGAAAGCTTCATTCATTGTGGTTAAAATTCTCTGGATCGCCATAGGGGTAGGTATAGGACAGCACATTAAGCCTCGTCACATCACTATGGCTGCTTCACTGGGACAAGCGGTGGCCCCGCCGTTGGAACTTGGCGACACCTCCTCGCCCCCGCCGGTGACGTTCGAGAACTTTGACCTCCCACTGGGTAATCAACGCCAACTGGGAGCACCCCACCCGGATGGCACCGTAATCCCGCTCGCCCTACGTCCGGCGACCGCAGACCACTTCGTGCCGGATCTCGACGGCGTCATTGAGACGATCAAGGCCCTCCAGTCCCGGGGAGGGATTCTCACCAAGAAGTTGGCTCTTCACGGGACGCTGCTCTTCCGAGGCTTGCCAATTCACAATGCCGATGATTTTAGCAGATTTGCCCATGCGTTTGGATATAAACCACGGTATGTATTACCTGCCACTGCTAATCTCGATGTCTTGTCACAACCCAACCGGATGAACTGCTGCTCGGAATATTACTAACGTGCTCGTAGTATGTGCCGATTCGCCTTCGCTTGCTTATTCCCCTCTTCTTTCGCTTGTGCTTCTTCTGCTGGGCGCACTACACCCACCAAGATACTAACACAGAGCAGATGAAATCATCGGCATCGTCGTCGACCGGCCAGTACTTGCGCCGAATGTGGCCCCGGCCAACGAAGCCCCTAAGTCGGTCCTGATCTATAACCATAACGAGTCCCCCCAGGTACCCCATGCCCCCGAGTACATTTTTTTCTACGGGCACAGCGTACCCGAGAAGGGCGGGGAGACGCCAATTTCGTCGTCGCTGGAGTTATTCCGCCGGGCGCAGCAAGAAATTCCCGACTTCGTCAGCCAGCTGGCCGAGAAGGGGATCCTGAGTAAGGTGACGTACAAGGTCGATAAGCAATACGAGGGCGGCTCGACGCTGAAACAGGCGTTCGGAAAAGAAATTCGGGACGGCGACGACGAGGCAACAAGGCGAGCCAAGATCGAGGCCCAGATAGCCCGCTACGGCAGAGGCGAGCACACGACCTGGGAATGGACCGATGACGGCATCGTCCTGACGCACAGGCTGCCGGCGATCCGCACGCAGCCGGGCACCGGTCTTCCGACCTTGTTCACCGGGCTGGCCGCGTATTACCGCAACGCAGAGGTAAATACCGGCGCTCGGAAGGGCGTAACACGGCAGCTTTTCGGGGACGGCACGCCGATCCCTGACGAGTATCTGGCGCGGCTTGTCAAGATCACCGATGATATCCGGGTGCTGCACAAGTGGCAGCGTGGCGACGTCCTCGTCTACGACAATATCATCGCGCAGCATGGGCGCCAGCCCTGGGAGGGCGAGCAGTCCGACCGTGTCGTCATGGCGAGCTTGTTTGATGGGGAGCAAGTTCCTGGCGCTTATAGCTCCGATGATTGGGCTCAGGTCGTTCAAGCACTGGAAGCGTAGTCAACGCGGCACCTATTGTAAGCGGCGTGATCTACCTACATGGGCAGATGGAGGTCTTGGAAATATAGGTATTATTACACCCATTCTCAACTTGGAAGATTTCCCCAGCTGCGATTAATCGCTCCAGTTACACGTTTGTTTCTTAATATATGGGAGGGTGTTTTTCTTCGATACAGGTCCAGGACGCAGGTAGGTATGACGGTACGCCCCATTGCAACGTATTAGTATCAATCCATGTTTGGCCACCGTACTGTCTATTAGCTACCTAACACAGTTGCTCGAATGCCTAGATCGAGTTTTATTACCCTGGGTAGGGATTATACACTCCTGTGTGGAATTGCGACGATAATATACGCAGCTTGGTGACAGGATACGGCTGAAATGGCTATACCAAGTTGAAATGAATGGATATTAATAGTCGGGCAGTCCTGATAGTTGCTGGCCCTTAAGCACCAGCCTCTACCTACCTAAATCTATCCAATGCATCTTGCCGTACGCGCTCTATGTAGGTACGTAGGCGGTATGTTTTGAAGTAGTATTTAATCGACATAATACCTACTTACCTTATACTTACCTTATACCTACCTGCCTATTAACACGGCTTGCCCTTAAACGAGTGAGCATGTTAATCCCTCGCTCTTATCCTCCACCACGAAACACAAATTGATGTGTAGCCATTGTTATGGCAGAACACCTCCAGGGATGTGAGTGCTTAGGCGTTTCGTCAGCATCGCTATGCGATTTACCCAGCTCCTTTATCCGCGGGCTAAGTGACGGAAAGTAACGTACAGAGCCAGACTATGCGACACGGTGTCTCTCTCGTCTCGAAGCCCATAAAGCCCATCTTATCTCGCTTCCACACGCCTTCTCCAGACTTAGGCTGACGAGGCAGTATGAGATGTGTTCCTTTTGAGCCTTCATTTGCGATGCTATCACGCCGTAGAGGTGTTATAGCTATATGCATCTTCGCTTTACTCCTCTACGTGTACTGGCGGAGGCTGGCGGGCCCCAACACTCCGGAGGGACTCCTCTCCTCGGCCACAAGAGACACGTTCAATGATACGTTAGGTGTAAGCGCCCTTCCTCCTCTTCTTCGCCTCTCTTAGTGCTCTGATGATGTAATTGTTCTGTAGCAGATGTTGACAAGGGCCGCTAGTTTGAAAAAATATTTGTCATCAATCTACTGTCGCGAGCGGATCGCCGACATGGCATGGCTCAAGCTGGCGCCGCCAGCAATCTCACTTTCGACTGGATTGATGGTATTCCGGGTAGCCAGTTTCTAGATGACACATCACTAGCAGCTGGAGAGGGGCATTCGGCTGGAGCTAGGGGCTCCTACATGTCCCACATGAAAGCGTTAAAAGCCATCACGAGAGAGAATTTGGGGAGTGCACTGATCTTCGAGGACGATATCGACTGGGATGTGCGCCTGAAGTCACAACTTGATACGTTCGCGCGGGCTTCCAGGACATGGTTAAGGGAAGCAAACCAGGAACGGCAGCAGGTCGAGCTGTGGAAATCCGCCCCGTCCTTGTTCGTGGGGAAGAGGGGTAGCGAAAGCGCCAGCATGAGGGAGCCTGAGGGAGACAAGATGGGGGTTCGCCCGGGAGTCCAATCTATCTATGGGGACGGCTGGGACGTCCTGTGGCTCGGTCACTGCGGTGCTGACTTTCCCGACGAGCAGTCTCCAGCTTCGCCTTTGAGAATCGTCGTCCCAAAGGACGAGACGGTCCCGGCTCCTAAACATCTCAAGCCTCACCCGTTCGCTCTACGAGACAAGCTGGGCGAGATATATCCCCCGCATACGCGAGTCGTCCATGCCGTCGACGGGAATGTGTGTACCCTGGCTTACGCGGTAAGCCACCAGGGAGCTCGTAAACTACTGCGGGAATTCGATGCCAAGTTCGACTCTCAGTGGGATTTGATACTACAGAAATGGTGCGACAGGGGACACGCCTCGAATACGACACTCCCGATAGATCCGAAGCCGGCGAGTAGTGGCGAGTCTGATCAACCACGACCAGAAGCCAATCCGATCTGTCTTACCGTGCAGCCGCCTCTATTCAGTCATCGGTATGTCAGAGAGGGGACCTCCAATATCCAGGGTCAAGGTGGTGGGTTTGCGCGAGGTGTAGGGACTCCATATATAAGATTAAGTGTACATGATAATTTGGAGAAGCTGATGAAGGGTGTGCGGGAGACGGAAATGATCGACCAACTGGCTGACGACGGGGTGGCGATCTGGTAGTGAAGGATGGGGTACGGTATGGACTTGCAGACAGGGTAATATTTCACAAAAAGACTGGGAACGGGTAAAGTACGCTGCGATACATGCATTGGAAATTACGTAGGTATATAACAACGTTGATTAAATAAATATATCAAAATTTAAACCCCATTTCAAGGTTGCGCAGGTCTCCTTCTCCATCTCCAAGAACGCTGCGGCACTATTCATATAGCTTTCATATTTTAGCTGGGTGAGAAAAAAAAGAAAATCAATCTGCCCACTACTGGAGTCGAACCAGTCATCTCCTCATTGCTCCGAAGAGCAGGATAATAATACTAGTGAGGCGCATTACCGCTGTGCCAAGCGGGCTGTTATGATATCTGTTCGAAGCTAATTCCACTATATGTATCAATTGTGTACCTATTTAGCCAAATATCATCCCCAGGTATCCCTGCCTTGACACCGACGCTTCAAAGTTGGGTATTGGGATGTCGTTTACAATCTACCACTTCCTTCTTTAAGAAATCCACCGTGGAATATGTTGGGAGCTGCGGGGGATTGGGGTGGGCGAATGGGTTAAAGTTTCCGATAACTACCTGTCCAATCCGTGTCGACGCGTTACTCGCTGCGCCCAGCAGACAAACCCTACCTCCCAAGGATAGTGCCTATCATACCCAAGGAGAATTAACCGCATCTCACTCCTTCCCACCTCTCCCTCGAGCTCTACCTTCGTCATGGGGACGGCTTGCGTTTGTAGATATCCAACAAGGGGGGTTAGATCGCATCTATTTTCAATCCCATCAATCTCACAGCAGATGCGGAACATCTGGGAGTTTCGGTAAGAGGCCAGTTGCTGTCGTGATCTCGTGTTCTCGCGTCTCTAGTCGAGACCCTCAAGTACAAATCCCTATTCTATGTGCTGTGTGTCGATGTGTCGCCCATACCTCTATTCCCTCTATCCCTCTATACAAGCGCCTGTAACGAAACCCTCTATACTTTGCCGATGATCAACCCGACAACCCAAGCGTCTGCTACCATATCTCTGGCGGCAATGAGCCATTTTTGAAACCACGTTCCAAAGTGATAAACACCAGTCGCAAAAATACACACGCTTAAGCACGCGCTTCAACTTGCTCCATGCCCGTCGTCTATAGGGAACGGATGAATGTTTACTCATCTTCGTCCGTATCCGGCGGGTGGGGAGTGCCCTTGGGGCTGTTGAGCCATTCGATATGGCGTAGTCTCCGTCGGACTTCCTGCTCCTTTAGTTCCTTCTTGGTCTTCTTCCTCTTCTTCTTAGCCTTGAATTTCAGAGGCGAGTTATCTTCAGCTCCACTGTTGACGGCACTGCTTACGACGCTGCTGGCCGCCGTGCTGGCTACACCGCTCGTAAGCCCGCTACTCGGTTTGCTATCCTCAAAACGGTCCAGGGAAACTGAGCTGTTGCCCTTCATGACCATCCGACCATCATTGATATGCCACTGCTCACTAGCAAGGGCGCCAACAAACTCTTCATTGTGGGAAATCATGACGACCCCGCCTTTGAAGTCCCGGATTGCAACTGCAAGACCGCCGAGAGAATCCCGATCCAAAAAATTAGTGGGCTCGTCCAACACGAGCAAATGAGGATTGTTCCACATGGCGCCCGCGATGACAACCTTAACCTTCTGCCCTCCTGATAAGCTGCCGATCTCATTGTGATTGGCAATTTCGGGGTCAAGACCGAGATCCTCAAAATGTTTCGAGATAACCGTTGGTTGAAGGTCCCGATAACCGAGGCCTTCGCGGGACGCCTCATGGTCGTCGAATTCCTGTACAAGCTTATCGAAGCCCCATTCTAATAGCGTCTCCCGGGACACTTGCGAATTATATTTGGGTAGCCACGCTTTCCATTTCCTAGTTGTTGTTAGTGACACGATCTTAGAGAGAGGCGCGACGATATCCGGACCCAACTTACACTTCGTACTGAAACGTCTTCTTGTATTTCTGACGGCCAACCAGGGCCTCGACCTGGCGTTGGGCCTTCCCGTCACCAAGATCGATCAGCTTGTCCATCTGCTCCCGGTCCTTATCGGAAAGGATGCGAGTCTGCTTTAGAAAGACCTCTCTATCGTCGCCGTTTGCATATCGCCACTGCAAATATTGGTTCGGCGTTTTTTCCATGTGCATCTCTACGTGTTCGAGGGCGTGCTGCTTGATGTAACCGATTCGCAGGTTGGGGTGTTTTTCAACTTTCCCCGTAGTCGGGATCACCTCGCCGGTTAGCAACTTGATCAGAGTCGATTTCCCTGCACCATTCGGGCCAATGACAGCAACGCGAGAAGAGAGCGATAGTTGGCAGGAGACGTCGTTGAGCGACGGTTTCGGTGCATTGGGATACTGGTAAGACACGCCGGCCATTCGGATGATGGCCCGTGTTTGGGATTTGACGCCAGTTAAGATTCCTGGAGGGGGGAACTTGAATTGAACGTTGGAGGCGGACAGTGTATAATAAGCCTTGGCTTCGGGTCGAACATTGACGAAAGCAGCGAGGTTGCCCTTGAAATGACCGAGTTTCTTTCCGGGTTCGTAATGGTAGATGTCTGTAGTGACATTATCTAGGAAGCCCGAGTCGTGGGAGACAATCAAGCTAGTGATGTCAGTGTGACTCTTCAGGTAGGTCTCGAGCCAGGCGATGTTCGCAACGTCCAGGTGGTTCGTAGGTTCGTCGAGCAGAAGAACGTCGGCCTTTTGCAGCATCGCCCGAGCAAGAGCAAGCTTCATCTTCCAACCTCCGGAGAGGGACCCAACTTTTTGGGACTGCCTGCCTTCAGGGCCTGCTGTGAACCCAAATTCTGCCAAGACTTCCGAGATTCTCTCACGGCCTTCAGATGCGATCGTCGGATCCTTAACCATGAATTCCAGAATGCTAATATCAGCGTCTTCGCCTTGGTTGTGCTCGACGTAACAGGTACGGAGGACATCCTGTGGCGGAAACCCCTCCAACTTGCCACCAGCGATGCTCCTCATCAGGGTTGACTTGCCAGCGCCGTTGCGGCCGCAAAGACCGTACCGATGTCCCTTTAGAAGCCGGAGGTTGGTATGAGACAGAAGAAGCATCCCGCCGTAGGCTAGCGAGAAGTCTGCATTGACGATCTCGACTTCACCATCGTCCTCTTTCTCCGGCGCACCGTACTTGCGGTGGTCCTCAGCGACATAGAATTGGTGAACGCTGGAGGCGACTGCATCGACGGAGCTAGCTTGACACATTAGGTCTTTCAGGTACGGCGCAATCCTAGCGGGAATCCGATCAACCTGGCGGAAGTTGGAGTCCTCAGCAACCATTTCACAAATGTACGGGCGGGCTAGCTTATAAAAGTCCGAGTCGCCGGAGAGCCCCCCATGCTTCTTAATTTCGGAATCGACGACTTTGGCTACCTCGTCAGCAGATGTTCTCTCCACTACTGCTTTGTCGTTGCCCATAGCCTTATCCATCACACCTAGGGCCCTAGTAGCCAATTCGCGCACTTCTGGCAGTGGTGCGCGATTGACGACGCTTTTAACACCTGGCTGAAGCTTTGGCAAGAAGGTGCGCGCCTCGATAGGATCGTGAACCAGCTTGGTCAGATTTTCGGTGATAACGACGGCCTGCCGTAACACTTCCTGTGCGGTAGTAGGGTTGTTGAGGGTTCGCTCCAGGAAAGGGGTGAGGAGAGCAAGGACCGGGGACGTCACTTCGGCCACAAAGGTAGTTTGCGAAAGGGCGTGGATCGCCTTTTGGAGGGTCTGCGTAGAGGGATGATGCATGGTGTCGACAAGGAGAGGAATTCTAGGGGCCACGTCGTCGTTGGAAAGTAGAGCCGTCAGAGATTGCATCGTAATAAGAGCCTGTTTCTCAACTTCGGCTTTGAGGTCGTGCATGTTGCCTTCGACTATAGGGATCAGGCTAGCCAGCTTCGCCCCCATGGCCTCCCGAAGGATATCCTTCTCTTGGGCCTGCTCTTTCGTGCAGCCGATCTCCATCTTTGCCTTATCGGCCATCTTCTGCATCAATTTTAGGGCGCCAATGGTGCCTTGCCATTTCCCAGTCTTCTTCGACAGATAAGAAACGAGGGCTGGCAGCAAGCCTACAACCATGGCCTCGGGGCTCAAATGGCCAAATAGCGCATCAAGTCCATATTGTGCGGCATCGCGAACCACGATGCCCTTGTCGGCCAACGCGTCCAACGCACACGATATCAAACCACCGTCCTGGAGCAGGAATACAACTTCGCTTAAGGGTTGTCGCGGAGGGAACCTTTCGAATAAAGCACCAAGGAGGTTCTGGGAGCTCTCCCGTCGTAGACCGCTCTTCTTATCGGCGGAGGCTTTCTTAACTTCGGCCAGAACGCCATAGTCGTGCAGGCCTCGGAAGCCTGTGGTATTTAATAGGAGCTCGCAGAGACCGTAGGAGGCATCGATGGAGGCGGAGGAAGTCTTCGCGGTAAAGATAGTGTTGAGGATTGAGGAAACGTCCTGTTGTGACGGCGGGGGAGGGGTGTCGGGAGGTTTAACCACCATTATCGGCGGCGTCACAGGATGAGGCATCGCAGACGGCCGACGTTGACTAATTAGGCGGCAGGCAGATTCGGAGAAAAATATGAACAGTATACGATAGAACCTTGAGAATAAGCTGCACCAGGATCGGGCGGGAAAACGTAAAGAATCTCCCGAATAAGCTCACGAAGTTTCCCTCGAGCCGTAGAATCGTAGGCGTAGTGAAGGGGTTAACGGCGAGCCAGCGTTGTCATACCTCTGGCTGGAAGGGTGAGGGATGTTTGATTGTGAGGGAAAAAAAAAACAAGACATGCTTGGCCTTGTCGGCCTAAGAGCCCACCCGTCGAAAACTTTTCCTTCATTTCTTAAGGCTTATCAGCAGGTCCCACTCTTATCTATCCCCGTCATGGGGCTTCGTTACAAGGGGGTCAAGGCTAATAATACCTGTCGGCTGGATGCGCTAGGCCAGCTGGGGTACGTACCCCATGCACGTTTTTCGACTGCTACAGTTGAGTGGAACCGATCTGGGAGGCAGGTAGGTACCTAGGTAGGTACCTCCTATTGAGATCTAATTTCAGTACCTGAAGTACCTAACGTATTAGAGGCTGGTAGTAGTACCTTAGGTAACTACCTACCTACCTAGGTACCTAACCTCTCATTTCTACCCTACCTATCCTCTCCCTAACGTAGGGACTGCCTTTCTGCGGCGGGTTAAGTTGGTAGAGCTGCTTTGCGATTTACACTTGCCCTACGGCAAGATGCCTTCCAGAGGAGCCTAGTAGCTCGCAGAACTGCTTCCGTCTCCATAGTCTCCCTCCGCCTGACCCAGAGCCGCGGATTGCGGGTGCCAAGGGCATAATATGAACGGCTTATGGGATTCCGGCCCAACAACAAGGTACTGAACATCTTCCGAGTCACCCTAGGGCTTCTAGGAGACGTAGCCGCCCAGTAGCTAGGCCACTCCATGTGCGCGTAAACGCTGCGAATAGAACCCGAGTTCAAATCGGGCGACCACACGAGAAATGCACTGTGAGAAAAGGGAGGGCAAGGGCAAAAGTATTTAGCTAGTGAAGTGAGGACAGTGGATTGATGCCAAGGTAAGCCAAGCTATAGAGAAATTCCTAATTCGGAAAATGAGATCCCTGTCCAGGGCATCTAACGGTGATGATATACATATACGTCCTAAGGTTATATGCCCGGTTGCCGTCTAAAGTCGTGTATATACCTAGGAGGTATGTAGTATGGCCGGTCAAGCTGTTACCTGGGACTCGGAATTGTCGCCTAAAGCGCTTGCATACAGGTACTACGTGGTATTGTGCCAAGTACCTACTAGGTAGCTTTATTACCCTAGATCACGAAGCTCCCTACCCGAAGCCTTTAGAAACATCGGGACGTACTTCGGTACACCACGGATCAAGAACCCTCAAGAACCCTCTCCCGTGGGTACCTACGACGCAGTTTTAAAGTGCACCTATGTTTGAGATTATAATGGATGTTACGCACAGTATATATATACGTACATAGAAAGGGCTTATACCTAAATGTACCTATGAGTAGATGTCACAGAGAAGTTCGAAACAAGTGGATCCCGTCTCTTGGAGCGGGATGCGTTGGTCCGTGAAGGGACGGCTCCCCAAGTAATATCGATTTGATTCAAGCATTTTTACCAGGATTCCATCTCCCCAGTCACGCCTGGGTATAGGTATATGTAGGTAGGTACATACAAGGGTCCGGGGCACAGCTTTTACCAGGGGGAACCGTCACCGGGGTGAAAGCCGTGGATTTATCTATCCCCAGCACTTCAATTCGCACCAGAGCTTATTGTCAACTCGTCGATGAGTCGGATACGGCCAAATGCCGCGGGGCGGTAAATGTCCCAATTTAACAGATAGAAATTTGGCAAATTCTCTTCTCTCCCAATTCTTTTCCCCCGCAAATCTCAACAGTAGACCTTTGCAGTCCCCTTATAAGCGTCGCCTTCCATGGAAAAGGAAGCTGTATTAATATCTCCCTACTAGTCTCATATCGATAATAAAGGTTTATTAGCTTGTCGGCAACGTTACCGCCTCGCATCGAATTAATGGCCTTAGAATAGAAACGAGCCCATCCTCGAGAGAACCTCCAAGTTCACGCCTACTCAATACGCACCGGAAATGGCCCCTCCTAGCACGAATACTCTTACGGGATTCCAATTCATCACCTCAATCAACACCGTGGCGCGCGATGAAGATACGCGCCGGAGGGTGCGTTCACACGCCCGACGGCAGAGGCTTCCTACTGGTCCCAGGCAGCCGCCCCAGCAGCCTAAGAAATCAAAATCCCAGAAAGAGCACACCTCAAAATTCAGGATTAAACCTGCAAACGCTTCGAGTGGCATTGTCACTAGGCAGGACCGGAGAAAAGGCAGGGCAGCGATACCAAATGGTCTTGTGCGAGTAACTGTGGCGAGGGAGCTCTCAAATTTTTCGTTGCTGGACATCGAGAAGACTCCCCTGACAGAGAACCTGGTCAAGTATTGCATGGCCGTGTGTTTATCGCCCTTGGAGACAGCAGTGGAGAAATGGTTTGACCGGGTTGGGGCGCCGACTTACATGAACACATGTAAACGAGACCCAAATCCCTTGCTCGGGCATGTATTAACCAGCTAATCCGACGTAGATTACACCGGTTTCGTTGCGAACGCCTTCGCAATGAACCCTGAAGGGAGCTGGGTCCAGGCCGTGAGTTTCCCGTATCACACGAATACTTTAGTTATGAGAAATTGACTCTCGCAATGACCAGCTTCAACTTGACCAGGCCGCAACGCATGCTTTCATTGCAATGATAGCAGTCATGCACAACTCCCTTGCTATGTGGGGCGACACGAGCACCATAGACTTTCACCGCTTCCAGGCCGTAAAGTCTATCAATGAGAGGTTGAATCTAGAAGGCAAGGATAATAATAGCATCTCAGACGGCCTCATAGTAGCCGTATCTCTCCTCGTCAATATTGAAGTATGCTACCAGTATCTAAATACCTTATTCCCGCCTAACGAAAATCGAACTGACGCCATCCGTAGACTTACATCGGCTCGCTAGCCGCCGCAGCTGCGCACATGAGCGGCTTGAAGAGGATGGTCGACCTTCGAGGCGGTGTTGTCGAGGGCTTTAAGCACAACACTATACTCCAACGATCGATCTCATGGTTCGTAGAAAGCATATAATAACCCACGATCGAGCTCACACACGCCTGCCCCCTTTCTAACCTGTTGATCTCAGGGCCGACTACTCCTACGCCACCGCGGCGCATCAGCCAGTCGTATTTCCGTTCATCCCACAAATTGCTTCTTCATTGACGTTGCATGACCAGTTCATGAGCCGGTCCATGACCGCTAACATGGAGCCGCTCGGTCTGGGGGATCTAACGGTGCAGAATCGTGAGGCGATCGAACTCTTAGAGCTACTATACTCCGTAACCGAGAGCATCAACAACTTCAATTACGCCAGCTACGAGAGAACATACAGGGAGCGCACCCGGGTAAGCAACGCGATATATCTAATTGAGTGGCGCCTCTGCCAGCTAGAGGAGCTGGCGCGAACCCGCCAGTCCTGGAAGAGGGCGGGTTCCGTACCCTCATTACCATCGATCGAATCGGACAAGCAGTCACGATACCTTTTGCCGACCGATATCTCAGACGTCCTCATTTATGCTGCACACTTGTTCCTGCACCTCGCGATCAGGGGACAGCCGCCGTCAGCACAAAGGCACCAAGCGCTGACCGAAGCTCTCATGTCTTCTCTATGCGACCCTATCTTAACACTGGACCTTATATCACGGCCGAAAACATACCAGAGTCCCGCGTCGCCATTTAGTAAGAGTGACACCAGACGGAGCGCAACGGAGAGCTGGCCCGCCGACGGCTTGTCCAGCTCAGAGTTATCGCGCGGCAAGATACCACACCGAGATGAGTTGCACGCCAACATGCTACTTTGGGCACTCTTCATGGGGTCCTGCGTGCGCCTGCCGGCTGCTACATCTTCTCTGCCTCCGCCGCCTTCTTCGTCAGCGGGGCGCTCGGCCCTGATTGGCGATCAGCGGTCTTTCTTCGTTGGCGCATTGAAAAGCTATTGTCAAATGCGCGGCATCAGAGGCAGAGGGGAGTTACTCGTAAAGCTGCGAGATATCATGTGGCTCCATAGCTGGTCCGAACACCAACTGACGCTCATCTGGCTAGAGATTGGAGACCAGCTCGGGCCGTGGGCGATAGAAGAAAACTAAGTAGACATAAACCAGCATTAGTAGGAGTCGAATCACGTTGAGTCGTGTAATTATATAGCAATAATTCTTCCCAACATCAGCAGATAGCTAATACCCTCCTATACCTTTCAAGTAGGGTGTGTACTTCCACCACTACAACCTTCTAAGACTTAATTAATTTATAAAGTAGGTAGGTATAATAGGCAGTCAACTTCGTATATGCCAAGTAATAGCCTGCCCATTAGGCCACTTATCTTCACCTTGAGGCAGTATCACCTTGTTAGTCGCCTTCTCCCTAACCCGCCTTTGGTTCAATGCGACCATTCTGCGCACGCTCCGGAAAGGGGAAATAGTTTTCCACGGCTCAGCCTATGATTTAAACCAGTCAATCGTGAGAACTAGGGAGAAAATAGTGCATGGCGGATGAATAATACTTAAAGCGTAATTGAGGGAATATAGGTAGGCACGTAGATGCTAGGCATCCAAGGTAAAGACGAGATCGTGTTGATCTCACAAGGAACCAATTCCATGCCATCCGTTCCAGAGGGCGCTAACTCGGATCTTACGACACGAATTTACATATGTATTAGTTTCCCGAGTTTTGCTTTCAATGTCACGACCCACTCAGATGGTTTCCGCCAGCTCCGTGGGTTAGATAATAGAGGATAGGTTCGATTCCTGACAGCGCTACTTGGTAGTCTCTATTATTTAGCCTATCTCCGCCTGCCTAACTTCAGACTGTTTCTGCAAGGAATCACATATCCTGACTAATCCACCCCCCGGCGACCCGCACGTGATCCTGCACAGGCTGCAAAGGCACTAAGCACCCGCTGCAACATCTTTGCACAGGCGCTAAGCACCCAGTGCACTAGTACTGCGCCCTTTAATACGGAAGCCCATATCTATACTAGTTGTGGAAAAGCAGTTCAGGAAACGTGGCTCGAAAGGTGTCAATTGCAGCTATTCAGGTTTTTTCGTGCGTTGTGGCTCGAGCCGTTTATCTAAGCTATCTAGGTTGTGGCAGTGGGGGCTTATCCCTAAGGCCACACGTGACCTCCCTGGCGCGCCCACACTAGGGGAAACCCGATTTTTGGGATAGGTAGGTAAACCCCGGGGTAGGAAGTAGATATGGGCTTCCGTACTTTAACCAAGATTTTAATTCTTTCCCCGCTAGCACCTCGCCTGCAACAAATGTTCGTTCCTCCCATCGCCAACGAGCAAACGCCTTCTTCTACTCTTCACAGACGGCCCCGCCTTATACCATCCACTACTTCGTCCGTCACATCCATCTACCTACATGGCTAATGACAAGAGAATAACGGCCAAGCTCGATGAGCTCCGCGATCGCCGCTGTAGCCGGTCCCGGGTAGAAGAGGAGTGGTGGTGCGTCAGTCTCAGCATCGACGAGTTTGGTGCTCTCGAAGCACGCCTCGAAGCAGACGAGAGATCAGTAGGTTACTTAACGAAGGATAGGCTCGATTCCTAACAGCGCTACTTGGTAGCCTTCGTTATTTAGCTCATCTATGAGGACCTCTAAGGTTTCAAGTAAGTCATCTACGAGATCTCTATCCCCATTATATCAGCTAACCTAGTCTACTCAGGTACGATTACTTCCCTAGTCTCGCCAAGTTCGTCTAACGTTTGGCGGGCACCGTCCACGAAGCTGCACACATCATCGAGCAGTTATTCTCCATCGAGCAAGGTAACGACCAGGCCGCCGCCGATTTTGCTTGGGGTATAATGCCATGTGGAAGCTCTATTGTCGAAGACGAAGGACTCCATCACCCAGACAGATCATACGCACACGAAGACGCAAGAAGGCTCGGCGTTATCATCGAGGTATCCCACTCGCAAAAGGGAAAGGACCTACCATACCTAGCTGATGACTGCATCCTGGGATCCAAAGGGTTGACCCAACTTGTCATTGGGATCGACCTTAACTACCAGGACAAAGAAGCAAAGGTTATGACGTGGCGGCCGACATATCTCGAAGTGTTGCGTAAAACGTAGACGCTTACGATACGCTTTGCGGTATGTAGGCATATAAGGGCTGGTTCAATTGCTACGTGACACGAAGAAAATGGGACAATGATACGCGAGGCAACTCAGACAGAGGGAGGCATCTTTCGGGCAGCAGATGGCAGCTTGGAGGATGGCGAACGGATCCTCCGTATCTGGTTAAAGGATTTCGGAAACCCGCATGACTGTCCTGGGATCGATAGCGTTTCAGGGAAGATCACCATCTCCCTTTCTCAGTTGTATGATATGGTACAACGAGCCGAGGCCCGGGCACAGACGACAAGACAAGTGATAGATGACGTGGGTCCCCCAGGGATAGTGTCGCGAAAGAGGGACCGGTCACCTCCGGAGAAGCTCCGCGCCTCAGACGAGAAGCGGTTCAAGGCGGCAGACGAGGAAGTCGATGAACAGTTCTACAACCAGGATGATGAATATGTTCCTAGAGGAGGACTGGCAGGCTGCCACACAGAACAAGAAACGGGAGCTATACGACGTGGGCCCCCCAGGAAGGCAAAAACGACTGAAGGTCCAGTCACCTCCAGAGAAGCTTCGTGAGTCAGATAAGGAGCGGTTCGCAGTAGCTAAGGAAGAAGTCGATAAGCAGTTCCACAACCAGGATGCTGAGTATATTATATGTCGCATAAAACGTAGACCCCTACATTTACGCTTTGCGGTATGTAGGCATATAAGGGCTGGTTCAATTGGTATGTGACATTATAAAAGAGGACTAGCAGCTCAGCATAACCAAGGACTTCGTACACCATATGCATGTATTAATATTATCCGCGAATCCTACTCTGGTATATGACCCGTGAGATTTAGAACAAATCAGGAATCCTCGACGGCAACATACGAATAGTGTCCCAAAACTGGGGCTAGGAGTGCATCCTCGCGATTCCATGTTCTGGCAGTTTTCTTCAGCTTTTCATAGGCAGCGCGCGGGTTTTTGATGGATTGGCAACTCTAGCCGGATGGTCCAAAAACCAGGCTCCGTGTCCGTCGATCCATGACCTCTGTCGGTCGCAGGGCACCACGAGAGCGCACCCACTAAGAAGGCTGCACAGGCAGCAGCACTGGCCCACCCACGAAGAAGGAAAGTAAGCAAAACTCGATCCGTAGCTTGAACTAGGATATTTCTAGGGTCGGTGTAATTCGTAACCCCGTTCTCGAGATAACTTTCGCCCGACTCGGAACCGGCTACACCGCAACCTTGGTATTCTATGGCCTAGGTATTATTTTCGATTTGCCGGAGCGGCTTTGATGAAAGACAAGACGTCGCCGGTGCCTTTTAATTTGAACAATCTCGTTGACGCTTCTTTTTTCGTAGCATATTCTTCGAGTTTGGGCCCTCTTATCTGTCCATCATCCTATCTGGTTTAGAAAGTCACGCCACAATATCGACCGCCCACGAGAGGGCTAACATGGCGGACAACACCCAACGGCCGTTGTCCATACCTTCTTTCTCTGAGGACTTGGATTGGGATACGAGACTCATCATTTACGACCCAAAATGGATACAGGTTACACCGGAGAGGCGGCACAGCGGTTGGGAAACCGTGGAGAGGAAATGGGCCGGGAATAACCAGCCGTCGATGCAGGCGACAAGCTTTAAGGAGCCGAGGTAATCGTTTGGAGAGCCAATTTGCCGCCATGACTAACGGTATTCTATAAACAGGAGGGACGTAGGGAATGCGTGCGAGGCGATGAGGGTTTTCTCCTATCCTCATGTATCCATCCCAACCCCGAAATTGGAATTCAATTTTCGAATGAAAGTCGTTTGCAGCTCTCAGTCTGCGTCAGTTGCGGTGGGAGATGGCTTCAAGAAATGGTCTACCTTTTCCGACGGGGTGTGGTCTGGCTCCTTTGGCCATGGGATCATTGCTGTGAGCCTCCATATGCACTCCCCGAAACGGTAAGCGGTACCTAATATTGATCTTGTAGAGCGGAGGGCAGGACAGCCAAGACTTGACTTACGGAAACGTCGCGGCGACTTATGTCGAAGCCACTCATCGCCTGCAGACCAGGGATGAGCCACCAGCACAGTGAGCCTACGACTGTAACGAAAGGTTTCGACTTCAACTTATCTTGAGTGACAGTATCGAGTGTAAAGCGAGGGGCTATATGACTGGACCTCCGGAGGTGATGAAGGCTCTTCGAGATCCCGAAACATCCGAACAGGTTGACCCGAGACTGTGTCAATATAGGGTGTTCGTCACTATGAAGACAACAGATGAACGGTACGCAGCGAAGCTGAATACAGGAATGTGGATAGGAAGCTGTCTCTGGAGAGGCTTAGAAGTCATATACGAGTAAGTCGGCATTGGTCCTGCAAGAAGGCTGTGTGCTAATGATAATCGGTTCAGTTCATACAGAATAAGTTGAACCGAAAGTACCAATCGTTTTGTGATGCAGCCACTATCGCTATTGGCGTAGGGTTGTCAATACTGCTTAACTTCTGTTTCCGGCCTTCAGAAGTGGACCGCGCTTATCTTGTCAGCTCTTTGCCTAGTAGTCCCTCGTTGAAGAGTTGGAAATCGCTAGTTCTAACCTAGCTAAACGTGCGATCCGGGTCGCAGCATCTCACGCCTGGGAGGCGAGAAGAATGGATCTAGGTGCCCTCGTTTGATGTTTGGGTTGGGCTTTTTGGAAAGAGATATGGGTATATGGGTTGAATAACTTGGTCGATGAAGCCTCTGCAAGATGGGCTAGTAGTTGGGAAGGCGGAAGAGAGCCAAGGTAATCTACACAGGCTGGAAAAACAATCGAAGAAACCTGAAGAGTAGTCTCACAAAGTGATGTCTTATCGAATTGCCTCCGGCCAGATGTCAACACGACCCGAGATTGCGATGGCCGTGTCGTATGGGGGCTGCCTGGCTCCTGTATAATATTGGTTATTTTGTTGGCTTGCTGGTGGATTTGCTCCGGGAGTTGGGTTGGAGCTAATATTGTGAAGTTGTAGGCGCATGTATGCCCTCTGAGGGTAGGCAACCCCTTATCGCAAGTTAGGCGCTGCAGCGACGTGCCCTATGTACGCACACATTGTGATTAGAGGTATTATCACATATAATCGAGGCAGATAGAGATAATTCAACGAGCAACATTGGGGGCATGATGGCTGAGGCCAACCCCGGCTCACCCTATTCGTCAAGACGCTTGTAAACATTATACTTCAGTTAAATGGTTCCGGAGGATATACGTGAATACACAGCATCGCCTTTGGATAGTGATGACGCCAGGTACGGGAACGAAGCTTGGTCTCTCATCTTCTACAGCACGTAAGAGTGCTATCTTGAATCATGCCTAGGAATTGTGTAGGCTCGATGGTACTTCTTCGGTGTAATTGTTACCTGTCTTTTGAGAAGGATATAGTATGTACCTAAAATGATGCGCAAAAGACGTAGGTGCCGCCGTTAAGCGTGGTTGGTTGGGAGAAGGTATTTGTTACTTGTGGTGAGGGGTTATCGATATGGAAATCTCCCATTACAGGTGATGTAATAACGGCAAGAAAATGTGGTTCATGGCTATCCAGTACCTAGGTACCTACGGTACGAGCAGTGGTCCAATCGCTAGGTAGGTACCTCTAGTTTAAGGCCAAGCATTCTGCGTTTATTGCTACGTAGTATTTAAAGTACTAGGACTAGACCACGATTAGTTAACGCTATTCTTCGCACATCAACTTCATGTAGAAATACGTCGGGTTGATCATCAGGCGGGGGGGTTTAAAATGGTGTGCGTATTTTGAAGCAGCAATGCGAGGAGGTCAAGGAAAAAAAAGGCTATCGGTATGTATGATTTTCGGGTGGGAAAAGCAAAAGGGCTGCTGTAGAATCTACGTAGACAGCACATACAGCACTATTAAGCTGCGCGAGAAGGATTGAATTCCCCCACAGGTGATGGAATCTGTCAGGTACCTACCTCTTCGTAGTAGAACCTGGGTACCCAAGGTAGGGGGTACGTAGGCATGGCCCTAATAATCGCGTGGGGAGCTTCAATCTGAAACATGAGATCAAGATAGCCACGTCAACGCCGCGCTATCAGAGCAAGAGAGAACAGGAAGTTAACAGTTATGGATATGCGTTTAGAAGGATGATACCAAGACTCCTATCACGTTAACACGTAGGCGCTTACGTGCCCAATCCTTCCCAGACCACAGCACCGGCGCCCGGAAGCCAAGAGATACAACAGCGGGCAGGCGATTAAAGTGGTACCTACCTACCTGTACCTTTGATTGTTCCTACCTAAGGTGCGTAGGTATATTATAGCAAGGTTCCATTCATTTCAGGTGGGAAACGGCCAAGACATTAATCACTGGTTGCATCCAGGGACCATTCTATTTTATTTAGCATTAAAAAAAATTATCTTTCCAACCTGAACAATCCATCTCGAAGCACAGTGAAAGTGGCTTCGAGCCACCTTCACATACCTATTTTTATTCATACAAACCTCTCCAGAATCCCGAGAGGCAGTTCGACTTGCTGCACATGTCCCTTATCTGTTTAGAGCCCTTGGGTTCGTCCTCCTACGGTGCCTCTCGCCTCCACTCATTCCTCATCTGAATTTCCCCATACACCTCTCTCCAGTCCACGCAACCTCTCTTCTTCTTCTGTTTCGGGCATCTCGCCGTCCGTACCTTCTTGGCCGCGCGCCCCGCTCTCTCCCCTACATTCGACGGTTGCGGCCAGACCAGTTTGCGAAGATGATGTCCTTCAAGAGGGCTCTCATTTTTGCCGTATTCTTTCTGACCGCGTTTATCCTCCTCCGACGGTCGCATACTTCTGCCGATCCTGAACCGTTCCCCAAGCCTCCGCCGAAACCTGCCGACTCTGACGATAGCGATGGGCCGTCCCACAATCCATCCACCACATCCTACACTCCTGAAGACGTTCCCGCCGCGAAGAACCAGCATGTCCCTGCGCAGAAGGCAATTCAGGATATGTCTAAGATGTCGCTGTATGACAAATTAGCATATCAATACCCTTACGATGTCGAGACCAAGTTCCCCGCCTACATCTGGCAAACGTGGAAGTGGACGCCTGCGAATGGCGAGTTCGCATTTCGAGACCAGGAGGCGTCATGGTCACAACAGCACCCGGGCTTTGTTCACGAGGTCATCACTGATCAGGTCGCCGTGCACCTCCTCAGGCTACTCTACGCCTCGATTCCCGAGATCCTCGAGGCCTACGACGTCCTACCCCAACCCGTCCTCAAAGCCGACTTCTTCCGATACCTCATCCTGCTCGCTCGCGGTGGAATATACTCCGACATAGACACGTATGCCATCAGAAGCGCCCTGGAGTGGTTGCCAGATTCCGTGCCCAGGGAGAGTGTTGGGCTGGTGGTCGGCATCGAAGCCGATCCGGACCGGCCCGACTGGAAGGATTGGTATAGTAGACGCATCCAATTTTGCCAGTGGACAATTCAGGCGAAGCCAGGTCACCCGATCCTGCGTGACATCGTGTCGCGTATCACCCAGGAAACTTTAAAGAGAAAGCGCGAGGGTCTGTTCGTATCGAAGGAGAAGAGTGTGGTGGAGTTTACTGGTCCGGCCGTCTGGACAGATGTCATATTTGATTACTTCAACGATCAACGTTATTTCGACATGAGGCATAGTCAGGGCAACATCTCGTATTTGAACTTCACCGGTATTGAGAGCCCCAAGAAGGTTGGCGACGTTGTCGTCCTTCCGATCACCAGCTTCTCGCCTGGCGTGCAGCAGATGGGAGCCAAAGACTACGATGATCCTATGGCGTTTGTCAAGCATGATTTTGAAGGTGGGCGTTTTTTGTTATCTCCTCAGGTCTATCCACTTGACTGACCTATGTCAATGCAGGAACATGGAAGCCCGAAAGTGAACGGCATATTGGGGAGACGAACTAAAGGGTTCCTAGATCAGCAATTCCTCCAACTCCCTTCTCAATGGTCGCGTCATGCGCCCCTTGAGGCTAGCCGGCGGCTTACTAGGAATAATCAACCACCCGGTCTGATACATCAGGCTTGCCACTTGCGCACGCAAGGTCTGTACTATCATTCAACTGTTACGAAATTTACGAACTTTCTATTGTGAGACCATGGACTGGTTTCCTGAGACGCGTTCAGTATAGAGATTGCTTTTCGGCGTGAATGAGAAAATCATTGCCATGTTGGTTGAGGCGGAAGCCTTGGGCCCTCGAACCTCTTTACTGTTTTGTACCAATATTCCTTCTCCTGCTGCTCGACTCCTGGGGACGGTGCTTGACACCTGGCACGGACATATGGAAAGGCACCGGAGAGGCAGGACACATGATGCGCAACCAAGAAAAAGCAAGACCTTCGACCTGTCACTGGCTAGGGACGAGGACATCTCGAGGCGTGAGACTACGCGATTTTGCAGTATACACTGGGTGCGGATGGATGCTGGCGTTGGGCGGATATTTGACAGACTACTTTGAGCAGCCTCGTCTGCGAACTTCAATTGTTGCCGAGCCGTCTTGAAATCGACCGTTGCATAGATCAACGTTAACAATCATTTGCCGCAATCTTGGTTGATCATATCAGCCGATCAGATCAACCGATCAACCTACCCAAGAAATAAGGCAAGCCTCCGTCCATTTCCCCCACTTCTCCTCATCCTCTGCGCGGCTGTGACCCCACCCGCCGGCTCCGGAGGGTTATGCTTGCAACGGCGTAACCTAGAAGTTGCACGAATTCGTTAGGCCATGTGGCGGTACCGGCAAGCTGGAGGGCATTATCGATCGTGAATTGCCATGCCGACTTGCTATAAAAACGAGAATCTGTCACTGATCTGGTAGTTTGTCCCTTCAAAAGCTCGTACGGGGCCGTCCGTTTATTTCTTCCTCCCGATCCCTAGTACCTTCTTGCCGAAATCAACCCGAAAAATGAGTCTCTCACTCCTGCGATCGGTGTTCGCGCAAGGTGCTTTACGCAGATGCAGGCCAGGGTATCATCCGCCTTCAAGATGGAATACATACTATAGGCCGGCTCGAGACCTGGGAGCTTCGAGGGGGGCGGGATATCTGATGTGGTATCGGGACATGCAGCAAAGATGCGTCGCTACATACAGAACCGACCTGAGCTATGCTGAGGGACTAAGCGATGTGAGTGCTCTTTCATTTGTCCCAGACAGGCATCAGAAATGCGTATATAGATGTGGGTGCTACGCAGGGGCCTACCACTCTGTTTCGTCTCGTTCAATGACAGTGGTCATTTAAAGATTCCTTAAGCGAGCTCGAGGTCGAGGTCGTTTTCGGTGTATGAGGGTTAGGGTATCGTAGAAAGCCACTGCTATATAGGCATGTACTAATATCCATAAGCCCCCGTATCTCGCCCAGACGGTACCTGAGCACCTTGCCCAGATAGTATCTCAGTATGGTGACCTTCCGGCGGCCATCTTCCGGTCTCCGACAAACGTGGACTCATCTTTATCTTCGTCCCCCTTGCTCGGCAGGATCCTACCGGTGACGACGACGCTGACGTACGAGGCCCTCGACGTGCAATCCAATGGCCTTGCACACGCGCTGAGGTCTCTCGGCGTGAAGAAAGGAGACCGGGTTGCTGTCAGCCTGGGCAACGTCCCCGAGCATGTCGTGCTGGCCTATGCGTTGTTTAAGCTGGGTGCTATTTTGGTCCCGCTCAACCCGACTTTCAATGCCAATCAGCTGGGCTCTGCGTTATCTCGCCTAGCCGTCGAGGTCCTGATCATAGGTGCCGTTACAGACTTGGCTTATAAGCCGTGCCGTGGGCGTGGTAACGTAGATATCCTATCAGCGCTCGCGCCCACTTTAGGTGGTACTAAGATCGAGTCACCCACCGTCCCTACGCTTAGGAATATTGTTGTCGTTGATAACACACCCTCGCACCCCGAAGCCATCTTCCCCGCTCTGGCAGGTCTGCGCGCGTTGACACCGTATACTGCTCTCCTCCCCGTCTCTTCTTCGTTTTCGTCGTCCCACGCTCCGACTCCGGACTCACCGCTCGCTCCGGACGAGGTCATCAACATACAGTTTACGTCCGGCACAACATCGTCCCCCAAAGCCGCGATGCTGAGCCACGAGACGATTCTCAACAATGGGCGTCTGGTCGGGTGGCGCATGGGGCTCGTCGCAGATTCTTCCACCGGCGTTGCCGATCGTATCGTGTGCCCCCCGCCGCTGTTCCATTGCTTCGGCTCTGTGCTCGGACTCATGGCGACTGCAACGACGGGCGCCGCTATCATCTTCCCTAGCCCGGCTTTCTGCCCCGCTGCCGCGCTACGCGCAGCAGCTGAGCATCGCGCGACGGGTCTCCACGGCGTACCAACCATGTTTGCGGCTGAGCTAGATCTCCTTGCGAAACCCGCTTTCGCAGCCAGATTGCCGTATGAAGGCAAGGAGCTGGCACGGCATTTGAAAAAGGGGATTGCGGCGGGCAGCCCTGTGCCGGAACCGCTGATGCATCGGTTGAACGAGAAGCTAGGTTTGAGCGATCTCGTCATCTGCTACGGCATGACCGAGACAGGGCCTGTGAGTTGCATGACGAGCCCCGAAGACAGCGCAAGTCGTCGCGCAAGCACTGTAGGTAAAGTCATGCCACACACACGCGTCAAGGTCGTCGCGCCGGGGGATCGGGGTCGGGTTGTGCCACTTGGCGAGCGCGGCGAGCTAGCAGTGAGCGGGTATCTCGTTATGAAAGGGTACTACGGGCAAGCCGCAACGTCGGACCTTGTCTTCGAAGAGGAACCAACGGGCGAGGAGACTGACGAGAGAAGCGGGAAACGAGGGAGGTGGTGGATGCACAGCGGCGACGAGGCGGTCATGGATGCTGATGGATTCGTCAAGATCACAGGGCGCATCAAAGACCTGATCATCCGGGGCGGTGAGAACATAAACCCGTTTGAGGTCGAGACTGCGCTCATGAAGCACGAGCTCGTACGCGAGGCGAGCGTCGTCGGCGTCCCAGATGAGCGGTACGGGGAGGAGGTCAGCGCGTTCGTCACAGTACACGGCGGCGTAGAGACAGTAGACACCAATGACGACAAGGAAGGTACCGGAGGGGGACGAAGGGCGGAGGGAATCGAGCAGGACTGGGTTCTGTCGAAGGAAGAGCTTAGGGAATGGGTCCGACGTCACCTCTCAAATCATCTCGTTCCTAAGCACGTCTTCTGGGTCGACGAGCTTCCCAAGACAGCAAGCGGGAAGATCCAAAAGTTCAAATTGAGAGATATGGCTAAAGAACTTGCCGCCTTTGTGGCCCGGTAGGATGCCGTGAATGATATATACGGACAGAGGTGACCTACGGGTTGCTCCTATGCGAGAGGGTTGTTCGTCCACAAGTATGGTGGTTCGGTTATGTCCAGCTAGCTGGTTGCCAGCGGGCGGCTGCGTTAGAGTTAGGTACAAAGAGGACAGAGGGCAGGATAGTGAGGGGGAGGAATTGGCGCGAATGAAACATATCATAGTTGGTTAAGCGGACGACGAGAAGATGCCGATCCCCCGAAGATATGGTTGGTCGTACTAAACGGGCCAATCGGTTTCATGATGCTGGTGATCACCACGGGTTCCTTTCTTGGGGTACACCCCGACCCGCGTACAGCACGAACAAGGTCACGGCCATCAGTGGTTATGTGTGTCACGCCCTAGATATACGAGAGTCGAGACAACCAAAGGAGTACTCGGCTATATATTCACACAAAACAAAAAACCTGCAGGTTCGCTCTGGCGGTGACGGCTGAGAATTCGCCTATTACCTACCATTCGAGGTGACCGTAATCGCGCGGGAGTTCGTCGCTGGGCATGCATTTCAACGTTACATTGAGTGATCGTTGCAGGGATCTCAGAGCCGTGTCCCAGTCTTCGGCTCTGTCCCGGCTGGGCTTCCTTGGCCTAGGTTTTCCCCCTTCTTCATTCCCTTGTAGCATACATAACACCGATTGTAAATGTTCAGGAGCGGAATAATATTCAAGATTGAAGTAGGATGATGGGTATCTGATCGACACTCGAAACGGGTAGGTTAGTTACAATGCAAAACGTGGTCTCCCGGGCGCCTTTAAGCAAATGGTATCCCCAAAACCTCCTCCTCATGACACTCGCGCACAATCAAGATCCCAACAGATCCTTGCAACCGCAGCTGCAATAAACCAAAGGCGAAAACGGCGATAGGACCACCCTAGGTCATGAAAACAAAATGGTATAAAGGCCCGCTTGGATACACCAGAAACACCTCCGATCCCCCAGCGTCATGCGGGTCGTTCCCATTCGGACAATTGCTTCCGTCGACGGTTCAAAGGTTGTCCCCCCGCCCTCTCTTCCTCCATCTTCTCAAGTCGTGATATCGTAGTACGACGTCCCTGTCTCGCTCAACCAGGCTTTTGTCCCTTACTGCCCGTAATTCCAGCTACTTGGCCTCGTGCTTTTGACCTAGGTAACTAAACCAAACCTCATAACTCGTGCTGGTCGAGGCGAGTTGCTCTCGCGTAAGCCTTGTTTTTGGTGGCCCCTTCCTCTCCATGTCGGCGCTGTCATTTTAGCAGCGCTATTCGTCCGAGAGCACACTTGGTTCTCACGGAGGACGAAGAACTCGATAACAACCATATGGCGAAGCTGATAAGAGCAGGCATTGCGTGATCGCGATCGAAATCCCCCCTACCGTCCGAGGAACCTCATCTGTCCGTCCGCCTTTCTCATGCACCAGAGTCTCCGCCCTTTAATCCCTCACAACCAAATAGTCGGGTTAGGCTTGTCAGGCACGAGCGAATTTGGCTACGGGATCTGAGAATTCGCAGCGTTACTGATCACCTCCATAAGCGATGTCGAGCGTGCCGATCCGTGCATTGGCAAGGCCACGTCCTTCCTCGGAAACAGATTTGATAACACGTCGCGGGCATTGACGTAGACGGATGCCTGTCTCACAAGTATAGGGACACTGCGCCGGATGTAGAGGGCGGCGGCGAAAGGCAGGATGGTGAAGAGGAGGCAGAAGATGGACCAGAAGACCACCTTCTCCATCGGCGTGTAGACATATACACCGTAGGTAACCTCGATGCGATATTTCTTGAGGCGCGCCCAGCGGGCGAGAGCATCAAGAGAAGACGGTGACGACGTTGTCTTGGTGGTCGACGACATGGTTTTAACCGTCCACGGCATCGGAAGGGAGGGGTGTGTAGGCTAGTCAAGTCAACATAAGACAGGTAACAACGCCAATGACGGTGGCACCGGGAGCCCAAGGCCAGACCCAGAGCTCGAGGTAGATACCCCAAAGGGAATAATGACCAGAGTAAGAACAGCAGAAAATGCGAGTGTGAATAGCTATATTTATATAAATACAAAAGGGGGCTAGGGAATAAGCAATGACAAGACGTTCGGCAATGGCTGCTTTCCCGGGCCTTGGCACATAAGTATCAATATAAACAGATACTCCCTGCCCCGGCCTCTCCCTATGGTCAGACACAAGACCAGGTATGTCAGCAGAAATGTGGTTAGGCAAAGAAGACTGGGAGCGACAGGGGGGGATTCCCGGCGGACAGCGAGGGCCGGAAGGCTCGGGGGTGCGTCGGCTGCCGAATGCGGTAAAACGGATTCTCGCCCGTAGGATTTGCGGGTTCTCATGTGAGCTGTGGTGACATATACTCGCATGGTGTAATACTAATGCCGATGACAAAAGCAGAAGAAAAAGCCGTGTAGAATAAAGCACTCGGGTAGAGGGAGGCGGCGCGAGCTGGGGAGCGTAAGGATCGCAGCGAGAGACCTGGAGGAGTTCCGCATGCGCCACCTACCTACGTTCCTCCTACAAGCCTATTATCTACCCCGTTAGCAGACATTAGGTACCCAGGTATACTGTACGCGCCCTCAACCGAGACGACTCTCTCGCCAGTCTGCCTATTCGGATTTATCGGATAGAGGCTCTTGTTAGGTAACTACTCTCTGTCCCGTGATCGTTTCCTGAATCTTCTTTCTCTCCCTCTCTCTCATGCTCTCAACCCCCCCCCCCCCCCCGCGTCTGCTTTCGCTGGGAATTGCCCAGGAGAGAACGAGAGAAGAAGTTGGGTTGCATACATACCCCAGGCGTAGGGTCATAAGAGTCGTGCTGGTGGGAACTCCCAGCCATGTCTTACTTCCATATTACCTATTCATACAAGTGTTGTTATGATCGTGGCCATCCACAGGCGCGTGGGCCAACCAGCGGCTCCCGTTCCCGCTTATCACAGAGGGTTCGGGCATGGGACGAGTAGATCGCTGAAAAGCTTGCCCGGATTGGATAAGCAGCTAGAATTCGGTGGAAGATGTACCCTCGGTTAGCGGGCGGCTGCGCTGTCTTTACATTACCATACCGTAACCTACACCCACGGACTGGATGAATCAGCACCTGTGTCTGCATCCTACCTTGGGTGCCTATAACCTGTAAGCCATAGGCATCGTAGGTGGGTTGACTCGCCCCCATCTTAGCATCTCTTACCTACCTAATTCATCAACTCTCTGGGCGGGGGGCTCGGCTTGGCCAGGATCGTCGGCGCAGGGATGGCCGCTCGCTTCATACCGTCCCATCGCTTCGGTTGCTATAGGCGCATACCGAGGGGTACCTTACCTACCTAGGTCGGCCCATGTTCACGCTAGAGCCAACGGGACGGTCGGAATTCGGGGAGGCTCTTCGCCCAGAGGGATCGATGAAATTAGCTAGGTACGCACACACCCGACAAATGCCGTACGCATATCTCCCGCCTAGATTTCTTCTGGGCATCTAGTTTTATCCCCAACCATCTACACATATGTCGTCATCCAGATTTTCCCTCTCGCTTACCTATACGGTTCGACGCCCTCCGGTGCACCCAACTGGCACGGAGGCGATGTCGTGTGTTAAGCGCTGTCGCGCGTGGAGGGTATCAAGGGATGGGGAATCGTTACATCAACCATGCTGTCGGCCTTACCACGCACCGAGGTAGCGCAGACATGGTTAATCACCTCGGGTTTCGGACATATCGGACAGTGGCTTATCGATCATAACACCAACCTTCGGTCCACAACTGCCACCTCGAGCCAAACCCGTAACGGAATACACGGAACCCGGGGCGCGTCGGCAGAAGGAGGACGAAATTTTTCGAACAGGACTGTAGTTTGCGGCTAACCCGGTCTTCGATAAAATACCCACCTAGTGCGGGAAATAGGTAGGTATCTATTCGCTAAAGGTGAATGTCGAACACCGGCGCGCATACCCCCCCTGGTGTATGTGCTCGTGTCTCATGCACGAGGTGCAGGTCTTGTTATTGGCATACGTACTGCCTAACATGGTACACCATGCTTATGTACCTCCTATATGGCGTTATTGGACTGCGCTGGATCACCTAACCTAAGGTACCCAGGTTAGGAGGTACCTATCTATTGATTTCGCCCACAGACTTCCTACAGACCTAACGTTAGGTACATACCTCCTATCTTCGAGTAATAAAAAGGTCCTTGCTTAGATGTACCTACTTCTAACCTTGACTCGCATCAAAGGAGTGACAATCTCAAATCGGGCGTACAAGTCAGCATAAGCCAGCAGGTAATCGATGTGAGGTATGTGAGGCTACATAGGTAGGTAAGTACCTAGGTACCTAAATCTAGGGCTTCTGTGTCAGGCCGTTCCCGGATTTACCGTGTACAAGTACCCTACCAGCCAGTCCACAGCATAGGTAGTCACCATAGCCTATGCGAGTTTATGATCCAAACGAGTCTGAATGCGCTTAGGGTCACTGGACATCGATTCTATAGGAAGAGCTTCCCACACACGCCTAGACACCGCGGCTTAATTTGGAATAAATAACACCACCGACTCGACAAGACAAGAAGTACTGTGAATGCGAGACTAGCACTAAGGGGATATATCATCCGAGTATCGAGGGCGCGACTTATCGTCCGCATCGTCCGTGAATAACCATCTGTCAAATATCTGCCTCCGGTCCCGCAACACTCCGCCTCAACGTTCCTCGCAAGCTCTGCCCGAACTTCATCGGACTTGGCAGACACGCCCAGGAACAGCCCTGTCGTAAAAAAGGCACCGCCCTCTCTTCGCTCGGAATCGTGTGCGGGCTGTCTATGTCAAACCTCACAAGCGAGTCTATCTTCGAGATCTCCCACCATTCAATCCATTCGACCGTTGGTACCATCACCCGTCGCTTACACACGGAGCAGGGCATGTCGCCGTAGTTGGCATTTTCCTCGCGCTGCAACGCAATTTGGTTGAGAACCTTTGCCAAGTGTGGAGGTGAGTTCGGAGGCGTGTAAAATGCCACGTCATCGAAAAGTGTGGTCCTTGAACAAGACTGGAGGGAAAGCTCGAACAACGACAGCACGCGACTGTTGTTGCTACTGGGAGCGGCAGGATTGCGCGTCGAGTGCGAGAGTGTCGGCAGTAGAGATAGATCCTCGGTTTGCACGCTGAGGCCCGAACTCGACGAGGGGAGCCGGAACTTGGAGACGACGACTCCTCGGCCATCCTTAAACTGAACTCGCGATCGTGCAAGCGCAGAAACACTCCATCCGTGGATAGCGTTTGTTTTGCTAGGGGTCGAGCGTTCGGCTCCGTCTTCAATTCCGCCCTGTTTGTCGAGCCAAAATAGCACGGTCGAGCCGTCGATTTGCGGTACCTCCGCGAGGAGCAGGGAATCTTGGCGAGTCGGATCCCGAGGCTGATCATCAAGTTCGACCTTAGGCTGGTGATCAGGAACATAAAAAGGGTTAGGATGTATATTCAAAGTGTGAAGCCTGCACGGGAATCTCATCAAGCCCAACAACTCCCCGGGCAAATACCGCAGGCGTGTAAGAGACACATTCAGTGTTTCGAGGTTGCGCAAATTTCCAATGCTAGGCGGAAGCTCAGTAATCTGTGTGTTTCGAAGACTAAGAACAGTTAGATATTCCAGGTTAAAGAGAGCTCCTGGGGCACGAAGGAGTGGATTTTTTGCCAGGTAAATTTGCAGACGGGGTTCTTCTTGTTGAAATGGAACATCTTCGGCCACCACAGGGATATAGGCGAATTCGGAAAGTTGGGATATAGTGCCATTGGGAATATGTTCGATATTACAGGAGCTACCGTTGATCAGCACGTATACTCAATACGGCCGGGAGGAGGGGGTGGGCGAGTTTCGCGTCTCGGTCCCGATCTACGAGGAGTGCGACTTACGACAGATCGATGGCCGGGTTCCCCTGATCAATGGCGGTTTGGATTGCTTTTCGAATGGCCGATTCGCGAGGGGAGACGGGCGCCATAGGACGAGCATGTCTCAATTGAGGGAGCCTAGATTCCGCAGGCGCCTCAATCTGCATGGCCTCTTCTTCCTCTTCCACCTCCATAGAACTGTCGCTTCCCATCCATACTCCACTATCAAATTGACGCTCGAAGGTTCTCTTCTTCGTCTTCGGTTGGGGTCGTATAGGTTCGGAGAACGATGAATCGGAAGACTCGAGATGTTGCTGGAACCAAGAACCCACGTAACGCCTTTTTCTACGTTTTCCCTGGGTGTAATTGTCTACGTGTGGGTCGTCGTCACTGGAGAATACGGCCGGGTCACTTGAGTTGTTGAAGGATGGTGGCACAGATACTCGATCGCGTGCGCGTTTCCGCGTATTGGTGAAAGTTTGTGTCTCGGAATCCCACGAGACAGTGGGGAGCTTGGGGAGAGTTGGTTCTTCGGCCATACTTGGAATAGGACATCTCAAACCCTATGGAGGGAGGGTTAGACTTGATACCCGCGATGAACGGAAGATGGCTGGTTCGTCTCGGGGAGAATCCCACGGGGAAGTAATAAACAGTGGTCAGGAGAAAGAGTAGCTGCAAGCACGGGTCAAGCCTGCGATGTAGGTTCACGCGTTCGCGTGAACCCCCACTTTCCTTGACGGGCACGCGAGCGCGCGTTGGGTGAATTCGCGAACCCGATTGGTCCCGACCCGACGGAGATTTCTTCGTTCAACCCCTGTCCTAGGTACTCTTGGTACTTACCTACGCATGTATTCAAGCGACTGGGTTAGGCACCTAAGGGTGGATTTGTGTAGGTAGGTACCTCGAGGTCGGTGCAATGTCTCGACTCGCGAGCTCTATCGAATCTAGGCTGCTTTTAAATCCTAGTGTAGGAACGTTGAGCCTCACATGCGCGTCTGTTAGGTAGACCTCCTCACGGACAGTCCACACACCCTGAGATCAGACAGATTTCGACCCGATCCGGTTTTCGCTAGAGGTAGTTATCGAATCGAATTTGGCATAGCCCATTAGCAAGTCCTAAGCTTGTCCCGTCTGCAACTCGATGCCGTAGCTAAGGTCTTAAGCTATCACACGTCTGCGTAGTCGGATGCGGCTGGGTCCTGATAACGTGGTCGTCGAGGCGGGCGACGGTTGCGTCGCATATAAGTCTCAATCCCAGTCGTCGTCGTCGTCGTCATCCCGAACGTTTACACGTCCTAAATTCCCGCTCTTAATTCCTCTAGCTTCGTGTGATTCCTTGGCATCCTCGGCGTCTCTCTTCCTCTTGACCACTCTCATATCCTTGTCGCTAACTGCCCCCGCCTCGACTAGCAAGTTGTCAATCTCCATCATGCCCATTCGTACACCACCCACGGTGGCAAGGGTTACTATTTGCTTAACAATATCGCTGTTCTTATACACGAGAATAGTAGGGCAGTTGCGGTCCGGGTAATTCTCGATCGCCTTGTCTGCTCTGATTTCGCAGAATTTTATGTCGCCGTATTCTTTCGCCGCTTGCCGCCAAAGCTCCGATAGAACTCTCGACTCGACATTTGTCCCAACGGAGGAGGTGAGATTAACGAAGACAGGGCCATTCCGAGAAGCCTCCGTGACTTCCCGCGAATATTCCGGCTTCGATATCGGGTAGACTGTGCCATGTACGGATTTCTTGCTCAAGTTGTTCAGTTCTTGCATCCGCTTCTGTCGATATCGTTCCAGTAAGGCTTCATCTTCGTCGTCTTCAAGAGCGTCAAGTTCGTCAAGTTCTTTTCCTTCTAGCCTGTTCTCGTGTGCTAGACGACGGCCCTCGAGAATAGCTTCTTCGATCATAGGTGTGGGGGAAGGTGGCTTTTCGGGGATGATACCATGTTTACGTAGTATGTCATTCCTATCGTCACTGTTAGATTTGCCCAGTCTATGAATTCGTTAAGATGAAGCGGTTGTCTGTACCATTCTGTGTCGGCGTTAGGGTCGTCGATGGGGACAGCTATTCTCTGGTCCGAGGGTGCAGCCATTTTGCCCAACTCAGGCTTGAATACAAAAGGGGGAAGAAAGAGAGAGAGATGCAGGACGATGCCTCAACCTAGGTAATGTTGACAGCTCCAAGATGAAACTTCATGATAACCTTTGACCCAGCGCCTTGTGTGTGGTGTGGGCGGGGACGTTATGTAATTAGCCCCTCCAAAGAACGGGCGCCTAATAACCAGGCCGCTGTCTAGCAGCCGGCCCGGGCTAGGTACCAGCTCTAGTCAGGCAGCTTCTGGCTTATCCATAGTTATTAGATAATCCCCAGCCCTTGTCTGGGCCGTCCCCCAATGAGGTACCTATGAGAACGGGGGGTAACACGCTGTGGACCGAAGGAAAGCCCTAGCCCTCTTCGACGCTAGGCCTGATTGGGCGATTCTATCAGAGAACTTAGCTAATCTCGGCTCTCGCCCACTGGAGCCAATGTCTCGCAGCAAAATCCGCCTCGCCCGAATTTTGCAAAACGAACTTTTAACCTCAATTGATGCGCACGACCTCTTCCCCTCAATCCTCAACCCAACCATCATCAATCGCAAGCACAGAATCTGTCCTCGCCAGTATCCCCAGATTTCCAGCAGTCAATATTACGCTTGCGAACTTGTTGGTATTGGTGTTTCCAGCCTCAATCAGACAAGATGGTGAGTCCGATGAGTTCTGTTTTTATCTGACGACCTCCAAACAACCGAGAAGCCATACAACTGCTATTGCATCCACTTCGTCGCTTTATCAACCCTCGAAGCCCCGACTAGCACTACCCATGATCACTTAACGGAAGCGTCGCCACGGCCGCCTGCAGCATGCGAGATGGGTATCTCTATAGGCATCGATGTGGCTTGATGAAGCATAGTGGACGACTATTGCTCGGGCTCTCTCGCGCCTCTAATTAGTGCTGTTATGCTGACAGGTTTTTCTCCTGCTAGGTTCTCGCCGTTGATCTCCTTAACCCTAGTCCAGCCGCCGAGGCTAAGAAGCACAAGCTCAAGGTACGCCGTCGCAGAAATTTCATACTCTTGAAAACCTATCGCCCCGACACTGACGGCTTCCACTAGACCTTGGTGCCGAGCCCCCGGTCCTTTTTTATGGACGTCAAATGCCCCGGCTGCTTCACCATCACCACCGTGTTCTCGCATGCCCAGACCGTCGTCATCTGCCAGGGCTGCACTACTGTCCTGTGTCAACCTACCGGTGGAAAGGCTCGATTAACGGAGGGGTGCTCTTTCCGAAGAAAGTAGATGTCGTCATCTCTTCGTTTCTTCATTCTTGGGTCTTAGGTCACGACTTCACGGTGTAGCTCGGATATCTGCAAGGCACTCTCTCGACGGCATGGGCGCATGAAAAGTGGGCATCTCGTCTCTCCCGAACATACACAAATTCCTCTACGAACACCTACGTCATTGCAGATAGACGACGGATACCAAAAAGACTCTTAGTACAAAAGGGGCGTTTGGGGTCCTGATATCTTGCATCATCCATTTTCTGCGCTTTTTCCCTTGCTTCGTTTTCTTGCCTTGTGTAAGACGGTGTCATCACTCGTCAGGAATGGTAGTTGCTGCGTGGGTGGTTAGCTGGAAATGGCTTTCCACATGAGCATTATCTGGGGTCTACTCCGCAAAGAGTGAATCTCCGGGTGCGAGGACGTGGAACGTCGATTGAGGATCGCTACATACCCAATTGCGGTGGTCATAATTTTCACTGCATTAAGGCGAATCAGAGTTCCATGAGTACTATTTATTTTATCAAATTGTGAACTGTGACATGCCTTCCCAACGGGGGTCTCTGTATCATTTAAGTATTGTAGGAGTGTCGTATTTCCGCCTGATGGCGCGTTCATAAAAATGCAATGAGTAGTCAGGATCATAGATCGAAGGGCCATTCAAGAAAGTAATGGTCTAAGCTCCAGGTTTTGTCTCCAATTTCCGTATTAGCTAGGCAGTCTATTGGTTGTGTCATGAAGTCTTCGTAACCCAATTCTACCCGTTGTTGAAGAGGCTAATATCAGGCTAGTTCTAATAAAGCAGACGTGAATTTAGAACGCGGCTTGTAGGGAGTAACGAACGGAATCATTATTTAGCCTGTTAATGTCACGAAATAGGAGTTGAGTGTAAGAGGGATTGTGAGTTAAAATTCAGTGTTGATTCTTACTCGGGAACCTTGCTTCGAATGGTCCCGTTAAGTTATCTATATGTCAACATGCCCTTGGAGCGTCTACTTAATACATATTCAGCTCTGCAGATTGTAGTAAGGATATTTTATTTAGCTAGGTTAACTGTATACCATCCAAGTCAGCCGCTGAATAGTTAGTTGACAAGGGGTCTTTTCAAAAGGGGCTGGGTAGCTACTTAAGTCTATATAATACTACGTTATGTCGTGGAGCCGTTTCGTTTAAGTGGGTTAGTCTTTGACTTAAATGAAAACAGATATCGCCTAAATATTGGAGAGCCCTTTTACACTCTCTCCTTAGTTTTTAAATAGAACGCATATTATAAGTAGACGGAGGAACTTGCTTTATTAACTAGCTACAAACCCTGTCATGCCTTATCTACATTTAAAGCAGCATTATATACTTTAAAATGGATACCCTTTCATGATCAGTTATATCAATTAACATACCTAATAGGTACAGGCATCCGTGACATCTTAAATCGCAAGTACATTAAATGTGCCTATAATAATCCTACATATACTAGTTTGTAAAAGTTTCAACCTGCACTCTTGGCAGACTTTTATCAACTAGCTCCATCTTTTCTTCCTTTATACCAGGCAAGACACATATATGTGGTTCGGCGGTAAGGCAGTAGGTATATTAACATGAGCGTAGGTACGCCCTCTGGATTGAAGATAGAGTGACTGGATCCCGGGTCTTCGTTTACCGACGGCAAGGCCCAGACACTGAAGATGGGGCACCCACGGCTTTAAAGGATGAATCGGGGCAAGTTCAGCCAGCGGCAGTGTCTACACATAGCCAAGCAGCAATAGACCAAAACCCAAGAAGAAAACTGCGTTTGCGAACGCTTCGTCGAAGATCTGGATCACTAGATCTAGAAAGAGCCGATAGCAGTGATTAGTAAGTAGGTAAAACTAAAGTCAACTCAATCTTGAGTGCTGATAAGTAATAGCCTACACTGTCACTCAACTGACGATCACTCTACGGAAGGGAATAACTAACTGTCTACACCCCCAACAAATAAGGTAAAAGAAGAAGTCTCATCCAAGGAAATACATATTTCTGGCAGTTGGCTCCCTGACTTATCGCTTCAAGATCCAACTAGTATTGTTAGATTTAGTCTAGATCTTAGCTCAGGCACCTTCGACTTTGACGCAGCTGCCATGGACGTAATTTCTCACATTGCGCGAAACTTTGGACCTACCGAGTCTATGTATCCGAGTGTCGCCTTTAGAAGTCATGGTTATGGAAGCGTTCTTGTACCCAAAATTCTTGGATACAATCAAACTACCGAAAAGAACACATCGTCCAAGTGGGAAAGAGTCCAAGAGATCTTGAAAGTCTCAACCGCTTCCGTCATCAACTTCGCTAGCCCGCTACTGACTAGCAGAACTAAGACCTTTGTCGAATGGGCAGCGGAGAATTTGAAGCTCCCTAAGGCCTCTACCCCGCTGTTCGAAATACAATACGAGAAATACAGGCCTTTCAAAAAAATTATAGCAGAACAAAATATCCAGTTACTTGAAGTTTGGCATCGGCCCCTTTCGGTGAATAAAGTTCGGTTTGAGAGACGAGAGAAAGAAGAAGACATTTCTACGATTGCAACTTCTGTCAGCAATACGGATCACGAATTTAACTACCTATGCAACATCATAGGCAAGGCGGTGAACTCCCATAGGCTGCTTAAGGCCGCCTCATTTAGCGACCGAGACACAGTTAAAAGAATCATCCACCATCGGATCAACCTGAGGCCTGTTGATGCGCGTGGCTAAACTGCATTACATCTAGCTGTTCTAGGGTACGATACGGATATGGTTAGGATGCCTACTCAGTCGCGGCATGCTAGATATCTCGTCAGAAGCAAAGATAAGAATGGTGATACTGCACTACACGCCGCGATCGGAATGATAAAAACTCGCGGCCAAGATGAGATGAGGTGAGGACAATTGTGGAAGTGTTACTCCGACACGGAGCTCGTCCGCACGAGAAAAATTCCAAAGGTCAAACAGCCCTGGACTTAACACTGGGTTCCTGGCCACAGATCTCCCGTTGCCTTGAGACACCGCAGGAAGTTCGAGGCCCTCGCTTGCACACGATGTCAAAAAGTAAGCCACCAAGGCCAGACGGAGTCCAAGCTTGTAAAATGACCGAAATTGTCATTACTACAGTCTTCGGAGCCCAGGACGGTAAGACTGATACTTCGAAAAAGTCTGAAAAGTCTGTTCATGAGATGCTATATGGCGAGAGAAGTTTTAACGATATCATCGACTCTCTCGATCATGGTAATTCCGAAGTTCCTTTGATGTGCAGATGGTTCCACCCCCCTGAGAATAACGTGAGCTCCCCCTTAGGTCTTTTAAGACAAAATCAAGCTCACCTCGATGATAGATGGCCTGGGTCAATGTATGAATACTTAGGAAAAGGGATTTCCCCCTTGACAGTCTTCTCATATAAAATAGGATCTTTTTATCAAACTTAACCGAGAACGGATATGGCCCTAGCCATCGGACTCCCGAGAAGGAAGAGCTCCTCATAGTGTACGGATGCATACACCACTGAAAAGCAAAGGGAATAACTTCCACTGACGAGAAATTCCAGCTATTCATGCCGCCGCAAGCAGGAATCCTAAAGGCTTCTGGTATTTCGAAGAAAGACTCGCCCCAAGTATTAGCGCTAACGGTTTATTTAACCCACAGCACCTAGGCTCGTCGTTTCTAACACACCACCAGATGCCTTATATCAGCTATCAGGAGTTTCACAGCCAAGTGGAATACAATATCGCTCTTGCGGAGATATCCAAAGAGGATTGTGCTTTTGGATTGCGCGCTGTGCACAGTGAATAGGAAATGTCGGAGGATGATGATGACTCGTCCCCCCACGAGGGCAGCATAACTCCACCAGAATCATCCTGGACCACAACGCCTCGAACCAGCCAGGTCCAGATCCAAGACTATCTTCGGAGCACTATATCAGAAGAGACTGTGTGTTCATTGAAGGCCTACTTAAACTATCGACACGACAACGTTGGCCTACCATTGCACCCGAGAGGGTACACAATTCGCCCGCCGCACTGAGAGCTTGAAGGTTGATCTTAACGACATAATTATCGATGCAGAACACTTGATCAGTTGTACTACTATATGTTAGAAGACACTCCACACAGGGATCGAGATCAGGTCGTTTCCCAGTGGGATCACACCAGCCCGAACCGAATTCGAACAGGGAAGAAAGCACCTTTTAGCAAGGCTGCTCATAACATTCTCATGGTCGATCAACTTTGGTTATGGATGATACCTAGTGGAAACAATAAAGGACATAGCACCATTATCACTTGTTTTCCGCCGAGAAAGGGTGCTGTGCTGACCTACTTAGATGACTTCCGCGACGTTATCTTGTCACAGAGCGATAGAACACCGATATACTCGAACACTGGCCTCATTGGGCGTATTATGTCAACTTGTATCAACGTCTTCGACCACAATGCTGACGAGGAGTCGCTTCAATTTTTCAAATTCTTCTAGAGTGCCATTGGAAATGCGGTCTGCAGTCTTTCTCTAGCTTCGGCGCGATTCGTGTTTCTAACTAGCCGCAGGAGGAGGAAATATCGCGTCTGTTCAAGCGATTCCGGAAATACGCAGATAGACTGTACTCCCTACACGAGAAAATCAAAAACGACGAAGCCAGTATCTAAAGAAACTTCTCGACATTAGAGAGGAGCCAAAACTACTGGAGGATGTGAAAGACATCCGAGACAAAATTGAGATGATTCAGTGCGTTCATAAAGATCAAGCCAAAGTCATTGCCGAAGTCAAGAATTTTCTCCAATCTGAAGAGCCTAAGCTGCGCAGCACTGTGAATGACATAGCAGCCAGATTCAAAGTAATAGATGATCACGCAAAGTCTGTTGAGAGCAGCGTAAGTGTCATTCTTCGATGACGGGACAATTCCGTTGAAACCTTGCTCCGTTCTGCTAAGTGCTTATTCTAGTTGACGCAACTGTTTAATCTCAAACAACGACAGGCTAACCTCTGGGAAGCCCGTTCATCTAGAGAAGAAGCGGAGGAAACAGCAAGACAAGGAAAATGTACACGCACCGGTGGACAACCTTAAGGTCCAAGCTAATCGATAGCATTAGACTCTCTTGGTCTTCACTATAGTTACGATTATATTTATAAGTTCACGCAGCAAGAGCTCTCGCCTCCTTATGACTGACGCTTTAGCTACCTCTATCTTTCATGAATTCATTCCTTGCCATCTCGGTAGCACAGTTCCCGCATGATCAAGAGTCTGGAGATATCTCGTGGCCTCTATCCTACCTCTGCGGTCTTCTATGTGAGCCAATCCGAGCCCTCGAATCTTTTCGCACTCGTTGCATCACTCGGCAGCTAATACTTTTCGCCTTCTTGGCCAGTTGGTGTCTCATTCGCTGTCATCATCCCTCTCATCCTTCTTGCCTTTAACATCAAATGGTTGACTGCGCCCTGGACTACCTTCCGCGAGGTATGGTTGTGCCGTCTTATGCTCAACCTTCTGTCGTTTCTGAAGCGCTTTCGTGGCTTCCGTCCCCTCGCTGCATGGGGCAATGAACGGGAGCAGCATCTGGTACTTGGTTTGATAGACTATTTTGTGGGCTATAATGTTGGCGATGAAATGATTAATCACTTAAAGCATATTATCGCGAGTGATTGGGGAGCCTCACCTGCCAACGTCTCGGGCGCGGGACTAGATAGCAGCTCGTCAATATCGGACGGTCTTCGCCATTTGATATATAGAAGCTACAAGCGTGAAGATGAGGATGTTCGGGTGTCAATTGCAAGCTCAACGATGCGGGGCATACTTGGAGATAACGCATCTGACGATGAGAGCGTGGATGACGAGGATGAGAGGCGGCGAGATTACAAGAAGCTAGAGAAGGCGGTGCCGAACAGGTACTAGGGCAAAGACGCATCGACGATTGCGCTGGGTCGGGACATGTCAACCCGGATGCTGAAGCGGAAGTGTGCTTCACTCCGGAAATGACACCTCTAGCTTTGGCTAGCTCTGGCAGGGACACAATCCTCCTTGCTATCGTGTACATCGAGGCGCTGAAACATACTTAATGCCTATGGGCTATACCTCTTGATCGCTGCTTATTTGACAAAACTGTCCCATGTTAATCAGCTACTCTGTGGATATACCCTTCTATCTTCCTTTTTTTTATAACTCGCATTATAGTCCAAAGGATAATAGTTTCCGACTTCTCAAGGCTCAAAACCATTGAGGCCACAACAAACTCAAATAATGTCAAGCAATACATCAGACCTGTCTAATCACTTCTTAAGAGTCTGAGATCGTCGTCGTTGTAGGCTCCAGATATGTGGTCCAGTTACTAAAGTTCCTAGTAAGGCGGTTAGGCGAGGAATATTAAGATCCGAAGGGGTGTAGTTTGAGTAGGGAGGTAATGATGGTGTTGATAATGTAATAAAAGTGACAGATATTCTGATTGCATCTTTGCTCGGATTCAACAGGCTCCGTGGGCACCTAGAGTCTTACATACCCAGGCCATCCGTAGAGTACCCTTCCCAGAGAATTGTATAGTACCACACCCTGCTAATTCGGTACTTGGCATCGCATCCCATCCCCAATGACTTTGGTTTTGTTATATCCGGTCTCTTCGACAGATATAGCATATGAAGCCGTACTACTAGATGGGAGCTGCTTTTGTTAGTATAAATATATATAGGCGACGACGAGAGATACTGTTCTAGACTTCATATCTACTATACCATGTCTATAGATGTAACTATCGGTAACATTGCTAGACCACGGATCCCGCCCCCAGCCGTCGCTCACGGGAAACACGTACAAGTCAACACACCAAGCACCCACGGCACAGGCTAAAGCGGCAGCAGCATCGGCCTACTCAGGAAGAAGGAGATGGGTGAAGGCAAGATTTGGGCAGCGATTTAAACTGTATTGCCGAACAGGTTTGGGTTTATATTACACGTGGGGATTTCGGGTAGGCCCCATGGCAATTTTCGGTCATATTTATAAATGTATTGTCTGTAATTGTTGAAATAGTAACATTCGTCTACAACTAAAGTAAGGTGTTATCACCCACGGCCATATCCTCCTCCTGTAGACGATTAACAGCGGATCTAGGGACCACAACAGTAGCAGCTAGCAGCAAGTCAGCAGCAATCGCAAGACAAGGATGAGGGATATCTACCTGGGCTGTAATTGGCCAACGATGCGGAGGGCGGCCGCGTATGTACGGATAGAAGCAGAAAGAAACGCGGTTTCAAGTACGTAGACAATTGTCAGCTGCCTGCCGCCCCCTTTCTCATCGGGCATTCAAGAGGCACTGTATAAACAAGTTTGCCTTCTGATACGCCCGGGACTGTTTACGGATTGCTACTTTGTGTTTTCATCGCCTACCTATTGCGCCCCTGCCTCGCACCTTGACCATCAGGTATCCCACCAAGACTGGCAGTATTAACTTGATACATGGCTTCCATTAGTAGCGGATAACCCAACGAAAGGACTGCCTGGCCAAATGGAAAATGAAGCTGGTAGCCTCTATAAAGCCCTACTAGAGAAATGGCTAACTCGTCGGCCTCCTAATGATTGTGCTATCATTGAAGCCGGAGATTCTCGGTTCGAGTCCGGGGTAGGGCGTCTCAACTTTTTTTTCTCTCAGTCCTTTCTGCTTCATTTTATGCAAGGCCCGTCGCGATCTTCACTCCGGTATATGAATGCGACTCCCGTTCACGAGAACCACCGCTTCGAAAAACGGGTGCTATCTATATTAACCTCTTTGCCGTCTCGAATCCGAGCTACCAGTCCACCTGACGTCGCCACATCTCCAAAGATCCTTATAATTATTCATCGGAAGATTCTAGGGTCCCCAAGAACCATAAAATCTCCTTCACAACAGCCTCTGGCTGCTCCTGTTGCACCCAGTGGCCTGCGCCATCGATAAACCTTGCGCCTCGGTAAAGGCCCTGCTTCACCGTCCGAGGGTCCATGTAGCCCTCGAGTGCCCCCGGCCGTTGGTGGTTGCCCCAGTCCTGATGACCGCTAATGAAGGCGCAGGGGACCTCGATCCGGCGCCCTGCAAAGAGGAGCAGGTCGTGCGCTGACTGCGGGGTTGCCGCCGTCTGAGCCCGGTACCAGTTGAGCGCGCCTTGAAATCCGGTCCGTCGCCATTCCGCGCAATACACCTGCAGGTCCTTGGGTGACAGCCACCGTTCCGTCAATTGGGCGTTCTCGCTCTCCATGTTAGCGGCGACGGCAGCGGGCATCGAGTGCTCCGCCCGCATAATGTAGTACTCGGGTAGGGAAGCAAGCTCAGCTGCGCTCCATTTCTCTAGGGGCCGTGGGGCATTGGTGGCCCAGTCCGCAGACTTGAGGTGGAAATAGCCGCGCAGGAACGCCTCCAGCCCTTGCGGCGGGTCATCCCAGTCCGCCGCGGCCTGGGCCGTTGAGTTGTACCATTGGTAATGCTTCCGTGGCGGTGTGAGTTTTGCAAGTTCGGCCTGGATGTCTACTTTATTGTTGTCACCCTTCCCTTTGTCCCCCGCAGCTATGGGCACTGGAGGCCGGTGGTGCGGGTGGCTCATCTGGACGGTGGATTGGAAGATGTCCGGGCGCATGAGAACGGCCATAGCGGAGCTGACGCCGCCAAAGTCATGACCGATGATGCTGTGGACTTCGGAGTAACCGAGCGCATACACTAAGCACACGAGGTCTCGTACAAGGTTCGTGAAGACGTAGTCGTTAAGATCGACCTCGTGAAAAGCCTGCTTTCGTGGCCAGCCTCTGGTGCGACCGTAGCCGCGTTGGTCCATGGCGACGCAGTAATAGCCCGCTTCAGCTACTTTCGGTATCACCTTGCGCCACGAATACGCGATCTCGGGGAACCCATGGCAGAAGAGAATGAGCGGTTTACCGGGTATGCCGGCTTTCAATATGTGCCATATGAGGCCGCACGACGCAGAGCAGTCGACGTAGTCGGTAGCGATGCCCTCTGGTAGAGGAAGCGGCGGGAGGGCCTCTCCTAGCTGCTCTAGAGAATTGCTCATGTTGATATAGGCAGCGGGTGTGTGACCAGCTTTGGCTGAAAAATTACTTAGGATCACGAAGAGAGAGTCCTTCATAGAAGCTGGTCAAGCATGAGATCGACGCTTAACCCCGCAAAGGAATCTCTCTCATAACCTGGTCTGGCCGAAATTGCGTCGGCACGTGGGATTGGGGTTCTACATGTGAGGTAACGGTAAGTTGAACTGCAGTCTTGCCAGCGGACTCCACCGGCACCGCACCCTCGGGTCCAATGGCCGTCCTGGATGGGTTTTACGCGGCTAGAACGTGTTGCTAGAAGCTGTCCTAGCGCATGGCGAGGATGGACCAGTGCTGCCCCCTTCGCGGCAATCGCAAGCTTACGGAGAAAGGTCGAGGTTCCAGAGGAGATGTTTGATTTCAGTATAGGACTGTACAACTGTTCTAGGGCGATGGGTACAAAAATACTCAGATGTTCATCTCACGTTAGTCCCGGTAAGTCGTCAAAATTAAAGCTACAGGCACAAATTCGTCGCACAACAATGAAGATCCGTCCGTCTCCCTACAGATCGGCCGACACGCTCCACTCATCCCAACCCTTCTTCTCGCCGGGCAGTCTGACATCCTCCCACTCCTCCCTAGTGATGCTCTTCCACTCATCGACGGGGATCCAACCGATGTAGGCCCTATCGCCGAAGCCGCCAATCCAGTAGACTTGGGTGACGACTAGTCTCACGAACTCGGATGTGTGGATCGGGTTACCGGGAAGCCAATACTTGGCGTCGGGGTGCGTCGCCACGTAGCACGCCTCGAGATCCGCGGAGACCGGGGCGTCGATCTTCTCGAGGTAGCCCAGCAAGCTATACCGCGGAAGGTTGACCGCGCTATACGGCACGGGCTCTTTGGGCTTCTCGTCGCGTCCTAACAACCAATCCCAAAACGAGGTGGTGGACTTGATGCGCTTGTCGGGTGGGTAAGGGGGCGTCCACTGCTGGGCTAGGCTGATGTTGGAACCACTCTCTACGTTCCTGAAGCTAGTGCCGATCTTGATGGCTAGGAAGGTGGGATTGCCTTCCTCTTCGCAGTCAGCCACGTACTCGAGCAGCCCGAGGGGTACGCCGCCGAGGCCGACCGGGGTATTGTGTCCGCCAGGGGAATCGGGGAAGACGGTTGCAACCGTGCCGAGCGGGCTGAGAGCTAAGATACGACGGCCGAGCACGGCAGATTCGTACGAGGTCGGGATTCGTTGGGCCGACTCGGAAGCGGGAGGGTTGTTGAGTATGTACTGCGGTTCCGGAGCCAGCTCCGCCACCGAGGGCGCAGCCAGCAGGCCAAGGGATAGGCTGGACGAGAACCTCATCGCGCAGGCGGGCGCGTGGTTTTCACTGCCTATGAGACTAGCAGAGAGCAGTTGGGAAGTATTTAGATTCGAACCAAGGATGCCTCGGGCCGAGTCTAGGGGATGGACGATGGCGGTAACAAGGTATATTGAGGGTGGGATCGGGTCCTACCTATATATTCAAGAGACTCATGGAGATGGTTCTTGGATGCGTCCGATGGCTCGGAGCGGTCAATGCTGAGCCGTTTGGCGGGAGGTGGAGGCGAGTGCATGATCTATCGCGTTGATGGGTCCATCGTCAGGCGTATGGCCTGCGGCAGCTACCTCAAACGGCTTAGCCCATTTGGGGCTTGAACATGGTCTAAGTACTATACCTGAGACTGTATCGATAAGTACCTGCCTTCTACCTGCACCTACACTACCTAAAGGAGGACGTAGGTACTTAAGGTGCCTAAGTTAGGTAGGTAGGTACCTACCTCTCTAGGCTATGCGACAGTAACTTGGGGGACATTGTTGCTGAGATCTCCAGTGGAGGTTAGAAGAATGCATGTGCAGCAGATGTACAGTACATACAACGGTATTGGCATGACCTCACCCAAGGAGCCAGAAAGGCATTATCGATTGGCTAGGGCCAACAATTCCTCCGATCTCGCCCCGTACTATGTATTTTATAGGCAAGTAATCAGAGCCCATACTCCCTTTTGAAGAATATGCAAATAGCCGATTTAAAGCTGATTTGAAATCACATGATGAGGGTTTACGTTGCCCTTTCAGGCAAATTTGACGAAGCCTTGCGCCTCTATGGCCAGTGTGACTCTTTCCTTTCCACCCCTTCATCCCACCCAAGTGCCAAGACCTGACGAATTCTATCCATTGCTAACACCAAAACCACACAATCCGAGCCAGCCACTTCTCTCCGTCGTTTCTACACCACCTAATCTCTCCATCGACAGAGACCCCTCCCCGCCGAGTCTACATCAGAAGTCCTGCAATATGGGAAAAGTTCACGGATCACTCGCCCGTGCCGGTAAGTTGGTCCATCGATTAACTGGCTGCGCGGGGCCAGCGAAGCGGATAGAACAAAGTGATGGCTGACGCGACTTTACAGGCAAGGTCAAGTCTCAGACCCCGAAGGTCAGTATACCAGTTCATCTAGTGATATCGCAACCACGACGAGGAAGATGAGGATGATGAAGGAGCGCGCACAACTTTGAGTCCGATAGAACGTGTGCATCGCGACGACCCGGGACCGACTCGCCACCCGCCTGCTCTCCAATGCATATCACCAATAGTCAAATTGCCTACCCAGCATTTACAATAATTGCTGTCTCGGATGCGCCTTCGCTCCACCGACGAGAATATGTCTTGCCATCGGACTCGAAGCAGTAAGAATTCGAAAGACTGACGTTGAAACATGACTATAGGTTGAGAAGCAAGAGAAGACAAAGACCCCCAAGGGCCGTGCTAAGAAGAGGCTCACATACACCCGACGATTCGTCAACGTCACATTAACTGGCGGAAAGAGAAAGGTGTGTTTTATCCTAGTGGTGGTTACGTACCGAAGCTCCATGCTAAAATCACCCTAGATGAACCCCAACCCTGGCTCGTAACCGTAGCCTGGCTTCCGTACCCCCCCCCTCGAACAGCTGTTGTCGTCGGCGAGAGGACCTGGAAGGCGACGGACGAGCAACTTCACGTAATAATACTCGGCTCTGAGCCTTCGCCTCTTGGACGGATAGCAAAATACGACGTGCCTGCTCCGTTATGCATGGAGGTGAACAGGAGATAAAACGATGACAACGGATGCCCAAGGGTTTGCATCTTCTCATTCAGGAGTCTCATGATGGCATCGTTCTAGGCTTGTTTCATTGCGCTCAAGCCTCTCATCTGTACTTACTAAGGTATCACCCGGAAAGGTGGAATCGAGAGGAGAATTAACAAGTCTTCTCTGAAGAATTGTTCCGGGAATTATTCATGATATAGTGAAAGGAGCCTCGGTCCTCTAGCCCGCGATTATCGTCATTTCTTAGTTACGCCAATTAATTTCTGTCGCTGCACCTCCTTTCCCATCCAAGGTATCTGTACGCCGCTTACCAGCTAGCTAATCGGATCTCGCTCCACGAAGCACCTCACGCGTTACCTATAAGGATAACTCACAAATATTAACAAGACCCGCCTACCCTGACTATCTAGATGTAATTCCACCTCTGTGTTTTCTACATAAATTCATGGCCAAGGAGCTTACGCATATAATACCCAGGGCTACACGAAATGAGGCACCGTGTCAAGGTGGTAGAGGCACAGCTTCTGATCCCGTGACCCTTCTGAGACAATATCTAAGAAGACGAAGGCTACTCTTATTTATATATATGTCTCCTTCGTCTAGATTGGCAAGACTGTACCATCCGGAATCCCCTTAGCCCACCCGCCGTCATACCTCGTAGGCATATCCCCTTTCTCCCTGAGGTCCTTATCTCATAAGTGGAGTTGGCCATCCCTCTCAAACCCTTCCCGCCGTCTTCTCCTCTTCTCCTTTCTAGAAAGCCGCGTATGCGGTAAAATAGACGCGTACCATCCCAGTGCTCTAGGGGGGTGGAGGGGGGGTGCTGTGGAGTAGGTACGTAGACGACATGTACCAGGAAGGATATAATAACAGTCGATACCTCCTCAATCAGACTCGGCATTACCCCAGAAGAACGACAGTCTTCGATTCCAAACTCCAGTCCTTCCGTAGAGGTCTCTTAGAGACCCGCCTCCGTCACGCATTGTCTATACCTGCTTGAGCTGAGCCCTACTGAGGGCCTTGTTTGTCAAGAGTTTGTAGTACCTAGGGAGAGGGAGACGAGGCCGGAATCAGGAAGATGAAGGGAAATGGGGGGGGGGTGAAGTAGACGTGTACTTGGCTACGGGTGGGAGTTAAGCGTAGAAATCCGACAGCGTCCGGTCGTTCCATCGTGTTTCCCAGACTGATGATACAACCACGTCAGGCCCGAGAGAAGAGAAATCAACACCCCTTAACATCCGCATGAATCACGTAGGGGGTTATTCTACTATTTACATTGTTAAATAGCAATATATGTACTTCATCTATGTGTACTTGACGTCTTGGTGTGCATCACTGCCTTCTGTGAACGCCTACTACCTTTGGCGAGCGGGCAAAAATGGACGGCGTCTGCAAAGGTTTCCTTCGGATTCGGAAACGGCTAGTTAGCCAGCCAACCCGCCTACTTCACCTGATATGCAAAGTGAGGCGGTTAGTATGCACTCCTGCTGGATATGCCCTCCAAACGACGACACCGCCATCTTGCTCACCAGCGCAGAGCAGCAAACACCCCGGGTCACTCTAGATACTTCCCAATCTGCGTCGGTCTTCTCCACTCGTATGCTCTCCACTCTTTCAACAGCGCAAGTAAAACAGACCATAGCCTGATAACAATCATGGTTCCTTCATTTCATACTAACAAAGGCCTCCCACTTCTGTCTTCTGTGTGCCCTTCTACAAACAAGTGGTATCAATCCCATGTCTACATAGCCCGATCCAGGTCAAGCCTCAGGTACAGAAGAAAAAGGCAAAAATCACAGAAGACCGCAATATACCAACATGCTTATTAAGCAAACTAGCCCAGGAAACCGACACTCCAACCACCACAGTACGTTCTGGAACAGTACTTCATATGTTGTTGTCGTAGCCTCAAGAGTGACGCCTTGGGGAAAGCTTGCTGTGTTCAGTAAATACGTATCAGGAGTTTTCCTGATGCCGAACGGATAGAGGATCAAGCTGATTGCCACGACCTCAAGGCGGGAGAACGAGCGGAAGGTAGGTTTCCGCTAACCCAATTCACTCCGTACTATTCTTGGTCGATGCAGGAGGTACTCAGAGAAAACCGGATCGAGATCTTAGTGTAGCAACATCGTTGGATGACCGAGATATATACCGCAAGTGTTATGTGTGGAGGATCGTTGGAAAGGTGGCCAAATGATATAAAAGGCAATGACTGCCCGACTGAAAAAGGTGTTGGATGGCTCCATGCCGTCGTATGTGTTGCATGTGAGATACCGTAATTAGTCGTCTTTCATACGGCATCGATTTATACCTAAGTCGTTATCGGCGACAGATCAAAACGGCCTGTCGTACGAGTCGAGCCTTCGCGATATAAATCAAAATATACCCCACGCAGAACCTCCCCGATCTGCATAGATACTTGGGTCGCTCGTGAGTTCTAACATTCCACCTGATGGACGAATGTTATAGAAATGAGGCGCGATTGCTATTGAATGGGTGCGGGCGGGGTTAGAGGCTCATAGTTAGCCATTCCCATTCCTGCGGGCCATTCCCAGAGCTAGTATTTATAATACCGTTAGAGCCACCGGAGACACCGCTCATGGTGGTTCCCAGCATCGACCGCTGAGTCATGGCAAAACTGTTGGAAAGGCCTAGGTTCCCAGGATTCGACATGCTGGTGAACCCGCTGGAAGAGCCGATGGAGCGAGCCGCTTCATTCGAACCGGTAGAATTCTCTGGACTATCAACATCCATGCCGCCGGAAGATTCGTTTGGCCCGGTACTCCTGCTACTCCGTCGCTGACGTTTCGAAGAACCGCTAGAGCCGATATTCCGTGGAATCGATGCCGCACCTGGCCCCGGGGCGTTCTTCGGGGGGGCTGCCGCAATCGGGACGACCCCTTTACCGCCCACCGCACCCGTCGCGGAGCCCGCAAAACTGGCTGGCGTACTGCCCGCCGTATTACCACCAGATCCGCCACCGCCACCACCCGCCGGGCTCTCACTCTCATTGGCACTACCGGCCCTATTCGTGGCCGATGGAGGCGTTGTCGCTTGCGCTGTATTGGTCGCGGTGGACATGGCTAACGTCGAGTTTTTGCGCGAAGCGGATCCAGATGCCGTACCTGACCCACTACCAGTGTTCTTCTTGGATCTTGTACTCGTTCCGCCAACCGGAAGACTCGAGCCGGATCCACGATTACGCTTTTTGATAACATCAGTCTTCAAACTCAGCGGTCTCACGACTCCGTGGAGTTTCAAAAACAGCCCACAGGCATTGCAGAGAGGCTGTCCCTCTGGATTACGACGCCATAAAGGCGTGGTTTGTGTGAAACAGTTAGTACAGGTGGTGGGCGCATTCCCATCGCCCTGATTCCCCGCGGTACCTTGCAGGTTGTTTGTAGAGCCATGTTTGGAACCGGGCGGCGAAGCAGGTCGACTAGGCGCCACGGAAGAGAAGCCCGAGACGTTCCCCGAGACATCCGCCGGCGGAGAATCCGGGTTTGATTGGGCCAACTTGTCGAACGGGTTCCCATGACTGATCATGTTGGTGTTTGGTGTTGATGCTGTGCGTGGGATTTTTTGCTGGCGCCTGTCACCGGCAGACCGGAATGACTGAGAGCGCGGTAGTCCGGCCTGCCCATCCCAGTCGCCAGACTCTAAATAATCGGTCGTCGTACCCCCAATTGTAACTTGTTTGCGAGGCGGGCCGCCGGGGTAACGGGCAGCTTGCGTACTAAACTGTCCAGGTAGCGAAGCATCCCATCCCATGGAACCTTGGTTGCCCATATCCATTCCAGAATCGTCTCCAGGAGAAAATGCCTGGATGCCCATATTACGATCAGCAAACGCCCCTCCGTCCTCGTCCTCGTTATCGGAATCGGCGCCAAAAGTAAACATGTCTCCGTGCAGCGGGGCACCTCCGGGCGAGCGGACAGAATGATCGGACTGGAAGACCTGACTCGGGTCGACATGGCCGAAATTGAGGCTCTGTGAGAAAGTGCTAGTTGACTCTGCCCCGGTGGTAGTGGGTGGAAACATCGAGTTACCATTAGGCTGGTGTACGAAATGCTGGCCGATTTGATTTCTCATAGATCCGTGAGCCCCACGGAAATTTTGTGGCCGATGACGCATATCCATCGAGCTGAAGAACATGCTCTCATTCTCGGCGAGGGGGTGTGGCGTCGAAACAGCCGACTGGTAGGCGGACCCTGGGGGGGAGTAGTATTCTGCGCCGTTCACCGTGCCTGCAGCAATGCTGTGATGATTAAAAATATTTGAGAAGGGACCGTGATGAACCATCGGCGAAGTGGACGGCGAGAATGAAAAGCTGTGCTGCAAAGGCCCGGCCGAAGTAATGATAGGGTCGTTCTCCATGCCGAAGGTGTCGAGGGGAAAGGGAACATTAGGATGATGGGATACTTGGGTGCCGACGTTTCCATGGATGTTATCTAGAGAATATTCGTGCAGGTCAGAATCGGCATCGATTTCATTGGTGACATAATTGCTACTGCTATTCAGAGCAGAAACATGAGGAGAGAAATTAGCAGGGCGTTTTAGATTTCGGGTCTGTTACAAGATCATCATCGTTAGTTCTTCACCTATGCGCAGCTCACAGGAACGAAGTGTGGGAAAGAGAGGGGAGGGGGGGAGAAAGACCAAGGAAAATACAGTGTAGCCGGTGAGCATGGCGAGGAAAACGGCAACTTGATCCTCCACTCCTACGTGATAAATGGGGGTGATTTTAGCTGGACTTACCCGTCTGTCGTCAATGCTAGTTTTTCGATGATGTCGAGTAACGTAGGAAAATTCGTCTTGAGCTCTCTGATGAGCAGGGACCGGAACCGATTGGGGTACGAAACGCTGCGAAGCGGTCTTGCGAGTCTTGATAGGGATGGCGGCAGCTTTGGTGTGAGCCGACTTCTCCCCCTCTTGCTTGCCCCCGTCGGGCGATGGCGTCGCCACCAAGCTAGCCGGCGTCGCGACGTTCTCGGGAAATATAAAGTCGTCCAAATTCATAGGGTCTGCGTGGAGAAGGTTCTGATCCGATGTCTTTCTGAGCTGCGCGATCCCGCTGGGGGCATTGGTATTACTCGCCGTTGCGCCGCTCGTTTCATGAGCAGTGGTAGCGAGACGACTATCGCCAGAGTCAGAACCAACACGCGCACACGAATACGCATATTCGAACACGGAAACCACAGGCCGAGCAAACCTACCGAGCGTCTTCTTCGTCTCGTCTTCTTTTCCGGAGGCTCAAGTGCATCATGCGCCAAGTCAGATTCACCATGCGCTCTTGGCTCGGTAAACTTTGCTTCGTATTGCGATAGAACCTCCAAATCTGCGTTGCAAGAGGATCGTCCTGCTGCATCTGCTCTAACCTCTCATCGCCGCTAGCCATGCCGTTCTGAAGGTCGGGAAAAATCGACGGCTGCAGCAAATCAAACCTAGGCAGGGCGTCAGGTTGGGTGAAGTCCAAGTTGAGCTCGTGTATGCGCAAATCGCTAGGACTCCTCTCGTCCGGGCTCTTGTTCGGGTGTGTGGACTCGGCCGGTTCACCGACGGGCTCGAATGGCCTTCGCGGGAAACGAAAGTCGTGTTCTGTCGTGGTGGGATTCATGGCTGTATCTGGGCTCGAAGTCGCAACCGGCAGCGCTGCAGCAGCGGCCATGTCGTACAATGGTGGAAGAAGAAACTCGGAAGTGGTAGGACCTCGCTTTCTTTTTGTACGGGATGGCTGGAGTCGTTGTCCCGCCTGTATTACAGGTCACTTCCCAGATTCCCCACGCTCCAAGGTTTGGGCCGTCAGCCCAAGTCCCTTTCGCAAGCCGCACGCTATCCCAGAGTTCGGACCTTCCAGGAAGTTAGCGCTTGGGGGGAGGTTGCTTGCGAAACTCGTCGAAGCGAAAGAGGGAAGAGGAAGAAAAGATGGTTGAAAAAAAAAAGAAAAAGAAAGCGTTCTGTATCGTGGAGCTCTCAGCGCACTTAATTGCTTGGCTCTTCTTGTGTTCCTCTCTGTCGCTCTACTCTGGTTTGGTCGACCTCGGGTGTGTGTGTGTATGTATGTAGTGCGTGGGTGTGTGCGGGTGTGCGTGGGTGTGTGTATGTGTTTGCGTGAGAACATGGAGAGGGACGAGAGGGGGGGGGGGGGTGAATGTCGGTGATGTATGCCACCTTAGGTCTTGGTTTGCGGAGTAGAGGAGCAGTAATAGCATGTGTACCAGCGGCAGCGGCAGCGGCAGCGGCAGCGGCAGCAAGCAAGCAAGCAAGCAAAGCAAGCAACAACCACAGGTCAGCAACTCGGGTAGTTCACTGTCGCATCGCCCTTCGCAAATTCGCGGGTGGAATGGAGCGGATTGGGTGGACCACACACACTCGTCAGGTAGTTTGGTTCGGCTCTGCTTGGGTTGACGGACATGGGTCGTTGTCGTGGGCTGGTTGTGGGTGTGTCCTCGAGCTCGTAGAGTGTGGGAGCAGAGAAGGCAAGTAGCAACGCGACAGCGGCGCACCGGCATCAACACCAAGCAGCAAATGCGAAATGCTTGTATGCAAGTCCTTTTTTGGAACGAGGGACCACTTGGACAAGTCGTAGGCTCGGGCGTGCCTCGCACTGCGTACTGGAAAGCTAGACTATGATGGGAAACATCCCGGTGCTAGCACCCATGGGACCCGGCGATCCAGCGACCTCAGTGGGCGACGGACGTTTCTGCAGCCTTTGTGCGCTGCTAGTTCGCCTTTGATTGATGAGCCTTGATAGCTGGCGATGGGCCAATCCCACGCCGACAATGGGAGTTCGAGGGATTCCCTGAACGGCCTCCGCACCCAAGACCCCAAAAAAGCTCCTCTGCCGCCGAAGCGAGACTCGAGAGGGGTGTGGATCTGCTGCAACGAAATTGACGAAAAAAAAAAGGGTGAGGGTGAGAAGACCTCGACCGGCGGGGAGGGGAGGAGGGGGAGGAAGGTAGGAACGTTGTTCTCTCTCTTTTACTTCTTCCCTCCCCCCGTCTCTTTTCTCTGGCTCTTCTCTCTTTCGCTACTCACATGTCGTATAGGCCACAATGTACTTTACGACTACGATTAGACATTAATTTTTTTGCCAAAAAAAGTACACAATGCGTCTACTTTTGATACCCGTATCCAGACACAGAGGCAGAGGGCAGATAAAGGCCGGAGGGATATTGCAGGACACCTCCTCTCTTGTTTGAATTCAGGACAAAGGATTTCTCAATCTCGAATCGCTAGGACGGGCTTGAGAGACAGGTTATGCCGCTGGTTGTGCGACTTTTTTAGTGGCATAAAATGCTATACATAGCATATGTACATACATCAAGTACCTCCCACCACCTAGGTAGGTATCTCCGGGTCCCTTCCTCCCTTCTTATGGAAACCTAGGAATGCAGCGCCGAACCTAACGGGGCCCCCACTATGCATGTACGTACCAGTACATCCTAGTTAATAATTGATTACCTCCTAGCCTATATAATGCGGGATCCTATATAATACGACATACTTACATAGGGTAGGTATGTCTATAGTATAGTATACATTATTTAGGTATATATAACATAGAAAAATAAGTACGTACGTACGTACATAGTTAGATATACCTTGCGTATCTAGAATACTTAACAGGTAACTACTTACTGTGTATTGTAGACGTGGTTATGACCGTAGGTTGAGAATGCCTTAGAAGAAGGAATAGATCCTAAAATAGCTAGTTGAACTACCTTTTACCCAGTTAGTCGATCATCCATATACCTAGCATGCGAGCCAGAGAAGCCAGACGATAGACACTAGGAATTACTCGCTAAATCGTCAACACGAGTAAGGCAAAGCACTAGTAAACGTTTTAGGTACACTCATACTGAGGAAACTCCATTGGCGTTTCTGCTACTTCTCGACGCACTTGTGTAGATACGGGACTAAATCGTGTATATGTGCGAACGGCTGCTTCTGATCTCGAGCGCCTTAAATTTCGGGACCAGGTTTCTTTTATACGTTGGCGAACATCTTATGGTAGGTAATAATGGCCTGGACGGTTGGAGCAGACGGCCAAATGCACTGACCCTGCCTAACGTAAAAGCCCAAGTTAAGGTAGGAGGAGGTATACATATACAAGAATGTCCCCCGCCCTCTACTATAGACTGTCCTTTCTCCAGCCGAGCGACTTGTCTCGAGGCCCCCCCCCCCGCGCTTATTGAACCATCAAGGCCAAGCATGCACATGTGCATATTTGTTTGTACACATCATGGAGCAATCAGCGGATTGCAATAGGTACCTGAGGTACCCCGGACTCGAGTCTTGAGTCCTGCACTTTTCTGGTCATGTCGTGTGGCAACTAGACCGTTGCAATTCGGAGGGAACATCGAGGGGCGGTGCATCCACGTATCTAAGTTGATGTCTGCTACAGGCGCTTACAGCAATCACACTAACCTACCTACCTATAAGCATATCAACCTCCTTCCCATAGGCGCCGCCACCACCACCACGTAGGTACTGTCTCCGTGGTTATCGCCTGACAGGCACCTAACCTATTAATGGCCTCTCCATGTTCGTATGGATTCGTCGATGTATATATACCCGGCAGGTATCGAGCCTTTACATGTAGATTTGCGGATTCGTATGTACCACACATGCGTCCAACATACTAGAGACCCTACATGCTTCGATCGCAGGTTGTACTAAAATGCCAGGCACACGCCAGCAGGGACCCGAACAAGACGACGAATAGTCAAATCTAGCCGTGACGTTGATGACTTCAGGCTGCATAGCCGGTAGCATACTGCCAAGGTGATAAGGCAAGGGTATCCCGTTCTTGGGGCGCATCTACCACACAGGATATCGTGACCGTCTACACCGTGAGAGAATCGTCCGGTTTAGCGCCGGTTTGCGGGGACTGCGGGAGGGGCAGGGAGCAGGGAGGCAGACAGGAGGGAGGGGAGGGACCTGGCCTATTTTTGACTCGAACAGAAGCCTCACAGGCCTTTCGCTTTTTCGTCCTGCTGCTACCCACCTACGGTACCCAGCACACCTCCTCGCTCGCACCCTGCTAGTCATCGACGCTATGCTACCAGAACTGAGGAGTCCCAGATGGATTCCGGATGGATCCCGGGAAAAGTCGGGAAGACGTCGACTCCTACCGGAACCACGACGCGCTCACCAAGGCAGATGTGGATGTGGCAGACGTCGAGAGTCGTCGCGCTATGGCGACCACCAGCAATCACAGGCAAACCCAGAGCTCCGAAGCCGCAATGGGGGGTTCATTTCTAAAAGCATTTGGTCATCCGCCGACGACGTTGGTCTCGTCCATTAATAATGGTATACATGTAAAGGAGGGGAGCAGTTTGACCACCTTTCTGCATGTTCCTCTTCTAATTCGACGGGCAAAGATGACGCATGAGGTTGTGTGACCAGCCATCCAGCTTCATAAATACCCCATGGGAAGTAGGCGGGGGGGAGGGGGGAGGCGGCTTGATGGAAACAGGTCGCAACGCCATTTGACTCGTGTCCGCTGGTTCTCCTTGGGCGGAGGGAGGAGGAGTGCCCTAACGATTCCAACGCTGCTACGTACGTAGGTGATCACCTACTTACCTCTTACACATACCTGACAGACCCTTGGAACTTATAGTAGAGGAGGAGGTAGGTAGGTACCCGATGCAGCATTTCGATAACTCCCACGGTCAGTTCTCATATGCTTAGGAGGTACCTAGCCAATCACCGCCCCGACTTGCGGCGACAACACACAAGATGTACCTACATGCCTACATAAGAGGTGCTTACGAGTATATGCACCAAAGGAGGCACGTATACATGCCGGACTGCCCCCCCCCCCCCCCCCAAGCGGGGTCCGCCGTCAAAGGGATGAGAAGATGGCGTAGAGAATAACATCCTTCCTCAATCCGATATTCCTTCACACACACACGCGCGCACGCACGCACACCGTCCTGGAGACCTACATACCTCATAGAACAACAGCATGGGTCCCACATGTGCAACCATGGCTTGAAGGAGGGGTTAACCGGTCAACACGTTCCGATGTCGAAGGAGCTCGACACGGTCTGCAGATGTGGGAAAGGGTTCGCAATGGATAAAGCCGTGCTCGGTGCCAATAGAAAGCCGGGCGTGTAATTATATGGTACGTGTAGGACGCGCAATGTACCGCCAGGTCAGGGGTCTCCGGCCTTGCATGGACCCAGACGAAGGAACCCCCACACTCCGTACATACCTCCCTAAGTAACATACATCCCTGTAGTAATCCTACCTATAGATGACCTTGGGTGACTAGGAGGTACCTATAGGCAGGTATGTCATAGGCATGTAATGCATACATATACGGACGAGGTTAAGTACCTGACCTCTGAAATATGTACCTAAGGTACCTGGTATTCCATGGGTGCCATTGCAGGACGCCCGACAGGAGAAGGCTTATTATGCGCGAGCCATTTCACCCCTCCCTCCACTCTCTCTCTCTCTCTCTCTGTGTCTCTCTGTCCCGCCTCTGGTGGAGTGTGGGAAAAACCAAAGCGAGCGAGGCCGTAAGCGAGCGAGGCCGTAAGCGAGCGTGGCTACGAATGATCATCTAAAGATGACGGGTTTCCCATATGACGAGCCATGAGAATACATTTCGCCATGCTTTGGGCATCGGTATAGGTATATCCTACTCGGAGCGGCCGACTACTTTTGGGCAGGAAAAGAGATCTTCACACAAACGCGCAGGCGTGCCGTTCGCCAGCGGAAATATGACGATCTTGCTGATACCATCCTCTTTTATTCGTTTCGCTGCCCCCATCACCACCCCTCCCTTCGCTAGTGGCTGTGGGCGGCTTAATTAGAATCTATGCGGGAAAAACGTCCGCCTCGCCCTGTTTCCGCCCAGCGACAGCAACACGAGACCTTAATGAGAAGGGCATCTCGACTCGCTCCCCGGCACACCCCGTCGGGACTTATTAATAATAAAAAACAGGATGACGAGAACCACCCGTCAACGGATCGAGTCCTACTTGGACTGGCTAAACCGTTATGAGCTTAAATCGCCTAGTTCCGCTCTCCGTCCGCGTGGCAGTGGGCCGAGCCCCTCTACGTTGCGAGATTTCGTAGTTCACAACTCGTCTAAAAGCAGCATCTGATTTCTGATCGGCGGCCACCTCGAATACTTGGGTCAGATTCGATCTCCACGTTACGTACAGTGCCTTACAGATGCAAGGGAAGACGCAGCCTACTGTATTCGCACGCGAATGACAATCTGTTCTGCATCACAAACCTCCATCTACAGAGTATGGGAGATGTTATTTTCTTTTATGATCCCTCTCATGAAGCTCAAGGATGAGAGGCATGCGTGCATAGGATATATGCACGTCCACTTTCCCAACTGTCACATGCCAAATCAACGACCAAGCGCCGATCCAAACCACCAAATTCAATTATTACGTCTACCAACGCCCTATCTACTACGCTATAAATCAACGGCTGAGCTGCCTGTAGGTACCTTAGGTAGGCTGACGTCTACCTGCCTAGTAGGTAGGTAAAGGCAGGTAGGTAGGTACCTAAGTATGCACACACCTTAGATGTAGGTAGGTACCTACCTACCTGTAGGCAGGATAGCGTCCATTGGGGCAGAGGTGCCGCATGTTCTCGATTCAATGTAAAACTGCCCAATCCTTCTCATTCAGCAGCTGCATAGAAACCTTCGGAGTCGGCTTCCTGCGTACTTCCCGTTTTGTTTAAAAATTCGATGAGGCAGGTGGTATATAATACCTCTTCAAACGCTACACACGGTAACTGCATCTTTCCGGACTTGCATGTGGTGCCACTCCAAGTATCAATTCTGGAGCGACTCTATACAGATGACTATTATTAAAGTAATTGGTGGTGAAGGACCTTACAACACTGTTTCTGTCGAACTAGCGAGACCCCGGAAGCCCAGTGGTGCGGGATGAACATACAGAATAGCCTCAATTCCTCACGCCGAATTCAGCACCACCTACATGAGAACCGGTCGAAACCAAGCCCGGCGCTTCGTAGGTCATCCAAATTCGACTGGCTCTCGTTTACGGACTAAACGTGCCCCCCTCCCCCCACCCCTTCTCCCTCTCTGCCCCCCCCCCCCCCCGGGATGAAAGAAGCCATCGAGGCACTATACCTCGGTCGCAAGGATAAAACAGGTCGATGTGGGCTGTTCTTCTACAACCGCCCCAAGGTGAGGAACAAGCATAGTGATAAGACTACATATACATTCATATATAGCTTAACTAATACCCATATGTAAGCAGGAATACTCCTACAGGGCCTAGGTACTTAGAGTTACTACTAGTAGGCCGTACCTGTGATGTGCCCGACGCAGCATGGGTAGAGGAGTGAATTACACACATGTAGGTACCCAACTAACATTCCTACGTAGGTAAGTATTTAAAGGCGTCGCCACCACACCCTCTCTAGACTCGCCAACTCTCCGATTCATCGGCGAATGCTCTAGATATTGACGAACCTTCATAATAAAGGGCCTTAGTACTTGGCCACTATCTCTGGCCCTGGGACTGGTGGCCTCGGGTGCACTAAATCGGCCGCGCCCTTTTTTTTTTTGCCTCCAACCTAGATTTTCGGTTCCGAATGTCTTTGCCTCTGTTTTTCAAGAGTATGGTTAACGGGAGACGCCCCGGCCAGCCCGAAAGCGCCGCGTGTGAATGGGCTTGGCCATGCTCGCTGCATGGCCATATCGGCAATAGGACGACGAGAGAGTGACTAAAGGGACCATAATTGTGGGAACCGTTCACTGCAAGCAAAATAGGTGTAGCATTTTCCCGAGACTGGTGGGCGTATGCGCATACCCATGTATACGTCAGGCGATGCTGACGCGAATAAACATCCCTTGTAAGTATGAGTTTCTTCTCTCATCTTTTCGTTCCCCTCTGCTCGGCACGCCCTTCATTACAACCCGCCTAGCCGGCGTCAGCTTCTCACCCTAGTAGTCTCCGAAGACGAGGTCGCAGCTTAACCAGGGGTATCATCCAACAGGCGAAATGAACTGGTGTGGGGGTTCCATGTGAAGAGACGCAACGAGACCATCAGCTGGTCCGTTGAGCGTGGGGTTGTGTGGGGTGAGGAAATCTTGACCCCGGAACCGTGGCCGTAGTCGTGATGGACAAGGGATCATCGCCGATTGATCGTTAAGCCATCTGTTTCTGCGTTCCACATTGGCAGCGCGTCTTTCTTAAAAAGGATGTCTTACTCTCCGGTTGCTCACGGGGGCAGCTTCTCGAGGTCCGACGGCCGACTCGGACAGCTACAAGCAGAAGATGTTCGTCGTCCTAATAGGCATGTCCTGTGTCTTCTCCAACGCCGATCCATCCCATACAGGCCCTCCCCTCCTTGCCAGTGCTAGACCGTTGGCCAATCATCGTGAGTGCGTAAACAAGGCATCAGAGTGCCCCCCCGACTGCACACATTGACCTCTTAAACAGGTAATCATAAAATTGTCGATGGGCGGTATGGGAATGGATAAACCGTCGAGGGTTCGTTCGGGGGGGTCCGGGATACGAGCCAGTCCGTGTATGTGTATCGTCCTCTACGGGATGTGCAGGCGACTCCTCGCCATGGCTCTGGCTATGAAGGCCGCCGACATCCGAATCCGGCAGCTGACGCGGGCTCACGCGGATTGGATGCGTTCGTGTCCCAACCTCGATGCACACACATCGGGGGAGTGGAAGAAGAAGCAGAACCGCGTGAATGAGAGAAAGGGAACGGGCCGTGGACTTTATATTGTTTTAGGAAAGTCGTTAGGAGAGCTCCTGGTAACCTGTTACCTAATAATTCGCAAGTCCGAGTTAGAATGTCGTATAATTACGCCATTGAACGCATTGCACTCCTGCTCCACTACTCCATCCCTCCCGTGGCTTCTTCTCTCGGCGTCTGAAGTTCGCCATCAACGCCTACAAGTACGCACATAATTTGCCTATCCAACATAGATACATAACTAACATGTGTATACATAGATGCACCCGCTGACATCAGTCATGCCTACCCATACCCCTGATCTCCGCTGTAGCCAGGGGGGACACACATGGCATTCGAGTCATGCAGGGTATTCTATGTACGTAGGCATGTAAGGTGCCTTTGAAGCCTGCCTTGGGCACCCAGCAGGTAGATCTAGATAGAGCGACATCGACAACCACTTGTATGGCTAGACCGGCTCCAGGCGGTCAGGTAAGTATGTCTAGCAGGAGGCTCTCTGCCTCTTGTCGATCTGTTCTTATCTCTCCTATCACGCCATCACTCCCTTATCTCAGGAATGTAAAAGAGTCCTAAGCCTATCCAATCCCCATAAAGCCCTCGGAGCATCCGCTTGTGCCCTCACCATTAGGACGCAGTTCTTCATCGTGTCCCAGTTCAGCAGGCCTTTGGAAATATTACGCACCAATCTGCGAGGCGTCTGGACTCGAGTCTACCCTCGCATTCTGTTACAGCCGTTCCTTGTGTGGATTGTCCGGATGGCAAGCAATGGATCGTCGTGCTGGTCGGAATCGGCTCACAAAGCCACCCTCGAGGCTCGGTCTTTGTTCGACTTCTTTGTATAGAGACCAAGCTGAAGGCGTAGGCAAAAAGGCTATTCAGAGAGGAATCATGGATGTGTACGCGTTGTCCAACACGGCTCGCCACATGGTGACCTGCGAACCTCACACGCGCGGCATCGACAAATATCGCCATGTTTACTTCGGAATACGGATCCATGCAGATGTATTCTCATATATTCTTGTGGAGCGCGTTGCTCTTCACCTCACGATGTGACGAAATTGCGACGGGGATACACACGTCGGAGTTAGGATTCCTGGGTTCTCCTACCGTACAGCTACCGACAGTAACGATCACGACGACGTTAGCATACAAACCCACTTTAGCCCCAGGAAACTCGGTATATTCGTTGCTAGGATGCTACAGCTGCGGGAGCAGCGGCTCGGGAGACGGGGCGCCCTTCGGGCCAGGGCCTCGGACTACCGCAGTCGTTGGGTCGCCGTATAAGTTCACAGCAGGCGCCTGTTTAGAGATGTGTGCATCGTTGAGCGCCCCTGACTGGAAGGCGTCCAAACATTACGCATACGCCGGGTTGAGAAGTGGAAGGTAGGCCATCGTGTCTGTGTCCATGCTATGGCAATGGGAAACATCATCCGTCCTTTGTAGACGCACACATACACGCACATAGATACTAACATTGATCCTAGCGAATGCCTTTGCGCGTCAGAGCTTACATCAGAAGCCAGCAAGCTGTCCGCCGATAGCTGCAGAGTAGCGTGCACAGGAGATGCGAGGCTCTCGTGTGGGGGGCGAGATGCAGTGGCGGTGTATAAGGTCGTTAGTGACAGCGGCGAGGGCGAGGGTAGTCACAGCAAGGTTGATGACAGCGATAGTAATGGTGTGGGGACGTCTATCACAATGGCTATTCCTTCATCTGCCTTCGGTGTACCGAGCGCACTCGTGAAGGCGACAGTTGCATCACAACAAGCCCAAGCGGATCTCGACCCGGCCTCTGTACCGACGTCGCCGCCAGGCACACCAGGCGCGCCGGCGTCTTCGCCAACTATCGCCGCGATAACAGCCACCTTCTGTGGAGCTGTATTTCTAGCTGCATCCCTTTTCCTCTGCTTCCGGGCCTATAAGCGCAAGAAGCAGCAGCAACAAGAGCGACAGGGCACGCATATGCAAGCCACCGTCGACGAACCGGAACGGCAACGGCAACGGCCACAGAGAGCGCTACCGAACCCGATAAACACGGCGACTCAACGCGGCGAGAATACTGCCCACTCTGGGGGTGGGAGGGAGAGAGTTGTTGGGTTACGACGTAAGCAGGGAACGCGTGTACATGTGCCGAGAGGGGATATGGACAACGATAGTCCAATCGTGCCCACGACACCGGCACTCGAGTCGGGAGGGCGCGCGTATCATATGGGCTTACACTCGCGACGCCCTACAATATCCACACCAGCAGCTGTCGAACAGGATGGCCTGTATCAAGCGCTGATGGGGGAGATCCAGGACGGTCCGGCTGTCGGGATGGCCGTATCATCGGAGACAGCGATGACTCCTTCTGCCGCAAGCTCGGGTGTGCAGTGGCGAGACGTTGGGAATATGCCATTGCCCTCACCAGTGACGCCGACTGCTTCAGTCGCCGTTCGACCCTCCCGCCCTAGTTCGAGCCCGCGTTCGAACGCCGTGACAACTCCCGCCGGCACTGCGCAGCCCAGGAACACCCTCGGCGACCGCGCCTGGCACCGACGCAAGCTATCCATGCCGTTCCAACCGCCGCCCAGCGGCCCGCCCTCGGTGCCGCTCCCGCCGCTCCCGTCGACCCCGCCGATGCGACCGCAGCGATCCTTCGATACGATGCAGCTCATCCCTTCACCCTCGCCCCCGCCCTCGAGGACGCCCCCAATCGTGACGGCGAAAGATGGGGATCAGAACCGCACTTCCCGCCCCGTAACGCCTGCCACGAGACAGGGGCCGAGACAGGGGCCGCCGCCGCCGCTCGAGCTGCATCCGAAGAGCATGTATGCGCTTGGGGGACTTGCAAATCATAGCTCCCCTTCGCTGCCTGCGCCGCAGCCGATTCCAATGCCTGCCCCCACCCCGGCGCTGAAAGAGTCGCCAACATTACCGCAGAGTACAGTCGAGAGAGAGTTCAATTTGCGGCACGAGGGAGGTGGGCACAATGAAGGGCCTGACGGGGAATGGGGCCAAAGGAGAGCGAGAGGTGATAATTGGCCCATATCTCTGAGCAGTATAGGTACGAGCATCTTGTTCCCATCTGAGGACGAGGAAGAAGAGGAGACACGGGACCAAGGGAGAAAACGCGAAGAGAGATAAGACGAGGAGGAAAGTTGAATTCGTTTATTATTATCTGCATGTTTAGGATCTTAGGTATATTTAGTCATCTGTCTGTCTTCGTTTCTCGCACGGCGCAACTAATGAAAGCATGGGGTTCCCTTCGCTGCAGATTCTCGCTTCGTGTCGTCATCTCCGCAACAAGCGGAACTCCTATCGCATCAACCAAGAACTCAAGAAATGCCCATCCGTAACATTACCCTCCACCCCTTACCTCTTTTTTTTTTCTCCCCCCATTAAGGATCGGGAAACCACACATATCCAAGCTAAACAGTCGATGCATGCTCTATGTACCAGGAAATGAAAATTGGGTGAAAAGGCCGAAAGGAACGGGGAAAGAGAGTCGGGACCATGATGTAAGACAGATAATGTGTATCGATATCATTTCGCCTAAGGGGAAAGGGGGGCGAGGGGGCGAGGCTGGGCACAGAAAGAAGTGCGAGGAATGTTGGAAAAAGGCAGGCCATTGTCTAGTTACCGTACTCCTTCACCGTTCTCGGAGGATAGGTGCGTATGCAGAGTCATCACCTGTCTCTCCAAGTCCTCTTATAGCATCCCCGCCACGACGACCACCGTGCCGAGCACGAGTCCGACGAGGGCCGTCACCGCCGAGCCCTCGCCGGCCTTCGCGAGCCGCGCGGCGGCGGGAGCCGCCAGCCTGGGCGCCGCGCCGCTCTCCGCGCCGTCGGTGGGGGTCGGCGTGCCGAGCGTCGTGCTCGTGGTCAGGGTGCCGCTGACGGCGAGCGCGACGGCGGCGAGCCCGGTGCCGGTGGTGACGGTGCCGTCGGCCGCGTCCGTCGTCGTGTACGTGACGGTGCGCGTCGTGGTCGGGCCCCAGCTCCAGCCGCTGCCCCAGCCGACCCAGCCGTCGAACCCGCCGAACCCGTTCCACCCGCACCCGGGGCCGACGAACCACGGCGAGCCCCCGAACGCCGCGCACCCCGTCACCGTCGCGACGCCGCCCGTCCACGTCCGCGACGACGCGTACGCCGACGCCCACTCCGACCAGTAGTGGTGGCCGCCGTCGGTCGCCGTGCCCGCTCCGGGCCCGTCCCAGCTATCGGTCCCGTTGCCGCCGTTGTTGGACTCGTCGCCGCCGCCGCCGCCGAACACCTTGCTGCCGCCGCCGACCCAGCCGCCGGGCACGGCCCAGGTCACGGGCCCCCCAGGGAACGTGATGGTGCGGACGCCGGTGCTCCCGGCGCTCGTGCAGGCCGCGTAAGCGGAGCACAGGGAGCTCGAGAGCGCACTATACGACTGGTAGGCGGTTGACGTGGCGGAGCACGCGGTGCTGATGCAGGACGCCGCGCTGACCCCAGGCCCGGACCCGTCGCAGTAGGTAGACTGCTCCGGCCACCCGCTGGCCACGGTGCCGCTGGGGCTCTGCCAAGCAGAGGAGAGGCAGGATTGCTGTTCGGGGCATTAGTACAGGAGAGACCAAGGAGCTAGGCAAGTGGATATCTCAGGAGGTGTGGTGGGAATAGAGGTAAGCGAGTAAGTAGGTGCGCAAGGGGAGATGTGTGTGTGGGGGGGGAGTGGGCTAAGAAGAGGAATAGAAAAGTACGATGAACGAGGTAAGAAGCGACTAACAGCGCAGGCAGGGGCTCCCTTCCACCACTGTGCGAAGGAGACCGACGGGGCGACGGCGAGTATGAAGGTAGCGGACGGCTTCATCTTCTTCCTTGGTGCTGTTTTGTTCACACAGTATCTCCTTTCTAGGTATGTATCTTGTCTGACACGTCCGTCTAGTTATCGTTTCAAGTACTCGACTTATCCGCAAACGAGCAGGATATTGGAACCAGGTATGCCTATGCTCAGGATGAAGTAATAATAGAGGGCGGGAAGGATTGGAAGAAAGTGTGCACAGAGAAAAGCAGAGTGTGCACACTTATATGCCTCCGAACTAGTCCTCTCTTCTAAGTGATCCGATCCATGATCAGACGAGTGGGCTACGTCAAAATCTAGAGGTGGGAAAGAAAGGGCGGCGAGGCGTGCACGCCAGTCGTCATCGCTCGAACTCCAACCTCATCTGCCTGCTCGGCTGCCATCCACTAAGCCTACTGTTCGGGGCGGTGTGTACGGATTTGTGCTGTGGCACTTTCTACCGGCACTACCTTACGCTTTGCGTGCGTGGACTGCCTCGAGCAACGCTTTAGCCTCGTGCGAGCAGGCATGTGTGCCACGGATGGTGCATACGGCTTAGGTTGACAAGAGGAAGTGAAAATAGGAGAGAAAGGGTTCCGAGTGGGTGGCGGCTAAGGCTGATGAGATATCACACGCGCACATACGTACGCCCATTCATCACTTCATGTTTTCCGGGAAAGACTGCGTCTTGGCCACTGCCGCTTAGTTGGGATGTCGAGTTCGGACCTCATTTATGCATGCTACGCACCCAGATTGCTCAGCTCACGTTTGGGACGCCGCGCGTCCACTTCCACTTGCGAGGGAGGGGCAAGGAGGGATAACGAATAGGGTCCATACGTACCACTCTATTCCCTGGAGAGGAACAAGGAAACACAGGGTTGGGTGGAAGGGGGACCGGCCTTGATTCTGTACCTAGTGTGGCATGCCGTCCTACGTGGTCTCGCAAACTGAGACTGCATGGGCGAACACCGAGTAGACGACGTCGCGGCTAGGAACCGTAGCAACTTGCCTTGCACGATATCGATGGACGCTGGCTGCGAATTCCTCCTTGGACAGTGGGGTACACCTTTTAGTTGACGGGTAGCTGGACGGCGAACTTCGTGGCCGAGGCAGGCCGACGGATCCACAAGGACAGATCCCGACAGCTAGTTCTCGTGGCGCAATGGATGACCGCATACGTGTAGGATGTGGTATTTGTTCACGCATGCGCATGCGTATGTATATACCACAAAGGGAAAACAGCCAGTTACATTTCAAACCGGGGGGTTCGTACTCCTCGTCGGCGTCGAGGCTGTCGTGTATAGCGGATGAAACATGCGCTCTCTCTTATACCTACCTTCATGTGGCTGCGGGTAGTCCGGATGTTGGGGACGTCCGGGATGCTTCGGGTTGGACACACACACACATGCCCCATATAGACACGCGGTCTCGACGGCCAACCAGCAGCCGGGCTTGGTGATCTGGGTAGGCCTCGTCGACGAAATAAGATCCGGCAGCAGGCCCTCGGTCCCGAACCACACACGTGTTTCCCCCATGTATATTCGCCTGGGGATGCTAATCGTCCATATTTCTGCCCATGGTGGTCGGGCCATAACAAATCGTCCCAGATTTAGACACCGTCCAACCCAGTCTTCTCAGAGGTATGACCCTAGTTACTATGTGGAGAGTTCCTACTATGTAGTGCGTAGGAGATGAGCCCCCCTGCTAGCTGTTAGAGTAAGCTCGGAGGGGTCCTGAGCCCCCTGCCATCTTGATCGAGATGTATTGGATAGTAGATGCTGTCGACTGATTTAGCGGGAGGGGGCGTCGGCGCTGGTATATCTGTGTAGCTGTCCTCCCTGTATCACTCGATTACGCAGATTCCAATTAATACCTACTTGATTAAAGCAGTCTATTGCGACACTGTTTTACACGACTATGGCTGTCTCTACCTCCCCCGATGCCTGCGCCCCTCCCCCCATGTATACCTCGCGAGACCAGCGTGCTACTAGATACGCGTATCCCCCTTATTAAACCCTCTGCTCTCGAACTCCGAGTACACTACCTAATGCACGTGAGACCCTCTAACGCCCGTCCGAAGCCAGCTGCTCCATCCGAGGAGCCTTCGTCGGCCAAAACAACAAAAGGAAACACGTTTGGACCACATATTCTCTCGTCTCATGGGAATGATCCCTGATATCATGCCTCATCGTCGCCTCCTATCGTCAACAGCTAGCGCGGCGAACAGGCCGGGCCGCGGTGCTCGAACAAAGCACGCGGGCGCCATATGAATTTAGATGGCGGACGCCTATCCTAGAGCATCGTGCCAAACGTCTCGTCCGTCTGAATCCGCTTGCGCGGGCTTCCGTCGTCGGTATTGGTTCTCCGGTGACGAAATGTAAATCCGACGAAGAGACCTTTGCCCATCTCCTCTTCTCTTTCGGCCATGCTCTCAAGGGCCTGCTGTTTATCGTGGACTTCCTTGTATTTGGCCATGTCGGCTTCGTTGGTGAAATCGTCAAAGTAGCCCGCGTCCGTCTCGGAGTCCAGCTCGGGGACGAACGGGGCTTTGGACTGCCTTAGGGTCTCCCAGTCTACCTCGGCGAAGTAATGGTGGCCGAAGATATCTTTAATATTGGAAAATCGCTTCGACTTCGAGTTGATGCACCTGAGAATCGTTAGTCTCGTTATTGGCCGTATCGGTGTGTTCTGACCAAAACCTACGTCGTGATGAAGTTCCAGGTGCGGTTGCTCAAGAAATAGCTCGGGTCCTCCCAGACAGGGCGCTTCAATACATCCTTCCAGTGCCTCAGATTGTGCCACGTCTCGTCCGCGGTGGAGCCTGCAAAGGGGGGGAAGCCGGTCAAAGCCTCGAACAGCATGCATCCTAAGCTCCAATAATCGACAGTGTAGTCATACTCTTCGCCACGCAGCACCTCTGGGGCCATGTAGTCCGGAGATCCTACTATGGATTTCGCATAATTCGTATCCTTCTCCCGCATGGTCTGGTAGCCTTCGCGACGCTCTGCTACGGTGCGCTTGTCCATCGCCTTTCCAAACGGCACCTCCGTCTCGGAAGCCTTCTCGAGGCGAATACGCATCGAATTAATCTTCGACGACGCGACGTTGCCGGCGGCCAAGCCGAAGTCGGTCAGCTTCACGTGCCCTGTAGAGTCGACGAGGAAGTTTTCCGGCTTCAAGTCTCTGTGGATATAGCCTAGCTTGTGAAGCGCGTCCACCGAGCAGAACATCTCGGCGATGTAGAAGCGAGCGTGACGGTTCGACAAGACGCCTGTGTTGTTGAGCAGGGTCCTAAAGTCGCCGCCTGGTACGTATTCCATAGCAAGATAAATATTCTTGTCGTCCTGGAAAGAGTACAGGAGGCGAACAAGCCACTCGCTATTAGCAGTCGTGAGGATATCCCTCTCCGTGAGGACATGCCGGACCTCATCCAGCTTGAAGAGTAGTTTCTTGCTCATGACTTTCAAGGCACATACTTCCTTGGTGTCTTTCTTCTGGGCTAGGAACACCTGACCATAGCCCCCTTGGCCGACCTGCGTAAGGATCTGGAAGTCGCCGTGCCGAAGGCGCACGCGACGTTTACGTAGGGCGGCTCGCTCCCTACCGGTATACTTGTGCCATAATTGGTCGTACTCTTCCTGGTCCGTCTCTGGCGGGGCAGGCACCTCAGCCTTGAAGGCGTTCAACCGCGTCTGCCTGGCGCTAACGTAGGTGAGCAGGTCGAAATAGTAGTCTAGAAAATCTTGAACATGTTAGCAGGACAGGAAGGGACGGGCACATGCAGTGTACCGAAGATCGCAGAGGACCGTAGCCTTACATAATTGAGTTACATTGACCAGGCGACGGACGCTGGGCTTCTTGAGAATCTCCATCTCCTCAGGGGTGAGACCGCGAGACGTGTTAAATCTTTTGGTCGCCGGTGTTATTGGCCTGGTGTCTCGGAGCTGGTAGGGCTCTTGACGCGAGAGGGCGGCTTGGTTGTGCTGGAACATGGAGTCCAACTTGGGTATCCTAGACGGCGGCGTATTTTCCTGCCCCTGCCTCTTTAGCGGGCTGCCCGCGGACTGGCCATTCTTGTGGATGATGCTAGTATCAACACTCGGAGACGTAGCGGCGGAGCGATCGTCATCGGTGGGTTGGATGTTGCTCTTGGCGGGAGATAGAGGCCCATTTCCATTCAGAAGCTGGCCAAACTTGACCGGGGTATCAAGAGCGCTCGGGCTGGGCTTCAAAACGTTGTCGAAGGCGGTAGGGAGTTCGTGGGCGCCGGGAGGCATTGTCCTCTTGCTTGGGCTACCCTGGGGCGTCGAGACGGGGGCGACGAAGTTGTTTTTAGTTGGCGTGCTGGGACGCTCTGAAGTGGGCGTCAGGGTGTCCTTCGGACCCAGCGAAGAGGGAAACATATTGGATAAGAAGCCCGCCATGGCCAATGCTCTGCCCGGCGGGTGGAGAGGGCCACTACGGTAGCTGTTATTGGAGGGCACCCCAAGAAGAGGGAACCAGAAGGCTGGGAAGACGGGGCCGCAGAGGCTTAAGAGGGGCGACGGTGTATATTCGTTCGGTCAAAGGGTGGAGGCTCACGAGGCGAATCGGGTATCCTGCGAGATGCAAAGAAGAGAGACGGATGGAAGCCCCATGCAAGATCGTGGATCACGGCTTGGAGGCGGCGGGATCAAAGAACCAAAGGATGCTTGATCATTCTACATGCCAGCTGGAGAATGAACTGAGATTTCCGAATGAGCGAATGAATGTATGATGAAGAAGCCTTGGTGGGCGGCCGAGATAGCGGGTCGCGATTGGGTTGTATGTAAAGTGGGAAGAAGTGGGAGGAAACGGATGGCCCAGGCTGCGCGTGCGCGGGGTCCTTTTCTCTCTCTCTTCGGCCAGGGGGGGACACAAGTGTACAACGTGAGTAAGGTCAACATGGTCGCCCCGGCAGCCGCGAGTACCCAAACAATATCGTACGCATACTTGCTAGGTACTTGAGGTTGTTTGGACCGGATGTGCGCCTTTGCAGGGCTTACAAGGTACCCGCAGGTAGAGGGAGGTACTGAAACGGTACATAATGAAGATGGAAGTTTGTGTTGGGACGCGACGGAGCCGAATCTGTATCTACCTCTATACCTATAGGTACCAGGTATGTAACCATAACATTCTCCTCCAGATCCACGAATCACATGTACCCATACTGCCCTAGGCACACACGTAAACCCCTGCTAGTTTATGTACACCTACAGGTAGGGTACTTATAAGTATTCCTAGCGTGGGAGATAGGTACCTCCTCGCAACAAATTGCCTGACGACTACCTGGCCCTTACATAATCGTAGTGCAGTGGAGGCAGAGGGCGATTGCATTAGGTACCTCTACCTGTGATGCGAGCTAGAGCAAGCCAAGTGCCTCTAAATCGACTGCCCGAGCGGGCACCTGAGGTACCCTCTAGGTACCTACCTCCCATACTCGTCGACGCCCTAGTCTGAGAGAGCCGATATTTTGCAACTACATCCCTCCAACGCGCCTACATCCGCCGTATAACTTGCCCGTTCCCTATGCCTCATGGCCGTGCACAGTCTCCATCAAGAGATTCACCTAATCGTATTTCTTGGCACCCAGCGGCGAAGCTGTCGCCTGCCCGTCTTGTTGACTCCTTAACCTTCTGATATTTCGTGTCGCCTTCGTTTTCCCTCCCTTTTGCACCTACCGGAATCAAGTCATCCGCCATCATGCCTAAGGAGAAGAATTTTAACCCTGTACAGGCCCAGCGCAAGGCAGACAAAGCGAAAGCGATCAAAAAGGGTGAGCGCAGCGCGGCATCCCCCATTGCTATTATTTATTTTGGTGTCGGTTGCGGTTCAACAGCGGCGGTGATCATTATGCTGTTCTGGGGAAACGCCACGATGCTTTTGATAAAAGTTGGAAGGTCATTACTGACTTTTTTTTTCCCTCCTTGATTCTTCTTGGTAGGCAAAGCAGAAGCAACCGCACGTCGCAACGAGAAGCTCTCGAAGCGGAACCCCGACAGGATACAGAAACAGATTGATGATCTAAATAAGATCACCTCCAGTGGTGGCAAGCTTACCAAACACGAGGAATCCGTTCTCGAAGGACTGAGAAGGGATCTAAAGGTGGTCACAAAGGCCCGCGAGGCTCTTGGAGACAAGGCGCCATCGTTCGGTCGCGGCACCGGACCGAGGGACGGCAGCGGCCGGGGAAACCACAACAGCGTCCTGGGCAAGAGAAGAAGGGATGGTAACAACGGTGACGATTCGAGCAGCGGCAGTGATGTGCCCGATGATGTTAAAAGTATCCCGATGCCGCGAGACACACCGCCGCCGATCCCGAAGGAGATTCTAGACAAGTGGTACGCGAAACGTAGGGCAGCAAGAAATGCAAACGACACCCCCTTGGGCCACCGAGAAAGTCGGGCGATATCCACCCCCGTGGAATCCAAGACTGTGTACGAAGCGAAACCGGTGGTGCGCGACCTACGGAAGGAAGCCGTCAGCGCGTTCATGCCCACTGCGGTCCGCATGAAGTTGGAAAAGAGCAAAGGCCAGGGTGGACTGATGGAGCCCGAAGAAGCTGACCGGCTCGAAAGAGAAGGCTACCTCAAACCCGCAATAGCTCAAGGCGACGCATCGGAGTCTACGGGGGCAGGTCCGCATAAGGTCCACATCCAGGAAGTGGAAGACGATCAAGATTGAGTCTATCGAAAGTGGCAATCTGACTTTGAGGCTCTCTCTCATCATGGTGGAGACGAGCCGTTGACAACATATCCATTCTCTATGGTTCCCCTGCGTCGGATGTGCAATAGGCATCCTTCTATCTCACGCTATCACGCTATCCTCATAAATAGCAAGGACGTTCATAGGACGCTGGGTAAACCTCAGCATCCACAACCTGTTGGGGCAGCCTAAGCGGCGAGTCGATTCGTTCCCTCGCCACTTTTCTTCCGCCGCTTTAAGGCCAATAGCACCAAGGGATCTCGATGAAGATCCGGGTCCCAACAGCACCTCGGGTTGCAGGTATTCCTCTTCTTCCAGGTATGATGCTTGCGGCCAGTTTGAAGGCTTCGTGGAGGTTTAGCACTCGAGGGAACAGAGTGGTTCGAGTTTTTCAGACGTAATGATATGCATAAGAGTGCGATATCACGCCTTTGTGCTCGACGAATGGGCAGAGTGGGTTATGGTGGGGGTGAGAAAAGTGCGGTCTGCTGGCTCCGAGGACGGACGGGTTACCTTGACGTTCGGGTCCCGGCCAGCAATGCTTCTGATGCTGATGTGGGTCCGGTTTTCATAGACGTCTATCTATACTGCCAGGATCCGTACCGGGAACGCCTATCGCCTATAAGTGTCGTCCATCCCGTGGCTTTTCGAAAGATCATGTCTTCTATAAGGGAGTATCGATACCACCTTCCCACTATAGCCTGTCTAAATTTCATCGTCTCTACCAACACAAGACAGTCGGCGTGGCGGAGGAGATGGAGAAGTTTGCCCAGCCAGTGTCACAGCAGTCTCCCGTCGGGGATGGCCCGGACTCGACCGACGTCGAAAAAAGCCAGCTCGACCTTAGCGCAGGCAAGGACCCAAGCATCTTCATGGCCCAAGAGACGCAGGACTACGAGCCCCCTTTTGAGAAAACCAATGGCAGCTCCGGACAGGTGATGCTTTTAAGAGACGAGACATACCCAGAGGGCGGTCCCGAGGCGTGGCTCGTCGTTCTTGGGGCATGGTGTGGCCTTCTTGCTTCGCTGGGGCTGATGAATACCATAGCGACTTTCCAGACATATATCGCAACGCATCAACTCACCAGTTATGATGAGGGGACCATCGGATGGATTTTTTCGTTATATACGGCGTTGTGCTTTCTATGTGGCGTTTATATTGGTCCCCTCTTCGACAAGTACGGGCCAAAATGGCTGATCGCGCCTGGTGGCGTCTGCGTGGTCGCCAGTGTCATGCTGATGAGCATCTGCACGGGTAGGCAGTTCATCCTAGCCCCACTCACCTTTCTATGAAGCCGGTGCTGAGTTGCTCTAGAATACTGGCACTTCATGCTCTGCTGGGGCATCCTTAACGGAGCCGCCACGTCTCTCCTCTTCACTCCGTGCATCACAGCCGTAGGACACTTTTTCCGTGAGCGCCGGGGCTTGGCCTCTGGAATCACAAGCACCGGTGGCGGCCTAGGCGGCGTTGTCTTCCCCCTCATGCTGCAGAGCCTATTCGGCAAGGTGGGGTGGGGATGGGCAGTCCGTATTCTGGGGTTCGTCTGCCTTTGCCTGCTGATTTTTGCCAATCTCTTAGTTAGGAAGCGCTTGCCGCCGGCCCATAACGCCAGCCCGCACCCTGACTTCCTCATCTTGAAGGAGAAGGGCTTTCTGCTCCTCACCGTTGCCGTGTTTTTCCTCGAATTCGGACTTTTCATCCCGCTGGCCTATATCTCGAGCTACGCGCTGGCCAACGGCTTCGACGAAAGCTTCGCCTTCCAAATCCTGCCCATCCTCAATGCGGCATCGGTCGTTGGACGAGCGGTACCTGGCTGGTGGGCGGATATAATCGGACCGTTCAACTCGAATATGATCTCGATCTGCATTACCGTGTTTGCTTGCTACGCCGTGTGGCTGCCGTTCGGCCACACGACCCCCGGCCTGGTAGTTTTCGCCATCATGTTTGGATTTGCGACTGGCAACAACATCAGCATCACTCCGGTCTGCGTAGGGAAATTATGCCATACCCAGCAGTATGGCAGATATTATGCCACTTGCTACACCATCGTTTCCATAGCTTGCTTGATAAGTCTTCCGGTAGCTGGGGCGATCGTTCAGGCCACCGATGGCAAGTACTGGGCCTTAATCACCTTTACGGGAATTACTCAAATCATTTCTGTTATCACCATGTACGCTTCAAAGGCTACAAGGGTAGGGTGGATGCCTGGGTCTAAATTTTAGAGGATATGGGTAGATTATACCCACGCTTGGGTTGCACATGACTGGATCCGGCCCAGGGGGGCCAAGTCCTCGGGTACCGGAACTGAATCGGCGTTCGGAAAGGGATAGACACACCACCGATTTCTAGACGTGGCCCAATAGATGGCTGGAGATACAGAACTCGGCTGATTTCAGCCGGACAAGGGTGGTTAACCGAAATACTAGACTTACCAGCCCTTTGTGCGCATCCCTCTGGTTTTCTGCCACGGCTCTCGATTGTCCCCGACGGCTTCCGTCACAGAAGCAGATAAGTCATAATCTTCCTGGGAGGTTTATATACACTTGGGATGAATCCGCGTAAGTACCCACCTGAGGCACTCAAGTCCTTATACCTAGGTAAACCATACATCCCTTCACCCGATGCATGAGGCATCTAACCTAACCCAGAGGACGTTGAGGCGGCTCAGTTGAGATCTCGGGCGAGGTTCGATTCGCCGATTAGTATCACTCGATCCGGCTTTGCCTGCTTTAGTAATAGAGGCAGGTTGGCTGGCTCGGAGCCCTGAAACGCCGTTTATCCGAGCCCCCCCTCATCATCCTGACGCACATGGGCTCACGCTTACTGCCTACATCCCTAGTATTTGTGATAGGTATTCCATGGCCACCGCGGGGGAGGGGTTATCCAGAATGCCAATCGCATAAACCAACGTTAACATCACCACCACACGCCTGCATCCCTTCACTCATCACACCATTTTGCGGCAATTTTTAGACCCCCGACGGGACCTTTTTTTATACGTCCTAGCTGTGAAGCTACCCCCTGTTGTGAGTTCATAAATTTACTTACTTTTCTCTGCATCCCTCGCGTCGGGTACCCTTCACGCGTTCCCCATGCACACGCTGCTGCGCCCTCCTACGGCAATACTGCCATTGCCACGGATCCTAGCTGGCTGCGGCACAAGCACAAGGGAGGGGAGACGGAGAGTCTGGCGCAGTAGATTGCATGGCCGCTTTGGTGGGGGTTTCACCCTTAGATAAGCCGGGCGGACGGGCCTCCGCACAACTTACAAAGAGGAGCCGGAGGGGACCGAGGTCTCGTATATGGTCGCCGGGGTGCCGATGATTACTATTATCCCGCCCATCCTGCGCGAAATTCTACCATCTGTCTCTATGTCCACGCACCTGGGCGGTTGAGGCTGTTATTATTCGCTATGCGTCTTATAACAAAGGCCTCCGGGCCCTGCCCCCGCCTTGTCTTGATGCTTCCCTGCGTCAATGCTCCATCCATCTACACGCCACGCGCTGACTGACCTCGCTAATATGACGATGGCATCACAGACTGCGCCCTCAGATTTTGCAGGAGTTCCGAGTAGGGAGGGAGAAGACTCACCGCCAGCTCTTAGTCTTACCTTTAATCTAGCTGAAATTCGACTCTCTTCTAGATCTTCGTCTATATCCTCCACTACAACCCACGACACCATGTCAAGCAACACTACTGGCACGTCCGCTTCCTCTCACCAAGTGGTTGAAAATGACTACTTCGGCTCCAACCCGCCTCCTAAGGCGCTTCCCAAACATGTTGCCGCGGCCGAATCCTTCATAAATCACCACGCAGCGGCTGGGAGACGTGTGGTCCTCGTCACTTCAGGCGGGACTACGGTGCCGCTAGAAAAGCACACCGTGCGCTTCATCGACAACTTTAGCGCTGGCACGCGAGGCGCCACATCCGCTGAGTATTTCCTGGAGTCAGGATACGCCGTTATTTTCCTGCACAGGCAGTTCAGCCTCTTGCCCTACAGCCGACATTACAGCCACTCGACGGATTGTTTCTTGGACTTCTTGCACGAAAATCCAGACGGTAGTGTCGTGGCGAACCCGTCCCATCAGGATAAGATGCTGCGCGTATTGCGAGAGTACAACGCTGCGAAGCGGCAAAACCTCCTGTTGATGCTGCCGTTCGTCACCATCACCGACTACCTGCACGAGTTGCGCGCGGTGGCGCAGTTGATGCGGCCCCTAGGGCCCAATGGCCTGCTGTACCTCGCCGCCGCCGTGAGCGATTTCTTCGTCCCGGCCGATCGCATGTCGGAGCACAAAATACAGAGCATGGATGTGACAGAAATTCTGAAGCAACAAGGACCGACAACCCAGACGACGGAGCCGCGGGAGGTACAGCAAGAGGAAGAGACGTTTGACAACTTCGACTCGTCGCCCGCCGTACCGCGGAGCAAGCGCCTCATCGTCGACCTGGACCCCGTTCCCAAGTTCCTGAAGAATCTCGTGGATGGCTGGGCCCCCGAGGGCATGATCGTCTCCTTCAAACTGGAGACGGACCCGGCCATCCTAGTCTACAAGGCCAAGTACTCGCTCGAAAGATACCAGCACCACCTCGTAATCGGCAACCTTCTGTCGACACGCAAGTGGGAAGTCGTGTTCGTGGCGCCCGGGCACAAGGACAGGTGGATCCGTGTCCCCATCAGTCGGCGCAAGAAGACGCTAAGCGGCGTCGAGGAGCTAGTTGGCGCGGCGGACCGGGACTCGACCAGCGAAGCGGATAAACCGCTGGACCCGGCGACACTACCGGAGGGCGAGCCAGAGATCGAGATCGAGAGTCTGATTATACCTGCCGTTGAGGAGTTGCATTCGAAACATATCGAGGTCGCCTCCTCGAAGAAATAGGGGTGTGTGGGACTATGTGGAACTGTACTGTGTGCTATGCTAGAATTTCCAAGTGGCATCAAGTCGTGTTGTCTACATAGTATGTTCATCTTGAATGCTCTTAATATCAACATCTTCTGCGGAACTCGCCGCACTCATTGAATTTGAGGCAAGCTGCCCGGTACCTATTACCACACGATAGATTGCCCAGCAAACTGCCATGCGCCTTGGATGGCGGCCGTGGCCCCTATCCCGAGACGCCGCTATCTCTGCTTCTCTCTGAGACGAAAATGGGGTTCGGGCACCGCAGGATGCTGCGGGATTTATCTGCGTACTGGGAGCCACAGCGTTGTGTCACGGGCGCGAATCCCGGCTCGCCGCAACCTCGAAGCTCGGTATAGATCCGTCTAGGCGATAAGGCGGCCGTTCACGTATCACTGTCAGTGTCTTTTACTCTACGCGGTATTGGCAATGCTCACAATCGGAGTGGGAAAAGCGACAAGTCTGAGGACGTAAGAAGCCTTTTTTACATCACAGGGCGACTTTTTGGTTTTAATAGTAAGTTACGCTACTAGGAACATACGTACCAATCTGTAAATCTAATATTTTTTGGTTTTCCTTTTTGGTTTTGGGGTACGGAAGTATCTTACGGTGCCGCTCGCGTGAACCTCCGCTAGAGCGTATCTGCGCACGGCGAGGAGGAGGCGTTTGGTTCGCTGCGGGAATCCGGGCGCACCTAGGGAGCTACGAGGCGGCAGTCACACGGGGTCCGACCTACCTGATCAACCGGTAGTTGTGGCAGAGGCGAGCGCAATGGTTGCGGTCGGCGAGCGCCTGGAAGAATTGGACCAGTTCGGCGGGGGTCTGGACGCGGTCGGCGGACGCGACGAGGGCGGTGCGGACGAGGCGCGCGAGGCGCGGCGTGCGGAGCTGGCCGTCGAGGGAGGCGCCGGTCGCGTCGGGCGTCCACTTCTCCTTCTCCTCGGCCATGGCGGCCTCGTACGCGTGCAGGGCGAGCCGGCGGGCGACGAGCGCGGCGCCCGCGGCGCCGCCGCACAGCGCCACCACGCGCCCGAGCAGGTCCCACAGGTCGATGCTGCGTCGCTGCGACCAGACGGCGCCGGCCACGCGCCGCCAGACCGCCGGCCACTCCGGGTCCGGGGTCGGGAGCCGCCCCGCCGCCGCCAGCCGCGTGAAGAGCGCCAGGAACTCGCCCTGCCGCAGCGCGTCGGGCGGCGCGACCTCGATCGCGAGCAGCGCCACAGCGGCGCCCCCGTCGGTGGATATTTGGCACAGCGTGCACTGCGGGCCCGGTGTCGCGTGCCGGGACCCATGGCGCAGGTGCCGGACGAGGGCGGGGATCCGGTCTTCCGGCCTTATGCTATGCTGACAGGTGACACATTCGTAAGACTCGATTGCGGACGGCATGGTGGCTCCGATGAGTACACAGGCTCGGGTTAGAAACGGATCTGAGAGTTAGTAGTATGGTGAGATAATGGTTAGGATTTGGCTGGGAAGACCCTGTTGGCCGCGCTTAACTTATATCCCCATTCCGAAGCGCGAGCACCAGAGCTCTTCTGCACTCGGTTCTTGTGAAAGGATTTGTCCGGGAATCATGTTATTGTCTGAAACCGCCGGCTTGCTCGGCCGGTAACAGACCTATGAAAACAAAGGCATTGTATTGATCTACCTAGCGTGGCAGAGCGATGAATCGATTAAATATTCGCTGGCTTGTCCGAGTTACAGCAGTGTCGCTTATCTCCGCATTGCCATTGGCGGTTGTCGAGTAAATGGCGGTGGGCAGTAGAGCTATCTCTATTGTGTCCGTCTATTAAGAGACTCGGCGACATCCTGTTGCTCTCTCCCTTTTGTTGCTGGGTTTTTGTAAACAAAGCGACAGGATTTGGGGGCCTGACCACTGGACAAAGCATTGAAGCCACGGCACCTCGATCCTCTGCCCTTCTCGGTATTGGGATTGGACGAAGCGCCACCTATGCGTTGCATATGCCGGGCTCGGTGATAAGTAGCGTGGCTAGACCGGTTGCGGGACAGGCAGAATGATGCCATCTGATCCCGGGCTGATTTGCGCGTATCTCCCGTCTTATATCTATACGTCAACCAATGGAGAGAGCCTGTCCTGCCAGAGTAGGGATCACGAAGCCGGCCAAGCCGGCCAGTAAAGCTCTAGTCCGTTGCTCGTTCTGGCAACTGTATTGTTATTCCCATCCACTAGTCCCACTCTTCCGTCTGTTACTTCGCTGTATATAGTTCAGAGATCACCGGGAGGGGGGCCAATGAATGCTAGAGTTAGAGAGTACGCCGCAGGTTTCCCGGAATTCGCCAATGATGCTATTCATATAGTACATATTCGTGTGCGTCGGGATGAAAATAGCATCTCCGTATCGCCTACTGTCACCGAGACCCTGCCAATCGCCAATCTCTCAGCGGTAAACCTTGAAGTAGCATAACCTTCTTGCTGATGTAGAAGGCGAACGTCAACACGCCTGCGATGACGCACAGAACGTTAGCGATGTAGAACCCGTCGTGAAGGATCTCGCAAGTGCCACCACCGTGCTCGCATCGCTCTTTTTCTGCTTGGACGGCACACGAGAACTCGTGCGTCACAAGTGGGCCCCTGAGAGTCGACGGGTCGAGCTTCTGCGTTGAAGGATGACACGTGGCCTGCGTGAACGCGTCCACTAGGCGTAGGACGAAAATCTTGGGGAATGTCCCGCCGAGGTTAGAAACGCTGTAAGATGGGTTGGTTAGCGGGTTGTGGGTGGGATGCGAGATTCTTAGAGAATACTAACGTCGCGAGTAGCGTCATGTAGGTGCCGCCGATGGCAGGGTCGGCAACGCGAGCGTGGAAGGCCGAGACCGCGACGAACATGACGGTCTGGGTGAACGTGGAGAACACGTGCTCGGCGATGACGAGAAGTAGATACCAAGGCTGGACGCCGTTGGCCGGGAACACGCTGACGGTGAATTGAGCAACTATGGCGGCGACTAGACGGCCTACGAAACCCCAACGCCAAAGGCGCATAGGTTTGTATTCCTGTGACCACTTGCCCGCATAGTACCCGATGCCGATCTCGAAGGGAAAGTCGATCAGTACCGTAAGCGCCATATTCTCCTTGCCAAACCCCTTTTCCAGCAATTTCAGGTTCGTGACTGCGTCGTTGGCTTGGAACCCGATCTTTGAGATGAGGTGAACGATGATGATAGTCTGGATGTTCCGTAGCTTCAGGACATCCCACATGATCTTGTAGACATCCCAGATGCCGTCCTCATTTCGCGTCCTCTCTTCCTTCTTAAGAGCCGCGAGACCGATGGTGATGGCAATGTACGCCCACCCCCAGAATGTCAAGTAGCCTCCGAGGCTGAGCAAGCCCTCCTCTGACGGGGTGGAACGAAAGTACCGGTTGGCGAAGTCGCCAGAATTGAATGCTAAGAATACGGTATAAGAAAGAAATTGGCCGGCGGTTAGGCCGACCGTCTGAGCCGTCGAGGCATAGGAAACGTTTCCGGGGGTAAGCAGGGTCAGGGCCCACCCGTCCACGGCGATATCTTGCGTGGCGCACATGAAGACCAGAAAGAACCACCAGCCCGTGAAGTGCCAGATGCTGGGGCCGCCTGGTTTACCAATGGTGGTCATCAGTCCCTCGATCATCGACCCTAGATATAGCATACCGAATCCCGACAGCAACTGGATAGGAAGGATCCAGCTTTTTCGTCTTCCTACTCTAGTGCTCCAGACAGCATCCACTATTGGGCTCCAGAGTAGTTTCAACGAATAGGGGTATGACGCCAAACTGAAGACACCGATCTCGCCAAACGAGAGGTGTTCCTTGAGTAGAAACGGCACCGATCCACTTGCCAGGCCCATGGGAACGCCCTGCAGGAAGTATAACAGCACGAGTAACATAAAATTCCTCTGGTCTTGTATGGGGAGTTCTCGGAAGCCATGGTTGTTTGCCATCGGCGTCTTCGGAACATTTTCATCCAGAGAAAACGATTCCCGGGCCATCAAGTTCGCTGTAACTTGGCCCGAGTCCTGGGGTGTCGCAACTTTGCGTCGCAATTCCATATTGCTAATACCGCTGTCTGAGTGGCCGTTCGTACGGCCACTTACCGAGACTGACAGCTTGTCTCGCTTTGTGGATTTTGATCTGCGAGTTTCGACACCCATTCGTAATTCGGCCGCGGGGAAGGTCTGAAGACAGTCGTGGAATCTAGACGGGAGATCTCCCGGAACACCTACGCCTCAGCGCAACCGTCGGCGATGTTAAACGAAGAATCGGCCTGGTGATCGGGCTGCCTGCTGGTGTTACCCAAAATAATGAAGAAGAGGAAGCGGAAGAAGCAGAGACAATTTGGTATTGAACTCTGTAAGGAGAAAGATGCGTGTATACAAGCGAGGCCAAGTATATTCAGCCAGCGGTTGATAGCGACCACCTCCTGCGCCCGAGTATTTGCGCCCGAGAATCGCGAGGGTTCGGCAAGGGAGAAGAGGACAGCTTTCGAGGTTGCGCAAATGCGTAAAAGCTACGTGAACAATGCAGTGCCGGTGTAAACCCCATGGAGAGGCGTCAGCGCTGCCTACCTAGTAACTCGCGACGAGGGTGAAGAGCAACCGTGGCCTCTTCGAAGTTGCGCCCTGTGGGTGGCAACTAAATGGAGGCTGGAAGAGAATAATCGTAGGCAATGAGTGCTTGAAGATAAGAAAAGTCCCAAAGAACGTTCGGAGTGGCGGTTCACTCTTCAATCGACGGCGACCCTGTTATGATGGCTGCCTCATCGAGCGCGGAAGCAGACAGGAAGGGAGACGGACGTGTTCAAAACGAGCTTAGATATGAAGACCCTACATGCTGACGGAACGTACCTATGACTAAGCAGCGTCCTGCTGCGGCGTAGTGGTAGGAGGGAAGACCCCACCAGATCTATCCCCGCGCGCCACAATTGCCCACGATAACAGCTCAGCCCCTTGTCTATCGTGCTTATCTTTATCATTATCGATAACTAGCTGGCTGGTAGGACTTGTACATAGTACCCACCTTCTAATCAATTGTTGCCTTTTATCTCCGTCCTTATCACCACCCGCTCCAAGCTTCAATTCGCGTTCTTGTCTGTCTCGTCGCGCGTCACCGAAAGCTGACGCCAGACAACCAACTCCCCGCCGTACAGCTGATATATATATCGAGAATAACACCCTCCAGATTGCAGCGAGACATCGGCGGCTCGTATCTTTGCGTGAAAGTGAAGACAAAAGTAAAGATGGCAACAGATGAGAGACAATCGCCAGAACTGTCTGTCGCGGACAAGCTCGATCACGAGATTGAAAACCTGAGAGCTCAAGGCAGGTATCCGATCCGATCCGGCGGCTCGAGGGCAAGTATTAACGTTTGAAAGTGGAATTGCTGAAACAAGAGCTCGCACTGCAGACGGCTACGCTGATGGCATCCGAGTCGACACGCCAAATACTGAAGCACAGCTCTGCAAAAAAGAGGTCTCGGTCCAAGGGCAACTCGAGGCTCGTGGAGCTGTTGGCCCGCGCCGATAAGCAGAGCGCCCACAAGCAGCAATGTCTCTACCGGGCGTGCGCCTCTATCACCACGTTCAAGGTCCGCGACCCAGACCCCAACGCGGTCGACAGCGGTAGCGTTCTGGGCCTGCGCTTCGAAGTCATGTCCAAATCTCGATTCTTTCGACCCTACTACATTATGCTGAACCGGCCCTACCCGAATTCGCGCCACCTACGCGTGCACCGACACACGGTTCCCCCATGCATACCGCTCTCTGGCGTTGCAGCGCGGCATCTTCCCCCGCCGACAGCAAAGGACGATCACGACAGGCCGAAGAAGCAAGATCTTTCCAGTTTTGCACGTACACTACGAAGAGAGCTGGTCCGCTACCATAATCGGACTGCTGTTATCGGCGACCTGCGAAGCTCGGCGGGCCTGGAGGGTAAGAGGGAGGGTGCCAAGGAACCAGAGGTTCCGATTATCGATATTAGCGCAGCGGATGCCCAGGCGAAGCAAATCCGCATCGAATGGAGCGATGGCCGGTCGGGACGTCTACTTATGGGTAGCGACGGCGACATATTGAAGATAGTCGTGCAGGGCGACAACGGCCAAGATCGGGAGGCTGTGAGGCAACTTTTAGGGGCCAGTACCCGCATCGAGGACATTACCAAGAGAATGGAGGAGATATAGTGGCAAGATCCTGTGCTCCGAGAGTCGGCTGGCCGGCTACCATCTTTCTCATTGGGGGTGGCAGCATAACCGAAAGCTCCTCTCCGGACGGTATGCAAGAAGCTCATAGTTACAGCGAGAAGAAGGCCTTTTTACAGTGTAGACACACAGACCAACCGACCGGATTCCTTATCAACGAAGGCATTCGCGAGATGACTAGACCGGTGAATTCCCACAAATCCTCCCCCCTTTTCATATGCTTCGTATGCCGCCTACGTCCGAAAGACCTTACTCGCCCTCATATCCCGCCTTCGCCGTCAACCCACATACAAATGTACACCGCATTCTTTAATAATGACATACCTTTTAACGAGCTCGCAATATACATGTGTTTCGTACAGTTATTACTACATAGTAACCTCCCCGCTGCTTTGCATCCTACATTTAAGAATGGTTGAATACGACTACGGCAAGGGCGGTGAGCCGGCGAAGACAAGTGAGGCTGGCGATTATCAACGCCTAAAGTCCGTCCCCCTTTTCCTGCTACTATTGCTACTACTGCTACTACTAGGGACGATGTATGCACCTGACCTGTCCGTGAATAGCGCGGTTTCGCGATTCTGCAATAGATGTGGGACGTAGCTTATGTAGGGATCGCCGAGTATTATGCCATCTGAGGTCATATACAGTGAGGGGTGAGATAGGCTAAGACGTTGGTAACTCCTTTTCCTTCCCACCACATCAACTGACGAAAGGCCTACCTCCACTGCAGCTACCGTCGATCGCCGCCTTAACGCATGTCTATTATTACATACTGCATACGTGCTGGATACGCCTACGCGGCCTGCTGGAGGGAATTGGGTGATATATGACGATGCATAGGGGTAATAGACACGAAATATAGGCCATGTTTTTGAGAGTTGTAATTAGGCAGTATACAACCAGCACTACTCGTCCTATAAAATCCCGATTGGCAACGAATACTACCCACTTAAAAAAAGGGGGGAAGGGGGGAGGGGACAATGTTTACCAGCGGCTTGAAAACAGGAAAGTTTAGGGCTGAGAAGAGACGGAGAAAAAAAAAGTAGAGAGAGGTACAGAGAGATATAGACAGATAATAGACAGGGAGATCAACAGCAAACTCGATCTTAGACGTGCGAACTCCAGCCTCTCGGCGTCGCGTGTCCCTTTAGCTTATTGCCTTAAAGAGGATGTGATGAGGCATATGATTGGCCTGGTTCGCTGCCAAGGTAAGGGTATCAAGACATAACACAAGGCATGGCGCGGCCGTCGTCCCTCTTACGAAGATTACCGACTACCACTCCTACTAAGGCCCCTCCCGTTTACCTTTCCTGCTGGCCAGGGCCGGACCCCGATTTTAGGTCAATTGGTGATAACACCAGTCTAACAAGTCTAGCGATCATCCTTCTTCGACTCTGGACGTGGTCGACGTGGTATCACAGATAAGTACAGGGAGATAGACCGACTGCTACAGCATGCCACACGGTAATGTGACTAATGGAAGACAGATCGTGGCTGCAAAAGCGCTCAGAAGGCGTCTCTTCCTTTACATTGCTCCTACTCCGAGAACCCCCTTTGTGCACCTTAGGAAAGGAATACACGGGGATACAACGTCCGTGTCAAGTATTACGACAGCAATCTTGGTAATTTGGTTACTCCTGAATCATTGTTCGCGTTCTCGAACCGACGTTCGCGCTACGGGGTTATCTTTGACGATGCCTAAGGTTTCGTCCGCGTCCATTGCATACGTCGTCAGGCTTGCTGGCTCTGCCTCTACCCCAGTCATGACTTCAGGGGAACTAATATTCTTTCTCCTTCCCTCTTCACCAATCAGACGAGTACCCAAGCAAGATGTGCGTACTCCGGACCTAGAGGCGTGCCTAACACTCCACCACTTTGTTATCTTCTCCACCGTTACGTGCAAGATCTAGAGCCTCACGCTCTTCCTCCACTTCTTGTTCTTTCGATGTTGAAGGCAATATAACATTCTTCTCATTCTGTCACTGCACATAATTCATGACTGGTTCGGCCTAGGCCAGTCTAGAATAGGCATGTCAATCCCTATTAACGGGATGTGCTTATCATACACTGTTCAACTGCCCTCCGCATGTGAGATAATAAGAGGGATGGGGTGAAGTCGTCTGCTCTTCCGACAGTATTACTACTCTACCCTGGTTTGATAATAAACACCAACCTTGCTTCTTCACTTCAAGCCGCAACACTTATAACTTTCCCCTCGCATCTTTCGTAAGCTGACCTATCACTTGACTGCCAACCTCGACGAGACCCTCGAAAGACATTGGGCTAGCTGCAAGGTTCATCTTGAAATTTACACGAGCCTAAATCAACCAATCCTTGCCGCTTCCGTCCAGTATGGTGAAAAAGGAGGAGGCCAGTTCCCCGAGCATCCGTGTCTCGGGACAGGCTAACAAGCCTATGTCTCGGCCTGCCCATGGGTTACCTTATGATCAGGTCATTGTCGAATTAGCCGCCGATGGCCGCCATGGTCTGTCGAGCGATGTTGCTAAGCAGCGCCTTGAGAAGTTTGGGAAAAACGCCTTGGGTAAGGCTCAAGGTGTTTCGGTGTGGAAAATAATGGTAGCGCAGGTCGCCAACGCGATGACCATGGTACGCACGTCCATACAGACAAGCTGAACCGCGGAGATTCTGACTGCTCTTGAGGTCCTGATTCTGGCGACGGTCGTGAGCTACGGTATCGGGTCGTGTATAGAAGCGGGCATCATCGTCACCATCGTCCTCCTCAATATCGTTATCGGCTCTTTTCAGGAGTATTCCGCCGAGAAAACGATGGATTCCCTCCGTTTGCTCAGTTCTCCCGCGGCCCGCGTCATACGCGACGGGGCCCCTCTCGTCATCCCCACGGCCGAAGTGGTAATTGGCGACACAGTTGAGCTCAAGGCGGGAGATACCGTTCCAGCTGACATCCGGTATGCCAACCTCAGAACTCGGCCTTCGCCTCGCGTTTACTAACTTAGGCCTGTAGCATTATCAAGGCAGCCAACTTCGAAACTGACGAGGCGCTCTTGACAGGAGAATCATTGCCTGTGGCCAAGGATGAAGACACGTTATTCGACGACGCTGCAGGACCCGCCGCCAGGTTGAACATCGCTTTTAGCTCCTCAACCGTTACAAAAGGCCATGCCAGAGGCGTCGTGTTTGCCACAGCGTCTTACACTGAAATCGGAGCAATTGCCGCTGCGCGTCGTCAAAGAGACTCGAGAATACGACCCGTGAAGCGGAGCGCGGACGGGTCAGCTAAACCTCACCGTTACTTGGAGGCCTATACCCTGACACTTACGGACGCCATCGGCCGCTTTCTCGGCGTTAACGTAGGGACACCCCTCCAGAAGAAACTATCCAAGCTCGCGATCCTACTCTTTGGCGCTGCTATACTATGCGCCATCATCGTTATGGCTACCAATAAGTTCGATTCTCGGCGGGAAGTTGTCATCTATGCGGTCGCCACCGGTTTATCGACGGTCCCAGCCTCCCTGGTGGTCGTGCTAATGGTCACCATGACCGCTGGAACGAAGCGTCTGGTAAAACGAAACGTAATCGTCAGGAACCTGAAGTCCTTAGAAGCCCTGGGTGCCGTTACGGACGTCTGTTCCGACAAGACCGGTACTCTGACTCAAGGTAAGATGACCGCAAAGCGGGCGTGGATACCTGGCATGGGCACCTACACCCTCGATGCGGCCTCAGAGCCTTCCAATCCTATGGATGGTAAGATGTCGCTTGATGCTCGCCAACCGCACCAAATTGGCACTATCCAAAGCCCCAGGAGCGGCTCGAGCGTTCTACCTTCGCAGCTGTTGGACCAAAGCGAGAATGCGTTGCCCGAGTTTCTCCGTGCTGCTTCACTGGCTAATCTTGCCACTGTCTCTCTCCGAAACGGAGTATGGAATGCTCAGGGCGATCCTACCGAGATCGCTCTCCAAATATTCGCCTTGCGTTTTGGTTGGAATGGGCTCGACTTCACCGAGGGCGAGAACACGGTGTGGTTGCAGGTCGCCGAACACTCGTTCGACTCCAGTACCAAGCGCATGTCTGTCGTGTTCTATAACACGCCGACGGACCAACTCTTTGTGTTCGCCAAAGGCGCCGCCGAGCGAGTCATCGACATTTGCACCTCCTATTGCAAATGCGACGACGAGGAGGCGATCAAAATAGACAACGAATTCCGAGCAGATGTCTTGAGGAACACGGAGGCTCTTGCGAGTACAGGCCTACGGGTCTTGGCTCTTGCGAGCAAGAAACTGGTCGAGCCCCCGCAAAGGGCGTATACGATCGACCGGGCTCGCGCAGAATCCGACCTTACGTTCCGTGGATTAATTGGTCTGTATGACCCGCCGCGGCCCGAGTCGGCGCATGCGATCCAGAGCTGCCACGATGCCGGCATATCGGTCCATATGCTAACTGGCGACCATCCTGAAACTGCGAGGGCCATCGCGATGGAAGTCGGCATTCTTCCACGCCACTCGGAGCTCGTCAGAGATGACGTTGTTCAGGCCATGGTGATGACTGCAGGCCAATTCGACTCTTTAACCGATGACCAGGTCGATAGGCTTCCGGTCCTTCCACTTGTGGTCGCCCGATGCGCTCCGGACACCAAAGCCCGCATGATCGAAGCCCTACACAGACGCAAGAGATTCTGTGCGATGGTAAGTTAGGCAAGACACATAACAGCCTTCGACGTTCCCCAGTTAACAGTGAGATAGACCGGCGATGGGGTCAACGATTCACCCTCCCTCCGCAAAGCAGACGTCGGTATTGCTATGGGACTGGCGGGAAGCGACGTGGCTAAGGAAGCGTCAGATATCGTGCTTTCGGACGATAATTTCGCAAGCATTGTAGCAGCTATCGAAGAAGGCCGTCGTATCTTTGACAATATCCAGAAGTTTGTTCTACACATACTTACCGAGAATTTTGCCCAGGCCTGTATCTTGCTCATTGGCCTCGTGTTTAAGGACGAGCGTGGGCTCTCGGTCTTCGCGCTCTCGCCGGTCGAGATCGTTTGGATTATCATGGTTACCTCTGGTTTGCCGGATATGGGCCTAGGGTTCGAGGAAGCAGTCCCCGGCATCATGGCGCGACCACCGCAGAGTCTAAAGACGGGCATCTTCGACGCGGAATTTCTTGCAGACATGGTTGTGTACGGGCTCTGGATCACGATACTCTGTCTGTCCAGTTTCGTCCTCGTCGTTTACGCTTTCGGTGGCGGGAATCTCGGGCAGAATTGTAACGATGGGTATAACGACACATGCAAAGTCGTATACCGCGCCCGCGCAACAACCTTCTCCTGCCTCACGTGGTTTGCGCTGTTCCTAGCCTGGGAGATGGTGGACCGCCGACGGTCCTTCTTCCGGATGAAGCCGGACTCGCCGCGGTATCTGACGCAGTGGGCGCACGACGTATGGCGGAATAAGTCCCTCTTCTGTGCGGTGATGATGGGTTTCGTCACTCTATTCCCGACGTTGTACATCCCCGGTTTCAACACTGTCATCTTCAGGCACCTTAGCATATCGTGGGAATGGGCTATTGTGTTTATCAGCGCCGGTCTCTTCTTCGCTGGCGTCGAGAACTGGAAATGGGCCAAGAGAGTCTACATGCGGCGCCGATCCCGCCGCCTCCACAGCCAGGTTGGGAACCCTGGGGACAGCGACCTCGAGAAGCGCGCATTCGCCAACCCCACACCACTTGGCAGCATGGACAGTGGTAGTAGCACTAACAAGGATGCCGAACAGAGCGATTACAACGACAAAACAGGTGTAAGGAACGCCGAAATCGAAGTACTCGGGGATGGTTGCTGTGAACAGCCAAAAGCTGTAATTGGCCTAGTCTAGCACGCCCCCAGTACCCCATGAGAGGTCACGGGATAGCCTCAGCAGGCAGTCCCCACGGGCGTTGACCAGGATAAAACTGAATTTCTTGTGTACTTCTACCTACAGTTACTCGGCTAAATACACAGTTCAAGGGGTAGACCCAAAAGAGCGAGAGCGAACGCTGAGCTCTCAGTTGGCCAGTTGGTGGTATGATCGAGGTTCGCCACTATCAGTTCAGATTTAACAAATAAACAATCGTGATATACCTATATCTGGTTCGACATATTATATATACCTACTCGTAAGGACTGTGCCACACCCTAGTTTGAAGCGCTAGGGGCTTTAGCGATCCGCGATACTGCGCAAGTCGAACCAAGTAGATGAATAACACCAAATCGCCTTCACCGGGAATAATCCACCTTAGCGCCGTTACTGTACTCTCTCTCTTTTTTTATCTTAGTAAAACCCATCCCCAAAAGCATACCCAGCAAGCGAAAAGAGCGGTAGCTCACCGGCGCTTGGCCAATCTCCAAGCTAAACCGCAGGCTGCTTGGCCGGGGTTCCCCTTTTCAAGCCTGGGTCTTTACCATCGGTGCTACTCGCGCTTGCCGCCGGATAGACTTGGACACCTTCGAGGTCGGGTAGGGTCTCGTCAAGCATGTGGTGCTGCGGGAGAGAAATCGTCAGATGCCGCCAATCATGCGGAACGAGATGCAACATACCTCGATATTGATCTTGGGTCCCTTGAACCATTTGTGTGCGTCGACGACAAACCACAATACAACGAGTAGCATCGGCGTGCCCTATATAGGATAGAAGTGTTAGCAGACTCCTCCGTCGTCCTCCGCACAAATCCCGAAGTGGGTGTTAATAGGCATCCTAGCCGCACCGAGATATGGAGAGGGGAAACCCACATAGACAACCACAGTCCAATTCATCTCTTCTAGCGTGAGGTTCTCGCCTTTCACGCTAGGGAAGCACAGGATGGGGAGCATAAGAAAGACAAAAGAGCAGGCGGCGATGCCCGAGGGCAGGCTGAAAGCACCGAGATGCCAGGGTCCGCGGCGAAAGCGGTTCCCCACGAATACGATCTTGAGAAAGATAGGCGTCGTGAAGGCGGTATAGGCGGAGATAGCGCCGATGCTGAAAATAGCATCGATGGCGGCGCCACCGAATACTAGAAGCACCAGCAGAACCCCGATCGTCATGTTAAACCACACCGCATTCACGGGCGTCAGCGTGTATCGGTTCACGCGCTTGAGCGGACGGCTGAAGACGCCAAAACAGTCATCGCGCGCATACGCGAAGCACACGCGCGAGGCGGCGACCATACATCCCTGGCCCATAGAGTACGCGCACACGATCGTCATAGAGAGGACTGCCAACGCAACTTTTTGGGGTAATATTTGGATCAAATACCCCGCGAACGGCTGGCCCTAAATGGGGGTGTGAGAAGGCGAATCACTGCGCAAGCGGACAGGCTTACTTACTAGTTCGGTTGCCATGGCCGCTGGGACATCCTGGATCGTATATGCAATCAGCACATTCAACACGAAACCAAGGATAGATCCAGATACTGCGGTCATGATTATCGATCTCGGGGTGGCAACGGCGGCATTTGAGCACTCTTCAGCCAAGTGAAAGCTAGCGTCATATCCCGACATTGTCCATATGATCGACAAGAACGACATCAATACAGCGATGCCGTCGGGCCAGTCTGTGCCGTTTTGGATACCCCATGCGAATTCGTTCGGTTGAAACTTTGGTTCGCTCATGGTCGCGGTGGGAATGATGATGATCGTCATCACCAGACAGAGGATATTGATAGTTGTCCCGACTGAGTTGAACTTCGCGATCCATAGGGTTGGCATGCTGCTTATGCAGGCATGGGTGAACATGATGAAGACCGTCAGAAGGAACGTCTGGTAGTGCGTCGGCACGTAGCCCGGGTTTGAAATCGACGCCGCTGCTAGCACCATGGAAGCTTCAAAGTGGACGAGATGTCAGTTTCCAACACCCACACCGCCAAGTGCACGATAAAGTTAACAAGACTCACCACATCCGTAGTCGACGCTAGGAGCGCCGGTAACCTGCACGAACCAATTACTCCATCCCGTGATCCAGGCCGCGAACGGGCCGTACTTGGGACCGGCCAGCACCGCAGCCGCATAGTAGAGACCGCCGGAAGTTGGCATGCTGCTGGCTAATTCTGCCATCGACGCGGCGACCTAAAACTCAAAGTCAGCCTCTACACCGAAGCTACGCTCTGCAGTCAGGAGAGGGCTCACGCATAAGACGAAGAGAACGGATACGAGCCAGCCCCATGTGTTGGCTGCCGGTCCAGCTGCGCTGCGTCATCAGCTTCTGCTCTGGGCACGATATCTCGCGCCATTTCGAAGTTAGCTCACCGTAACCGAGCCCGTACCACATCGTACTGGCGATGCTCGGTAATAGTCCCATTACAGCAAAGCTGACGGCAAAGGTTGTCCAGGCGGAGAACTCGCGCTTGAATTCCTGCTTGTAACCGAGGGCCGCGAGCGCCGCCTCGTCGCCCGACATCTTCAAGATGTCATCCGGCACATCGCCATTGGCAAGCACGCTCGTCACGGCCGGGACTTGCGACTCGTGCCGATGTATCTCGTCGACAGTCATTTTGAATCTAGGGACCAGAGACCCTGACGGCCTCTTCGTTCTGAAGTTTGTGCTACCGTCTTGGGGTGCGCCCACGGGTTGGGTTCCTGCTCGGTCGAGTTGGTATATAGGGTAAAGCAGTTGGGGCGGAATATGGGGAGGTTGCTTGTCGATTGGGTCTGACTGACTTGCTGGAGGCTTGCGCTTGGCGTCACTATGGCAAGCATCCCAGGCAGGGGGACGGGGACGGAAAAGGCGCGAGTCTATCCATCTTATACAGCACTGACAGCCACCGTAGATAAGTTCAACCGCTTTTCCGTTTATCTTCAGCTGCCCGTTGGAGTAACATAATAGTTTACCATGCACCCAGGGGGTATCGAGACAACGATCCCTCGATACTGGGATATCCGGCTACCATTTGTTGGAGATGCCAAGGAGGCCGACCAAGATAGAGACACCCTGCGTCGTGTACGCGCGCAGATACGGAAGTGTATGTGTCATGCTGGTAGGATGGAAATATCTCTCCCCTGATAAGGAAAAAGGGCGTCGAACTAGAAGACCGAATTCTGTCATGGTGACCCCTGGGCACGAAGACGGTCTTATTTAGATGCCAGCAAGCTCCGTTTCCCCGTCGTCTCCGGCAGGGGTGTTCCATCTATCAGGCGGCTTCGAGTCGTCGAGCGGCGGGCGGAATGCTCATGTTGGAATATCTGTAAGAAACTGCGGCGATCTGATGGGACCAGCGCCAGGGCGAGCCCGTCGAGAATGGGTGATTCCTGATTACGGCCTGACGCCAGACCATGATTAGAAGCAACCCCTTATCTTACCCCCCCCCCCCCCCCCAAAAAAAAAAAAAAAAAGACCCCGTAGATACGCATTGGCCTGCTGTGTCCATGTTTGAAGAGTGGTAGATGCGTATCATGCAAGCCGGGCAGGAGGAGGACGGAGATTCTTATCGTATGCATGTATAACTCACACTGCTATATGAGTAGGGAGGTTTAGGTACATAGGTACATACCTCATCCTACCTTCTGTAAGGGTACCCAGGTCCCCACCTAAGGCAGCAGGTCCTGCTGGGGGTTGGGTACCTGAGTACCTCACTTACCGACCTCAGTACCCCCCCCGGCAGGACCTGCTGCCTTAGGCTCTGAGGCACCGAATGCTACGCAGTATTCCGTTCTGGAAGGTAGAAGCGCGCGCGAGCGGGAGAAGGTCGGTCTCCGAGGACGATCGAGATAAAAACAACCCGATATACGTAATATTTTTAAAGCTCCTCTTATCTGTCCGCGTATGTCTCGGCGGCGCGGAACGATGCGGATACTTACGTTCACTGATATATATATATATATATATATACACATTGGATATTTTCGTTATGCTACCGTACCACAATCGCAGATGGTCCCTGTCTCTGCGGTTGTGGGTGGGATGGCCGTGATGGTGTGTGGGCTTCTTCCGCGTCAACACATCCATTCGCAATATCTCTGGTGGCTTTTTACCAGGAGCCAGGAGCCGGGTCCGAACGGGCGCAGTTAACGCAGCCGGGCCACTACTGCTAGTGTATGTTGTCCGCACCGCGGGAGTATGGAGTATAACGGCTCGATGGATAGACGGGGTCGGTTTGACCCTGCTGTAACGCTGCCCGTTCTTTTAGATGTTCTCCAACCTTGGCGAATCTGGGCAAGGCGGCTTTCACCCATATTTTCGAACTGATAAGCGTATATTGTAAATGCGATGCCTATTAAAGCGGAGGTGTTGTTACTTCCGCCTCAATGCATACGACCAATGAACGATAACGTTCCCTAGTGCCCTGTCGGAAACTCCTGTGTTAAACTACACATATGGAGAATGTGGGAGACGAGATGGAGATAAACGACACGTAGCAGCTCTATGGTGTGCGATTAGGGAGGTAGGATGGTGAAGTAGCCTAATGCAAGCATGTAGATATAGAGACGGAGAAGCTCGGAGAGCCGGAGGCCGAACTTCGTATCGCCGTCCTCTGAATTTTGTCATCTAGGTATTTCGAGTGATGAGCGTACATCGCCACGTTAGATGCACCGCAAGATTAGTAGAGGACAAACGGGCTCTCCCCACCAGAGAATGGGTTGGGTTTACTATTATTTGACTGCCTAAGATACCTGAATAGACACTTGATAATTCCCAACTCAACAGTGAGGGCAGGTATTGTATATAGAAAGACCTGTTCCTGTGACCGATTGCTCGGCTCGTGATGGTAGAAATCATCAACCCCGAATGACCTGGCGGGGTCAACTGCATACCTCACCTTAGGTATGCGTGACATTAGATACATCCTGGTACCCGCCACCTGGCCATTACGCACGTTAAGGCACTTGAACTCGGTACTGATTTGGAATCCCCTCACTGCATGCACCGCATACCTGTGCGTTGTGGAGGGTTCACTCTCATTGCTTTGCTGCCTTATTTTTAAGGCACACGAAACGTTGAAAGCTGAACCTGACTTATTGATTGAAAAGGAGTAAAACTAGGTGCCAAAACGGCGATTGAACAGCTTCAAATACAGTTGCAAATCAACTAATCACAAGGCTCCTTTTAGGGTACCCTGGGATCCACATACCTACCTTATATGCCTAACTTATACATCAAATGTCACGACGAAAGAAAAAATCCCTCGAAGGTACCGAAGGTGACGTAACTCATACGAGTGTGTCTCTAGAGCTTCTAATAAGAACATCAACATTGCCACTCACCTCCTTATGGAATTATAACGACACCTAATGGTTAGGTATGTTTTCTGGTTTAATTGGCAGGGGGGTTATGAGGGCGTAGTACTCTATGAGTAGGTACTTGCTATTCCGCTTTCCCGACACCGACAGCCGAAGAAGTTTAACCGAACGCAAATAAAGTAGATGCGTGTCTTTACTCCCCCCCTCCGTGCCCCACTTCCCCGGTCCTCTCCATGCGGAGGAGCCTGCAATTGAGGCTAACTGAGAGCGCCGAAATGTGTGCAGTTATTCTATAGCTAGGTTAATGAGAAGTAATTGGTAGATGTATTGGGAAAATGATTAGCAAGCTTCTCTGACGCCATAAGTAGAAGGTTCATCTTAGAATATACCGCCATAAGATAACACGACACAAGCTCCCATATCTTTTCGCAAGAGTGTGAGCACGTACTCCCCTCAAAGCTTAGGATTCATCAAGCTTGCTGTCGTTCTAAAGACTCCACGCGGCAATAGCTTCTTTAAAGCCTGTGTGGCGGATATCACTGCCGAACGCTACCTTGGCGTTGGATCCTTCTCACCCTCTTCCACGCCTATTTTCTAGGCAGTCTCCGGTCCAACTCGGTGCGCATCAAGAAAGATGCAGTACCTAACCACTGCTTTCTTCCTGGAGTCAAAATACCTGACTCCTGGGTCTAGTCTAGCCCCGAGCCAGAGCACGAGGGCTGAACCATTGAGGCAATATAATTGCTTATTCATATAATTATGAAAGTGGTATTTCTTTGGTGACAAACATGGTTGGACTCTCAGAAGCGAGTGAAATGGGATAAAGATTTCCTTGTCAACTCAAGAGTCATAAGCCCCACATTGTCTGAATTCTTGTTAATTTTGGCGATCCCTCGAACTAACATCATTGTTGGTTGCCAATCGTTGGCGACTCGTCACGTATAGGAGAATCGGGGCAGAATGATAATCCTCAGAAGCTCGAGGGAAGAGGGGTCGCGATTGGCCTATGAATTACTAATAGTCGTTGCTGGTTGCCAGCCGCTCAGTCACACTTGGTAGGAATGGTCTTTTTTTTTCTTTCCCAAAAGTCAACTTCATCCGATGGGTCCGGTGACTGGACCTCCGGACCACATTCCGTATATGCATTCAAATACTAGTATGTAGGTGGAATTTAAGGAGAATTCCTGGGGAAACTAGCTGGTATACCTGTACCTGGTGTGAAGGCGGTTGGGAACCCTTGGGTTAGGTACTACCCAGGTCGTTAGGAGGTACCCAATGCAGGTACCTAGTAGGTACCTCCTAACCTCGACGTGGTATGCGTCAGGGAGGAGGTAGCTAATTGGATGCATATACGCCTTATGACGCAGGACTGGAGCACATGGCCTTAGGCGTCCCCTATTGGCAATTTGCTGTCCCAAATGACGAAACAAAGACTCGACTGGCAGGAGAGACAATGTGTGTGGATACAGGTACATATAACTACTCATACATGCAAGTATGCACGCTGGCTAGAAATAGGCACTTAAGACACTATCTACGTCTACAGCTAACACACTCAGATGATCCTCCGCGGAACATCGACATACCTATATGCGTGGATAGCATGTTGGTGGTTGTCTGTATGCGATCTTACTAGCCACGTAACCCAGGCTTATTCTACGTGGTAAATTTGCAAGTACCTTCATTGGTAGTTTGGCGACAACGCTACCTATCGTTAGGTACATGAGGATGTTAACAACGGCCTTGCCTACCAGGTAGGTACCTACCTAACCTATGTAATTATGTAGTGTATATTAAGTAGGTGCCTCCCTGCCTATGTAGAGTCCCTACAGGTAGATACCTGCCTACCCCTATGTTTGGTAGGCTAGGTACGTGGGTACTTACCGCCTCGGAGAAGAGGTACGCAGGTACGCAGGTAACGTGGCTGCTTCGATGAGTACGGACCTAAATTACCTCTAATGAAGCGTCGAGGTACCTAGAGATTCGCGGGCTCCATAGGCAGATCCATAAGTACTGGTGGCTAGTATCCCCCGTGCCCCAACCCCAACCTGCAAATTATGGTAATTTTCTTCCCCTGGCCGGCCGGGAACGACACGAAGGCAACACAAGACAGCACAAGACAGCACAACACCACACACCAACCATCCACCACGCACATCACGCACCACCCACTGTACACCAGCCATACCTCTATCACGCTGAGCATCTCAACACTTTCCACTCCGTTATCAACATCCTCTACTAACTGGCTACTGCACCGCGAACAGACGGAAGAACTGGCAAACACTAATATATCTCAGACCACTCCAGCTCACCCCCCATAATAGTTACAACGGCCGTTTAATTCTCGCCCTTGCGCTCTCGGTGCCCGGCTTCTTCTCTCCCCTCCCCCCTTTGCTCTCCAGCTAAGGCTGCCTTGCGCACTGCTGGGCGCAATGAACGCCATACAGCAAAAATGCCGCCCGAAACACCAAGTCCTGGTCCTCAAGTGTTATCCTCACACGACAAAGGGAGCTGTTGACGTCAAGCCTAACTCTAGTGAATTGAGCTATCTCCTATTCTACGCCACCTCCCGCCGGTCCAAGATTCAGAAGGTCGGCCAGTTCCTCGAGAAGAAGACGGCTAGTGATGTGTGGAGGGTGCGGATCGGGTATGTAAACTGCTTCCTTATCCAAGGGACAGCGCCGAGCACCGTTTCGGGGGCTGCCTGAAAATATGTCCGAGTCAGCAACTGACACTCGTTGCCGTGACCAGAAATGTCCAGGTTACCCTCCAAATCCTCGCTGCCCTGATCGAGAAGGCACCGAAAGACCTCCCCCTATTTGCGCAGAATGTCCTCACTATCCTAGACCTCGTCCTCCGATCTAATGATATTACCATGGTCGAGGCATCGCTGCCGACCTTCCGAACCTTCTGTGAACACCATGACGTCTCGTCCCTCTTTGCCGACCAAGCCTACCTCCGCCAATATGAGCAAGTCGTGCGCGGTTATGCCACATTTGCCTCAACACAATCGTCGCCAGTCAAGAATACGGCTAGCAAGCCCGTGCTTTTGAGATGGAGGAATGCAGGTTTGGAAGCAATCAAAGGCGTGACCGAATCTGAAGCACTATCGACTGTTGCCGGACGTCAATTAAATGTCATCGTACCCATGATTCTGGAAAATTTATGGACGGACGACGAAGAATTTCTCGAGGTCTTACTTCAGCGTGTCCAGATGGAGGAGAAGGTCGACTCGCATGCCTTGCTGCGGCGCAGGACCAGTGTTTCCACTGTCAAAACTAGCGAGACAGGCGACGCGAACCCGATCGCGATTTCGGGCACGTCCGTCGACATTGACAAGTTGGCTGAAGAAGATATTGGAGTTGTGGCTATGCAGTGCCTGAAAAGGATATTTGCCATACCCAACAGAGCACAGATAAATGGGGCGACTGCGGCAATCTTGGGATTTATCAGCGAACGGGTCCGCCAAAAAGAGACGGTGGTCACCCAGGCCCGGGGTGATGGACGTGATCGCGGTTGGGCGATCAAGATCTTTGAGTTTGCCGCCAGATGGGCACCTGTGCAGGACCGCTACGTGATTATGGTCGTTACCACCGACACCCTCCTGCGGTCCCCCCCGACTAAGGACAACATTGCGGATCAAGTTGTGCTTACGGCCATTATTCGGTCTCTATTAAGCTCCGACATCAACTTGATTGGTCTTAGTGTTATGGATGTCCTTCTGGGGCTGATACAGCACATGAAGCGGGTTCTGAAGCATTCTGGGGGCACGAGGAGTAGCGGCTCAGCTTCCGGGGACGAGAAACCCGCTTCGGCTTCCGACCCTTCTCAGCAGAGAGAGCTCCTAACCCGGATCCAACAGTCCATCGGAGATCTAGCCACCCATGTTTACTACGCCGACCAGATATCTGATATGATCTCTGCCATCCTCCTACGACTCAAGCCTCATCCTAGCACGACAAACTCTTCGCCGGCCACTGAGAAAGCTGACTCTCCTCCCGGAGGCTCGGCAGTGAACGTCTTAGATGACCAGTTGCAGCTCGACAGCTTCTTTGCCCTAGACTTAGCCAAGACCACTGCACTTCAAGCCGTTAAATCTATTCTTCTCGTTGCAAATCCGAACACAAAAATCAGTGGGAACGTCAGTTTGACGAGGAGCAAAGTCCCCATACAGGTATGGGAAGGTACACACTGGCTTCTCCGCGACCCGGATGGGCAGGTTCGGAAAGCTTATGTCGATGCCCTCACGACTTGGCTGGATCGAGAAACGTCAAGCTCTGACCTGGAAGCTAGAGATTACACGGGTCAGAAACTATCGCGCGTGAACAACCGAGCGGATATACCGCCGGTGAGCACTTCCCGCCGAGCCGTCTCAAGCGCATCGACCCGAGACAAGCCCGCCAAGGCCTCGCGGTCCTATTTTCTACAGCTTCTCCACCTTTCCATCTACGAAAGCGCCCTGCAGTTCATGGAGTCCGAGGCGGACATAGCCCTTCTGCACGTGTTGTTGGCCAAGCTAGTTAGCAAGCTCGGGGTCAACGCTGTCAGATATGGCCTGCCAATGATTTTCCGGCTTCAGGAGGATATCTTGGACGCCGAAACACCTCTGTCGAAGGTTTATCTCGGATGTCTCTGCCACGGTTATTTTTGGGCCCTAAGCGAGTATTTTGGGTTTGAGGCTTCGCCCGTCGGCCGGACGATCCACAACGAGATATCTCGAAGAAGGACCAAGCACTTTTGGGTTGAAGGCGTAAATATTCCAACCCCTTCCCTCAACCAATTGGGCGCTCCGGGTGCGGTTAAATCGCAGCCGAAGATGCCTCCACAGGCCGTAGAGTCGGAGGCTCTGCTACCTTTCGACGATCGTACGGCTATAGTGGACTGTATCCGCACGAACTATAAATATAGAGCGATATCCCCGCCCTCAAGCCCTTCCGCGTCTCCCGGTCGCGTCTTCGCGCACCCGGCCTTAGGCTCGACCTTGAGTACGATTCCGCCGGCCAACGAGGAGCACGAGCTTCCTGACAAGTTCAGGGAGGCAATGCTTGCAGATTGGAATAGAGAGACCGCCGTGGCTGCCCTTCAAGTAGAGAGCAAGTCCGCTTCACTTAGTGGGTCTAGGACGGGGACGGCCACCACAAGAGGCAACCATCTCACCGTCAATGGGCCTTCTGCCAATGGCCAAGCGTTCTCGCGGCCAGACTCCGCGTACGCTCATCAGACTACTCTGCGTCCTGCGTCCCATGCTAGCCACGCTGCTGCTTTGAGGAATTCTAGCGTACAAAGTCACGGCTCTATGAGGAGTGCCTCGAGCCGGGGCTTCGTCGCTTCCGTAGACCAGCTCAAGTCGGCGCTGACGGGAGATCCTGCTCGGCCATCCACTTTCCACACGTTGCGAGAAGACGATGATAGCAGCGAAAGTATGGCTAGCTACGAATTTTCGCCCTCGGAGCTTTCGTTCAACCCAAACCAGCCAGACGGTGCTGATACTAACGAGCCAGCCATGGCGCGAACAAGGTCGAAATCCCGTGAGCGGAAAGCGTCTGGGGACTCTGGGCATCATTCAATGGAAGGAGACATAGACGAAGAAGTTCCACCGGTGCCTCCTCTACCCGCGTCAATAGTCGGGAAATCGCCACCCTCCGAGGTAGTTCTTGAGCGCCTCGCGAAAGTGTCGAGCCAGGACCACGCCCATAGAGCCCCGAAGAGGAATCTTAGAAGTCGAGGCGGCGACAGCCTTCTCTCGAATAGCTTTGCGAACGCAGGGGCGGCTAGCATGGACCTCCAGGCAATGCTCAAGGGCATCGACAGCAAGTCGAGACAGAACACCATCGGGAATCTCACGAGGCCTCCCTACTAACGCCTCGCACTTTGATAAACGCTCGTATGTATATCCATGAAGCTCGAAAATGTCTCTTTTTCTTCTTCCAGAGCAATGAATGGACGTTGCCTGTAATAGCAGGTCGAGTCGACGGGCGGGTCCGACTCCGATGAGGTGCTTGTACACTCTTAGCGAGGGGGAATATCTAGAAGCCGAGAGTATAGAAGAGGAGGAAATGGGAACTTGTTAAATGAAAAAAGAAGACTACTGTGCGGGGCAACTCTGTTTACATATTTGCTTGTATATATTTACATGTCTGCTATCGCGTCGGCCTTTTTGCCGCCAGTGCCAATGCTGCTTTGTTGTAGATAGGTTGGCCCTTTCCACCACGGGTCGGTAGGGAACATAGTAATAGAGAAGATTCGAATTGGAAAAAGAGAATTGTAGCTAATTATCTTGAGACAAAACACTAATGCCACCATAACTAGCGGCTAATCCTATTGCCTTTGGCTTATCGTTATTATTATTAGGATTAGGAGTGCGCATTTAAGCAAGACGACAAGTAGAGACGGGAGCGATGAGATGTTTCCGCTAAAATATCGGGACAGGATGTTGTAGTCAGATACGGCATGAGGTCATTCCAAGACACGTCTTAGTCAGCAAGGTAGGTAGGTAGTGATTACGCAAGTACCTAGGTAATTTCTGAGTCAAGAAATTCCACGCCTTTACCGAACCTCGACCTCGGGCAACTCGGCGATGCCTGTCGGAAGAGCTGCACCTAGGTACACTGCCCATATACACCAGAATGAAGCCCCCGACTCGGATAGCGTCGCGATTGGCGACTTGCCAGCGGCTGCAGTGCACGCACCCCGCCTCAACGATCCGACCCGCTACCCGCTGTTGCGAGATACATACTACCCCCGCGAAGCCCGCAACAGTGTCGCCTATCCATGGCACCGGACCTCCGCCCGGCCGGCCCGTTCCCACCGCCGATAGCGCGAGGGTCTGGCGCGAGCGGCGCGGGAAGCAGGCAGAGCTGCTAGAGAAGGCGCGGGAGATCCGGCAGAAATCGCAGCAACATTCACTGCAGTCGCCACAGTCGTCGTCGTCGTCGTCTGCCAGCGTGAGGTCGGCCGAGAACAGGGAGGCGCTCGCGCGGAAGCGCTTCTGGAAGGACGTTCACGTGCGTGAGATAGACGGCGCATGGGAGGTGCATCTGGACTCGCGGCCGCTGCGGCGCCTGGACACGAAGCAGGTCGTGCGGTTGCCGCTCAGCAAGCCGCTGCTCGCGAGCGCGATAGCGCTCGAGTGGGACCTGCTGGCGTCGGCGCAGCACGCGACACGCCAGCACCTGATCCCGCTAACCAGCCTCGTGTGTCGCGCGTTGGACATCGCAGACGAAGATGCGGCCGGCGGGCCATCCGCGGACGGAACGGCGGGCGGGAGCGTGCGGGAGGGGATGGCGCGCATGCTCATGCGCTACCTGGACACCGACTCGCTGCTGTGCTGGGCGCCGCCGCCGAGAGAGCACGACCTGCCGCCCGACGCTGGGGGCGAGAGCCTGAGGGACGTGCAGAAGAGGGCGGCGGAGGAGGTCGTGGGCTTCCTGACGAGCCGGGTCTGGCCGGGGATTGAAATCGGCCCCGTGCTCGACGAGGAGAGCATCGTCCCCCGCAGCCACCCCGAGATCACGCGGCAGGTCATCCGGGGCTGGATCATGGGCCTGAATGCTTGGGAGCTGGCCGGCCTAGAGCGAGGGGTCTTGGCCGGGAAGGGGCTGCTGGGGGCGGCGAGACTGCTAGTCGAGTGGAGCGAGGGCTTCGCGGGGTTTGCAGGAGCCAACGCTCGAGAAGAAACGAGCAGAAGCCAACGGTTTGGCGTCGAGGAGGCAGCGAGGCTGGCCAGCATCGAGGTCGACTGGCAGACACGCAACTGGGGCGAGGTCGAGGATACACACGACGTCGAGAAGGAGGATCTCAGGCGCCAGCTTGGCAGCGTGATTCTTCTCGTCAGCGGAACGGGACGGAAGTAAGTCGAGCCAGTTGCGGCTCTACTGGCTGGGTGAGTGACGTTGGAGAACTATCACCACCACCACTGTCTCGCTTTTGAAGTCCATCGCGACGCCACATGAGCAGAAACTCAAATACAGGAAAATCGGGTAGTCTCTGGGCCAACTAGGTACTATGTGCCGTGTGGGGAGGGCTATTTACATACCTAGAATTGATAAGATGGGGGGCTTACGGTATAAGGGGATTGGCAAAAGGACGGCATTTGTACTCGATAGTAGCAGATCAGATAGTGTATAGTTGCCCCGTGATGGGAAAGTCAACCCATTTAACCAATCCCTCTTTTCTGGGGCTTCGCAGGATTCGCAGTAATTACCTAGTTGCGGGCTGAAGATCACTTCAGCCAGAATCATGGTATGAGATGCGGGGCAGAACCAAGCAGTCTAGGGGTATGTGAAGATAAGAATTTTCCTGGGGTGCCAAGGGCATATAAATGACATTGGGAGCTAAGAGGCGGCAGGTGTTACTAGGCTTCTGTAACTTGACTCGGCAGTAAAATACAAAGGGTTAGGTTTACAAATTATGTAGATAGTAATTTCAGGGAAGGGGGATGGCTGGGAAAAACGCGTACCACCTTTACCAACACCCACCCAGCAGTAAAGTCGAGGTAATTGATGGTTTAAATCATTCTTTTCTTACTTACCCCGTGGCTATAGAAACTCAAACAAAGGTTTCTCTAAATGCTATATATAAACACGCCTACGTCTCAAATTGGAAGGATACCGATTTTGCTGTTAATGTTGTTGCTCACCAAGGTTATGGTGAATATATATTGCACCCCAACGGGCAAGTTAGGCATCGTGAAGTAACGAGAGTAGCTACTGTAAAACATTCTGTATTTCGCAACTTACCAGTGCATCTTTTTTACTTTCAAATACCTTGGTTACCTTGTATATTCGCTTCATGTGTGAACTTCTCACATAGTTGATATTTACCTACAGTTAGTGTCGATCTTTGATAGTGCTTATCTGATAGGGAAAAAAAAATGATATGTTGGAAGTGTTGACTTATAAATTCACCGTTCATACCGTGGAAGCGCTGTTTCATTTATCCTGTTGTTAGAATACTTAGGTTTTGGATGCTTCTGTTTCATGCTTAGAATGTAGTGCCCTTTACAAATGTCAGACCATATCCTATCTTTAGATACGTAAGCTATCAAGTTATAGGAATACCTATAGCAAAGGGCCTTAGTTAAGAATGCCTATCTTTGCTATTCTTGTCCCCTCTTTACTCTTAGTATTATCAGTTACGTATATTATTAGTTGAGCTGGAGGATTCAGAGGATTGCTAAAGTGCCACGCTACGTACTGGTGAAATTCTCTGGGTGTGTTTTGTTAGCATTATTGTTGTTCGGGTAGCTTAAATTGAGATGACCCAACCATCATCGGATTAGCAGTGCGGACTGAGCAATGGAGCAATGTGTCAGCAAAGTATGTGTGATTCATTGCGCGAATTGACAGAAACTTAACTCCTTAGAGTAACAGGAAGCGACGTTGACAATCACAGCCCGGCATCTTGCAAGCGTTCACCTCATTCATAAATGCAAGACAATACCTGAGGTATTACGTGTATATATAGCTGTAGAAAGGCCTTCGGCCTTCTTTAGGTGCCTTCTAAAGAGGCGAGCAGGTTAAGGATTGAAGTGTTCAATATCTGCCATCCGAACCTTCCTCTCCAGATGGTTGGGTGGATACGCAAGAAGAACAAGTCGGCGCCATGGCAACGCGCGACTTCACTACTTGAGCACTTCACTGATTTGCCTCGATCAGTCACTAGAACTTTGACGCGTTTCCGCCCTAAACACCTTCCACCGTAACATTCACACCTAACATCCGTCCTTGGACAACGTGGAAACACACCACCCACCTCCGAAAACCATCAACCTTCCAGTGCGAACATTAATCTGGCAACCTGCCACGCCGTATCTTGTTGATCCCCACCCAGAGAACCTGGCTAGGTGCCGAGGGTTGTCCCTCATAGACTGTCCCTTTCCTCCTTCACGTCTTCCTTTCCTGCCGACAGCCCTTTCCGGTTGACATCCCAGACTTGTCGGTCGCTCAGGAGCAGAGAGAGCATTGCATGCATCGTGTGTTTAATGACTGCTTGCACCTCCGGGTTACGCATCCGCGATCCATTGCGCGATACTCGACCAGAAAGACATCCAATCTTATTCGTTACTACCTGACGCCACACGCCTTCCCAGAGAAAGTCCAGTCCTCGCCAAGAAAGAAAATGAGTGCTAGCTATCCTGAACGCCGAAGCGGCAGCGGCCATGGAGGTCGTGGTAGTTTTGGAAGCCGTGGACTCGGGAGCGGCCTGCAGGCAAACCAGCAGCAGCAGCCTGTAGATGATTCTGGTATCTACAGCCTACAGGAGATCGAGAACCATTTCTTAGGTCCATCGTTAGCAGAAAAGAACGCAACTGGTCAACATGTGTCATCTACTTTCAACGACACCAAGACATACCCCGGGCAATTGTCTTGCATGGTTCTTTATAGCAATGCTAATCCTCGCTGGGATGCCGATCAGATCGTCTTTGCCAAGTCACGACTGGACTTGCTACCCGAATATACCGCCAAGAAAGCCGAGCATGGCGAGTGGCAGGCCCCTGACTTTGTAGAGTTGGTTAGGTCTGCTATGGAGAGAGAAGCTATTGCCGCTGGCAAGAAGAACGACAGTATGAATGCCCCCCCCCAGCTTCGGAGAGAGCGCCTACTAAAGTTACTAAAGAGAATATGAACACCAATTCGGCTGGCAACGAGGCCGAGGAGCCGGAGAAGGAGCAAAATACTCATCCGGGACAGACATACGCTCGAGAGCCTGCTATCTCCTTGCTCCCCTCCATTGCGCCTATCGACTACACCCCAACCTCCTCTGTACCCATCGCCGTCTTTAAAGAACACCGTAGCTGCTATCCGTCCCATGGCACTACTGGCGGTGCCCGATTTGCTTTCGTTGGCTGGTACACGGCGACTCGCGTCAATATTCTCTCGCCTCGCTCTGCCGAGCTTGTGCGAATGCTGAAGCAGAAATGGGATCGACGGGACCGATTCGGCAACATTATCAGCGGCGAGACGAGGGTTCGCGACACCGCTTCCTGGAAGACGTCGCTGGCCCAGGAGTGGGCAGTTGTCAAGTTTGAGAAGCTTCCTGGCGAGGGCAAGGGCGTGGGCCAGGCCCAGGCCCAGGCCCCAAGATTGGTAGCCCCGTCCCCACCTGCGATCGAGAAGCTGTCGCTGGCAGAGCCGAATATGGAGGAGAAGCGAGCGGAGGAGAATACGAAAGATCTAAACACGCCAGAGATCCAGTAGCAGTCAGAGAGAAAGAAGGGCCAGTGCAACGCCATGTGAGCGTTTGGATGTCTGAACATGCTGCTTGGAAGCCATCTCCTCGGCTTTTTTTCCCATCGTCGTCCCTTTCGCCATTCAATTCTAGAAAGGGTGACAGGGCTGATAAGAAAAGAGAGAGGGTGTGAAAGGAAAGGGAAGAGGAAAGTAGGAGGAAGAAGGGGAGAATGACCACACGGAAGCTGCGGCTCGCAGCGCAGTGCTGAGGAAGATTTCACCGCCTCCCGAACCTGTTCAGCTGGTTCTTTTGCTGGATTGTTAGGTCTTCAGGACATGGGGAAAGGGAAAATTGCGATGTTGGTTCATGGTGTAGGATTCTCTGTACTAATAATCTGATAGCTCAATTCGAGTTGCATGCTAAATAATAGCCTTGATTGATTCGATTTGTGACATTTACGAAGCTGACATTCCCCCGCGAAGAGCTGGATAGGACGTCGTAACAATAGATAAGGAGCAACCTAATCTGCTCTTACGCCCGTCATACATCTCAGGCAGCCATTTTGCACTAGATAGAATCCTCGGCTAGACGCTGCTAATCGGGTGGCCACGCCACCCATTCCAAGATAGGAAAACAGCTTCCTTCCTTTACACATACTTGCCCAGGAAAGTCAACACGGTCTGGTAGCCGCGGACATACTCTTCCTTCACATGCTCGTCCTCAAGATTGGAGCGGGCAGCCATCCAGCCGTGAATCTGATCGGCGAAAGTCTCAATGTGTTTGGGACCGGTAAGATTCCGTTCGAACTTTTCGACGTCCTCGGGTGCCTCATCCTTAGATGCCAACAAGGCAAGGGGGACCTTGATACGCTCGGCGTCAGAGGGGTCAACCATGGCTGGGTGGCATTCGACGCCTGCTTTGAAGATGGTGTCAGGCGATGAGGTTACGAGCGAGACGACCTTGCCTCCCCAGCAGTACTGTGTGGAAAATGTGTCAGCCTGGGCAGTTTTCAGAACAAAGGGAACTTTTTGATATTCACTCACGCCAAGGATGGCCCAGCTCTTGATCTCCGGGTGCTTGGCCGAGACAGCCTTGACGTAGTCGGGAACCTTGGCGGCGACGCTGGGAGGCGAGTGTTTCTTGAAGAAGGCGCCGAGGTTCTTCTGCTTCTCCTCCGTGTCGGGGGGAAACCACTCAATGGGGCACGGCTTGCCCTCGAACCAGTCCGGCATAAAGATCTGATACTTCTGAGAGTCGTCCGAGGTGGACAGGATATCAGCGCCCTGCAGGGTTTGCGGGAAGTACCCGAAGATGTCGTAGATAGTAATTATGCCCTTGTTCGCATCCTTAGGGCCGGTTACATCTGGCACGGCAGGTTAATATTGTTGCGGCCACAGGTCCCGAATGGCCTTGGAGGGATGTCCTCGGGGCAGGGGTAAAGTAATAACTGACATGTGTCGAAGCCCCCAATCTCCTCATGGCTGCCCTTTGGGGTGTAGCCTTTGGCGACGACTGGGGGGATGTTGCAACAGGCCTCGGAATGGCCGTGCTGCGCCGGCATGGTGGACATCTTGGAGGCGTGTCTTAGCGGAGATCGCGTAAGGAGATGGTCTCGACGGCGGCTCGGCTGGGAGGCGAAGTTCCTACTAGATGAAAAGGGAGGCGGCGACGAGGGCGGCACCGAGGAGGAGTTGCAATTGGAGGTGGGGTTGGAAAAAGAGGAAGATTGCGGATGGGCGTGAGGTGAGGTGATTGGCGGGGGAGCTACTAAGCTTGAAGCGGCAGCGGCCGCTGCTCTGCGGGAGTGCCTCGACAAGGACATACCTATCGGCAAGGGGCTGCTGGTAGGTACCCGGGTGGGCAGACGATAGACGATGGACGTACGAGGCGGGACGTCGATTGGAAAGGAGGCAGAGGTGGGTAGCTGGCCAGGCGAGTACATGCAATCGGTACGTTCCACGCCGGATGTTAGGGCGGGCAGGCGTATCTTCTACGGTTACCTTCCTTCCAACCTACCTCCTCCTAGGCACCCCCTATATATGTCCAACGAGGTAAGGTAGGTAAGTACAACACAGGTACATTAGGTGCCGAAAGTACCGACTAGTATGACGGAAGCAAAGAAGTGTACCGTTTGCCATTCATCCGGCCAAATTGGCAGATATTTCTTCCAGTCTCTAGGACAGAGAGAAGGATATTGCATATAGGTAGGTAGGTAGAAAATACGATTGTATCACTGTTGAGGTGGAGGAAAAGGGACGCGACGACAAGTTATTGCCTCGAACCGCTTAGAAGGAAGAACGAGAAACAGGCTGACGATGAACGAACACGGCGAGTTTGACACGTCGACGTCCAACAGGTACCTCCCAAGTTGACTGCTCAAGTTGACAAATGAGGGGGGTCGCCGTCCATTTCGGCGGTGGTGCGACACACGAGGTGGGGTAGGTCGTCACGATAACTGGTGTGATGTCATCGTGAATCGGCGCAGCGGCTGGCACCTGGGCTTCGGCTGCCACCCAATCAGGCTATTCCTAAAACAGCTAGCGTGTTGTCTTTTAACCTTCTTCCGCGTTGCCAATCTCCCAGATCCTGATCCTGATCCCGAGCAGCATCCCTCGTACCAACAAATAAGCGGATAGGGGCTGTAGGGCTGACAACCTTACCCCTTCTTCTTATTACGTCGTCCAAATCTGAGACCTGCTCAAGTCCATACCGCCATGGCTTCACACCGAGACGCTGGTAGCGAATGGATGCTAACTAGGTAGGTATGCAACTACCTGGCCAAGTACTCCAACAACTTTTGCCGGTAAACGATAGTATACATATGTTAATACATAATCGAAATTCCACCCCCCCCCCTTACTCCCCGGGCTGCTTCTAACTCCAGTCAGGGGGCAACTCAGTTCGTCTCGTCCCGTGGCTGACAGCCGGTGAGATAGGTAGATATTCCCCATCGATCCAGTTGTATCTCCACTCGGAGATCAGACCACCGTATCCTGGCTGTTCTCAACAATTACTTTACCTCCTAGGGACTGGGCCTTGTCATCCCTTGCTTCTTCGTCGTCCAGCTTTGGATTGCCCACTGCGCCGCCTTTCTGCGTGTGACGGAGATAAGCAAACGCCAGCTTGACCACTATAACGGGAAGCAGACAATCGTTAGCCCGACTCCTGGTTCCCAAAGGATCCGACAAGTCGCATTGGCCTCGACTCAGCGGCTGGAGACTACAAGGCTGGAACGGCTAACAGAGCGAGCGAGGGAGCGTATGTCATCGCAATTGACTTACTGAACTTTTCATCCTTGAGCTTCAGGTTGGAGACGGCTCTCTCCTCGTCGAACCAGTGAGTCGAAAACTTTTCTTGGTCTTCTTCCGACATCAGGCCCTCGTCACGTTCGATACCGTGTAACGGCTCGGCCGCGAACCAGTAGATATGTCTCCACGCACCGGTGGCCGGGTCCGGATCTAGACCTGTGTTAATATTCTGTTTCGCGAAAACAAAAAATGCCTTCCTGGGGAGGCGGTAAGAAAGGCGTGACTGAGAGCTTAGAAACGTACTGCGTAGGTGGTCAGTTAAGTTTGGACATCGACGAACCTAATAAAGTGCAGGGAGGGAAGCCATGCGATGCTGTCTCACATACCATTCGCTTACACCGATAGTCTCGTTGCTGAGGCCCATTGTAATTCCCGTGTACTTATCCTCGACACCATAGTCGATATCTCTGATCTTGGTCTGCGCCGACTTTGGTGGCGTTGATCTGGACCCGAACTTCAGCTGCAGTGGTTGAGTGGCTACACCTGTCTCCTCAGCAGTCTCACGCAGGGCGGCGTCGAGGTACCCCTCGTCGAAATTTTTGCGCCCCTTGGGCAGTTGGAATATGCCGATATTTCGGTTCCAGACCATCAGTACCTTAGGAAGTGGCGCGTCTGGCTTGTCGATGGTCACGGTCCCGCAACTGACTAACATCTCGTCAGCCCGATGGTAGCGTCCTTCTTCTTCGATCATCTTCCAGACTTGGTCACCCTTCCAATCGACAGGGTGATTCGGGTCATTCCTGGCCCATAGTTCCCGTCGCACCAAATCCCCGAATTTCCTCATAATCTTCGTCGCGCCCTTGGATTCGGGCTTGACAGCCCGGGCAGCGAGGCCCTTTTTCGCCGCTGGCCAGTTCGGCTTTTCGTGAGGTCCGTGAGCCATTAGTAGCTGTTGACGCCAGCGCTTCGCTGGCAAAAATCAGTTATTTCTAACAGTTGAACGCTATGTGCTGGGTGTGGCGGTCATGAAGCGGCACTCGCCAGATCCACAGAGTGCCTAGTTAGTCGAGAGCGACAGAGACAGATTGAGGTTTGATATCCTGGTTGGCGACCTATCCTATTAACCCGACTCAGTTCGAATCGGAGTAATTGGCCATAGTCGACGTGGTTCGTTTGCTAATCTCGCTCGCGCGGTGAGGTTTGCTTATATATATACCGTGCCATTTGCATCTTTGGGCTCGCAACCTGTATCCCCCCCTCCGGGCCCCTATCACATCGATCTACAATCCTGGTCAATAAACGGGATATGTCGCCTCTCGCCCCTCGTGAGACCAACCAGGACAGGTATTGAGACCTAAAGCAGGCGGCCCTCCGGTTACGTTTGGCAAGGCCCGAGATGTGAGCGACCGAGAACTGGGGATGCGCCCTCGAGCTTATTCGTGGAGACACCACCAAATGGATATCGACCATAGTATCCAGAGCCATATTCTCCGAATGGCGTCTATGCCGTCAACGTCATGCATAGTTCTTGCATGGAAAGTCGCGGCTTTGGTATGATGAGTCAAATCCGCGATCCCCAGTCTATTTGACGATGCTCCACGGACGCTTGCTGGTACTGCACACCCATACGCAAGGGAGGCTTGCGTAACACCCCACAGAACGTGGGTATTCCCTGAATGACAATTTCCTGCCGCCGAGCGCACAAGTGGGAATGTGACTTGCTGTCCTCGTTGTCGGAATGTGCCCCCATCGAGGGATTGACCGGCCTCGAGAGATAAGCAACCGCGAACCCCTATTCGACGTTACCTGACCCGCAAGATGATCAGTTGTCGCTTTTCGAATGGCTCGGTTGTACAATATGAAGATGGGGATGGACCTAGACGTCGACCGGTGGGTTCTCACAGCGCAACACAGGGGGATGGGATCAACGGTATCATGGGACTTCTAGGATTCCCATCTCTAGTTGAATGTTGTGCGAGGTAGGTGATTCCATAAAACAGGGGCGATTCAGGTCACTGGAAGGTCCCCGAGGTCGTTTATATCAACCCGTCCAATGGACAGCATCCACTTGATCACTTCGTCTAATGCCCCCGTCATCCCGGATGATGTAAGACAGGGTGCATTCGCTACGCCGACTTGCGGAGCATGGTCTTTCTACCCGTCTTCAGCCCTTCTCCGGGGCTTCAGACCTCCTCTCTCACAAAACTACGACCTCGGGATGACTGCGATTGGGACGATTGCCTTTCTCACGGGGTCGCCAGTTCACTTAGAGACGGATCCCGTGGCTGGACGATCCCTAAAACTCAAGCCAATCCATGTTTGGCGTCATTATCTAAGCCAGATGTTATGCGTATCGGCGTTCATCAAAATATGGTCCCACAATCTCTTACGGCAGAGAAGACATATGCCGCTTTCTTGAGCCTCCTAGCAAAAGCAGCCGGCCAGATATAGATCCGAAGACCCGTGTAAGGAATACGCGTGTAATACCTGATCGTTCACCGAACGGAGTTAGGCTCATCACCAATCCGGCCATGCAATACCCAGAAAAGCAATCCAAGGCCGGCGTATAGCTGACCCCTAAAGAGCACGCTCGTCTCCTGAATATAATTCATCTCTAGCTCCCGGGTCTGGGTTGTCGGCCACGTGTGGTCTACGACAAGACCCTAGCCATGCCTTTTCATGTGGGTTAGATGCCCCAGGTGCATGGCATGCTCGAACGTGCCGGCCAGTCATCGGAGGCTGGAAGGTGTCGAGTCAGGCTTGCCACAACATGGGGTAGATGTTCATTGAGGCCTTTCACACCCCTCTTCTTTCCCGGCCCGCCAAAGAGCAGTGTGGTAGGCTGAAGATCGTGTTAACCGCTGCCCATTGCCCTAGCCGCTCGACATACTTCCTACCAATTTCGTCCGTTACTACAATGCGCAGTACGGAACAGTCGCCATAGCTAGCAGAGCGTAGCGAAGCGCGTTCCTAATCGCCAAAGGCAAAAAAGCAGTCGAGAGGCATGTTGCCTGTCATTGAAGTTCACCCTGGCGCCAAATTCCAGGTAAGCGGAAGATGTTCCTAGTGGCGACAGTCTAGACAAACCTGGGGCTGTCGAGCCCCAAGGGTCTTTTCTGGTGTAGCGGCTGAAGGTAGCCAATCTGTTACCAGCACGTTGCCAGCACACCATACCTCACACCTACCGACCTTTGACCAACCCAGCGGGGAGACGGGATTGACTCGCGCACGCACGCATCGGGCCGACCTGGTAGGGTCATCCGGGCGGCAGTCTCTAGCGTTCTCTTTGGATATGGTAGAGCCCAAAGGTCGACAGGGCCTCGAGAGCACGGCAAGCGAAAGCATACGTGAAGAACAAAGGCCCAAAGCCCCGGTCGGGGACGCGTTGAGGGGTCCGACCGAGAAGCCTACGAGACGAATGAAGCCGGCTAATCGAACCGAACACACATATGTGGTATCCTGCATCACACAGGGTCCCTCACGTACCTTGCGTGAAATGTTACAACCGAGAGACGCCACCTCCAAAACGTTGCTGGGCATCCTTCCCTCGGCGTGACACTGCCGTCACGCCGACAACTAGAGGAAGACCCCGCGCAATTACCCAGCTGCTCATCGCTATTTTAACGAATTCTCCGTTCCTAAGAATCATGCTTATTTTGACCTTAGACAGCATCCGCCGTTAAGGAGAATTCCGGTGCGCCTCTGTTCTCTGAAATTACCTACCAGAGGAGGGTGCCCAACAGATTCGGGCCGCCCAGCCCGTCCTTGTCACAGATGGCGAACAAGTACGAAATTCGATATTATCTCAGGCCGCTGACACGAGGAGCGGTATCGATCACCAACCCAAAGACAGAAACGATTGGGTTGATTACACACGCACAGCATGGACGAGCTGCAGACATCGTCTCTCGAATGAGTATATCGCCCCCATTCTCCGTGCCGCACCTAACCCGCAGGTGGTAAGTCGCGATATCGTTGATTGGCTGGACCTTGGGGTCGCAATGGCGGCCTAACAGGTAGGGGAGGCTTCGGAGTCACGGCGCGAGATTCTCACCACGCTTCCTGCTTACCGTCAACGTGCCCGGACAGTCTACAGCCCTCCGCATATCGTCGCAATGCGCTTGATAAATGTCAGGACCTTTAGAATCCATCGGTTTCAGGGTCGTAATGTCCCACCCTACGCTATCCTCTCGCACACATGGACTAAGGATGAGGTGAGCCTGCAGGACTGGCACGCCGGGAGGGGAAAACCTAAGCAGGGCTTCAAGAAGATTCGCTTCGTTTGCGAGCAGGCGAGACGGGACAGGCTGGGGTGGGCCTGGGTGGACACATGCTGCATCGATCAGACCAGTAGTGCGGAGCTCAGCGAGGCTATTAATTCGATGTACCGGTGGTATAGGGAGTCTCACGTCTGCTACGCCTATCTGGAGGATGTAATGGGCAGCGAGGATAGGGAGGTACGCAGACGAAAGAAGACGAGGAGAACAAGTGGCGGAGATGGCATTGTTTCTGACGAACCGGTAGCCGCCGTTGCAGCACCCCTCTGCGCAGCACCCCTCGGGGAGATTCCGGGCTCGTTTCCAGACGGAATTCCAGACTAACTTTCGGGAACGGTACCAGGCGCAGTTCGAGGCCTCGAGGTGGTTTACTAGAGCGTGGACATTGCAGGAGTTGATCGCACCACGGAATGTCGTCTTCTACGACTGTAGATGGGAGAGGATCGGGAACCGCAGCAAGGGGAACATTGCCAAACTCATATCTACCATCACGAATATTCCTCTTGGCGTCGTGCAAGGCACACAGTCGCCGTCTCAATATAGCGTCGCCCAGAAGATGTCCTGGGCGGCCCATAGATCGAGCACGCGCCCGGAGGACGTGGCATACTCTCTGCTGGGACTTTTTGATATAAACATGCCTCTCCTGTACGGAGAGGGGGATAAGGCCTTCGTCCGGCTCCAGGAAGAGATCCTGAGGGAGACGGATGACCATTCGCTCCTTTGCTGGACGGTGCCGAGCTCGAGCCCTAGAGCATGGACACTCGAAGGTATTTTCGCGAAGTCCCCTGATGATTTTGCAGGATCAAGTGATATCAGAGGACATCTTTTCGACTCCGGCTCTCCGTCTGCCGTGACCAATAGAGGCCTCCAGACTCGCCTCGGCCTCGCAGAACGACGCTATGGCGATAGCTCCCACCTCTACCACGACAACGCCGCATGTTCTGTCTATGATGCCGCGCTAAACGCTGGTAGATATGATTCGAGAAACATTTGTGTTAGCCAGGTCTCGATCATTCTAGTTCGGACACCACAGATCACGTCGCGTCACCTGCAGTCGATCAATAGGTACGCAAGGCTGGTAACGTCTGAGCTTGGACTAGTCCAAATGGAGGGACACCACGCGGAAGAAACCGAGGCTCTGAGGAGCCAGGCCGAGCTGACATACATACACAAGACACTTCTCAGCTGGGAACAAGATCGATTTGGAGTCGGCGGTATCCATCTGCAAAATATCCCAATCTGCAAGGCTCTTGTTCCATTCCGCCAGTCGCCGGAAGGCAGCGGGCAAATTTGTGACTACGCGGTAAGCGCTGTATTACATTCCGAGGCGACGGGAATACTTGACGATGCCACCACCGTCGACGTGACTACAAATCCTCAGGACTCGATCACCTGGTCTCCGGTATACGGCTGCATCCGGTTTGGAGAGAAGCTCAGTAAGACACCGATGTTGCCATACATCGTGGTGTTCAAGATGAAATCGCCCATTCGGCCAGAGTCGTTTGATATCCTTCTCGCCTGGGACTCGCAAAACATCCACTTCAGCCTCGGCCCGGGCACGGCGCACTCCTTCGCAACCCAAACGCGCAAGAAGATAATAGGCTGGCCTAATCATCGGAAGCGCCAGGGAAATATCTGGGAAATGTACGGCGAGGTAGCGAAAACGCGAGAGGTCATCGGCGACTACTGCGCCGAGCTTACACTGATACGAGAAGACCCGAAGACCACCGCGGGAGAGGCAGCGGGCAACCGACTTCACCTGCTGATCCGGGCCTCGATCACCAAGAAAGAAGCCGACTAGGCGAGATCGCAGGGCCTGGGTGCGCCCGACGGGCCGCTTGTCGGTGAAGTGCGTAGAGGGAACAGTATAAAAATTAGTATGCATGCATGCACTATGCACACATACACATACATACTTACATTTCTGCGCATGCCTATATTCCTATCCATTTATATGCGTCCGTCTTCTAGTGTAGGATATGGCCTGCGTGGAAAGCAGTGTGCAAGGGTGGTTGGTAAGGGGGTGGTAACCACGATTCGCACCATCTCGATCCACTCACCTTCTACGTGTAATGTACTGGAAACAAATACATACATCTCTGCGAACACGAGCTTAGACGCATCCCTCATGCTATGTTTGAATCCGTACGCACATCACGCCGCGAGATGGGCATACTCCTTATTGAACGCCCTTCCGATCACCATGCGGCGGATCTCTGACGTCCCCGCGCCGATCTCGTATAGTTTAGCACTAGGGAAAAGTGTTAGCAGCGAGACGGCGAGAATTGAGACACGTGGGCATATGGGCGGATAGGAAAGAAGGGAAGTGGTGAGCCAACAGCCAAGGGAGGGGGGAGGAGAGTTAGGGAGACTAGGTCGGGCCAGCAAGGACGTACTCCCTCAGCAGCCTCGAGGCCGGCATCTCCTCGACGTAGCCCATGCCGCCGAGCAGCTGGATGCAATCGAGGGCGGATTCGGTGGCGCGCTCGGCTGCATAGAGTATGGCGCCGGCGCAGTCCTGGGTGCGAATGGCGTCACCCTCGTCGACGGCGCGGGCAGTGGTGTAGGTGTAGGCGCGCGACGCCTGCAGCTTCGTATACATGTCGGCGAGGCGGCCCTGGACGAGCTGGTTGTGGGCGACAGGGGCGCCGAACTGCTTGCGCTGGTGGACGAAGGGCAGGGCGACGTCGAGGGCGGCCTGCATCAGGCCGAGGGGCCCGGCGCTGAGCACGAGGCGCTCGAGGTCGAGCCCTTCCATGAGCACGCGCACGCCGCCGTCGACGGCGCCGAGGACGTCCTCGTCTGGCACGAAGACGCCGTCGAGCACGAGCTCGCCCGTGTTGCTGCCGCGCATGCCCATCTTGTCGAGCTTGCGCGCGCAGCTGAAGCCGGGCGACGCCGTCCGCACGATGAAGGCGGTGATGCCCTTGGACCCGGCGTCGGGCCGGGTCTTGGCGTACACGACGACCACGTCGGCGTCGGGGCCGTTCGTGATCCACATCTTGGTGCCGCTGAGGCGGAACCCGCCGTCGACGCGGCGGGCGACGGTGCGCATGCTGACGACATCGCTGCCGGCGCCGGACTCGGACATGGCGAGGGCGCCGACCTGGGTGCCGGCGATGAGGCCGGGGAGGAAGCGGCGCTTCTGGTCGGGGGTCCCGTTGAGCTGGAGCTGGTTGACGCAGAGCTGGGAATGGGCGGCGTAGCTGAGGCCGATGCTGCCGCTGGCGCGGGAGATCTCCTCCATGGCGACGCAGTGGGCCTGGTAGCCCAAGGCGAGGCCACCGACGTCCTCGTCGGCCGTCAAGCCCAGGAAGCCAGCCTCACCCAACTTCTGCCACATGTCGGGCGGGAAGGCATTGCTCTTGTCGGTGCGGGCGGCGACCTCCTCGGTGATCTCGCGGCGCGCGAACTCCTGCACGCGCTCGCGCAGCTCGGCGATATCGGCGGCCGTCGGTGGCACAAAGCCCTTCGGGTGCTTATTTGATTTCCTAGCGGCCGTCACTGAGAAATGACGGCTGTGGCTTCGTGTTGGTAATGATACCAGAAGTGGTACGGAGGCAGACGCAGATCGCAAAGAAGAAGGGGGGTGGGACAGTGCTGAAGACGGCAGCGCTGGATGATGCCTTGGTATAGCGAGATAGGATAGCGTTGTAAGTCGACGGGTAGGACAACCCCAGGCTCGGAATACCTTCTCACTACTAGCCATCATGCGTTGACACGGGGACTAGAAGATGCCGCAGTATCGGTTCACTGAATATTTGGTGGAATTTACAAACCGACGATGCCTTTATGATATGGTTTATTATTTTATCATTATTTTCTGTCGATGATCATCCGCCTGTTGAGTCCACGATTGGGATGGGAAGGAGATTTGCTTGTTTCGCCGCGATACGTACCTAGGTACCTACCCAGCGAGACCTGAGAGGAGCAAGAGCGGGCAGCCTCGGCACTTGTCGGTTACCACCGGCGGTGTGCTGAACCGCCGACGTCAGCTGGCAGCATCGACTCCAAGTCGTCTCTCATCCTTCCCTCTCTCTCCTCTTCCTCCCTCCCTTCGCAACATTGAACCAGAGCATCTCTTAACCGCTCCATGTAGCGTTGCCGACATTAAACAGCTGCTACTGCAGTGGCAGGACATACGTACATCCCTGTCCCTACCCGCCAACGTCTACGAACCACGTAATCCTCATCATGTCCGCATCCAGATACCAGAGGAGCCTGCTCAGCTTCCCACGCCAGTTGAGCCGCCAATGCCTTCGAACCCCTCGCCGGTTTCCTCATCGCCGTCTGTGTGCTCGAACTGTCTCGTCCTACACTGCCCCATACCAGGCAGAGGCTATATCGGTGATAAAGAGCAACGTGGATACGTCTTCGGACGAGTTTAGGGAAAATGAGCGGCTCATGGGCGAGGCGATGGCTCGCCTGGAGCTACTAACGAGCGCCGCGCAGCAGGGCGGGCCTGCGAAGGCGAGGGATAAGCACATCGCGAGGAAGAAGATGCTGCCGCGAGACCGTGTTACCTCCCTAGTAGATCCGGGCACGACCTTCATGGAGCTATCGCCCCTCGCCGGCCACGAGCTCTATCCCGAAGCAGACGTGCCCGCGGGGGGCATCATCACCGGCGTCGGTGTCGTAGAAGGCGTTACGTGTGTGATTGTGGCTAACGACAGTACGGTCAAGGGTGGCACATACTACCCGATTACTGTGAAGAAGCATCTGAGGGCCCAGGCTGTCGCTCAGGAGAATAACTTGCCGTAAGTTGAAACTGTGTATATATACAGGCATCCATCCACTCACCCATACATGCGTATATGTACTTACATCTGCACGTATACATGCGTGTGCATGTTTGTGCATATGTGCATACGAATGTGCGGTCTGCACTGAAGTATAGATAGAAACCTTTGGGGTAGATCTCCTGAGTCGATCCCGGTCTGACAGAGTATAGCTGCATATACCTAGTAGATTCGGGCGGCGCGAACCTCCCACACCAGTCGGACGTGTTCCCGGACCGCGAGCACTTCGGCCGCATCTTCTACAACCAGGCGAGGATGAGCGCCCAGGGCATCCCCCAGATCTCCGTAGTCATGGGACTCTGTACGGCGGGCGGGGCCTACGTCCCTGCCATGAGTGATGAGAACATCATCGTGGAAGGCCAGGGCCACATTTTCCTGGCCGGACCGCCGTTAGTTAAAGCTGCTACCGGCGAAGAAGTGTCCGCTGAGGAACTCGGTGGTGGCGCGATGCATACCTCGGTTTCGGGTGTCTCGGATTATCTCGCCGTAGACGACGCGCACGCCATCGTGTTGGCGAGGAGATGCGTCAGCAACCTGAACTGGCCGCGCAAGGCCGCGCCGTCGCCCCAAAGCTACTCTGAGCCTTTGTATCCGACCTCGGAACTCCTGGGCCTAGCCTCGACGAACCTCCGCAAGCCCTTACCGATACGTGAGGTGATCGCGCGGATCGTCGACGGCTCCCACCTCGCCGAGTTCAAGCGCGACTTCGGACCGACCCTGGTGACAGGCTTCGCAAGCATCTACGGCCACCGCGTGGGTATCGTGGCCAACGACGGGATCCTGTTCGGAACGTCGTCACAAAAAGGCGCGCATTTCATCGAGCTGTGCGCGCAGCGCGGCATCCCCCTCGTCTTCCTACAGAACATCAGCGGATTCATGGTTGGGGCCCAGGCAGAGCGTGAGGGCATCGCCAAGCACGGCGCGAAGCTGGTGACGGCGGTTGCCTGCGCTGACGTGCCCAAGTTCACCGTGGTGGTGGGCGGTAGCTACGGCGCGGGAAATTACGGCATGTGCGGACGCGCGTACGGACCCCGATTCTTGTGGATGTGGCCGAACGCGCGGATCGGCGTCATGGGCGCCGAGCAGCTGGCCAACGTGATGGCGTCGGTGAGCCAGAGGGGCGGCGCCGGCGCCGGCGACCCGGACCTGGTGAGCCGGATCGAAGGTGAGAGCGATGCTGTCTACTCGTCGGCGAGGCTGTGGGACGACGGCGTAATCCCGCCCCAGCATACGCGGCGGTACCTGGGCCTAGGCCTGCGGGCCGCGCTGTCGGGTCGGAACGAAGTGCGTCCCGGTGACACCAGATTTGGGGTCTTCCGGATGTAACCGCAGCATATATATATATATATATATATAGGTATACATGTATAAATATGTATGTATGTATATGTACGCGTGATACAGCTAGATCGGTGGGTCGATAGATCGGTGGACATACCTAGGTATATGCATACCTACCTATATATGACGAGCTTGAGGAAAAGGACGAGGACCGGGGCCTGGGGGAGTGGAGAGTAAATACGCGAATCTCCCGCCTACCGTCAGGTAGCCAGCCAGCCAGTTGATCACGGGTGATCCGCGGAAAGCATCAGTAAATTTAATATCGGGATCGGGACGCACCCGCGCCCTCGCCACCACGGAGGTCTCGGGTTGCTACATCACGGTGCCGGAACGCGTCCAATGGAAGTGCTCCTCCACCCCGGGAGCGACCAAAGCACTCGGAAGTTAGGAGTCAGGGGTTGGGGTCCCGTGGAACGTCTCTCGCCGCCTTGCTTCTCGGCCTCGCGGGCGCCTGCGTATGGTAGATACGACATATTCCCACCTAGGTACCACTACGCTCACCTGAACGAGGACTGAACGAGTCGTACGCATCGGGATCTCCCGGTCTCCCCCACCTCGCATCTCTCGTGTTGCCTCTCTCCGTCCGCAGCTCTCCACGCGATGCGGTCCTTCCCACGAGCGGCCCTAGCCTGTTTCGTCCCAAGCCAATGCACGTCGCCGCGGGACGACAGGACCAGGCGGGATAAATACCTAGGTGCCAGGCCGGTTAGGCTTCGGCGTGGCGCGGGCGAAGACGCGAGCGCACCACACGTGCCGACGTAGATCGCCCCTTGGGCCCCCTCGGCGAGAGGCGATTTTCAACGCAGGAATGGGAACGAGGCAATTCCCCTTTACCGCCACCCCCGTTTTCCTTTTGGGATTCTAGGTCCTGGTCCCTCTCCACATGGCTTCGTTGCCTACTTTGTTGCCTCGTCTGCCTTCTCTGCGTATCCGTCCGCGCCGGCTCTCTGCATATACCGACCCCTGGACCTCGTAAGGTGTTAGCGCATGGGGGAGAGCGAAGGCGGGATCCTTCTCGAGGTTGGTCCCTGCAGCAGCCGCGGTACGACCTCGTCGCCAGCGCGAGAGGGGGAGTGAAGAGAGAGAGAGAGAGAGAGGTTCCCGCAGCTCCCGGGGATAGACGGGACAGGCATTCGAGGCGCGCTCGTAAGGGCCCGCCCAGGTTGCCTGCGGGTGGCACCTCTGTGCCTGGGAGCTTACTGGGAAGCGAACGCGAGTCGCCGTCCTACCGCGACATTGCTCCTGCGTTAGGTCGACGGGATAGCAAGCGATATGCGGGCGCCGGGGGAGATAAGCTGACCCAGTTATTACCGCTCGATCCCGACCACACGGACGAAGGGGTAGGTATAAGCGTTTGACATGGGAGAGGAGGAGGAGGAGGGGCGGGCGCCTTTCAGGCCATCCCGTCAGATATGCTGGTTCCTCGATCCCATCAAAAGTCGGAGAAAAATCTCTGATCTCGACCTCGGACCAACCCGGCCGTTTGATAGGGGCAGGTCAGCCAGGGCTGGTGGGTAGCTACGGTGGCTACCTGTTGTTAGGTGACGAGCCCATCTTACGTTCACCAGACCCCCGTAGGATCCCCCGCCTCACTTGGCCCCCACACTCCCTCTCACTGGTGGTCTACCTAACCCTACCGAAAACACCTAACACCGGGGGCTCCGCTGCCAGGGGTGCTGCTGCAACGTAAGGTACTAGGCAGTATGCGCGCGTGCGGACAGGCGGGTTGGCGCGGTGGTGAGAAAGGCGGTTCTCGGGCAAGCACTTCAGGTAGGCGTGTAACCAGAGTTGGCTACGGTGCATCGTCGGCCCCGTTGTTGCTGATATGAGGATCGTCATGGCAAGTCAGCAACACTGCGCCGTAGGTAGTATCATAACACTTACGAGTCTCACCTGCGTGAACGAGGCAGGCAAATCTCACGGTCTCTGCTATGTGCGACGCCGCCTCTTCTCTTTTTTTTTTCTCCCCCTCTCTCTCATGTTCTCTTTCTCGCCTCTGCCGCTTAACCCTACCGTCTTGCCCCGATTCCCCGGTTCGTAGCCGGGCGCCGTAGGTACGTAGCAAGGGGCGGGCGGAATATTAGAGGCTACCTGCTTGTCGATTCTCTTCTCGTGCACCCGGAGCGCAGCTCTATGGCCCGCACCCATCCCGTCGATCCTACCAACGAGGATCTCACACATGCATAAGATATAAGATATAAACCGCCGTTTGTATGTGTAGGCAGGTATAAGCGCATTCAGCACACGCCGGATTTCACCGTTGCTCGCGCAGGATGCGAGACACCTAGGTAAAGGGTTCTAGAATGTGCGCACCGTAGTAAGCATCTGTGTAGCAGATGGCGAGCCAAGAGGATATTTCCCAAAGGGGCAAGGGAAAGGGGAGGCACGAGAGAGGGGAAGAAGAAGAGAAAAGAAAAAGAAAAAATGGACGACCAGCTGGAGACACACGTAGTAGGTAGCGCGCCTCTCTCTCTCTCTCTCTCCTAAGCCGTACCGAATTGCCTCTGGTGTGCTGGCGTGGCTGTCGGGGTGACATCGTCGATTCGCCGAGAACCCGAGCCCGACCTCAGGATCGGCCTAAGCAGTTTTCCACACCGGCGCGGCGCAACATCCATACAAGGGCATCGCACGGGCAAAATCCAGCCATCCCACGCCTACATACATGCATGGCACGGTTACCTCGCTGGGCTGGCCGACCCGTATGTGCAACATAATCTACCTACCTACCTACCTACCTACCTACATGTAGAATAATAATACCTTGGGTACCTACGTCGTATGCCACCATCCCAGGCGATAGAACCGCCTACCTAGGTGCCCCATACGCCGCAACGTAAAACAGGTACGCGAGGTCGCAGAGGGAGGAGGCGGGCGTGATGCGTGTCAGCAGAGAGGAGGAAAGGGGCCGAGAAATCACGTTGCGCCGCTCCGGGCTAGGGTGGTCTCGTCCCGGAGCGGTTTTTTTTTTTTCTTTCTTTCTTTCTTCTCCTTTCTTTCTTCTTCTTTTCTTCTTCTCCTTTTTTCCTTCCCCCCCCCTCCTCTTCTCCCCCCCCCCGCCCCCGCCCCCTTTTCCTTCTTTTTTTTTCAACCCCCTGACCTCTCAGTCCTGTTCCTCTCCCTTCTCCGCCTCCTCCTCCTTACCCCTCCCTCCCTCAGTCTTTTTCGCCCTCTCGTCTACCCCGGTGAGCCCCTTTCGGGTAGCGGCAGGAAAGGTGGGCGGGATAGGGCAACGCGGGCGCGTGGGGGGACTTCTATTGTTCTGGAAGACCTTGGCGCTTTTCCTAATCGGCGTCTGCCGCATCTATTATCTGCATGCATACATGCCCTCACACGTTGGGGACGATAGGTGTGCTACACACGTGTGAATCCCTTGTAGGTGGACATAGTCCGCATATATATACACACACGTATATATACACGTTGTCCACTGTCGTCCTCGTCGTTATTATACCTCTCTCTCTAAGCACATACCTATGCGCAGTGGCAGTAGGATGTCTTAAGTAGATGGGCATTGTCGGGTATATACCTGTACATAGGCAGAGGCCGACTAGCATATCGGAACCCGCTCATAACAATATCAGCGTCGTCGCCTCAGCGTCTCCCTGTATGACATGCTCAAATTCGTGTATGGCGTGCCGCGTAGTCGGGATACGACCGAAGCCATATACGGCGTCCTGCTTACATCTAGTAGGTATACTAAATCCAGTCCCGTGAGTATTGGTCTATTATGCACAGGCGTCGGCCGCTCCTCGTTTATACCCCAAGGTGCAATGCGCGTAGCCACCTGCTTCCAGGGTGACCGCTGTCCCATGTTGCTTGACCACCCCGGCGTCCTCGTGTTGGTTTTCCTGTCCCTTGGGTCGGGTCCCTCTCACTCGCTGAGATCTGATGACACGCAGTGTCGTAGATTGCGTAGAAGATATTTCCATATACGCGTTCACGTTCGCCCCGGGAAGTACACCTGGGCGCCTCCGTCGACAACACTGTGCTCCTGGTGGGCGAGCCTAGGGGGGCCCCGGCAGCTACCTGGTGACGGCAAGGGAACAACGGGGAAATTCTCGACCCGGGAAGTCAATCTAATCGGCCACTCAAGTTTAGCAATGCCCTTCTATCCTTGCAGCCACGCTTCGTCATGATTCCCAGGAAGGGCTTCTGATTCGGTTTGCGGCGGCATCCCCCCTGGTCCTATTGGAGTAGCTACGTACCGTGCAACCTAGGATCCATTAATCTGACCTCCTGACCCGAAGAGTCTGCCCAGGGGGTTCTGGACCACGCAAGGGTTCTCCTCATCACCCAGAATCACCACGCACTCGAACGGGTGAGACTGGACCGCTCAGGTACACAATGCCATTTTGTGAGTGTGGTTCGAGTGATAGACTGATAGCAATAGCGCAGCGGCGAAAAGCGGACAAACAGAAAAAAAAAAGGGAGAGGGCAGGCTTGCTACAACCGTCATCCTTCGTTTTTCATTGCTTCCGGATCTGGTTCGGGGACAGCCTAGGATAGCTGTGTATCTCAGAAAAAAAGTCTGCCAATGCAGTGAAGAGACAACGTCAAAGTACCCATTTGAGATTCCAGTGGCATGTATAATTAAAAACCAAAGCTGTAAACTGCCTTCGAGTCCGGCATCTTTGACCGCGAAGCGCTCCCCCGATACTGATGTTGTTTGGCAGACATGTAAACGCCGATGCAATGCATTTTATGTCAATGCCAATGCTTCCTCATAATCCCAACGCGCTCTTTTATCGTCCTCCTCTTTCCCTCCTTGCTGCTAAGCATCGCCGGGAGGAATCCGTGCCAAAAGAGATTAAAAAAATAACGCTGCTTGGATATACATATACACATATTAACTTACCCATTCCCTCCCGTTTTCGGAACTTCGTGATGGGAAGATTTTGCTCCAAGCTCGGCGTAACCATCGTAGAAAACGCCATATAAACGCGTAACTTGTAGCAGCTCTTAAACGTATGCAACCGTTTAAGCACGAAACTATCATCGGCGAGGTTTCCTCTCGCCTTGGCGCTCGAGTAGCAGGGTGAGCTGGCTCTTGGATCGACCAAGTGGTACGGCCGGTGTCGCGCTTGGTTGCGTAGGCGTAAATCGAGTATCGAGTACTAAACTTCTTGATCTTCGGGTGCCAGTCTCGACATCTTCTTCATTCTCGCGCAACATCCCAGAGATTGATTCGGCGACCGATGGATTCTCGTCGAATTCGATAATGGTTCCTTGGGCAGTAGCTGTGTCGACGAGGGCTGTACTGGACGCGACCCAGTTCTGAGGCGGAGCACGACGAGTCAGGTCCTGTGAGCTGCGCCGCGAGGAGCCCGTGTCCGACCTTGAACGAGCCATAGCCTGGGGGATGTTTGGACGTGGTCGTTCTTGCGTATCACTCCGTCTATGGGCCGTCCCACCCTGGCCCACCTTCGTACGGCCAAAGTCCTTAACAAGGGCCTGACTTTTCCCATGAGCTGCCGGCTCTGGCTGCTTCGCGCTACGAGATTCGCTCGAGGCCGCGGATAACTGGCTGCGAACGGTACTCGTCCGTGCAATGCTAAGCTTCGGGACGCTGGGCTTCGATGCGGTAGGTTTATCGGGCGGCTGAGACGCCGGACGTTTACCCGCCGCCTTAGAGCTCAATCGCTCACCACCTTCCTTCGTCGTCGAAGACGCTGCTTGGCCCGATTTTCCGGTGATCATCGGAGCCGAGTTCTGTGGCACAGGCTGTCTCGAGCCAGAGGAAGGACTTCCTTCTTTAGATCCGTTCTCGGAACCACCGGCCGCGGTGGCGGGTTGAGAGCTACCACGACGCGGCATGGCAGGCCTGCGCTTGGTGGTCGTAGAAGCTACGAACGCAGCAGACTTCTTCTTGGATGCTGAGCTTGCCACTTTCTTCTTTTCCTCTCTGACTATCGAGTTGTTAGACCCCCTCGAATCGCCGCTGGTGTTTACGGCCGTGCTCCCTGACGAGCCGAGTTCGGCATCTTTGCCGTCACCGTCACCGCCGTCCTCCCCATCAGATCCCGGAGGCGACACGAATCGAGCCGTAGGCCGCGGCCCGGAACTTGAAGGCCCCCTAGGCTTCTTTAAAATGGGATGTGGCTGCTTCGTCGACGACGGTGGCGCGTTTTTCGTACTCTTGGCCGGGCCCTTTGACGCTGGTTTCGACGGCCCACCCCCAGGGGTTTCGGATTTGGTTGCGTTGAACCCAACCGGCGTCTGGACATGCGAATCGGGCGAAGGCTTTGCAACTTGCAGTCAGCGTCTGGCAGCACGCAGCACCATCATACTCACCGGCTCATATCGGTTCGGCGGACCACGTAATTTGACGAAGCTCTCCTCCTCGGATATACTCTTGAAGAGCCGGGCAATCACTCTGCCGGGAAGGTAGCGACGGTCGCCGCCGAGGACGCGAGTCCAGAAATTCTCGAGCCGCCTCGCGGTGGGATCAACGAGTTCTCGGGACGTCGTAGTGAAGACTGCGATTCGATTAGTATGATCACATCAAACGTGGCTAGGAACTATCTTGACCATGACAAGCCGCATGTATCTGCTCTAGTGGAACGATATCGTACTTTGCTATCTCCTCGTAAATAGTGTTCCTATTAAACACAATGCCTTTCGGCAGAATCATGCCCGTCATCATGACCGGAAAGAACTGCGCCCAGTATCGTCAGCCTGGAAGCTCACCCGCACCGCGAGCCCCGGCAGCGACTAGGACCAAAAATACTATCGTCTGTAGTCCCACGGACCCTGCGATTCATAGTTGACACGACACGTCACGGGACTGGACCGGCGGGACTGGGTTTGAACAGCTCATTAGCTCGGGGCCGTCGCGTCAGCTGCCATGAAATATGCGATGGAAGGTTTAGGCTCGGACTCGATAGATCCTATTCCAAACGGGCAGTCTCACTCCAACGTGTCAATGCATCGAGCAGCTTAGGTAGAGTTGCAGCCTGTCCCTAAGCCCGTCATCGACGGTGACGGTGCGCAGCCAGCAAACACGCCCAATCCGCCGCGACAGGGGATAGGGAAGGAATACCGAGGCACGACCGGGAGAGTTGGGATCTGGTTAAATGTTTGCCAGTCCGAGATACGGCATGGGGGGGGAGGAAGGGCTCGGAGCGAGGGAGCGATCGTATATGGACAGGTACAGGTCCCACACAGCTCTATGGGGGCTGGCCTGGTAGGCGTAGGGGTACGGGCGGAGAGAGAGTGATTAAAGCTGAGACACAGCCATGGAAAATACGTAGTCGGTATGTAAGCCAGCGACGGGGACAGACAGACGAAAACGTGCAGGCCTCGGGGTTCGTTCCAATGCAGACAGCGCAAATGCCGAGACAAAGGCGGAAGAGAAGACAACAAGGGAGCTCGATGACGATGACGACGACGACGACGACGACGAGGGAGGGCGGAGTAAAAAGAGACCGAGAATAGGTGAAGGCGATTGAATAAAAAATATGTTTGGGAAAAACGAAAAAGAGAAAATGAGGAAAGAAAAGAAAGAAAGAAAAGAAAAGAATACGTCGACGGCTTTCAACGAGAGGGAAGGTGGGATTCAGCGCTTGACGGTTTTCAGAGCGAATTTTGGAAGCTTATGACTTGGGAAGTGCCGTCTGGGAGAAGATCTGGGCGTACTCAGACTATAGAGTGAGGTGGTAGGCAGGTACATATGTAATTTAGGTACCTAAAGCAGGTAGGCAGGTAGGGAAGGTAAAGGTTGTTGGCCAACCTCTAGGCTCTATACGTAGGTACCTACCTGCCTAAGCTAGCACCAGGAGGTACCTACTAGGGACCTACCTAGGTACCTCCTAGGCACCTAAGGTACATAAGGTGCCCAGCCTATGGGAGGAGGAAGAAGGGACGCATGCGATCCCGCGGCGAAAGAAGAAAAAGGTGAGGTGCCTCAGGCAGGTACACAGGGTAGCGCAAGCTTAGGGATGGAAATTACCTAAAGTAAATCGAAGGTGAGAGATGTTACCTGGGCAGGTCGGTGGAAGGAGAGGTATATAATGCACACATATATGGGTGCACACATATATGGGTAGAGGTATTAGTTCGATGCACGTAAGTGGACGGGACTTCGACGTACCTAGATACCTGCCTCTAGGTGCCTACACCTAAGGCAATGGGTGTGTGTGAGATAGGCTAAACAATAGAGACTACCAAGTAGCGCTGTCAGGAATCGAACCTGTCCTCTATTATCAAACCCACGGAGCTGTGTGTTGGCATCCGTTAGACCTGCGGGAGCACACTGGAAAGAGAAGAGGGACCTACCTTAGGTACTTACCTAGATACCTATGTACCTAAGATACCTAGGTACTACCTAAATCCTACGTTAGGTTGCCTATGAGTAAAGAGGTACCTAACCGAACCTACCGAACCTACCTACCTCTTACCCAACCTACCTGCCATGGAGAGGGGACACGCTACTTAATTTGCCTGACATATATAATAGAATGCCGCGCCGCGTGTGCAACTCCCCTGGCCGGCAAGGATACATTATATTAGGTTAGGTGCCCAACAGGTACCTAAGGCAGGGCTAGGGAGGGCACTTTTTCACCTAGGCCGTCCGCCTGGACCCCCGACTCCGCACCCTGTTGCTTTAGTACAAGCTCGTTAAGTGCCTAGATCCGGTTAGGTGCTTACCTCTGACAAGCGCCCTGCGGTCCACGGACGGCCAAGTCGAACGTGCTCAGGAGGTAGGAAGATACGCAGTGGAGGTCAACCGAGACTTTCGGTGCCGATACGACCTGCGGTCCGATACCTACCTACCACCGACCCAGGTACCCCCAGATACAGGTACACAACGAGCAACGCCCATTCCCTAAGCCCGCCGCAGAGCCGCGAATCGCCTTCCACCTTGGGTCTGGCAGGCCAGACACCCAGGTACCCAGACGGCAGGCACCCAGGTGCCACCCGTGGGCGCGACCTTTTAGAGGAGGTACCTATTTCATAGTCTAAAACCTACCCAGGTACCTAGCTTAGGGAGATCCATGCCAAGGGCACAAAGCTTTTTAGGCCCTACAGTGGGTATATATGGCCCGCTAAAGGTCTCCAGTATCCCGAGTCCAGCCCAGGTCCAAAATCCAGGGGGTTCCATTAAGCTTGTGGCTCCGACGTGCATCTATCATCGATACGTCCCCTTCCGCAGGCAAAGGCAAGGTTGGGTGCAGGCCGTGACATTATATACACCGTCACCTTATCTGGGCAGTCTGCAAGCCGACCGGAAAACCAGCCCAGCATGAGCCTATCACGGAAGCGCCCTCTTCGCCTTCACCTCCCCTCGTATCTCGTCCCTCGTTCTCCCTCTTCGCGAATCCCTCTTTTTTTTTTTTTATCGCCCATCTTCCCGCCCGTCGGCTTGGCGTTCGCGACCTATAGCTTTGTAATAAACCAAACTACTCGCTTGGGAGCCTATCACCACCGAGAGCTAGCCCCTGACAAATCTAACGAGGCAGTCGACCTAATCTTAGTTGAATTGGATGGCCTTAGGAGCTTCCTGGGCGCCGAAATTCAAGCGTGGCCGCTTCTTCTGTTCTTCCCTTGGCCCCGGACTACCCTCGGAGGCCAATCAAGAGAAACGGGACGACGTTAGTGGTAGACCTGGATCCGGGTCTCACGCTCGCTCAATTGTCAAATTGTTATTAGGTGGCCGAATTTACTTCCTCACGGCGTCCCTCGAGACCAAGGAACGGGCCACCGCAAAGTGCAGGGTGACCTCCCAGTAGAGCTCGCAGGTGCGCGCGGTCAGCATAGTATCCCGCTCCTGATTTCTGGAAGGATTCCGACGTACGTACCCCCCCAGGCTCGGCCAGAGGCGTCGACGACTTACATCTACAACCCCCCCCCCCCCCACGTTTTCGGCAGATCTAGCTACTATTGCTGGAATTGGGATTGGAATTGCCCAGTGTCTGAGAACTTGACGCCTAATCGAGGGCCTCCCACCGGCGATCCCGCCGCCGGTCTAATTAGAAGACGAGTACGGCTCCCCCGTTCTCACACTCACGTAGAGTCGATGAGGCCAGATTTCTGCTGCCATTAGCGGAAGGTCGTGGCGGGGCCTTGACAGGAGCGAACCTGGCCAATTCCTGTATTACCAGGAGACACCCTCATCGCCTCGTCACTTGACCTTGATTCTGTCGCTTGCTAGCAGGATTGACAGTCCCTTCATGTTCTAAAGTACCTAGATCGGCACTTGATCATTATCCGACCCATTTTCCTATACGTCGTGTAAAATCATTTCGTGAGACAAGACGTGACGGACCGTCAGCCGTCCCCATCGTCTCGAGCGCAACAATACTGGCGGGATGCGAGAGTAGAACTCGGGTGGATCCCCGCTCTGGCACTATGGACGCGGCGCGCGCGCTTCCCATCCAGCCAGCTTTCAGCTCCGTCGCACGCTCATCGCACACCGCCACATCGGATTTTATGCCAGTCGATTTTGGACGCTGTGGATGTTGTAACTACGGCCTTTCTCATCTCACCCGCTAGACCAGACAGCGGCGCTCTCTCCCGAACATGAGTAGTAAAGGGCTATTCGATTCGAGGCACGGAAGAGAGGCGCGGAGGCCACGGACCAGGCTACAAGGCAATTTCCCCGTAACGTGCGTTGTCAAGCAGCATGCGACGAGATCAGGCCTGCGTCGAGTAGGTCGTCTCCCTATTCCTGCGTGGTACCAGAGGCCAGCGAGATTTTCACGTCCGGACTGCACCTTCAATTATGCCTCACTCACTTTTGCAGGTCTTCCCCCGTGTCGAACCTCATGATCTATTCCTTGCGGGGGTCCTTTAAGGTCGTGTAACCTATTGAAACTACGTCGCCTTTCTTTTTAATTTTGCAACGATTTCTTTTCTGGTCCTTTTGGCGAGACCGGCAGCGATTGGATAGACGGAATCGTTTAAGCACTGGGGAAACAATCCCTGTGACCTCGTGGCGGAGGGAAAGGTCAACGATGGAGATTTCGCTTGCCTTTGAGCCGTAGGGGGACGCGGTATCCCGTCACTGGGCCGAGGTCGAATTAAATGGACGTTCCTCAGAGGGGTCACATTCAGTCGAAGGATAATAAGGCCTGTGTTCCCCGCCCTCACCGATCTGCGGCGCACAGCTCAACTCGACAGCGGGATCCGAAAAAGACCACAACCAACAGCACTTAGCGTATCCATTCCCGGCGGATACCATGTGCGGTTATGCGCCGGCACTCACACCGGCGCCACTCTTGCTGTCCATCTCGACAGTTGAACTTTCATGTGATATGCAATTTCTGTCAATTCCTGTCAAAAACGTGGCGCGGCGCTATGCGAATACTGCACTAGAAGACCACCGAATGCTACATGGATCTCCGTCAACAGACCTAGTTCCAAGCTAGCCACATCACTGCTTACGCCGGGTCGTACTCATTCTCCTCCTCCACGTTACCTGCTCCGGCTGAAAAGGATTGATTTGTAGGTGTTGATTCACGTGTAACGGCTGTGTCGCATCCTTTTTTTTTTTTTTTTTCCTTTTTTTTCCTCTTTTTTTCCTTTTTTTCCCTCTTTTTCCTTCCTCTGTACTACCTTTTTAGGGGAAGCTTCCTCTTTAGGAAACCGGCGTGCGCCGCTCTCCTGATTGGTTGCGATGAATCGGAACCCGGGCACGGGGCTCGGTGATCAGTGATCGCCTACCTACATATGTGCATCTCTACGCGGGGGGAGGCCGCGTCGAAGGCGAGAGTATTACTGTCTTGTCAAGTCCAAGCAACCTATCATTTCACAGCGCCGAAGCCTTGGTATGTCTTTAAGCACTTATAAGCTGGAGTGTGGCCATGCCACGCTTTTTCCGCGCCATTAATTGCCGTATTAGGTATGTCAAGACTCTGGTTGACCCGTAGGAACACACACGCTCTCCGCTCAGCAAGGCCGATCTCTGCCACATTCTCACTCATCCAGTCCACTGGCGAACTGACCGAAAGTTAGGATGTCGCTTTCGCGGCCGATCACGCAAAAGGAAAAAAAAGAGCTCCGGGAGGTGCTATAGCGGTCCCGACTGTCTAGACTAACGGATTGTGATATTAGATAGGTATTCCTACTATACCCCATCTGTCATTCTCCCCTGCTCAACCGCGACCCTCTTATCTGTGGAAATTTCCCGGACGCTGCTCGCTAAGCCTAAGGCCTTCAGGGGTCACACCAGAATGACTCGCATCCCACCAGTATGTTGACCTAGGCCTCGGCGAGGCCATATCTCGCTATTGTTACAACGAGCCGCCGCACAGGAACAGTGGTCCGCGGCTGTCTGTTGCGGGAGGCTACACTACCTACCTATTCTGATACGGCACCGGTTACTATGACAGTAGATCAATCTCTACTTTTCACGCCCGTCAATGCCTGCCTGTTAGGCAACGCGGAGTGCGAAGGGCATATCGCGATCCGGGTAATTATGCCAGTATGATATCGCGGCAATCGCATGAGACCAGTCAACCTAGCCTGTCACCCAGGAATTTGTTGAGTGGGAGAGTGGGAAGAGGAAGGGGAACAAACAGCGTCATTTTAGCTGGGGAGAAATGGGAGAGGGAATTAAACGGAATTCTTCCCCGGTTGCGTGCCCCATCACCCGAGCGAATATTTACATTAGTCAGCGTTTGGAATTTTAAATAGTTCTATCCATCTTCAGAAACCGCTCAGCGAAGATCGTAGAGGGGTCAAGAGATCTCGAGGTTCCTACAACCGTACTCCATACGCCGTACGAAAGATATTTCTTATTAGATTAATAACGATTTACCTAAGGTTTGTCGACGGGCCCTGAAAAGAATCATATCGCCTTGAGCAGATACCAAACTCAAAATAATACAGATAAGTTTCTGTCACCGACACGGTTGTAAAGAAGATTAAACTATCTTAACAGGAAGTCTAAGTGGTTCGGATCTCCGTGTGATAGTTTATTGCTTTTATCTGAATTAAGCTGTTGGCGAAGCTTTCGTTTATCAACCTGGTTCGATTAGATTGATAATATCGTCATGCTGGCTTAGAGATGATGTTTACAGGTAAGAAGCGTACGAATCACAACGGCGCGAGGATAGGCAGGTTTAATGTGGAGACTTAGTTACATAAAGTAGTTATGTGTATGACCAGAACCTCAGTGTATATGGTTCCCGCAATAACAGTATACGTAGCTAGAGGAGGGGAGAAGCAAGTGTGCGTTCAGAGAGAGAAGCTAGGTTTACGTCGAGCCACTGCACGTAGATGCCTATATACGGTATGTCCTAAAATAACGTTACGATAACTTGATACATAGATATTGTCAACCTGTCAAGAGCTCAGCTCTAGCTAACCTATCAGTATAATTACCTGTTAGGTTTATCAAGTTCATGTGGCCTTTCTCCCGGGTCTTGTGCGTGAGGCTAGCGTTTTTAAGCACGCAATGCCATGTCGACATGGATCCTAATACCGGTATATAAACATGACGCTTCGATACTAAATGTCGTCAGTGCCCCATAGTATACTGAGATTCCTCAAGCTGGGTTCCAGTCGATGAGGTATTGGTATACAGAGGTAAATAATGACTCCAAGTAACGCCTCCCCCCCCCAATCACTACCAAATTTTGGATCCTACCAACCAAAAATCCGTCCTGAGTGAGCTTAAGAACGCTTTCCGAGCAGGAGACCCTTTAGCCCGGATACGCCAGTACTCGTTACTATGTGTCATCGTGGATGGGAAGAATCGTGAGCCAGGGTAAGGCAAAACATGCCTCCCATGTGTGGAAAGGACGTCGAGCACTATGTACCTACGTATATCACATATATCAATAAGCAGACAGAAAGAAGACATGGCCGAACTAATTATAGTAAAGGAAGACTCTCTCTCCGTACTATTGTTGACGTATCCAAGAAATATTGCCTTGGCTCATACCACATTGACGTGCAGACGTAGATTTTCTCGGCTCTCCCTCCGGTTTCCTACGAGTGATTATTGACAGCCAAGAGGGATGAGCGGAGACGCCGGGCGAATAGCATGGGTCATAAACCTCTTCCTCAGAGCCGCATGCTGCCACTTGCTTGCCATGTGTATAAAGCAGGCCTCTTTCCCCATTAGAAGACGCTGAAACCCGGAAGTTTTCGGAAATCTGATCTTCAGGACACACCTGGGCTACGAAACTAAGCTTTTCAGCTACGCCTAAACGTCTGGTAATACCGTATGACGGAATCCACGGCGCGCCGTACTGAATTCCTAGGTGGATCATTCGATATCGTACAAGTCTTGAGAGTGACCACGTGGTTGTAGCGTCATGCTGGCCGGGGGCAGTGATGTTACCAAAATAGGAACACCCGAAGGACCCGGAAGCATGTGTAGACGCATATATGTAACGAATTGAATAGTTGGCGATAGGGTATTTTATGCACCTAGTATCTACCGCTTTACAGCAGTCCTAGTTGGGGCCGGATCAGGCAACTCGAAGATATAACATGGGTGCCTGACAGATTACGTATCCTAACCACGACCAGGGGCCGAAAGGAAGGATAAGAAACGAGGCAACCTGGCTCCGCCAACTGGGCAACCTTTCGAGGCAGCAGAAAAAGGACCGGTGTAAGCGGGCCGTCTCCTATATGTATAAGCCAACCCCCCCCCGCATATGAATAGTATGACAGAATTCTATGTGACGGAGGACCCAATACCATGTATGTGCGTACCCGATTATAAACGTTGGATGGTCCATGACATGCAAAAGAAGCCGGGCCGGGCATAATCGTCTCATATGTACGACGTCGGTGAAGATACCACGCATTGCCACGATTTCTCACAGAATCGCATGGCTGCCAATGAGAAGGAAACATCTGTAGGTCTATGCTATTAATATGCTAAACCCGACGTCGAGTAGCACAAAACTTTTAATTCCAAACGGTTGCCGTATGGGAGGGCTCTAGCATGGAATGTAGTGAGATGTCTCATTTCTCGGCTTCTCGGGGACCAACATCGTATCGGGCTACTCTGTTTATCAGCTACGGCTTGTCTTCTATTTCCCTGAGCCTACGGGGACCATCACGCTCTCTTCGCGTGCGAAGCTATATGCCCCATATTCCGGCCCGAGCTCTTTGGAAGCCCCTTGCGAAATTCGGACACCCCCCCCCCCCTCTCGGGTGGAGTAGTAATAGCATCACTTTTGCCTGCTGTCCGTGCAGACGACCCCAGGGCCAAGGCAAAATGCTGGCGGCAGGCAAAGATGAACAGGCATCAAGGCTCGGCGTGTTGCTTTGACACACAGCGTTTGGGTCTAGAACGCCCAAAACTATTGCTCGAGGCCCAATCTTCGGAACTAGGCGACCCAGAGCCGCGGCGTTGAGATGACCAGGACGTTTGGCGCTCAGGGGTAGGCAGCAGCAGCAGGACGGCAGTTGCTCACGCTATCATCACACATGAATTCGGGTTGTCCAAGGAAACTTTCACAAATTACCCTCCCCGCCCTGAAAAAGAGGCAAATTGCCTTTGAAATTCAGGCGGTATCGCAAAGACGAGGCTGATTGGACTGGGTGGACAATGCTAGCCTGCAGGTTGCAAGGGGCGAAGGACGCCAATCTGAGTCTGTACGCGATGTATCACTTCTCACCGGGAGGCGAGAATCGAGTGAGTAACCTATATAATTATTCAGGGGGGAAGGTGGCTTTCGGGCATCGGGCGACGTGCGTCGCAAAAGAAAGCCTTAACCTGTCTTAGGTCAATGTCGAGCCTTATTTCCCATTTCTACCCAATGCCGAACTGACGAGGCGGATGTCGATCTATGTATGGCCCAACGCTCAACGACACGACCGAACGGGCCGACCGATATATATATATATTATGCCTTGGCAAGGATAACCATGTCCTTTTTTCCCGACGACCGACCGATCTAGTACGTCCCGTACCTTTCCTGCCAGGTAGGCTGAGGCGACAGCCACGGCTTCCTGTAGCCAGACCAGAGAGGCATCTCTGGTTCGAGGGACAGGCCGTCGAGCCTCGCGCCGCCTTCGTCGAGCGACCACAGCGTGACCGCGACCGTGTTGACCCCGTTGTGGTTGAGGATGCCTTCCGGCACGGGGAAGTTGGTCTGAGGCCCCAGATTCGCGACTGATGCCTCGCAGTTAGTAAGCCAGGCAACCCGAGGTGGGGGGGGAGGGGATCAGGCGAGAACGAAGAAAGAAAAAGGCAAGAAGAACAGGTTCTTCGCGATCTTACCGAATTTCCCAAACTGCCACCCGTTGACGAAAAGCTGGCAGCGATAATTGGCCCCTGCTGTGGAGTTTGCGAACACGAAGCTCAGCGGCACGTCGTACCCGGCGGGGACGTCGAGCTCGAAGGTGGTGGTGTAGAACGCGACGCCGGCCGCGGCGATGCCGTCGCGGATCGGGCTCGCGGGCAGCCAGGCCTGGCTGGGCGGCGCCGGCTGGTGGTAGCCTTGGCGCTCGGCGAACAAGGCGCCCTCATTGCGGGGGCCGCGCGCCAGGTCGCGGTACGCCTCGCCGCCGAGGTTGCCCGTCAGCTTCCAGGCCACGTCGGCCTGCGCGCGGCCGGCGAGGCCGTAGTTGACGACGCCCAGCGGCGCCTTGATCGCGTCCGTCCCCGGCGCCTCCTCATCCTGCCCCATGTGGTCGATCAGCACCGTCAGGACGCGCCGAGACCCCGCCCCGAGCGCGCGCCCGGCGAGCGAGAAGGTGCGCGAGTGCGTGTGCGAGCCGCCGCCCGTCCCCGCCCCGTCCCACGAGCCGAGCCACTCGTCGTCCAGCCATGCCGAGTACCCGAAACCGTTCCCGCCGGTGACGTTGAGGAACAGATCCGACTCCTCGCCGCTCGCCGTAAAGTGGCCTCGATAGATGAGCGACCCGCTGTGAAAACCATAATCGCTCGCGTAAAGAGATGTGGGGGTCAGGAGTGCCTGAGGATTGTTGGTGGTCGGGTTTTCGCACGAAACCCACGCCGAGTCGTCGTAAGAAGCCTGGATTTCCGGGAGAGAGTCGATGTATTTCCATTCCAGGGCAGAGAAGTCGGGGAGCGCGAAGTCGGGGGGACTAAAGGTCAACAGCGCGCCAAGCTTCCCGTCCTTGTTGCGCTTTGCGTCCAAGGGCTCGCCGTTGAACGATACGGCATTAACTTTCCCGGTAGGTTCGTAGACGAGCTCGATGTCGGTCGTTCGGTTGATATCGCCGGTGAGCCGGAGCGTCTCGCCGTCCAGGTCTGCTGTGCGGACCAGATACGGTCCCTTCACGACAACAACAGATTTTGACGGGGAGGAGTAGTTGGAGATGGGCGCCTTAGCAGGGAGTTCTGTTACCCAATAGTTGTACGCATCATTACGCCACAGCAAGAGGACCTCGAGTTTGTCGCCGAGCCTGAATATTCTTCTCTCCGGGGAGACTGTCCACTGAACCACCAGCTGGTTCGATTTCACCATCTTGACTTTCGCACCCCCGTAATGGAGGCTTGCGTATGCAGCTGTTGTCGATGCATTCGTGAGGTCAATAGCAAATTCGTGAACCTCCCCTGCCCCGCCGTAAAGAACCAGCGTTCTCTTTCCCGAAGCATCCCGTGCCCAAGTGAATATCTCGGCTGTACAATAGAGTAAGTTAATCCCGCCCACGTCGTAGTCCGTTACGTGGATCTTGGAGTCTCTGCGAGTGAGCACAAGCTCACCCCCCAGCTGAGGGATCGATATATTCCCCGCACTCGTAGGCGCGGTGAACGCGTAAGTTACTGTGTCTGTCGACGTCCAGTCGTCCTGGCGCATGATATAAAATTTGGTGGGGTGGTCAGTCCCCCTGACCGGCGTGGTGACGAGAAGATCGGTCGAGGTATATGCGCCTTTGGTCCCGTTTCCCGCAGTTGCGGTTAGGTACGCTGGCGACACCTTGAAGAAGTTGGCCTCGAGCTTCTCCTCCGAGTACTTCTCCCGCCAGACATGTCGGTTTTCTTTGATTGCTGCCCCGTAATCATATGAACTGTCGCCGCCCCTATACCCGAGGTTACCCCAATTGGTTCCGCCGTATGTCTGCCCAACAGTTAATTACCTGTATTACTCGCCCCAGCGCGGATGGCTCACGTACCATGTAGACGTTGAAGATCTTGATAGCAAATCCATAATTGTTTTTCCACAAGACACGGACGGACTCCTGGTTCACAAGCTCGTTGCAGCTGTCCTGATTTACGCCCCCAAATCCCGTACCGGCTCCTCCTTGAAACTCAGCAACGAAGAATGGGGTATTTGGACTGTATTGTTCGTGTTTGATGTGCCAATTCTCCGGCCACCTTATCGTGGGCCAGATATCAGGGTGGGCACCTTCAGTTTGTTAGGAGAGCAGGCGTCTGGGGGATAGGTGTAGTTCGTTAGAAGCATGTATGTATGAGCACTCACAGTCATATCGCATCGGGTAAGCGTCGATTGCGTACACTTTTTTTTTGTCCGATCTACATTAGCTACGGGAATTAGTCGCCTTGGGGATGAACGACTCACATTCTGTCTCGCCGAGCCCACTCCCGGGAGCCCAGTTCCCCTGATAGAGGTGATCGTTAACCATCTGGGGCACCACGTTCCCGGCTTTCTTGAGCTGCTGCTTGACATGCTCCATGTAATTCTTATTGAATTGGGCCGGAAAGTCCGTGTCATTGACGCCAGGCCATGTGTCATACTCATTCTCGGGCTGCACCATAATTACTGGACCGCCCACTGTGATCTGAGCATCGGCAATCAGCTTGCCGACGGTGGCAGCGTACAGCTCCGTGGCGTTCACGAATTCAGGGTCGTCCCCACGAAGAGGCGCTTTGATCCTCGCAGTCCAGCCCGGAAAGCCACCTAGGGCGGTTTCCGCGTTGATATAGGGGCCGGGCCTGGCAATGATATATATACCCGCTTCGGCAGCAGCCTTAAAGAATTCCCCTAGAGCGAAGACACCCTCGAAGCGTACTTGGCCTGGCGTACCTTCCACGAGGCCCCAATAGGTGTAGAATGACACGGCATTGAAGCCCAAAGCTTTGATTTTCTGGAAAATGTCAAGCCATAGTCCCGGACTCGGAAGACGCCAGGGATGGAATTCCCCAGAAAATATGAACACACGCTCCCCTCGAATGATCATTGAGTACTTGTCCCATTCGACCTATCCAGGGGTCAGTGTCAAGACCAATTGGCGAAGGCCCTATTTGGCTATCTCACAAATCCCTCCAAGGAGTCTCTAGGTTTAACTGGAGGCACGGCGATACCCGGCGGGCGTATATTTCGTCCGTGTCCCTGCTGTGTGAGGTAGATAACGAGCGTGAAGAGCACCAACACCAACATAATTTCAGGGACATTGAAACTTGAGTTACAATATCAGTGTATCTCCCGAGACGGTACAGGAAGGCCGGTCAACGCGGCTCTGAAATGCTGATCTCTCACGTCCCTAAGACGACGTCGACTTTGCATTGAAGCGCCGCCGTTGCATACCTATCTTTTTACGCTAGATTCTCGCGCAGAATCGCAGAATCGTTACAGGCCAACAATACCCCGAGCTATGGAGCAAGCTACTGATACACTAGAGTTGTCTCCCCAAGATCTGTGAAGGAAAGCAAGGGTCGGTGACGTCCACAGTCGTATAATTGGTGCGAATTCTACATTGGTTGAACCGATCCATTCAGGCAAAATATGATGGCAAGGTCTTATTACGCGCCGTCCCCAGTATTGACGTCTCCCCCGCCTTCAGGATGGTTGGGGTAGCCGGTCCTATAACATAAAAACAAACCGCCTCCGATGTTTCCTCGGTACCCGTGTGCACGATATTACCTATAATGAAGAGAGGGGCGGCTCCAATGCCTGAGTTATACCTAGGGACTGTCTTGAGAGGGAGGTATGTGCCTCACTTGCAAACACAATCAAAGGGTCCCGCGTAGTGTTGGCGAACAAATTCGGTGTGTGTGCAAATGGGAGATCTCGCTGATCACGGTGAGAATAGCTGAGGAGATACCTGGCCTATCCGATGAGGAGGAGATAGGTAGGTAGATACTGAAATGAATCATGTGGCGGTGAGACGCAGCAGTAAATCGAACTACTCATAGAGGTAGGCAGGTACCTACACAGGTACTAGAATGACGCTCTAACTTCCCACATCAATTAGGTTCTGGGCAACCGAGCTTTGCAATTCTTTTCGATGTGTCAGTAAAGGCTTACTTAGCCATTGTATTAATGTTGCAATTGACATGTAACATTGTCCTTTTTATTTTCTTTTCGCGGAGGGCCGTCCTTGTAATGATTCTAGGAATCGCAAAGCCAGCCTGCTGTGCCTCACAAGGCGCCATTTCGACGGCATAGAATGGAAATGCCAGAGGGTTGGAATTTCCTGACCGCATGACTACCCATCCTTTATAGGGTCATTTATACGTCAATCCCTCACGTTGGGGATGGATATGGTAATAGTACAACTATCGCACGAAAAGAGAAAACAGCAACCTGTCGTATACCGTGCAGGTATCGCCATTGAATGACGAGAACGAGTCGTCTTACAACCGAGGCTTTCTGGAGGAAGGGTATATGTTGATACATGTTTCACTTTCCAGTTTGGGGGAAGGATACGCTGGCACCGTCGCAAATGCGCCCTTGGTTGAACCAGCGCACGGTGGGCAGCAGCTTGCTGGCTATCCACCTCGCCGTGATGGTGTGGGTAAGCCCTTCTCCGAACGGACTATCTGGTTTATCCTGTCTCATTTCCTTCTCGAGTTGGGGGTCGTTGGAGGATGAACCTAAGGCGTCTGTATCTCCGGAGCCTCCACTACCCACGTCTTCCCTTGCCGACTCGGTGCTTCCATAGAAGCTTGTTCTGCCGTCTGCTAATGCTTGGAACACGACAAGCTGGTCTTGTAGGTGCCCATCGACGGTCCCTCGAGCCTCGAGCTCCTTGCGAAGGCGCTTGCAGACTGCGGCGGAGACCCTTGAGCTCATATCTTCGGGCATCATCTGCTTGCTCAAACACTTTTCGTGCATATAGTCACAGCCCCAACGTAGGCCCGTCTCCGAGTGAGCGACCAGCAATGTGTATATCCGGCTTTTATGCCCGCTATCCTCCATTACCACGACGCCGACGTCGACAGCCGGGAACAATTGATTTAAGTCTTGCGTGAGAGCTACTGTCAGGGGCGCTTGGAGCTCATGTGGTACTAATATGCTAATATCAATCTGCTTGACTTGGAAGTCTTCGGTGCTAATAGGTTTGTCCCAGGGCACCCGGGGCGTCAACGGCTGGCCTGGTGCGAGAGGTTGAAACTTGAGCCAGATACTGCCCCGCGTATGAGGACCTTTCGTCCACGATCGTTTTATAAGCTGCCTTTCCACATTGATACCGAAGTTGTCTTGCAAAGCTGGCAGCAATACCTGATCAAAGTACTCGTACGATGGCGAAAAAGACGTGTTCGTGCCGCCGTGGATCTCGAGCTCGATCGGGTCTCCGTGCCCATTCCCGGCAAACAAGAGAAAGGGAAAGACAGCCTGGAAGACCAGCAGAGTGCTGGAGCTATCGTTCCCGGCAACGATCTGGAATTTCCGTTCTTTGAGGGCCGTTGGGGGCAATGATGGCTGGAACGTGAAGGTATGGCTGCCGACTGCTAGTCCATCCACCTGGGCATTGGTCGCTTCCGCTAACCATTTAATGGCCGCCACATGCTGCGCTTTCAATCCTAGTATCACGACGCACCGGGGTTCATTAGAGGAAAGTGTGTGCGTTGGCAGGGCGCAGGCAATGCTGGAATCTGAGCTAACCACCACCCTGTTTCCCTCCCCGATTTCCTCTCACGTGTCTGATATGGATAGGGTGCGACGTGACCGCGGCCAGCGCGCAGGCGATTCGAATGAGCTGGCCGCCGCCTTCTCCCGTTCGGCCGTCGATATATAGAGGGCCACCCATCCCCGAACCGACGACGTTGAAGTTGCGGGCACTCGAGGAGGAGAATCGCGAGCAGAGGAGGGAACGATGAGAGGAAGATGTAGGGAGGAGAGGGGGAGACAGGAGGCGGAATGCCCGGATGGTGTCTTTAACAAGCATAGACATCACGACAAGATGTGAGTACAGCCATCGAAATGGGTGACCTGCCTGCCTATCGTTGAGTCACCGGTCTCGAGCTCGAAATAGTCCCTATTTTTATTTGTATTCGCGATGACATACCGAGGTACTTCTAGTCTGACATAATATACCTACACAGTACCTGCCTACCTAGGTACCTCCATCGGCAAGCATGTACACGTAGGTACCGTCCCACCCGCCTCGGCAGAGCATCCACCTGAGGTAGGGCTGGATTTGGAACTTATAGGAGGTACACCCGGATGCACTCGCACACAATACCACCTGTATGACCACCACAGCTACCTAACGTACTGTACCTGTATTTGCCCGTAGGTACCTTACCTAGGTACCTCTACCTACCTGTTACAAGGGGCACCTGAGGTAATTTAATGTACCTGCGAATTGATCTGAGCAAGGGGTTGCCAATGTCGCACCTCTCATTAGCCAATCCGGTCCATGCATCCATTGCATATAGTAATACTGCTACGTACCTGGATATATATCACCGCTAGCTGGTTCACAGTATTGCGAATCTTTTCTGAACCAGAGAATCTCGAACCCGTCGCCTTAAAGTCCGGTAAGTCCATGTCTGTTTCTATGCCTTTGTAGGGTTGAGGGGTGGCGCTGACTGCGTGCAAGTGCGTCGATCTACCTTCTGCGGGCTCTGGTTCCTATATTACCCCCCCTTCTTTCGAGCGCTGTGTTTCCTGGCGTGCTCCTAGAAGATGATGTATATGTGTAGATGGGTACGGCGTGGAGACAAACCTGCTACGCTTTGGGACCGTAGCATGGCGATGAGTTAGTTAGCTTGCTACTAGCCTACGCGAAACCGGCTGAGCTGTTGAGCGGTTGAGCATATTAGCTCAGTGTACGTACGTGGACAGCACTGGGGAACCCCCGGAGAATCCTAGGGGGTTTAGTGCTGTGCACCGAAGCACACGCAACGGAGAAATTCATGTATCCCAGCAACGACACACGGTGGGCCGATGGTCCGGTCCACTGCGGATGAGCAAGTTGGTTTCCTGGTCAAACTCTCCTTTTCCCTAGTTCTTCTGGACGACTCGGGATCAGACGCGTCGCTGTATGCAATCGACAAACACGCACGCCTTCGAGACCGGGCCGCGGAGTCTCGGCGTTGTTGCTGTTTCCTCGATATCGCCAGCGTACGTCATCGCGGATTGAACATGATAACGTCTAACTTGGCTTCAGACACGGGCATCACGCGGAAAACTTCTACCGACCGCGTTTCAGTACCACCAATCGTCACATTCTATGTTTGGTATCCTCTCATATCGTGGCCATACTGCCGATTCTCCGGCGGGGTCCGTACGACTAGAAAGACCTCGCGAGCTCCACGGTCGGTCGGCCTTAGCCAAATCCTCCATCAATGTTGTCCAAAGAATCCGGTCCTCCCGTTTGGCAGACACGGCCCACGCATTTTCTCCAGCGTGATCGAACGGTGGTCTGTCGGGATCTTCCGTGCAAAGACGCGCCCGAAACCAACCAGTATCATGCGCACATATCAGATATCAGATCATGCAATCTCGTATCGTTTCATATCGCACTAGGCTTTACCACAAACATATTCCTCCTCGGTGCGCCCTTTGGACGTCTTCTACCTACTAGTCGTTGTTGGCATCATCATAACCACGAGCCGAAGAGTCTCATCCGAGCCAAGTACGTTGTCGATTTCTCCAAACGAAACCACGGGAAAGGGGAGGGGGGGGGATGTGATTGTCGAGCGTCGAGCTTCACCAATGAAATCCGACGCATTTTTTTGTCCTATCTCCACCGTTCTAGCGATGACGCCTATGTGCCAAATCGGCTGTGCCGTGGTATCCTACCTATAGATGGAATTGGTTCAAGGCACCCTTTGCGCACCGTTTCGTTATATATGGGTGCCACAAATGCTTTCTGCTGTGGCAGAAGCTCAGCCGGATAGCATCTCGCGTCAAAACAGCCACGAAAGCGCAGATTATCGAACGCTTTATTATCGACAACCGATCCGAACAACTTTCCTCATATTCTACCCCGCCCGCCAACATATTCAAGCCCTCCCTCTTATTCGATAGCTGGGATGAACGCCCCGTGCCGATTGCTGTCTTGAACGCCCCCCGTAGACAGCTACCGATAGGTATACGCATTCCGTTGCCGACTCTGGTGTCGACCCTGATAACTACGACTCGATGGGGGTGGAAATATAATATTGAGGCTCTCAACCCCACAGGTTCCAACCGGTTAGGAGCCCAGGGGGGGGAGGGGAGGGAGTGACCAAAAAGGAAAGAAACAGCAAGGTGTCAGTTGAGTTGGCTCTCCTTACCCTTAGTAGCTGAGTCCAATGTGACGGCGTAGTACCGTGGTTGATAATTATTGACCGAATCCGTGGGTTTCTGATACATCATCTTCCGCCGTTGAAATAAACGCCGCGCTCAGACGGCAGTCCTAAGTTGACCTAGCTAGACGAGACCGATATGGAGACCACGGCGCCTCGCGGCAAGCCGGGCATTCAAACAGCCTCTCAACCTCGACGAACGAATCGCGACGAAGATCTAGCACGATCCCATCCTCGTGAAGGTATACCTCAGTCAACTGGTAACCCATGACCACTGCGAACCGCTGCTTCACCCATATCCCCAACTGTTCATTGCCGACGCCGCCGTCTTCTCGATGCTACGTCGGACCCCGTTCGAACTAGCTCTACTTCGCTGAAGATCTCGGTAGCGACTACCATGAGCAAGACGCGTCACTCATACAATCGTCAAGACACATTCAAGGGCATACAAAGGGGATCAGTCAGGATGTTGAGTACATCCCGAGCCTCAACCCACATTGCCCAACTCGGCAGGGACAAGCTTCTTTCTCGGTTGCTCGAGTTAGCGCTTACCCCGAGCCAAGGTAACACAAAGCAACCCCGTAACGCCGCGCCTACTCCCTGGCGCCGGCCACGCCGCCGATTGACCGGCAGGGGCCGTTCCATCGTTTCCGCAGAACTCCTATTGTTTTAGCCGCTCTTGTGTGGGGTTTCCTGAATAGTCGTCGGCTTTGAGAGGCCAACGTCAGTGACACTGGAACGTCTCGCCGCCGAGGCTTCTACTTCAGTCAGCGCGTCCTTCCATATGAGTCTCGACGAGTGGCCTACGACGTCCGGTAGGTTCCGTACAGGCAATTGTTGACTGTCACAAACTATCATGCATGTTGTTCGCCCTTAGGCTTACCAGAAGCCCCCCCTTTTCTCGTGCGAATCCTACATAGCACAACACAGCCCTCTAATTAGGCAGACATTATGGGACTTGCCTGCCTATCTAATACCGACAAGGAAACTGGTAGACTCTGCAGAGTGAATCATGCAATACACCGAACCTAGTTACTGAACTATGTAGTCATGACGTAGGAGGAGGCATACCAATGATCCTGCCGTCATGTATTGCCGAGAGAGGCTTTATACTATGCTATTTACCTAACTAGCCAAGGACATCCTCTCAGCCTGCTTCAGCAGAATGCAAACCCCTATTGCAAAATTGGGGGAAGAGGCTCGGAGTTGTCTGCCTGATTTTGCCTCAGTAGTTCCTGTTGGGATAGGCCTATCCCATCATTGCGCTATGCTACGATAGCGGAGATGAATCTTGTTTATTGCCTACGACTAGTTTCGAGCACCTTGGAGGTGGCTGGTGTACTAAACCCGGTACGTTATTAACGTCCCCCTCTCTTCATACTACGTAATAACCACCTCGCCCCCCTTCTAACACCCCTAAGGCTATGTGCTTCTCGTATTTCGGGGAAGAAATCAGCACTGCATGGCAGGGGAATGTATAGAGGTGAGATACAAAGTGTCGGTGTCAACTGCTCGGGAAGTCCTCGAGATGTTGATCAAGGCAACCATCTTCGTTGTTCACCGGAAATCAAGTAACCTGCCGATCTTTAAACCAGGTCCTTGGAGACAAGCCCTAGGCAGTCCATCATTGGAAGACAGGTTTCTACTATATACGTAAGAAAATACATAAGACGCCAACGAGAGTAACACGGGCTTGATTGTCCGTCGTTGAGTCATACCGTCAATATCGATTTACATACCCATGATACAACATCATGCCGGCGTCTAGTACTATCGGGGTGACCCCGGAACACAACCCCGGTTACTATTTAGTCCTTGATCTTCGAGACTATTTTTTAAGGCAACCATGGCTCCTACTTGGCTTGCGCTTGATATAAGGCCGTAAGACCGCTGTCGGAAAATCCCTCGAGGACGAAGCTGTTTCCACGTGGCACGGTTATCGCACCATCATTAATTTTCAGGTTGCCTTAAGTCAAGTTCTGCAGCCCTTGCGTGGACGTGGTTGGCCCTCCCCCCTTGCTGAGGCGGGTAATCGTTTCCGATCACACCAAGACTCCTCATGGTTGATGCCTACGTTCATGCAAACCCTGGGCTGGCAGCATCCTGTTAGGTCAGACCGAAAGACACCGCAGGAATGGTGAGCAGATTTCTAAGCCGGAGCCCTCGGTAAGATCCGGCGATCTTTTCGTAGAAGGAATGGTCCATAATTTCCCCCATAGTCATGATTTCCCCTTCGACGCCCCGCCGGTGTCAGTGAGAGTGGTGATGTTGAGTAACGTGTACCCTCAGCAGTTCTACCCTCAGCGAACTGCGATGAATCTTCGTCACTCATTTTCCTAGAAAGATATACCTAAACATCGGTACAGAGAATTTTGTTTGTTCATACGGCGCGGGGTATTGCTCGGCTCCGTCTCTCCCTTTCCCTTCTACGGCAAGCCGCCCTGTTGATCTAAGTTGGTACTCGTTCTTCATTGGTTATTGGTTCTGCGTCTCGTCTCTTGCCTCTGTAGCCTTCTGCCGTCAGGCATTGCCGAACCGTCCAGGACAGCTGGACGGGCTCGATAAGAAGAGCGGTATCGCAAGGCGGCCGGTAGAGAGCTAGGATGTGGCCCAGGTCTCGCGTCTCGACTTATCACTTGAATGTGATTAGACTCGCCTTGGGCGGCAAGCCCAATTATGTGACGGAATGTCGCGTTACCTTGAAGCAGCATTGGCGTCCATCAAAGGCGGCGCAGCCGTTGGGTCCTCTCAGCTCGCCTTCTAGATCGATTCGACGCAGGAGAACGCGCGGCAATATCGCCGCCAACTTGCAGCGTTCCACTTCGAGATAATTGAGGACGGGCTAGGCGCCTAAGATATCGGTATTCATATTCGTGGAAAGCCTCATCCATCCGTAGGTCCCCGCGAATGTGACAGGCACAGCACCATTACAACGCCAAGAGAAATAGCTCGGTAAGCATTATTATATTTGTCCTTCAGATTGGATAACGCTGCACCTTTTCCATAATAATGAGCGGACAGTCAAACTCAGATGTCAGTACCCTCTACACGACTTCGTATTCTGAGTCTCAAGCATCAGGAATTTGGCCGCCTAGTGTATGTATTAGAACCGATACGTTTGATTAGGCACCTCGTTATGGCGACATCTTTCGGTAAGGCACTGACGGAAATTTTGAGGCCGCAGATGAAGGTACGTAGAGCTCTTATTGACGTCGGGTGGTAGTAGTAAGGCAACGTAGCGCCTTACGGAGGCACGCATGAGCAGGCCTTAAAATGTAAGGGATAATAATATGAGGCCCGCCTGTTCATGCCCAACTTCACTCTCTAGACAAAGTGAAGATTTGGGCTGCTCTCTGTATCCGCAGGATATGTAAACGATTGGCTCGGCTTCTAGAAACTGAATTGATAGGTAGGTCTTAGATGTATCATGTAGGTACTCTACTATGGCCCGTCATGCATTCGACGTCTGATCGAAAGGACATATCCAAGCAATAGTTAACAGCCAGCCAGCCTTCTAAGAAGGATGCCGCCCACATCCCTAGTGACTAGAAGATGTCTGGACCTAGGAGGTGAGGTCTCAGGACGGAGACAAGCAGGCTGGGAACGAGTCAGCAACGCGGTGCTGCTGAGCACGTCTTGTCGTTCAAGTTTGGTCTGCGTCCCGTTCATGTCAGGGTCAACAGCACAGATTCAGGCAGCCACCTGTGCATCTGGGGCTGACCGTATTGAAGAATAATATATCGCTATGTAGCAGGTGACCCGTTCCCGGGAGCTGCCTTAGCTAGCCACGTCTCCATAGGCGTCTAGTGATGAAAATTATATACGGACCTAGTGTGAAACCTCTCTAAAATATTACCACCCTTAAAAATCCTTTGACAAGCATGTAGGTGTGGTGTCCAGTACTTCTTGATGTTGACCGATATACTTACGTGCCACGTAGGGAACCCTACCTTTCAAACCTGCGTACTTGTCCACTAGGGAGAAGTGCCCGTCCACGTTTTCACGTGACGCCATGTTTACGGCGAGCTTTACACGTTGCCTAGTTCACGATGATGCCTACCCGCCTATCCGTTGATAGTCCCCACAGCCTTGAGAGACCGACCCATGAACCTGTATTTTATCGGTCTAAGCCGGGGTCTTGGCCTCTTCGTAACTAGTGTAGAACCAAGCTCATAATCCCAGCGGTCAGCGGGATGGTATGAGCCGTGGTGGGTGGCGCCAGGACGGGTCCTTCACCGCCTAGTAGGTAGGCGTAAATGGTCTTACGTATCGGGTTCGTCTTTCGTATCATGTGGAGGCTAGTGCTGTGGACCGTAGACTAAGACACTATGAAGACCCTTCTCGCCACGAGATCCATAGAGCAGCCTATCTCTCAGTGGCTAGCCAGTAACTTCCCCGTCGTCGATCGGCTCGACTATTCACCCTTGTGGCTCCAAGGCGACGGCGCTGGGACGATGTAGCCATGGTTCATTGGATAATGGCCTCTAGACGGTCGCCCAATGACTGTCGGTTGTTATAAGCTTATCCTAAATCGTGGTCCTTAGCCTAGTTGGTGACCGAGACTATGGGTTAGGCTAGCCAGGGATGTATACATATATGGATGCTATTCTCGTATCTCTGATAAGGGGTGTTGCTGGGTGTTGCCTGCCTCTTCCGGAACGCGTCCGTCAAACCCGTGTTGCGTTTAAAAGATGGCACAGATGGCAGACGTCACGGAGTGATGCCTAGGATATCTGCCCCAAACTCACGCCTCCCCAATGGCAAATGAAGCGGCAACTCCGAGTGCGTAAGGGGAATGAAACAAAGGAACATTCCCGCCATGTGTACCAGCAACGAGTCTTGTGAGGGCACCGTGTTTCGAACACAGCCTCGTACCATCGCCATTATTGTGTCCAACGAAACCTAGGTGGGAAAAGTTTTCATCCGCATTGCCGACAACAAAGTGCAAAGTCTCCTGTTAGGCCTAGTCGACGAGGCGATCTTATAAATCGTAGGCGTTTGGCTCGGCCGAGGTTGTGCCTAATCCAACCAAGAATTTGCCATCCCGAGGTGATCTGGTGATGAGTGGGCATATGATCTGGTGACTTTCAGCCTGTGTGAGATCTGATTCATATTCTCCCGTCATTATCCTTGGTGTTAAGTGGCGGCTCATGGCAGTTTCTGCGTCACGTGCGTGGCGTGAGGCAAGATTGGCAGATGGCGAGAGTAGAGAGTAGAAATCTGAGTTAGTTCCTAGGTATACACGCATTCTGTTACTAGACCACTAACATTTCCGAACGTGAGGCTCCCCTATCACGTGTGTCGGCTTGTCGTTCGATTGGGGATATCGAGACACGGCGGGGTACGTGCCGAGAAAAGGGGAGGGCATAAGACGCGCGCTGCGAATGGCCACATCAACCCCGATCTTCAGCCTCGCCGGGGGTCCGATGCCCGGGTTTCCCTTCACGGAGGTAAGGCGGGCAAGGCGGGTGGTTTCCCGGGTTCCGGAGCGATCGGTAGTATCGCTTGGAGAACGTGCGTGGTTGTTTGACATCGATCGTGCTGGGGAACGGCGGTGGTAGGATCGGGGAAACTCGATTGGGGGCTGCGGTCCACACCTCCCTTTCGCTGGCGATAGGATGGGGAGCAGGGTAGGCACGCGCGGGGAGGAGAGAATTGAGGCTCTTTTTTGAGGCTCTTCGCGGCTCTACCCCCGTTGCCGTTCGGGGACTAGGCGTTGTGGTGCTAGATGCCACGTAGTAAGAGAAGTCGAGAAGTCATGGGAATTCCCACAGGAGCACATCTGGGGCAGGTAGGTGGAGTGCTTACCTGCTATGTGCATACATTGCGTACATAGATACCTATCCTCTAAAAGCATCTACGCAATACGTGTATGTGCACATGGAAAGGTACCTTAGGAGGTACCTACCCCAACCTAAGATCCCTCTACCTAAGGTAACACAGAGCCTGTACCGCGGTTTGCCAAGATGAATCTGCAGGTACCTGTCTATGTAGGTACCTTGTAGCTTTCGCTGGTGCGGCTCCCAGAGGTAGAGGGCGTTTTTAATATCTGTTCCCGAACAATTCTCGAAGCTGACTCGCATCCCTGCCTCATTGATATGCTGCCTGCACCTTGTCCACCTCTCTCCCTCATATCTGTTCGGTGTTTTGCCTCCTTCCCTCTCCCTCAGCCTACTTTTTTTTTTCTTTTTTTAAATCCCCAGACCTATATGCGCTCTTTAGGATTACTCAATAATCGGAACTGTAATATGTTGTTGTGGTTGGGTGCTCTGCTGACCTCATCTATAAGTTACCGAGCCCGATCCCCGATCCGTCAAGCTTTGGTCGTTCTCTTCTATTTTCGTGGGGTCTGCGAGGATCCCGTCCGGTAGGGAACTTGTAGTCCTTCGGTGAGCCTTTACCTTCTTCCCTTCTATACTTACCGCGGCTGTTTACATAGCTGCTGTCTAAGCTACACTCTCGACGCCCCTACTGCCTGTCCCTGTCCCTGCCAGCCTTGTCGACCTTCTCCCGAAGTGACTCTCAATCCTCCGCGAACGCAAATAGCATTCAGGCTACGGTGGGTATGTCTAACATAGCAGCCTCAGATGATGTCCTAGGAACACGACACAGCTTGGTGCCTTCCCGGCAGGACTCTAGGTAGCCGTATCTACGTGCCACCGACTGGCTCGTTGTAGTGACAATGTTGCCGCGTCTGGCTTGGGCTCAAGGTCGCCTGGCATGAAAATCTCTACGCGGGTCTGCCCTTCATATGCAATCTTCCTGCCTTCGGGGGAATGTTGTGTGGACTTTTGTCGGCTTTACGGGTGTTCGCGGGGGGAGCGCGCGTCGCCACGCGAGGCTGTCGAGGGCAGAGGACTGGTCGGCCGGTCGGTTCGGTGGGGAAGCGATGGCAGATGCGATTTGAGCAAATAACGCTGCTAGCAAATTGGCATCTCGCCGGTAGCTATGGTCCTATCGCGAATGTTGACAGAATTGTCGACGGCGACGGCGATGGTAGTGTTTTTACAGAGGAGGAAAGGAAGATCGGGGGGCAGCGACTGGCAGGAGCGGTTTGGTTGAGTCACACATGCGGCTCTTCAAGGCGAACTACCTGGCGACCCAACGAGGCAACCCAGCCAAAAAAGCAGGGTGGGGTCGTCTTCGCGCCAATGGTTCGCGCTCCAGAGAACAGGTCCAGCTGATGAATTAAAAATTGATCATAAAACCTCAACGTGATCCTCGTTATGTTCTGTCTTCTTGGACAATCATGAAGCTGGCGAACCGAAAATAGTTCTGAATACTTGCGCTTGACATTGACCACTTGTCCCCAACCCGCTGTCCAAAAACACAGACGCCGGCTTTTTTTTTTTCTTCCCCTGCGCACGTGTATACGTCTCCAAGCCGCACCCACAATCCACGCAACCCGACAGGTTTTCGGCTGGTGCAATCTCTTCAAGAGCCAGTTGTCGCATTGGTCAAGAAATGTTGATCTCAAGCTCGTGCTGGATACTGAAGCTTTATCTATGACCGTGAGTTGGTATACCCTCCTAATGAAATTTTCTCTCCAGGTAAGCCAAGTTCTCTCTCTCTCTGGCTAAGTTCTGCCCCCGAGGTGCGATCCTCGTCCGCTTGCCGCTAACCGAGGGAAAGTCGGCGTTCGCACAATGCTGCCTTCAGAAGGTGCGACCATTTTCGAGTCCTACACGAAATATCTTCGAAGGCAATATAACATACGCTGTCCCTTGGATAACTGCGTTCACGAATATCCCGACACGGATGACCGGATCCGGGCACATCTATCCTCACATCACCCAGCCTTATTAGAGCGCGCAGACATTGCACAACTTATACAGGACATAAGACTAGGAGGGTGAGTCTCGTTTTCCCAACTCCCCACGCCGACTCCCCGCTGACACAAGTGTAGAACGGCTGCGGTCGATAGACTCTCGGAACAGCCAGCTAATTCTCAACCCCCCGGGAACAGGCAAGTAGATTCGCCGCCGCGAGAAGATGATGATAATGGCGCGGGCCCAAGCAAGAGACGGAAGTCCACCAGTTCCTCAAATAGGCCCAAGATCAAGCCAGCGAGTCCGCCCAGGCGGTCTCGTGCCCGGGTTCCGTCCACCACTGCCAACGACCCCGATTTCGTAAGGTCGCCGCATCTAGGGGCGGGGACGCTATGGAGTGCAGATGACAATTCCCCTTCTCCTGCCTTGCGACCAAAGCAGCCTGTGCCGAGAACTTCTCACCAGCCTAGGAGCCGGCCCAATGTCGATGATGGCGGCGAGATAACCATGATGCGACAACCAGAGACCCGCCAAATCGGTCAAGACCAGTTGATTGTCGAAGTCAAGGGGATATACGCGGGCCTCGTCATGGTGGAGTCCAAGTGCATAGAAGTTGACCATGCGCAGTCGTGCCAGAACGATATCCAGTTGAACAATGAGCAGTGGCAGGCGTTGATAGCCTTGCACAGGACGCTCCTCCACGAGCATCACGATTTCTTCCTGGCTTCGCAGCATCCTTCCGCGAACCAAGCGCTCCGACGGCTAGCGTCCAAGTACGCCATGCCGGCACGGATGTGGAGGCATGCGATACACTCCTTTCTCGAGCTATTACGCCACCGGCTTCCGCATTCCCTGGAGCATATGCTAACCTTCATCTACCTGGCCTACTCGATGGTCGCCCTCCTGTACGAAACCGTACCCGCCTTCGAGGATACGTGGATAGAGTGTCTAGGTGATCTAGGGAGATATAGGTAAGTGCAGGCGGCGTGACGAATTACGTAAGAAGCTTACGATGAATGATGCAGAATGGCGATCGAGGACGATGACATTCGGGATCGAGAAGTTTGGACATCCGTATCTCGTCATTGGTATTCCAAAGCGTCCGATAAAGCGCCTACCACGGGGCGACTATACCATCACCTCGCGATCCTTGCGCGTCCGAACCCATTGGAGCAGCTATATTATTATACTAAATCTCTTTGCGTTCCTATCCCCTTTAACTCTGCTCGGGAGTCTATAATGACCTTGTTCGATCCGATTCTTGATCCTAAAAGCTCTCAGCACTCGCGGTTAATTGCGATTGATGTTGCATTTGTAAAGGCGCACGGGATTCTGTTTAGTAACAAGTTCTCAGATGACTTTCAATCCACAATTGACAGTTTTTTTAATATGCTGGACAACCACATCGGTCGGACCACTACGAAGTGGATGGAATCAGGGTATGTTTCTCGCTGGCTGCCCCGTCTGAGCCCATTCGTCAGTTAAGACTTCAAGCAGGTATTACATAGCTATCTCGAACTGCTGCGCACTCTTGTCTTACGGCCAGGACGATAACATCATCCTGAGAGCCATTCGCCCTCAGAACCCCGAAGAGACCACCGAGCTTAACTCTAAAGAAGCCTTGCTCAGAAATGGGCCCAAGTCACCGTTCGGAGGTGCGCTTACTCTAGCAGACGGCACATATAATGTTGCGCTTCGCAGACTCGGGGACATCAATGTAAGTTTCTTGTATCCTTTGGGGCATCTTCGTCGCCTCCGACCCCTTTGAAAGGCTGCAGAGGACCTCAGCAGTGGGTTCGGGGACATCTCATGGATACAACTTAACGCTGACCTGAACCGCAATATAGATACTTCCCTTTCTCCACGTAGTTATGGTCTTTATATACCACCTAACACTTTACCCCAATGCCATGTTCTTCATTGAGAAAACTTTTCCTTGGAAGTTAGTCTCTCTTCAACTCAACTCTCTGCTTCTCTCGTACCGAGACTATACCCGGATCCAAGAAGAGCGGTTCCCCAGGCGGGACAAGGAGCTAGCCCCCCGCCCGCTACCCGAGGATTTCGCGATGAAGGGTTTGGTATGGGTCGACAAGTATTTCCCTGCCGATTGGTTTTCAAATGACAAAATCGACGACGACGAGAAGTATTTCGAGGTGGCCTCTATGACGGACGACCGTAAGGAGAGGGTTTTATGGCTGGGATGTCGCATCGCGAAGTTCGGCAGCTGGCTCACTTACGACGAGAATTCGCATCAGTTTGGGGTTGTCCCTCAGTATGATATGGAGATCGGCCACATTTCTACGAGTAGCGGCGACCCCGCCGCCGTTTCTGGGAGTCCTCGAGAAGCTTCCTTCGGTTCTAATTTCGCGTCGACGAATCGTACCGAGATCACTGTATCTCAAAACGACCAAGATATGGTCGACATCGACGAGGAATTGGCAAATAAGCCAATAATTCGACAGTGAGCCGCTGCCTAATACGGGGATGAACCCGGCTTCACCTCTCGCCCCATCGCGAATTATCACCGGCCGATGGCAGGAGTCTTTCGGCCTATACGAACCGGAATACATTGGATATCCCGAGGCTCCCTAACACTTTGGCCCGTCTAGGGGCATGTTAAGTTGGTATATCATCCTCAGATTAGCATTCTTTTGATTATTCGTCTCTTTCAACTGCATGTTGCGCCCATCTGGGTTAACGCCCGTTTCATGCAGTGTTCTCGCCCATCATTTGGATACTCAGTCCCCCTGGCCGCCTACTCGGATGGCGCAATCGAAAGCAGCTTTGCTTGTGGTTATTGCCACTCCTAATACGAGAATGTTGCTACCAAACCCTCGCAAGGCTGTCGGGTAACCGGCCCTTTTGACGGCCGCTCCTCGAGCCGATGATAGGCCCCGACAGTATTGGTGCCAGCGAGTAAGCCACGATATGCCGTTGGGTGAAAACGAGGTTTAATTGGGTGCGGGACTGGAGTTGGCGTCCCAAATGACCCGTCTGATGAGGGAAATACTGTCGGTTTCCGAACGGAGCATCCAGCTGGCACTGCTGAGGGGTCACGAAAACCTCCTGGGCGCCCAGTTCAAACCAACCAGGAGAATATTGACGCAGGGCGAAGTAAAAAGTCTAAAAGGCAAGACCTGTCGGCTGGCTGCCTTACGCAAACGGAGCTGGAGAAGTTGGATTGCTGTGCAATTGTTGCCTGGGATTCGATATGCTGGCCACACTATTATAGAATGGGGCAATAGGACACCTCTTTTCAGTCAAAATCGGGGGGTTTTTTTTTCTCATGTAGATATGGGCTTCCGTAGGTATCCACCCATCTGTACTTTTCTTTTGTTAGGAAGCATTACTTATTGTTTACAGCGGACCCCCATCGGACTTGGATTTCAGCACAATACACATTCAATTACATGGCAATGCAGGACTTGGCAGTTATCTGTGTCTCTTAAGTAAGCAGTAGGTACATTACTTTAGTAGAGACTCAAAATCTATCCATCTACGGTTGCGCGTGTACGTTATTATCCATTCACATGTACCTTACCAGCCTACCGGAACAACCAAAAGCACAGCGAAACTGCCCGTGGATGCTACTCCTGAGCGCAACACTTCTACGGTATTTATCTACCCCTCCTATTGCACATCGTATGAAATATCAAGGAGAGCTTCTATGGGGATAAGGCGGCACTAAGCGACGTTGCATTATTGCCGAACTAGAACTAGACGGATGCCCCTTCTTCCTAGCCCCCCCCAGACAGGAAGAAAGAAGGGGGAAAAAAACAGCAGCGGATCCGTCTGTTGCTGCTGCGTAGCACCTGTATAGTATACGTAGGGGTGTGTTCCTGCGAGTGGACGAATTGGGCGACTTGCCTTTTAGTCCCCTCTGAAGCGGCAGGTTGTGTCGCCGGCGACAGCCATCGTCGAGACCTTCTATAGGATGCCTCGCCTGTCGACCAGCTAGAGACATGCCTGGTCGGCTTCCTACTTGTGGAGTAATGTGCGGTGCATTATTCCGCAGCGCGTGATGGCAATACACAAATACGAGACACTAACGAGACGGTGGCCTACCTACCCTAAGATGCGGTGGCGTCTGGCACGGAACGAAATCGCTCACGTACATGCTTATTGAGAAAGAATTGCAGAATTGCCTGCGACTAGAATGCCGCCGGCCCCCATTGCCCCCCTCTGTTGTATAGCAGGTGTTACTACCTCCCTTAGGGGGGAAGGGTGCTGGTGCTGGTGATGGTGATGGTAATACGATCTACCTTTGTCCCCCCTCGCAACTTAGCTCCCTAACACTTCTGAATATAGGCCTTATGACCCTGGTGTGATAATGTTATATTAGTATGACTGTGTCCATCTCACTTCGCTGCCGCTTGCTGGCTGATGGAGGTACCACACTGTAAGCCGGCCTGAGGATGCCACGTTCAGAACCAAACACCCACTAGTAGGCGCAATGCTGCACCAAGCTATGCAAGCTCCTCTGCTCTTGTAACAAGTGCTACGTAGCAGGGAATTAGCAAGAGGCAATGGCGAGGCAACTAAAACAGCAATGCAAGGGATTGGATTCGGGGGCGTTACTATGACCCTAGGAGGGGGGGGGGGGCAGGCCGTGTTGCAAGGTATGGAGAGGGGTTGCGGGGAAGTCAGTAGTAGATCAACATATCAAATCGGATGCGGATGCGAATCTGCTCGCTCCCGTTGGCAGGCAGGCAGGCATGTCCTAGTCCCGATACAGGAATTGCCGTTTCTGCTGTTTTTCTCGCGGTCAACACAAAGCCCAGCCGCGGGCACTGTGGGAGAGGGAGGTGGTTGGGTGCTGCGTCACCCCCACTCACTAGCATTCGTTCAGGCGGATCGGCACGGATGAGGTCAACGATGCGAAGCCTAGGTGTGAGCGAAAACGAAGCGGCAGGGGGGGGACGAGGCAAACGAGATGGTGCCTCAGACCAAGGGCGCAGGGAGGGCGCACGAGATTCGTCGCAGACATGAGGTGTTCGTTGCCATGGCTCGGAGCCGCTTAAGAGAATATGCCCATCATCACCCTACTATCCGCAGCCAGGAGGGGGACCACCCGGCCATGTCCATTTCGGTGAGGGATAGTGTGTGCGGCAGGCTGCAAAGTCCGGCCACGCCAGCCTGGAGGACCCGGCCAACGCGAGCTGATAAACACGCTGCCGTAGGGGGCGCGTAGAACACCTACCTACCAACCTGGACAGCCAGCGAGGTAGGTTGTTAGTCCCCCAATCCTACCACACGCTGCAACTTTATGGCTCACTCTGGAAAGCAATCCTCCGTGCTGTGACGGCCAAAATGACGACGGCGATTCCTGCTAGGAGGTACAAGCGAGTTTCGCGCGTTTCTTTTCATCCTTGTTTTTTCTCTGTTCATTATTAAATAATAATAATAATAAAAGCATTCCCTCCGCCAAAAAAAATTCGCCAAGTAGTTAAAAGAAAAGAAGAAGAAAAAACATAAAACCAACAGTTCAGGTACGATAGACATCGTTGCAGGGAGAAAAAAGAGGCGTCGAAAGTGGCACAGGCTAGTCGACGCACTCTTATGTCCGAATCGGCGTTGAGAGCGCCAAAATCTGCGGCCATCGTGTACGATTAATACCGGTAAAGCGGTCGGTGGAGAGCCTTTCGTATAGGATTAGGGTCGACTTCGCGGTCAGCATGGCCTACTGTGTACGTAGGAATGAAGGAGCAACGTCATCCCTGACGTTGCTGCTGCCTTGGAAACTCGAGGCATCGGCTTGACGCCAACGGGGGAGGGAGGGGAGGGGGTTCTGGGTTCGATGGGGGTGACGATAATAAGAATCTGGATCGTCCTACTTAGAGGGGATGCACCGGCTGACATCGGTACGCTTTCTACCTCGATCCAGGGAACAAGTCCCAGCGCCCGCATCGAGGTTACGCGCGTGCGTGGGTTCGGTGATAGGCAGCCAGCGTCGTCGTCGCCGCCTCCAAGACTTCGCGAGCCTGTTCTTTTGCGCGAGGCCGTGGGCTGAGTAGCCCGTCGCGGGGCCTTTCCCGGGGATGAGGGTGGCTTATAAATAGGAATAGGTAGGTATATATTACCTGCGTGGACAGGTCGCATTGCGTCAGCGAACCTACTGGTGTGAGTGTCTACGCGCTCCAATTCGCGATGGTGGCGTGGAGGAAGTGCGCGCTGAGGTCTGCTTTTTGGACAGGGATGTGTTCGTCAGTAGGCGAGTTATTCCAGGTTCAAAGGGCCAAGCCGGAAATACGGACCACGATCAGGTGCTAGGCATGCCTCGTCTGAACGGTGATCGTGACGGTAATACTTTGCCCCTTGGGTTGCCTCGTCTTGTCTTCCTTTAGTAAGCTAGCTGTAATAGAGTCGAGGGCATGGTGATAGGTAAGCGGTTGGTAGGTTGGGGGACACCAATGTGCATGTGTATGACCTACTCTGATAAGAGGCAAAATTTGATCCAAAATGCGCCTTTTCTGACCCGGTTACCTGTAATCAACTTGAATTTTCAGTCTGACGCTAAGGGAGCGTGGCTGTCTAGCTGGTTCCTAGAGACAGGAGGCACAAAATGGGCTACCCCTATCGCAGGTGCCACGCACTGCATCAAGGGTTGTTAGAGAAGGTTGAGACCGCGACTGGGAAATTGTATAATAGCGTTCTACGCTGAGCGCGTTAAGAGTATCTTGAATCTGGACTTTCAATTTATTGGTATCAAATTGAAGACGCGTCGGCTGTGAAGCAAGAAAGGGGAGAGGCCGCGTTTAAGACCCTCTTGGTTCGGGCGCTGCGCGAGTATGCGCAGTGAATAAACTCGCCATCCACATTGGCTATACATATATATGTTGGTAGGTACGTACGTAAGTAAAGCAAAGTAACGAATAACGATATGAAAGATGGGGTGAGACTGGTGTAATATTGATGTCTAGGTTCTATCTCTCTATCTATGAAGGACCGAAAGGGGGGGTTCGGTCCTTATATCTTAAAGGTACATAGATACATACAAGACAGGGGTCTCTGCCCTAGTGATTACTAACAACCAACAATATATCAAATATCAGCTAACTTCTATACGCTTTGACAACGCTATGGTAGATGCACAGGGATAGATACAGACCTGCTCAAACTGGCGTTGGCGGTCTCCCAAGCCTTCCCGCATCTGAAGGCATATGACACGCCCTTAAACACTACGCCGTCCATGAATCTCGAAATACTAATTCAATAAAGCACCCACTTGGCTGGTTTAATCGGTACGAGACGCCGATGAATTGTGTGCTGAGACGACCTCATAGCTTTCCGGTGTGCGTGGTAGGCACTGGGCTGCTGGGTTCATTCCTGGTGAGGAGCTGCCAATCCACTCGAGACACCTGCACCAGGAGGCAAAGCAGAGTATACATCGTTATGGATAATTAGCGGATATTTTGGGAGGGGTGCGGCTTGGATTCTTCGTTGTTTCTAAGCTCGGATAGCCAGG